TCACTATGCCACAACACTGGCCCAGAAACTTTTATTTAAAAAAAAAAAAGTTTATTTTATTTATATATTTGAAAGGCACAATGATACATGGAGAGATCTTTCATCCCTCAGCTCACTGCCCAAACTCACAACAGCTGAGGCTTGCCCACCAGCCAGGAACTCAGTCCAGGTCTCTGATAAGGGTCACAGGGTCTCTAGCACTCTAAGCCATCATTACTGCGTCCCAGGCCTGTTAGCAGGGCGCTGGATGGGAAATGGAGCGGCTGAGACATGAACCAGCACTCTGGTATGGGATGTGACCATCCCAAGCAGCAGCTTACTGTGCTGTGCCATGGCACCTGCCCCAGTACTTTGTAGTTCTTTGAAGGATTTATTTATTTGAAAGACAGAGTTAAAGAGAAGAATTAGAGATCTCTATCTATTGATTCGCTCACCAAATGGCTGCAGTAGCAAGTTCTGAGCCAGGAGTTTAATCCAGTCGTGTCACTTGGGTGCCATCTTCTGCTACTTTTCACTGGCTGTAGACATCTAAATTGGCATACACCCCCCGCCCCCAGTACTGTAAAGATAGTGTCCCAGTGCCTTCTGGTCTGCATGGTTTCTAAAGAAAAGTCTGCCATTGGTCTTTATTCCTCCCCATCTAGCGTTATTTTTCTCTGCTGGATGCCTTGAGGATTTTAATCTATCACTGGTTTTAGACAGTTTGAATATAATAGGCCTTAGTATATAGTATGCATCATGTTTCTTGAGCTTGATTGACATTTGTGAGTTTCTTGGCTCTCTAGATTTATACTTTTGGTCAATTTAGAGTTTATAAAGTTTGTGTTTATATTTACTTGAAAGAGGGAGAGTGGAAGGGAGAAAAAAAGAAAGAGAAGTCTGCCATCCATCCATTTACTCCATGAAGGCCCACAGCAGCGAAGGCTATGACAGGGTGATACCGGGAGCCAGAAACTCCATCTGGGTCTCCCACATAGGTGGCGGGCCTCGGCTACTTGAACCGTTGCCTGCTGCCTCCCAGGGTGCACATTAGCAGGAAAATGAAATTGGGAGTAGAGCCAAGAATTGAATGCAGGCAATCTGAAATGAAAAGTCAGTGTCCCAAGTCTAACCACTGCACAAAATGTTCACCGTGATTTTTGGAGTGAATCATACTATTTTTATTTTTTAATGTATTCCTTCCCTGGCCCGGTGTGGTGGCCTAGAGGCTGAAGTCCTCACCTTGAACATGCTGTGCTGGGATCCCATATGAATGGCAGCCCTGCTTCCCATCCAGCTCCCTGCTTGTGACCTGGGAAAGCAGTCAAGCACGGCTCGAGGCCTTGGGACCCTGCACTCATGTGCAAGACCTGGAAGAGGCAGCTGGCTCCTGGTTTTGGATGGGCTCAGCTCTGGCCGTTGTGGCTACTTGGGGAGTGAATCATTGGATGGAAGATCTTCCTCTCTGTCTCTTCTCTCTGTACATCTGACTTTCCAATAAAAATAAATAAATCTTTTTAAAAAAATAATGTGTTCTTTCCCAACCCCATGCAGCCTCCTCCATAGACTCCAGTTGCACATATATTAGATTGCTGGAAGTTGTTCTACAGCTTAGCTCTTATTCTCTCTGTATTTCACTTCGGACAGTTTGTGGGTATGCCTTTGAATTCACTAGTTCCTTCTGCGATGTCTAATCTCCTATCCAGTGTATTTTCATTTCAGACCTGGTAATTCTTATTTCTACAGATCTGGTTAGGACCTTTTTAAATTTTGTGCCCATATTTAACACACTCAGTCTATTCTCTTTTTGAACCTACAGAGTACAGTCATATCTTATTGTCCTTGTTCTCCAACTTTGTAATTTGTGGGTCTGTTGGCTGATTTTTTTTTTTTTTCCTCTTTGGAGCCTGTTTCCTTGTTTCTTTATATGGCTGGCTGATTGGATCTTGGATATTGTGAATTTGATCTTTGTTAGAGGCTAGACAGTTTTGTATTCTTTGATATTGAACATGATTCTGAGACATAGTCAGTTGATTTAAAAATATCTTTTTCCTTTTGGGTCTTGAATTTATTTATTGTCATTTTCTTTTGGCAGCATTAGAACAGCATTTCGTCTGATTCATTTCTTCCCACTGCCGAAGTATACTGTTGTGAGAACTGTATCCAGTGTCCTTGTGGTTTTCCACTGGGGGTGGGGCAGGGTGACAGGAATGACACCTGTCCTGAGACAGGACCAGATTCTGTTCTGGCCCAGCCTTCTAGGCAGTCCTTTCCCTGGTCAATACTCAGCTGCACAGAGGGCCTCATCTGCCTTCCTGTGGCTACAACCAAACACCGTGGACTGGCTTGTCGAGAATTTGGGGTCATTTAGCTCCCGCCTCTTGAGACTGGCAGGTGCACAAGTACAGCCTCACTGCATTGTAACACAGCAGAGAGCATTGCATGGCTACACAGAGTGGCCAGACTGGCTCAGGCTGCTCCCCACTGATGCCAGCAGGGTCCCAATCCCCATGACCACATCTCCTGTCACCTCCTAAAGGCCCCGTCTCCAGAAACCACTGGTAAAATTGGGAGATTCATTTTCCAGTCAATGAGTTTTGGGGATCACATTCATGCCATGACCCCTGTTTGGCTGGTTTCCAACATCCTTTTTCCGGGCAGCTCTCTCTGGTCTTCCACCCTGGGAACTCTGGTCCCTGTGGCTTGCAGGCTGCCAGCTTTGTCTCCACAGTCTCAGGAGGCCTCAGGGCCCTACCTGGTTCTTGCATCGGGTGCTGTCTTGGAGGCCCCCTCTGGGTCACAGGCGTGGGGTGGGTAGGCAGTCAGGCCCTGCTGTTCTTTCAGGAGCTCATTGTCCTTCACTGCCTGATGTGCTGCCAGGCCTTCTATTCCATGTGTTCTGCTGGCATGCTCTTGTTCTGCCAGGTGAAGGGATCGAATCTGATCCAGAATAGAGCTTGCCCGTGTAACACTCATTCTCGTCACAGGGAAGCGGGGGGGGGGGGGGGGGGGGGGGGGGTGTGGCCTCTGCATTTCCTGCCCATCGTCCTCCTATTCAGTGCTTGACACAGAGCTCTGAATGAGGATACATTCAGTATGGACTGAATGCACATGGAGGCCTGTGCTGCCACTTGATCCCACCTCCCGTGGGCTGCAGGGCCAGTGAGGGGGACAGATGAGGTGGTGCCACATGCAGAAGGTTAGCATGCTACCCACTGAGCTGGTGGTATATTTTGTTTATTTTCAAAAGCAGATGTCTGTTGATTATTGAGGATAGGAGTCTAAACATTTGGACCATCTTTCACTGCTTTCCCAGGTACGTTAGCAGGGAGCTGCATCAGGAGCATCAGTTGGGATGTGCACAGTGCTGACCCAGATACGATTTTCTTTTGCCTTCCTAGATGACCTTGTGTCTTGTGATGTGTCTGCTGCTGTGATAGCTCCCTGATGCAGCTGTAGGCCTGTAACTTCTCAGAAAACTGGTGCCATCTCTTAGTGGAATAGCATGCACAGCACTCTGCCAGCTTTTTGGTTTATTGTTCTGGGTGTCCCCTGTCAGCAGTCCCCTGTTTTCCTCAGGGACTTGGGGAGCCTACATGGCTGTCATCCAGGGCTGCAGGAAGTCCTGCCTGGGCACCCAAGGGTTAAGCAGCACTGGCTGAGCCTGCCCTGTATGCTGCACTGATTGGACTACACACAGAAATTGTACAAGAGAGTCTTTGGACCTCAAGGTATTCAGAACCCCAAGAGGCAATGGCGTGTGGGAGCTCAGATGCCCGAATCAGGAGGGCAGTCAGAGAAGATGAGAAATTAAAGAGCACGTGTTGTAAGTTCCTGTGCCTTCAGGCCTGACTCTCGGGTTTGGGGCTGGAGTGACTGAACAGTTGGCAGCCTAGCATTTCCAGACATGTGCCACTTGGGGATTGAGTCTGTGGCTTGGGCAGGATATATACTCATTTTCAACAACTGCTAATTGAGGGTGCAGAGTATCGCTGTGGTAGCCACAGGGAGGAACAAGAAATGCAAAGTTCTGTCGTCTATCATGAACTTGCCATATTTGGGAAGGAAGGACATATTTCAGATTTTTCAAAAATGTTAATGAGATACAAGTCTTCTTAAAAAAAATCAGCCCTATTTATTAGAAATATATGTGAGATGAGTAAGCCCTCTGATGGGGCAGGAGAGTGAAAGGGTTGTAACTTCTTGCTGTGTGCACCATGTGTGGCACAGACCTGGCAAACGAGTAGGAATTGTTGCCAAGTGCCAGTATTGCCTTCCTGGAAATTTTTTACTTTAAAAATGGTAGAGACTACAAGACTTACATATAATGTTAACCTGTAATATCTATGTGTATTAAGATTGTAAATGACTTGAATTTTTTCATTATATCTTTTTTTAATTGTCTCCATTTTCTGTAATGAATGTATACTATTTAGTAGACAGAAAAAGGAAATGTTGGAAAAACAAAACCCAAAAAGTACCTACAGTGATTATTATACCTGTCTTAATGTGCTTACATTGTACATGTAAGTTTTTGGTTTTCTCTTCCTTGTCACCTTGCCGCTGCCACCATGATTCTGGGAAGGTTCTCTCATTGTTACTCATATTACTGTTGTTATTGTGCCCCTCGTCATTTTTGAGTGAGTTAACCCAGAAGCAGAAGGAAAAGTTAAAATGCTACCGATTGGGTGCGGCTGGTTCTGTTGCTCTGCTGGGTCCTAGGAACCCTCTGCCACCTCTGTAATATGAGTTGTGTTGGGAAAAGCCACTGGATTACCCCATCTCCCCATCTGGTGCAGTGAGGGGAATGTGCCTGTGGGGCTGGCTGCTGTGCAAGGGAGACCCTGAAAGTCCAAGTTACGTGTGATTCAGGTCAAGTAGTTAAAACCCTAGTGCCCCATTGTTCTGGGAGTCCCCATTCCCTGTACTTACAACCATGGTAATGTTGGATTTAAACTGGTAAAGGGTTGAAGGGGCGTAGATGTCATTTCTGAGTGAATTTCCTTATTTTTTCTGCACAGCATGTCTTTGATGATCTCAGCGGTTCCGTGTCCTTGTCCTGGGTTGGAGACAGCACTGGGGTAAGTGACCCTCTGGGTCTGTTATTTAGGCCTACTGAAGCAATCAGGGAGGGAGGGGCGCTGCTGCAAGCGTTCAGCATCATTGCTGTCTGAGGCCACCTTGAACCTCAGCTGCAGAACACAGGTGCTTGAAGGACAGACTTCAGGAAGGTGGAATTGGTTTGGTTTTGCTTTACAGCTGGGAGAAGCACCGCACCACATCCTCCACAGAGGATGGTGAAGACACCCCATTGTCCTTGGTGGCTGCTCAGTGGATGAAGGGAGCTCATGGTTTGGGGGAATACCTCGCGTAGAAACAGTAACCCCAAACTCCAAACTGATCTTTCTGTGTCCTTTCCCACAGGTTCCCTAAAGGACCCTGGCACCCATGGGCCCCTTTTGTTGTCCCTACCCCAAAGGTGGACCTGGCAGGATTGGGGAATGAAAAACAAAGCTTAACAGTTCCTTGCCCCTTCCAGGAACCAGCTGCTCTCCCCCTGGGAGGGTGTGTGGCTGAGAATGGAGTGGCCTCAGTCTAAATCAGGGTTTGGCATTACCTGGCTGAGCTGATCCGAAGCCAGGAGCCAAGAGCCAGCAGCTTCTTTCGGGTATCCCAAGCGGGTGCAGGGTTCCAAGGCTTTGGGCTATGCTTGACTGCTTTCACAGGCCATAAACAGGGAGTTGGATGGAAAGTGGAGCAGCCAGAACATGAACCATTGGCCATATTGGGTCCCAGTGCCAGGAAGAGGAGGATTTAGCCAATGGAGCCATTACGTTGGGCTCATCTTAATTAATTTTTTAACTCCCAGTAGAATTTCATTACACATGTTTCAGTTTCTTCCAAAATTTGAATTGTATCCTAATTTCTATTAATTACCCATCTATCTAAGATAGTTTGTGTCACCAAGCTTTCTAATTATATGGCTTTTTGAGATGCCCCAGGCTCTTACACTAATCTGCGGTCTTGTCCTCATGCACTTTTTTTAATAGAAAAATATTTTTCAAAGGAATTTCATGGGGAAGTAATAGTAGAGAGAAGACAGTGACAGAAATGTACATGACCCACTGGCCTCTTAGATTGCTCTCTAGTCCTTGTAAACAGAAGTATGAAGTGGTTCTGGCTAGCCAAGGTCCTCTCATGATTTGGAAGGTGCATGGTCAGGTCCGTCCTTTGTGGTCATCCATATTGGAGTAGCTCTGTCTGTTGTCTCAGGCGGAATGGTAGGGTTCTCCCAACAGAATGAACTGAGGGCTCAGCGAATTGTCAGCTCCAGTGACCATGGCCTTCTTGGGAGTTGGCTGTTATTCCAATCCCATCTCATACCAGCCTATGTCAAAGGAACTTTCTTACTGATGGGATGCCTTTTTCTCCCTCCAGGTCATTCTAGTCTTGACCACCTTCCATGTGCCACTGGTAATTATGACTTTTCAACAGTCCAAGCTGTATCGAAGGTAAGATCCGTACTATATGTTGTATATAACAAAATAATACATTGAGAAGGGGGAATGGGATGTATTCCTTTTCTAGATGTGATAAGGGTCTAATAGTTGATGCAAAAGCTCTTCCAGCTGTGTTTCCAGACATCACACTCAGCACACTTTTTTATTTTTTTTAAGATTTTTATTTATAGTTATTGCAAAGTCAGATATATAGAGAGGAAGAGAGACATGGAGGAAGATCTTCCATCTGATGATTCACTCCCTAAGTGACCGCAATGGCTGGCGCTGCGCTGATCCGAAGCCAGGAACCCAGAGCCTCTTCCAGGTCTCTGATGAGGGTGTAGAGTCCCAAGGCCCTGGCCCATGTTGGACTGCTTTCCCAGGCCACAAGCAGGGAGCTGGATGGGAAGTGGAGCTGCCGGGATTAGAACCGGCGCCCATATGGGATCCCAGCACATTCAAGGAGAGGACTTTAGCCACTAGAACACGGCACTGGGCCCTCAGCACACTTTTAAACACCTATTTAGCAACCTGAAGAAGTACAAAAAGGGACCTAGTTCCTAGGAGATTGAGTTGACCTTACTGAAAGCACCCTAAAGGCAGGAGGAGGTGTAGACTGTGGGGACGTGTGCATGTGTCCACTGAGATGGAAGAGTGTGGAAATTTATACAGCTCTCTGTTATGAATGCACAAAGGAGTTTTTTTTTTTTTTAAATTACATTTTATTTGAATGGCCAAAAGACAGAGAGGGGCAGACCTCTTTTATCTGCTGTCTACTTCCCAAATGAGTGCAGCAACTGGTTCCAGGCCAGGCCAAGTTCAGAACTTAATCCAGGTCTCAATCATTGCTTACCTACTCTATTGGGCTCTAAACAGATAGTTTGTACATAACAATGAAATTCTCAAGGGATTTCTCTGTGTAAGGATTGCTCAGATCAGACCTACCATTGAATGACAGAGGTAACGTGTGCAGAAACAGTTCCTGTACTGAGACATCCACGACATCTTTGAATCTCTTTCTCATAGGCACAGCCTCAGTAAGTGCTAGGTTCATTTCCTTAACAGATTAAAGATCAGCTAATGTCCAGAAAGTGCTGCTTGTTTTCTCAATCCTTTGTGTGAATCCCATTTTCCCCTAAGGAACCTAAAGAAACAACTACATCCCAGAAAATGATATAGAAACTCAACCTGAACGGAGGTATCTTCCAGGAGTCTTTATTTAACTGTTGATTGGGACCCAAGTGGCAATAAACCCATGGTGTAGCTCTGGATGCACCAGTTCATCCTCCCTTCCCTAACAGGGGAGGAAAATTCCTGAGTGCTACACCTGGAGCAGCAGCCAGACCTCTGCCCTTCAACACCGTGATGTTGGCTTAAAAATAGACACACCACAGCCGCATGCTTATAGTAGCACTATTTACGATAGCCAGAATATGAAATCAACCAAGATGTCCATCATTATATGGATAGCTCTAGAAAATGTGGTATATGTACACAATGGAATACTATTTGGCTATGAAAAAGAGTGAAATCCTATCTTGTGTAGCAACATGGATGGAATTGGAAGATATAACATTGAGCAAAATAAGCCAGAAGCAGAAAGACAAAAGTATCCATGTTCTCTCTTATATGTGGGAGCTAAAAAAAGAAAAAACCACAGGTTGTTATTTTCTTTTTAAAAAATATATGTTTAAGGCCCCGCGCGATGGTGCAGTGGTTAAAGTCCTCTCCTTGCACGCCCGGGATCCCATATGGGCGCCGGTTCTATCCCGGCAGCCCCGCTTCCCTTCCAGCTCCCTGCCTGTGGCCTGGGAAAGCAGTCGAGAACAGCCCAAAGCTTTGGGACCCTGCACCCGCGTGGGAGACCCAGGAAGAGGCTCCTGGCTTCGGATCATGCATAGCATCGGCCCGTTGCGCTCACTTGGGGAGTGAATCATCGGACGGAAGATCTTCCTCTCTGTCTCTCCTCTCTGTATATCCGCCTTTCCAATAAAAAACTAATAAAAATAAATTTTTAAAAAAATTTTTTTAAAATAAAAAATATATGTTTATTTTTATTGGAAAGACAAATTTAAAGAGAGAAGAGCCAAAGATCTTTCATCTACTGGTTTACTCCCTAAACAGCCACATAGCTGGAGCTGAGCCAGTCTGAAGCCAGAATCTAGGGACTTCTTCCAGCTCTCCTATATTGGTGCAGAGGGGCCAAGGATTTAAGCCCTCCTTTGTTGCTTTCCTAGGCCATAAGCAGAGTGCTGTATCAAAGTGGAGCAGCCAGGACATGACAGGCACGCATATGAAGTTGCAATGCTCATAGATGAAGGCTTAGCCTGCTGTACCATTGTGTCAACTGCAGTTTTGTAATTCTTTCCAGTGTTTCAGAAAGTTTCTTATTATGAAACGGCTCCTCATTATACAACTACTCCTACCTACATACATATCTTTCATTGTAAAACATTTAGGAATTGTAAAGGAAAAAAATTTTCACCCAAGAGTCAAGTGGAACCTTAAAGTACAGCTTACTATTTTGTCCATCAATATATCACACCACTGTGTAGCCTCTGGAAGCAACATGTAATAGCAAAAAGCTGCCAAGTTTGGCTGCCCTGTGAGCCTGGCACCATCAAATTGAGCACCATCATTTGCAACCAGAATGAACATGGGCAAGTCATTTAACTTCTGCCCTCATCTCTAGAAGGACAGTAGTAATGCCCACCCCAGAGCTGGTGTGGTGGGTACTGCAGTGCCTGGCAGAGAATGAGAGCTTGGTGCCATCAGCTGGACTATGCCAACAGGCATGAAGGGCATGTAACCAGCATGTATCTGTGCTACTGTACCAATGATGGACATGAATCAGAAGCCTTTCCAGGCCAGTTGGTAACAAGTGACCACCTGGCCCTCAGGTTACCCTGCTCCTTCCCGCACAGAGACACGACATGTGCCCTGTGACCTGGAGGCAGGCAAGTGCATGGCAACTGCACCTGCTCACTGCTCAGTGCTCCAGCCCACCCCCTATGCTGATAACTCGTGGTGTTCGTTAGATTGACAGAATTCATCTTTACTCTGTTAAGTTGCAGCTCATTTTTTCATCACAGTTGGGATACTGCTATGGTGAATTCCATCCCCATCTGTGTCCTCTCCAGTTCATCGGTAGCAGCAAACCCAACATCCGTCTGTTGCTTTGAAGGCTGTTTGTCAAACTCCTCCTCCTTCAGATTGAACAGTCTCTGTACCTGCCTTCCTTAGTCAGTTTGTGTTCTCTGTGTTCTTCCTTCATCTTGTGGCTGCTGTTGGGCCTGATAGATTCCTGAGTCAACCCCCAGGGGATGAACGAATGTGTTTTCATGATTTCAGCACCCTTGCCCCGTCTGTTGCTTTTTAGTACTGTGCTTGCTTGAAGATAACCAAATCCGCACAGGAGCCAGAGTCCTCCTGCTGCCTCCATGCCTCCCCTGTCTGATTCATTGTGCTTTTTTCCTCCTCTAGTCTGAGAGAAGCCTGTCCCACCCAACCCACATTTCCAGAGAGCAGTCCTGTTTGTCTCTAGCACAAGATCATGTGGCCAGGATTCTTTCCCCCTCAAGTTGCACAGCAGTTTTATTTTGTTTTGATATATTTGTTAACCATTGTCATTTTGAATATTAGTTATCTCATCCTTGCCATTGCAAACTGACTTGTATCCTGTTCTACAATCTACATTGCAATGTGCCTGTTGCCTTCTGCTGCTGGGCTGAGCTGACCTGCTGTGACTCAGGCCACTGAGCACAACAGCCAGGAGGCACTTGTTGCTTCAGAAAGAAAAAGGGAGGGAGCAGTTTCATCAATGTGAGGGCTGGGTATCTGTTTTCCTTATTTATCTTTTCACTGAGAATCCCAACATTCTTGCTTGCCATTATTTACAATAGTTAACATTCTCAAAAGTTGCAACAAACACTTATTAGTAAATACTAATCAGTCATTAATAAGTAAACACTAAGAAGTCACTGCTCCTAGAGAAATACAAAGTTAGGTTTCTGCAGAACTCCTGTCACAGCATGCATTTCATCAGTTGCTCACTGCAGTTCTGCTTAAACAAACTTTGCTTGCTCTGAAATGGTTTATTTGGTTAATTTGTTAACAGCAAACTCAAAGTCAATAGCACTATGACTCTTGGCCCCAGAAATAATCCAGAGATCTTCAAGGCTGCCTCCCCAGTTCCAGAGAGCCGTGGGATCTCAAGGGGCTTTCTTTCCCTTCTGTTGATTGCAGGGTACCCTAAGCTTCAGGGACCCATAGGCAATTATGCCCTTAATCCCTAATCTCTCTTGGCGTCTGCCTTGGAGTTTGGACTTGGTTGGGATCCCCTTTCTTCTTTTCCACTTTTCCCTTGTGGTAGGAAAATAGCTATACCAAGGTGTTGCTGCCTCTGTTCTTGATTTCAAAGGTTCACACCTGGAGAGCAATTTGCTTCGGGATGACTCACACTTTGAGTCTCACCCTTGTCTAATTGAGATGAGGCTTTGGATTTTAGATCTTAGAGGTGATGCTGGGAGTTAGGACTGTAGGGGCTGTTAGAACATAATGAAAGTGTTTTGCACATGAGAAGGATGCAAGTTTGGAGGTCTCTTTTTTGGTGTTTTTTTGCTTTTTGTCTGGGTAGGACAAGAGGCCAGGGACAGAATGTTAACAGATGGAACACTTGTGTTCCCTTTCCTATGTTCTAGTGCTGGCCCTCTGCTGATACTAACTAGCAGGTGGGGCTTTGGATAAGTGATTAGGCCTACTGGAGAACTTCAAGAACTCCCTGGGCCTCTTGTGAGGTCACGGTGATAAGATGGTCATCTGTGAGCCAGGCAGTGGGCCTTCACCACACACCAGGGCCTCAGGTTCAGGCTTCTCAGTCCCAGAACCATGAGAAAGAATTTTCTGTTGTGTATAACCAGACTGCACTAAGGAGAGCTGAAATCTGAACGTGTTTGTGTTTAGGGCTATGCTCTTGAGTTGCAAACTTTGATTTGTTTCATGTTTCGCATGGTTTCACGTGAAGTCATCATGTATTTTTGATGATCAGAAATAGTAGAAAGTAGGGCTGAAACACGCATAGAATTGTTTCTGGGGTGGGCGTTCAGCCCCGTGGTTAAGGCAGCCAAGTCCCCCTGAGTATCTGCTCTGGTTCCTGACATCACTTTCCTGCTGAGGCAGACTTTAGGAGTTAGCCACGTGGCTCAAGTAGCTGAGTTCTTACTACCCCTGGGTTGTATTCTCGGCTCTCACTTTCAGCCCTTCCCAGCCCTGGTCACTCAGGGCCTCTGGGAAAAGCACTAGTGGGTGGGAGCATTCTATCTCAGTCTCTGTCCCTCTTTATCTCTGCCTTTCAAAAACAACTTTTTAGAGACATGTTTTTCAAGCAGATGGGGCCACATGGTATGTTAGCTCTTCCTTTGACTCCTACAGATTTATCTTTTGGAATGTTTCTTGGAATTCCCTGGTGCAATGTGAGTTGTATGTTGATAGAAAATAAAGATACATTTAGATCAAATGTTCTGTTTAAATCAAGCCCTGAGCTCGAAGTGGCCTTGACAGAACCCCACTTAAATCCCAGAGGAATGCTGCCAGCGTCCTCCCTGTATTCGTGTAACTGCCTGAAGCAGCAGGCCGCTGCAGTGCGTGGTGATTTGTTCCGCTCAGCGTTGCTTGTTCTGAAGGGCAGGGAGATGTTTGCTGTGCCAAGTTCTTAAAAAGCAAACAGCCTTGCCAACAGGTTTATAGAGGTCCCCTGGGGTTCCTGCGAAGGAGGGGAGGTTTGTAAAGTGATAATCAAGCTGCCACAACCCCTGTGGAAGGCTGGCTGGGCTGCCGGTGCTGTGTGCCCCGCGGAGCTGGGGACTGTTCATGCGCGTGTCTTGCCAACTGTCATGCAGATAAGAACCCATATTGCTCTCCAAACCCAGGGCAAGGGTAATGTAGGCAATCTGTTGGATGGGGCCTGGTTTATCCAGTCTTCTGGCTATGCTTGCTGAGGGAGGGGAGGGTCCCTTACTTTAGCGTACTGTCAAGGGGCCTGTATGTTCAGGCCCGTACACTCCCTTCTGCCTGCCACTCACAAGGCCTGGGGAGACCAAGGAAGACTTTGGACTGAGGGGGAAAATATCCTCCTAAATAATTAGGTATCTCCAGTCTGGCATTGAGAATTCGGAGAACTGAACAGTAGTTTCACTGCTGCCTTTAATTAACTATTTGACTTTTGATAAATTGCCTCCCCTTGCAACTGCTCATCTGTGAAATGAGGAAATCGGACAAGATGTTCTCAGTTTCTTGCATGCCTCCTGTTCTGCCACTTGTGTGTGTTCGTTTGTCGAGGCTGCTACCAAAAGTTGTTCCATCTTTTTAAATCATGTGTTTTTTTTTTTTTTTCAGTGAAGGCCACTACAGATCACATTTATCAGCTAACTGGGAGTGTACTGAGGGATACTTAAATTTAATTACTGTTAAAATAAAATTTGGGGCTGGCACTGTGACATAACAGGTTAAGCTGCTGCCTGCAGTGTTGGAATTCAATATGATTGCCCCCTGGAGAGCTCATTGCTCCACTTCCAATTCAGCTCCCTGCTAATGTACTTGGACAAAACAGAGAAGGATAGCCCAAAGGCTTGGGCCCCTGTACACACATGGGAAACCCAATGAAAGCTCCTGGCTCCTGGCTTCAGCCTAACTCATTCCCAATCATTATAGCCATTTGGGAAGTGAGCCAGCAGGTGGAATGTGTGTGTGTGTGTGTATGTAATTTTGTCTTTCAAACAAGTAAAATAAATCTTTAAAATAATAAAAAAGGATCTGCATCCAGTGATTTGTTTTAGGAGAACTGTATATTGGCATGAAGCCTGTTAGAGTTAGATGGCTACTGAATTTTTGCTCATTCTAACAGCTAAATGCGGTTTCAAATACTTCTCAAGCATATTGTTTAAATGAACTTTTGGAAAAAGCTTTGAGAACCCAACATTTGCATTTGGTTTTCCTAACTATGTGTCATCATGAGTCAGAGATTGGGCCTTGGGATGGTACCTTCTAACAGGGTGAACTCCAACACCACGTCTGCTTGATTTATGGCTCCATCCTAAGTGCTGTGGATGAACAGGCTGGTGGGAGCCCTTGGGCAGAGCTGGTGACTGGGATGAACCTGAATACTAAGAGAATTGTTGACTCACATAACCAAGTACAGAGGGAAGACAAGCGTCAGGGTCAGTTCTGTCCAGTGGCCTGGCTCTGCTGCCTCAGAATTCCTGATTCCCTCAGCTGGGCTCTCTTGGTGACCAGATGACCATAGCTTTTTGCTTTGCAGTCACATGCCCCATTGTTGGGGTTTCTCCACCTTGGTACTCCTGACATTTAGAGCCAGATCATCCTGGGTTCTCACTGGACTGTGCTGTGCCTAGTAGGATGTTGGGCAGCATCACCAGCCACTACCTGCTTAGTGTCAGCAGTGCCACAATGCTTGAGTTGTGATCATCAAGAACATCTCTGGGAATTACCACATGGTCCCCAGTTGGGACAAGAAAGGAAGACAAACCATTCCATTCAGGGACTGCTTGTCACTAGGAGACCCTATGCTGCCTCGTCTTACTGGCTCCGCCTCAGTCATGCCCTCACTCCTGAGCCCATGGCCTGGCGTTGGGATGGGCTATCCCTCAGGCAAAGCAGTGTCCACAGGAGCCAGGGATGTGACCCTGGGGGGTGGGGAGTGAGTGCCTTAATAACATTCCCTGAGAGGGGCATTGGAGGCTGGGGAGCCACCCAGCCATACCCATGACCACTGAACTCTGAATCGCTTTCTCCTTTCCTCAGTGAGGATTATGGAAAGAACTTTAAGGACATCACACACCTCATCAACAGTTCCTTCATTCGAACAGAATTTGGCATGGCTGTTGGTCCAGAGAACTCTGGCAAGGTGAGACCCATTCTTGCATGTTCAAAGCTCATGCCCAATGCCATGTGCCAGGTGTAAAGATTAGAGTGAGACATTGCTATTATCAGAAATAGACCTAATACCTTACTATGGAAGAACGGCACTCTGCACACTGTCTTTTTGTTCCTTGGTCTCTGTCCACTGTGCCGTCCTGCTCATGGGGGTGGGGTAGTTGTTCAGCTTTACAGTGGATGCACTCCCTATAACACCTTTATAGTCTTTTTGGGGGGAGCTGACTGACCTCAAAGCTGGTCAGGCTCCTGTCCACAGCCCAAGTGCACTAGCTCATTTCGGATGAGTTCCTTAATGACACCAAGACTTAGGGACTGGAGTAGAGCACCTGATCTAATGGTAGAGTTCTTGCCTTTGGAACCAAAATTTTCTTAGCCAGTGTTTGCTGAAATCTTGCAGTGTTTGAATAGTACCCTGAATTGGTCTTTCTTCTTCCTGGTCAGGTGATATTAACAGCCGAGGTGTCTGGAGGAAGTCGGGGAGGAAGAATCTTCAGATCCTCAGATTTTGCAAAGAATTTTGTACAGACAGATCTCCCTTTTCATCCTCTGACTCAGATGATGTACAGCCCTCAGAATTCCGAGTACCTTTTAGCACTGAGCACTGACGTAAGTCCAGTTAAAGACTTTGGCTTGCCTCCTACGTTTTTATTATCATCTTAAAATGCCCTGTCTTTGGAAGGACCCTGTAGGGAATGCTTATATATTGGACTTCATTCTGATTTCCCTTTATGACATGAAGCACATACTTTTTACTTCCCCTCCCTGTTTCATAAAGAGTATCACTGCTTTTTAAAAGTTCACTTCCTGGTAAGTATGATGTCTAGTTGTTATTATAAGTTTTTTTCTTTATGAGTAGATGTGTGCCAGTGATGGAATGAATTAGAAAACAGTTTAGGATTGCCATTCCTGTGCTTCAGGGGTCAAGCATAAATTGTCACACTCCTGATGTTGTAATTATTTCTTTCCTCTGGCCAAGTCACGTCTCCATTGTGGTTTTCTATGTTGCTGGTTCCTCAGTATATGAAGCATTTTGAGTCCTTTCTTCAGCTTTCCAGTGTTTGTTGTCCAAAGTCTGAAGCCTGTGCCACCACCACATCCCTGTCCTGTCCCCAGAAGACACTGTTCCTCCCTGTCCTCCAGCTTCGTTTCTGAAGTTGCCTGGGGAGCACATTCAACTTTTCCTCTCCCCGTGGTCCCACGCCCCTCTATCGTGTATGTTGAGGGCCCCAAGAGGCCAAGGTATTCTACTGTGGCCATCACAATTAGATGCCCCATTTGCATGGCTCACTCTCATCTCACTTCCTAGAGTGGTGTGCCAAGCAGCACCATCAGATTGAGGCATAAGGTGTATGTTTGTGGGCTCCAATCCAGATACAGTTCATCAGTGACTTTAGATGGCTAGGCAGGCTCCCCCATCTGAGCCCACACACTGGGATCTGAGTACCACTGTTACACTGTCTGATCTGGAGTCAGGCAGGATTACCAATAGTGGCCCAGTCAGGCTGGGCACACAGGGTAGTGGAGGGGTGTGAATGGCACTGACATTTGGGTGTTGGGTCTTCGGTGGAGAGACCATTGAACAGAGGGAAAGCTGGGGGTTCCAGGAGGCCTTGCTTGATGCCTGGCTAGTGGGAGCCAGAGGAAGGAAACTAGCTGGATGAGGAGTAGACTTTCAAGCTTAGAGCAGCAGTTTCTGGAAATTGGCTTCCAGCAGCTGGAGCTGAAGTTGGAGCCAAAGCTGGAACCAGAGCCAGAGTTGGAGTCCTCTGAAACAGAACAAGAGCAGTTGGAAGAAGAGCTCCCTTCCAATCAAGGATAAGATTGAAGAATAAATTAACTTGAACTGCATTGCAAATAAGTCCCATCAGACCATGCTTTATCTTTGTAAGCAGATCTAAACAAACCAGAAAGGGTAGGAGGTGAATGTTTCCAGAGAGGACAAAGCTAAAGGGGAAGAGTGAGGCGGGCACTGGAGTTGGATTCTGCCTCCATTAGCCCAATCTGATGCCAGCCTGCCAGGACATGTCGGTCGCACCTCCACTGAGCCCAGTCAGCATGAGCTGCTAGTGTGACTGACATGCTCAGCTTTCCCCTGTGAAGAATCTGCTGCATTGCAAAGCACTAGCCAGTCCCTCCTTTTGGGAACCCTCTTCTTTGGCCTCCGTGACATAATTTCCTTTGGTTCTTCTAACTTCCTGGCCATTCTTGGTCTCCTTCTTCAACATTCCTCAGCCCACCCTTAAGTGCCTACTGCTCATTTCATTCTGAGTAATCTCTTCCACTTTCCCATTTGATTACCACTTGCATGGAATAGGTAAGATTCTCAACCTTGTATCTCCAGCTCTGACTTTGTCCTGGGGTGTCAGCTGGTGTCTTGCTGCCTTCTGGGTATCCTTTTGCTGCGTGACCAGTAAGCACCTCTAGAGCTGAGTTCTCAAATACGCTCTTCTTCCCTGACTCCTTCTGCTGGTTCATGAGAGTGCAGTGCAGCTTCCACCCCAGGAGAAATTACCCAGTCCTGCTACTCTAGCTTCTGAATCCTTGCTGAGCCCATTCCTTGCATCTATGGCTCAAGGCCTTTAACCTTCCCTGAACTGCTAGGATAATTATCTGCTGTTTTCCTGATTCTCATGTTGGCCTCTCTGAAGTCTGCCTTCCCCCATGGTCATTTCCATGCTTAAAACCCCTTCCTCCTGGGAGCCCCTCAACACAGCACAGCGTGAGAGGTCCATGCCTTTCCCCCTGGCCTTAGCTCCTCATTTCCTCCTCTTGGAATTTGCACTCCATTTCTGCGCAGAGACCTTTTGCTCCCGGCACTCACAACAGCATCTTCCCACCTCACTCACTGCCCCTGCCAGCACTAGTAGCACATCGCAGCCTTGCTCACCTGCCTGTGACAGTTGTGCTTACCATGGAACACTGCACGAGCTACCTCCTTCCAGAAGCTCCCTCTGATGTGCTGACCCTTTTCTCCCACTTGTGTGCTGAGTGCTCCAGGTTTCCCGAATGTGTCCTGCTTGGTAGCCTGTCCTTTTGCTGCTCACTGTGCCTCTTGCTGAGTGGTGAGCCCCTTGAGAATGGAGAGTATGTGGAAATCATCTTTGTATCCCAGCGTGATGCCTGATGCAATGCCTGGAACCGTGCCTGGTGCACAGTAGGCACTTCCTGTGCATCCAAGGGACATTTGTGTATGTGTGTGTGAGAGTGAGAGAGAGAGAGAGAGAGAGAGAGAGAAATAGCAGGGCGGAGGGCAGGCTGACAGAACTTCAGCATGTATTTCACTGTCCTGAATGGTTGGACATGAACTGTTAAAGGTCCTACAAGCAGCTGCACAGGATAAAGCTGGAATTTTGATAAGCCATTTGTAATCTTTCAGAATGGCCTCTGGGTGTCCAAGAACTTTGGAGGAAAATGGGAAGAAATCCACAAAGCAGTATGTTTGGCCAAATGGTGAGTAACAGCAGACTCCATCTGTGCAGAGCCTAACCTTTCCTGGTGCTACTGCCAAAGTCACATGGATCAACACTGATGAGCACTTAGCACGTGCCAAGCGCTCTGCGGTGTGCCCCGGAGGGAGACCAGAGAAGGCTATGCCACAGCTTCCCATTGTGCTAGCAATGGAGACTTTAGCCTCAGTGAGTGTTAGAATGTGAAGTGTAAAGCATGGGCATTTGACTGAGTGGCTGCTGCATACAGAAGCTTTGCGCTCAAGAAAGGGGGGCGCCAGTTGGAATGCAGCGAAGTAGGGCTTCACTGTGGGGATTTCGGTGCTGTCTGGGCCCAGGCTTACCCTCCTCCATGTTAAGATACGTGTCAGCTATATAGATCATGGTGAGGAACCAACCAAGAAACTAGAACTTCCAGCCACCAAAGTCCCTGTTTCTTTTTATATATATATAAATATATAAATATATAAATATATATATATATATATATATTACCTTTTTATTGGAAAGTCAGATATACAGAGAAAAGAAGTTGCAGAGAGAAAGATCTTCTGATCTGATTCACTCCCCAAGTGGTCTCAATGACCAGAGCTGAGCCGATCTGAAGCCAGAAGTTTCTTCTGGGTTTCACATGTGGGTATAGGGTCCTAAGGCTTTGGGCTGTCCTCTGCTGCTTTCCCAGGCCACAAGTGGGGAGTTGGATGAGGAAGTGGAAGAACTGGATACAAACCGGTGCCCATATGGGATCCCGGTGTATGCAAAGCAAGGATTTAGCCACTAAGCTATGGTGCTGGGCCTGAGTCCTATGTCTTCAGCAAGGGTGGTCCGCTTCTGTCAGTAAGACGCCCGAGCCCCACCAGGGGCCTTCTGAGAGCCACTATGGCGGAAGAGGAGACCCTTGGGTACTTGTGAGTCAAGAATCAGATCACCTTTGTCCTAACCTGGTTCTGCTGGTCAGTGGTTCAACTGTCCCAGGCTTTGATTGTGTCCTTCTGTGAAAGGAAATCTGTTTGGGACATGGTTGAGCAAGAATTCACTTCAGAGCCTCTATATCTCCAAGGCCCTTCTTAGCCTCCAGCTGCACCTGGAATCTGGAATCCCTTTGGCAGCTTTGTCGCTCCGGGTTCCCAGTTCACAGCCGGGTGCTGCCAGGGCTGGGATGTGTGGCAGCCAGCAGCAAGTGCATGGCTGTGACATTAGAAGTCACTTCAGGTTGAGTGCTAGGAGGAAGCAGAAAGCTCAGAAGGAACAGATAGAAGTTCAGGCAATGTACCAGTAGGAGGCTATTAGCACTAGATCAAGAGAGTACACATACTTCAGTAACTTCTAATGGGCACACTGTATTACAGCTTGATAATGATCGATGCTCCTGTTGATGACCTGTAATCACAAGAAAGAGTTTCATGTTCCATATACTCTGCTTAGGGAATCCGGAAGCTGCAGGCTGCATGTTTGAGATACAGGCCTCCCTCTGTTTCTGTAGGGGGTTGGTTTCAGGACTCCCCATGAGGTACCAAAATCTGTGTGTTGCTCATTTATATGCACCTGCTTGTAATGCAATCCTCCCTGGACTTCAAGTGAGTTCTCAACTGCTAACAGCGCCTCATAAAATGTGTATGCCTCATTAATTGTCATTCTACTGTAAATATTTAGGGACCAGTAATAAGAAAACAAGTTTCTTCTCCCCACTCAAAACAACACAGCCTGCTTCCCAAGTATTTTCAGTTCATAACTGGTTGATTCTACAGGTACAGAACTCAAAGATAAGAGGAGCTGAGTGTGTGTCTGCCACAGGCAGCTACAATGCTGAATGGGCCTTTTCCAAAAAATCCTCTTAGATGAATTTTTCTGCAACAGCACTGTACAACGTACACTTGTCACATCCTGCTTTCATTTTACATATGTTTATGACTTGTGTTTGTAAAGTGCAGTATCACAAGGAAGTACTTTTTTAAATGTAGCTGCATTACAGGTTCTTCACTCCTGGTAGGCCTAAAATATGTAGGATGTGTTTTTGTAAGACTGGAGTAATTCTGATCATTGAAACTCACCTTTAAATTCAAGAGGTTGTTGTAAAAGGATAATTTATCTTTAATCTTATGCAAAATTTTTTCTTTACTTTTATAATGCATTTATTTGGTATTTAAGAGGACTGTGCTACTGTATATTCACCTTGTAGATATTTGATTTCTAGGAATTTGCAGCCTAAAGTTCTAAAAGAATGTGCTCAAACCCAGTACCTTGTACTGCTGGTAATCTATAAGTACTGTCAGGTCTGAGATTTCCTTTCCAGTGTAGGTTTTAAATAATTCAGCTTCCGACTTCCTTCTCTGTTTGAGATGAAAACACTAAATTATTTAGCTCATACAAGGCGTTAAACTATATTCTGAGTGGAACCAACAAAGCTTAAAGCTAGTGCCCGCCCTTGAAGAAGCCAATTTTTAGAATAATGGGAGAGATTAGGCATATACTGTATAGTTATAACAGGAGGCAGAGGAGTGCCAAGTGGCTGGCACAGAATGCTCTAGAACAGCATTTGTGCATTGTGAGATGTATGCCAGTGTTCCTCACCTGTGCCCGCTAGATACTGCTAACAGCCCCCGCCCCTAAGGTTGTAGACAACCAAGAGTCCTCCGGACATTGCCAGATGTCCCTGGGATGTGCAGTTGCTACCGGTATAGAACCACTGCTCTGGAAACTTGCAGCCAAGAAATTTTCCAGTCCAAGTGACAGGGAGAGCTATGTGGAAGAGCTCAGCTTTAAGCCAGAGCTGGAGAATTGTGAGAGTGTGCTTGCTTGAGTTACATGCGAGAAAACCATTTTAGGAAGAAACCCACTGAAATAAATGCAAGAGGCAGATGTGTTGAGTGTCAGGAGTCCAGTGTGGGTGGCTGCAAAAATTCCCATGAAAAAGCAGAGGGGTGTTGGGGAGCATGAGGGACCAGGCCACAGGGAGCCTGGCGAGGGGCTGCCAAGAACCAGGTGTCCAGCACCTGAGGAGGCTGTCAGCCAACGCAGGCAGATGACACTTGTTAGACTGGTTGGGAGCTCTGTGTCAAAGCTTGTGAACTTTGTTGAGGCGGCACACTAGCAGTCATGAACCACAGTCTTTCCTGTCTTTGCCTCTTTGCAGGGGATCAGGAAACAGCATCTTTTTTACCACCTACGTCACGGGCTCCTGCAGTAAGTAGACTTTAGTACCAGAGGAGTGTGTCCTGTTGTCCATTCACGTAGGATATCCTGAGTTGTGTGCGGTAGTAACGTGAAAAACCCTTCCATTCTCCTATAAATTTTGATAAAAATCATGATTGTAGGTGAAGTTGCCACTTGGGTCATTGACATCTCATGTCAGAGAGCCTGAAAAATCAGGTCTCGCCTCTGCTTTCAATATCTTGGAGGCTACAGATGATGGCTCAAGTGCTCGAGTCTCCTTCCAACTGTGTGTGTGTGTGTGTCACTCTAACCTACAAATACATTAAAATGAATGTATAAAGTTTTTCTTAAAATCTTGAAAGCATAGCCAAATAAGTACACTATGTCCAGATCAATACTGTAGGCTACACAGAGAGGCAGTGTATGGACTAGGCTGTGAGCATTGGCCAGTTGCAATGCAGAAAGAGCATGAGTTGTGTTTCTGCTGCAGGAAGCCACTGGCTTCCTCATCTGGCAGTTGTAGAGCAGAATGCGAAGTGTTTCATCTATTCAGTCAAGAGATACTTAAGCACCTGCTCTGTACTAAGCACTGTACTAAGGATCCAAAGAACAGAATGCCCAGGGCTTGTTCTCATGGAACAGAAATCGAAACTGGGACGTTGGATGAAAAAACAAAAGATAAAAAAAAAAAAAAAGAAACCAGGATTTATATAAGACAACTTAAAATAGGATAAGATAATTCCAAGTTATACCGTGAACCAAAAAAGCAGGATGCTGTGACTGTGATATTTTCATGAACGGAACTAAATAAACTCTGGGTTTCCATCCCATATAAAACCTCTCAGGTATAAAATAAAAGCCAAATGTGAATTCCCCATAACTGATACCGCTTTGAATGTATCTTCTCAAGTAATATGCATAGGATTCAAAACCCTTCAGCTGTAACACTGAGAGCAGTTCTTTGAGTTGTGAATGAGGCTCGCCAATCAGTTGTAATGAATATTCTGTCTTGTTTAAGAAGCTGACCTTGGAGCACTGGAATTATGGAGAACTTCCGACTTGGGAAAAAGCTTCAAAACCATCGGGGTGAAAATCTACTCATTTGGTCTTGGGGGCCGTTTCCTTTTTGCCTCGGTGATGGCTGAGAAGGTGAGCACTTGTCTCTTGTATCGAGCTGAGGCTTTTGTAACTCACCTGGTCCCCACGGAGCTCCTCAGCTCTTTGCAGCATCCTGTCACCAAGAGACCCGCAGCTCTTCCCAGAGGCTGATCGACTCCCCTGGGCTCCCCTGACCCTCAGCCTGACCCTCTGTCACCACAGGAATTCTCACCTCCTGTTGGGTGTACGTAGACCCAGTTTTTGGGCTTTACTCAGATATGGATATCTGAAAAAAGCACCCCACTCTTATTTATCCCACAATAAAGACAGATAGCATTAAGTGACTGCCTGCTATACAATAGGTACTATTCCAGGTGCCTGTAATGGCAGTGAACAAAACAGATGAGTTTTCTGCTTTCAGAAGTTATATACAGGTGACAAAATAGATACTAAACAATAAATATGGTGTGTCAGGTATAATTAAAGCTGTGATGAAACTAGAAAGTTCATAGGAGCTGTAGGAAGTGACAGGAGCTGAAGCAGTGACATTTTATTAAGGTGGTTGGGTGGGCTGTGAGGCCTGACCAGATGGCTCTGTAGCCATCTGGGAGGACAGCAACATGAGGAAAGAGCAAGTGCAAGGACTTCCCACTCCAGGCCTGAGCCTGCTGGGGAGGCTGAGGAAAGAGAGGCCGTAGGGCTGGGACAAAGAGGGGGCTCAGAGTTAGGCCTGGTGGGAGGTGGCCAGGCCTCGCAGGGCCTTCTGGGTCAGGAAGAAGATAGCCACAGTGATTCCTCATGTGTTGGCCAACTGTGACTGGTTTGTGAGCTGGGGAGTGAGGTGAACTGGCTTTGCTTTGATGGAATAAATGTGCCTGATGGGGCAAAAATAGAGGCAGTGTGGGCAGCTGAAAGGTTATCAGAATAGTCCAAGTAACTAGTGAACACTTGGACCGGTCTGTTAACACTGAGTGAGGGGAGAAGTGGCAAGACTGTGGATGTTTTTAAATGTCTTCAAAAATTTATTTGTTTCGGATTTATTTGAACAGCAAAATGACACAGAGAGCAATAAAGAGATAATGTTCCATCTTCTGGGTTACTCCCAATGACTGGACTGACCAGGCCAGAGCCATGAACCCAGAACTCCATCTGGGTTTCCCACACAGGTGGCGGGTCCCAAGTACTTGGACCACCCTCTGCTGCCTTCCCAGTGCATCAGCTGGGAGCTGGATCAGAAACAGAACAGTTAAGACTAGTATCCACTCTCCATTGGGATATTCGTGTTGCAAGCAGTAGTTTAACTTGCTGAGCCACAATACCAGTCCATAGTCAATGTTTTTTTAAAGATTAATTTTTTTATTGGAAGGCAAATATACAGAGAGAAGGAGAGACAGAGAGAAAGATCCTCCAGCTGCTGGTCTACTCCCCAAAAGGCCGCAATGGTCAGAGCTGAGCTGATCTGAAGCCTGGAGCCAGAAGCTTCTGAGAATTCCACGCAGGTGCAAGTGCCCAAGGCCTTGGACCGTCTTCTACTGCTTTCCCAGGGCACAAGTGGAGAGCTGGATGGGAAGCAGAACAGCCAGGATACAAACTGGCATCCACATGAGATCCTGGCACGTGTAAGACAAGAATTTAACCAGTGAAGCCATCACACCAGGCCCCAGAGTCAACTTTAATGGGACTTGCTGATGGATTAGATATAGGTGTGAGATAATGAGCAAAACCAAGGGTAATTTCATTATTTATTATTATTACTATTTATTTACTATTTGAGAAACATAAAAAAATGATGGAGGGAAGGAACTCCCATTTGCTGCTTTATGCAGTGACCAGGGTTGGAACCCTGAACTCAGGAACCAGAACTCAATGGAGATTTCCCACGAGTGGCAGGAACCAGTTACTTGAGCTGTTGTCAGGGTCTGCATGAGCAGAAAGTTGGAGTCAGGAGCCAGAGCCAGGCACCAAGCGCAGGCACCTGATGTGGCAGACAGGTGTCTTGACCATTATCTTAGCTGGCAGGCAAAAGGCCTGTCTACAAGGATAACTGAAGAGTCTTGCCTGAGCAGCTGAGTGAATGCTGGTGCCATTTTTGAGATGGCTGCCTCTGCAGGAGATGCAGGTTTGTGGTTGGGTAGAAGTCAGGAGTTCGTTTTTTGGATGTCAGATGCCTCTCTGAAAGTGGAAATGTCAAGAAGGCATTTTGGGTGTCTGGATTGCCCAAAGTGGTGTAATGAGATGAAATCTTCTGGAGGAATGAATAGGCAGAGGAAAGATGAGGGCTACTGAGGAAGTCCTGAAGCACCCAGTCCCTGAAAGGTTCAAAGGAGAGAGATCCAGCCAGGAAGACTGAAGGCAGGGACCAGTTAGGGGGAAATCAGGAACCAGTGACGTCAGAAAAGCCAAGCAGGGGAACTGTTCACAGAGGGAGGAAATGTGAGTTGTGTTAAACTCAGTTGAGATGTGGAGTTCTGGGAATTACCCACTGAGGCCCTTAACAAAAGCAGTTTCTTTAGAGTTATAAAACTGATTGCAGTGACTGCAGAGAGAACTGGAAATAGGGACATAGACAGTGTACAGGTAATATAGCAATAGAGCTAATGCTGTTACCTCTACTTCCCAGGTAAGTTGATTAGAGTAATTTCCCAGGATCCCCCAGTGGAACACGGATGAGAATCAGACCCCTCCACTTCCTAGGTGGCGTCTCCCTTTCGCCTTTTACTACACAGCTGCCAGCTACCATGGGAAAATGCTGCAGTGTGCTTTTGAACTCTTAATTTCTACCTCTCACACTGAGAGTAAGATTCAAAGTAATTAAGCACCTCTGTGTAAGTTAAATAAATGCATTAAGTGTACTTATCAATGAACTTCAGAGTATTTATCTTGTGGCAGTCCCAAGACTAATTCCCGCACCCTGATTAACTTGGGGAACTAATTTTAGTGGTTTGCCAGAGTATGTTTTCATTGCCTTCTTAGCAGATTCCACTTAACAGTCAAGCCCCCCTGGTCAGTTTCTCTAGAGTAACTGGGGACCCTCGGTGATCCCCTCAGAGCCCATGCACCTTCCCCTTGTCACGGCTAAACATACCAGGTTGCCACGTACCTGGGCTCTCCTAAGCATGGGTTTTGACTCCACTTCTAGTCCCTTCATTATCTGATGATTGGATTAGGCCAGTGCTATTACCTAGGGATAATGCTTTGAGAAAGTGTCATCGTTCTAAGAATCATAGAGCAAGTGTATGTGAGTGGGCTGAGACCAAGCCCGTAACTGCCATCATGGCCTTAGCTTTAATGACTGAGATGGCATAGCAGAGATTGGAAGGATGCAATATGACAAGGCCAAACCAAGGTGGAGACACCAATCAATGAGAAAGCCAACATGGCCTTGTTCTAGTAGAATGGGTCATCCGCGGCCCAGCACATAGCTGGAGGTTAGAAATTGCTTTGACAATCGGTAACTGTGGCCTTTCATTTGTAGTAGTCTTGCCCTTTGGGGGAAATGGAGAATATTAAACATTTCTGTTCTTGTTTCTGCACTTGACATCTTGGCAGAAAATTGACAAAGCTAAATGTTGGCATCTGTCACAGGATACGACAAGAAGGATCCATGTGTCGACTGATCAGGGTGACACGTGGAGCATGGCGCAGCTCCCCTCTGTGGGACAGGAGCAGTTCTACTCCATCCTGGCAGCCAACGACGACATGGTGTTCATGCATGTGGATGAGCCCGGAGGTGAGAGCCGCCTGGTGGCCCAATCGGCAGCAAGTAGCCATCTCAGCCTTGGACCTTAGTTTAAGTCACTTCCCTTCTTGTATGCTTTTTCCTCTCATCACCAGAAATGTCAGTAGCATCTCCTATTTCCACTGTCATGGAAATCTTAGCTGGCCTCTGGCATTAAGGCCCCGAGTTCCATCTCCTGCAGGGTGTGTGTCTGCTCCAGTGTGCCAAGCAGACCTGCCCTGAAAGTGGTCAGCAGCTTGGTCCTGATGTGCAGGCCCTGTCACCAGGGCGGCGCAGAAACGGAGCACGGATATTCAGAAACTCTCATAGCCATCTCACAAAGGAGGGTTAGTGTCTGTTGAGCTGAGTAATAAAAAATTGGAGGTCTGTATTTTTTAATTTTTTAAAGATGTATTTATTGCAAAGTCAGATATATAGAGAGAGGAGGAGAGACAGAAAAGATGATCTTCCATCTGATGATTCACTCCCCACGCAGCCACAGTGGCCGGAGCTGCACAGATCCGAAGCCAGGAGCCTGGAGCTTCATCCAGGTATCCCGTGCCAGTGCAGGGTCCCAAGGCTTTGGACCGTCTTAGACTCCCTTCTCAGGCCACAAGCAGGGAACTGGGTGGGAAGTTGGATGCCGGGATTAGAACTGGTGGCCATATTGATCCTGGAGCATGCAAGGTGAGGACTTTAACCACTAGGCTATTTCACCAGGCCCTAATCTTTTCTATTCCATTTTTCTTGAGCTGCAGTCAAATGCTCTACCCATGAGCTATACCTCTCTTCTATTTGATTTTTCTAATGATCAACTGTAAATGTTTATTTTTATTTATTTGAAAGGCAGAGCTACAGAGATAGAAAGATCTCTATCTGCTGGTTCATTCCCCATATGGCCACAATCGCTGAGGGTGGGTCAGGCCCAAGTCAAGAGCCTGGAATTCCATCCAGGTCTCCCATGTGAATGGGAGGGCCCTAGGGTTGAGCCATCTCACCTGATTCCCAGGCTACTGGTTGGAGAGGGTGGCCAGGATTTGACGCAGGCATTCTGGTCTGGGATTCAGGCCCACCATGTCACAGCGTGCACCCTAGTGAGTAATTATTACCATATTTTACAAAAGTGTCAGTTTGTAACATATGGTAAATAGAAAATTGATCCTTTACCCATGGATGCTTTGAGAAGCATTGTTCTGTAATCCTGACTGTCACAGCCATTTGGGGGAGTGAGCCAGTCGATGGAAGATCTCTCATCTCTTTCTCTGTTCATCACTCTGCCTTTCAAAGAAAGAAAGAAATTTTTTAAAAAGAAAAATTTGGAAATGTGTAAATTAAGAATCAATACAGCACCTCTACCACAAAAATATAGCTGTGCAGGAAGAACTTTCCTGTGGGCTCTGGCTAATTCATTCAACTAGTGTAGCAGTTCCCATGCCCTAGGCCTGAAGCTGGGTGGCAGAAATAAGGGGGACAGGAGCCCAGCACCAGCCCATGACCAGGTCCTCAGCTCTGAGTCCCCATCCTGCAGACCAACCGTTAGCTGCAGTGTTGGGTCCGTGCACTTAGGCTCTCACTTGCTCTCTGTTCCCGCCGCAACTCAGTGTTCCTGTCCTTCTGCCAATTTCAGACACTGGGTTCGGCACCATCTTTACCTCTGATGACCGGGGCATCGTGTATTCCAAGTCTTTGGACCGCCATCTCTACACCACGACAGGCGGAGAGACGGACTTCACCAATGTGACCTCCCTCCGTGGGGTCTACATGACCAGCACGCTCTCAGAAGGTGAGTCACAGCCCAAGTCCCCTTGCGGCTCCTTCCCAGGGCGCTGTTGGGAACAGAGCCTTCTGGGAAAACTGCCCCGCAGGGATGTAATTGTCCAGCCAACAGGCCTACCCATGGTACTCTTGGCTCCCTAGTTTAACCACAAATGAGCAAAGCAAGAGCAGGTAGAAAAAAGGTGTTTCAGAGTCTGTGTTAATTTTATAAAAATAAGTCTTCTGTAATGAAAGGTTTAGGCCTGTAGGAGTGAACCTGCCTTGGAACCACTTCGGCTTGTCTTGTGGAGGTCTTAGTGCTGGCCAGCCAAGCTCCATCCTGTGTGCTGCCTGTTGGCTCTATAGAGCTTACCCTTACAAGGTCCAAAAGTACAAATAAACACATCACTGTCAAGTACAAGGGCTCTGTAAGTGTTGCTCATGTGTGTGTATTTTTCTCTAGGAGCTGTTTGACTTTTCTTCTTCTTTTAAAGATTTATTTTTATTGGGAAGCATTGCAGATGGAAGGAGAGACAGAAAGAGAGATCTTTCATCTAGTGGTTCACTCTCCAAAAATCTCAGTGGCTAGAGCTGGACTAGTACAAAGCCAGGAGCCAGGAGCCAGCAGCTTCTTCTGGGTCTCCCACATGGGTGCAAGGGCCCAAGGACTTGAGTCACCTTCAGCTGCTTTCCCCAAGCTCATTAGCAAGGAGCTGGATTGGAAGTGGAGCAGCTGGGACTTGAACCAGCTCCTATATTGGATGCTGACATCTCAGGGAGAGACTTACCTACTACAACACAGTGCTGGCCCGTTGTTTTCTAAAATCCTCACAGTGGCCTGCCCAGGTCCAAGTGAGATTGGCTCCCTGCTTCCTCCCTGAGCTCCTCTCTGGCTCTTCTCTCCTTCATGCTCCACCCCAGGCACAGGAGCCCCTGCCAGTCCTAAAACATATGAGGTGCATTCGCAGACTAGACACTGGCACTGCAGTGCCCTCTGTTTCACTGGGCACCTGTGAGGCTGACAACTGCTCTGGAGTCTCTCCCACTTGTCACTCACTGAGTGAGGCCAGCCTTGCCTTGCTCTCCCTTTCCCCTATATCCACATTCTTTCTCTCTTTTATTTATTTATTTTAGTATTTATGTATTTATTTGAAAGGCAGAGTTATAAAGAGAGAGGTGAGGCAGAGAGAAGCCTTGTCCATCCACAGGTTCACTCCTCAGATGACCACCATGGCCAAATCCAGCAGCCAGGAACTCCATCCAGGCCTCCCAAGAGTAGCTGGGTCCCAAGGACTTGGACTATCTTCTGCTGCTTTCCCAGACACATTAGCAGGGAGCTGGACAAGTAGTCGAGCAGCCAGGATTTGGCCTGGCACTCACTCGGGATGCTAGCTGCACTGGCAGCACCTAAAGAGCTACACTGCAGTACCAGCCTCCACAGACACTCTCAGTGCACCTTTAAGCGCCCAGGTATTCCTCCATGGCCACTGCTGTCTAACAGGCTGGTTACAGCTAATGTATGTGTATTTCACAAAATCATGTTGATTTTGTCTGTCTTCTTCACAGTCTCAAAAAGTTTTTAATATAATTTTATTTTATTTTTAATATTGATTACATAGGTGAGGGTTGTATAATATGCATGTGGGCCTCTGACATCATGTGGGGAAGGTCAAGGTGGGCAAGATAAATGTTTAGTGTTTTTTTTCCTCCTGTGTCCATGGGGGTGGGAGTGGGAGGAGAGCACTCCTTGTTATCAAAGCACATCAGCACGTGGGGGACGGAGATGGTCATATGATGCCTTAAAGACCCCAGTGTCGAGGAGAATATTCCAAGGGTATTACTTAGTTGGATTGTTCTGAGAAGTTGTTGGCTTTTTTGTGCCAGAGGTGAGAAGATAAGTGTTTGTTGAATTTTTCTTTGCTTGCTTCTTGTTGGTTTTCCTAAGAAAACTCAAAACTTGTACCTCTAGAATCAATCCTGCAATAGTTTCTACTCTTATCATTGAAAATAGAATAGTGAAAAAGACATGTAAGAAAAGCAAAATGCCCGAGGAGGAAAGGACAGGCAAAATGAGAGAGAGAATCATTAGGAATTATTAACCCAGACTTAGACACACACGTAAAGATTTATTTATTTGATAGGGAGAGTGACAGAGATCGATCTTCCATCTACTGGTTCACTTCCCAAGTTCCTAGAACAGTTAGAGCAGGACCAGATCCCTGGAACTCCATCAGATCTCCCACATGAGTGGTGTGGGCCTGAGGACCTGGGCCATCGTCCCCTGCCTTCCCCGGTGCATTAGCAAGGAGCTGGGTCTGAAGTGGAGTAGCCTGTACTTGAACTAGCCCATATGGGACGCTGCGGTGCAAGCACTGCACCACATTGGTAGCCCCACATGTACAGCTCTTGAGTGTCTACAAAATAAGCTTGGTGCTGTAGCCTTGTCTGAGTAAGGAACAGAATGTTTTCCCATGGTAAATTTTGTTTCCAAGTCAAGCGGGGAAAGGGAATGAATATCAGTCTGTTCATGTGGTTATGGAGTTAAAAGGAATTTCTTTTCAAGAGTTCAAGTACCTTGGGGTAAGTGTTTAAGTGAGCAGTAAAGGTGCCCCTTGGGATGCTCGCATGTCTGACTGTGCGGTCTGAGTTTCTGTCCCCAGTCCACAGTATTCCTGAGAGCCAACAGTTAATAATCAAGTAGTTGGGTACCTGTGTCCCAGACCTGGATTTGGGAGACCTGGATTCGGTTCCGGCCTAGGATAGCACTGGATATCATGGGCATTTGGAGTGAACCAGTGAATGGAATACCTCTCCCATGCTAGCTCTCTTTATCTTCCCAGTAAAATGGGGGGAAATTTTAAGATTTTGTTTGTTTGTTTGGTTGGTTGGTTGTTTGAAAGAGTTACAACAAGAGATCTTCATTTGCTGGTTCACTCCCCAGATGGCCAGAATGGCAGGACTGGGCCATACTCAAGAGAGGAACTTCATGCAGCTCTCCCACATGGGTGCAGGAGCCCAAGTACTTGGGTTGTCTTTCCCTGCTCTCCCAGGCTATTAGCATAATCAAAAGGGAGGTAGTTAGAACTGGAACTGCTGCCCATATTGTGACAGAATCACTCCCCCCAAAAAATGTTTATATGTAGTTTATAATAGTATTGGGGCCAAGACAATAGCTCAAATGTCTATCCCTGTGCTTACAAGAACCAGGATCCCATATGGGCACTGACTTGTGTGCCAGCAGCTCCACTTCCCATCCAGCTCACTGCTGGTAGCCTGAGAAAGCAGCAGAGGATCACCCAAATTCCTTGGGACCCTGCAGCCACATGGGAGACCCAGTAGAAGCTCTTAGCTGCTGGCTTTGGATCAGCTCAGCTCTGGCTATTATGGCCGCTTGGGGAGTGAACCAACAGATGGAAGAACTTTCTATTTCTCTGTAAATCTGCCTTTCCAATAAAAATAAACTTAAAAAGAAAACCTGTATCAGTCTCAGATGATTTCTGGAATTAGTTAGGTCCTGTTCAGATAGGAAACTTTCTTAAAACACTGTGTTTAGTCTCCTGTTGCAGTTGCTCAGCAGCACTGAGCCATTTTGTACGGGGCTGTAATCTTACATGATATGTGGTCTAAACTAGGAGGGAATCACATCATGATAAAGTGAGTTTCATTCTGAATGCCTCCAGTGTACCAGGCTTAATTGTGTTCTTTTCCCACTCAGATAATTCTATCCAGACTATGATCACTTTTGACCAAGGAGGCAGGTGGCAGCGCCTGAGGAAGCCTGAGAACAGTGAATGCGATGCAACAGCGAAAAACAGGCATGAGGTTCGTTCACCCACTTCCTACGTGTGCTTGGAGCAGAGCCGCCGCTCTGCGCTGCCGTGATGGGTCAGGCTTCTGCATACCCAAGTTTTATACTGGATCGTTGGAAAGGCAGATTGATAAAATGATCTTCCTTTCACTGATTTACTCCTCAGTGGCCACAGCAGCTGGACCTGAGGCAATCCGAAGCTAGGAGCCAGGAGCTCTTTCGGATCTCCCTCATAGGTGCAGGATCCCAAGGTTCGGGACCATACTGTATTTTCTCAGTCCACAAACAGAGCTGGAAGGGAAGTGGAGCAACCGGACATAAACCAGTGCCCATATTGGATCCTGGTGCTTCAAGTGGAGGATTAGCCAGTCGAACCATCGCACCGGACCCAGGTTTTATACTTGATCACTGATGTTTTAGTTTGGAACTGAGAAAAGTGAAAATATGTTAAAACTTGGAAAATGGAAGCTATGAGCAGAGGTCAAAGTAGTATGAATTATTTGTCTTTTTTTTTTTTTAAGATTATCGATTTGAAAGGCAAAGTGAGAGAGAACAGACAGAGCTCTTCCTCCTCCTGGTTCACTCCGCAGTGACCACAGGAGCCAGGTCTAGGCCAAAGTGAGGAGCCAGGATCTCTACACAGATCTTCCACATGAGCGGCAAGGGGCTGAGTTCTTGGGCCATCTCCTGCTACTTTCTAGGCGCAGTACCTAGTTGGATGGAAAATACAGCAGCTGGGATTCCCACCAGTATGCCATTAGGGGAGGCTGTGGATGCAGCTAGTTTAATCTACAGTGCCAGCTCCCAGGATTGTCTCTTTTTTTTTAAGATTTATTTATTTTTATTGGAAAGTCAGACATACAGAGAGAACAAGAGACAGAAAAGATCTTCCATCCATTGATTCACTCTCCACGTGACCACTATGGCTGTAGCTATGCCAATCCAAAGCCAGGAGCCTGGAGCTTTTTCCGGGTTTCCCATCCAGGGGTCTCGGTCCAAGGCTTTGGGCCATCCTTGGCTGCTTTCCCAGGCCACAAGCAGGGAGCTGGATGGCAAGCAGGGCTGCCAGGATTAGAATCAGAGCCCATATAGGATCCCGGTACATGCAAGGCAAGGACTTTAACCACTAGGCTACTGCGCCAGGCCCAGATTGTTTTTCTTTTTTTAAAAAAAAAACAAAAGTGAGAGGTAAAAATTTGTGTTTTACTAAAATGTGAAATGAAAACAGAAAGGACAGGTGGGTTACTCATTCGTTAGGGGTCAGTATGGCAGGCAAGAAAAATAGAAATCCTGCAAGAAGCCGGAGACCAGCTTTGCATGAACAGTGCCAAGCTGTGCTGGTGAGCATGCATGGAAGAGCATCAGGCTGCCTGTTCTCTGGGCTCACCTAGTCAGGGCTGGGGGATATCTAGATAGCACCTCGGTAAACAGGAGTAGGGACAGCTGGGAAACTGGAAATTTAAAGATGTGGGGTTGGCATCGTGGCACAGTGCGTTACGCTACTACCTGGAACACCAGCATAGCAGTTCCAGTCCTGGCTGTTCTATGTTCTCTCCAGTTCCTGTCAATTTGCCTTGGAAAGCCGCAGAAAATGGTCCCTAAACTTGGGCCTCTGCCACCCTCATGGGATACCTGGATGGAGTTCTGGACTCTTGGCTTCCGCTTTGGCAAGCCCTGGCATTTGTGGCCATTTGAGGATTCAACCAGCGAATGAAGATTGATTTCATTGTCTGTCACTCTGCCTATCAAATAAATATGTCTCTTTAAAATATATATATAGTTATTTTTGTTGTAAAGGCAGATTTATGGAGAGGAGAAACAGAAAGATCTTTCATCCACTGGTTCACTCCCCAAGTGGCTGCAATGACTGGAGCTGAGCCGATCTGAAGCCAGGAGCCTCCCTTGGGCCTCCCACCTAGGTGCAGGGTCCCAAGGTTTTAGGCTATCCTCAACTGCTTTTCCAGGCCACAAACAGGGAGCTGGATGGGAAGTGGAGCAGCTGGGACACGAACCAGCACCCATATGGGATCCAGCACTTGGAGGTGAAGTATTAGCTAGTTGAGCTATCATGTTCAATCCAATAAATAAATCTTTAAAAAAAAATTTTTTTTTAAATGCAAAGGTACTCTCACCAGAAGACATCAGATTTCAGGAGTGGCAGGCAAAATAAGAAAGAGAGAGAGGTGGGAGGAGGGGAAGGAGGAAAAAGAAAGTCTTACATTCTAAACTTTTCAGAATTTGAGAGGTGTGGGGTTACCCTGAGATGTATCATCAGGAATGACCATGCTGGTGGCTCCTGAGCTCCCCTGAGCATCCTGTGGCTGGTGGGTGCCCTGCTCTTCTTGTCAGGGTTTCTGTCTTATTTCAAGAGCCTCCATGGGTGTTAAAAAGCGCCTCTCTGTTGCACACCACACTCCACCTTCTCCACACTCATATTCCTCCTTCCCATCCGCCTACCCTGGCCTTGCACTCACCTGCTCTCCTCGCATGGAGCCCCGGGCAGGCACAGGGGAGGCCTCCACCTCGCCCTTGCCAGCTTCTTGGGTGGACCCCTGCCAGTGAGTGAAGGCTGTGCCTCTGGCGGGTGAAAGGTCCCTCCTGGCAGGCTCACTTCTGCCTTCCCTTGCCACTGCCCCTCTTACCATGGACACACCCCCTGTTGCCACCCTCTGCCAGCCCTCAGCACCCCACCATTGCTCCACATCCACATCCTTTCTAGGGGAAGTCAGACTTGCGTTCCTCAACTTTGATTACCAGGATTAAGGAAATCCTGATCACCCTCAGGGCCTGCCAGTTACACTAATTGTCCCCCTCTGTTTTATTAGTAGCTAGCTTGAACCTCATTGTTTGTTTGTTTGTTTGTTTATATGTTGTAGGGCTTAGCATAATAGACTAGTGGCTAAGTCCTTGCCTTGCAAGGGCCAGGATTCATATGGATGCCAGTTCATGTCCCAGCTACTCTACTTTCCTTCTTTCTGGCTTCGGATTGGCTCAGCTCCAGCCATTGTGGCCATCTGGGGAGTGAACCAGCCAGCAGATAGAGGATCTTTCTATTTCTCCCTCTCTCTGTAAATATGCCTTTCCAAAAAAAAAAAAAATAGGTAAATCTTTTTTTTTTAAAGATTTATTTTTATTATTTTTTTATTGGAAAGGCGGATATACACAGAGGAGAGACAGAGAGGAAGATCTTCCGTCCGATGATTCACTCCCCAAGTGAGCACAATGGTCGATGCTATGCCGATCCGAAGCCAGGAGCCTCTTCCGGGTCTCCCACGCGGGTGCAGGGTCCCAAAGCTTTGGGCTGTCCTCGACTGCTTTCCCAGGCCACAGGCAGGGAGCTGGATGGGAAGCGGGGCTGCCAGGATAGAACTGGCGCCCATATGGGATCCCGGGTGTGCAAGGCGAGAACCTTAACCACTTGCGCCACAGCGCCGGGCCCAGTAAATCTTTTTTTTAATGTGGTAAAACATATATTTACTATCATAGCCATTTTTGACATCTTTTAAAAAATGCATTATTGTTCATTTGAAAGACAAAACTCCCACCGGCTAGTTCACTCTAGTGACTGGGGACAGGCTAGTAGGCCGAAAGTCAGCAGGTCTTCCTGTGGGCGTCAGGGATCCAACTGCCAAGCTGTCTACCTATTGTCTCCCAGGAAACAGGATAGGAAGCAGAGCTGGGATGCCGCCCCAGCACCTCTGATGCAGAGTGCAGGTGTCCAGGCAGCATCTTCCCCGGCAGGCCAAACACCCACCCTCTCAGAAAGCCCTTTCCTTCTGCTCTATACCCTGACGAGTTTTTCACATCTGCTTCTTTTTCCCCCTTAACATTATTGAGATATAGCTGACAAAGAACTGTGTGTACTTGCAGTGCACAATGTATTGCTTATGTGTATATTGCGAGATGGTGACCACATTCAAGGTCATTGGCATGTCCCATGGAGCTGCTGGCATTTGGCCTGGCAGTTAAGAAGAGGCCCATATCCCTCAGGGAGTGCCTGGATTCCCAGCCCAAGCCCCTGATGCTAGTTTCCCACCTATGCAGTCTCTGGGAGGAAGTGACAATAGGGCAAGTGACTGGATTCTGGCCACCACACCGGAGACCTGGATTGTGTTTCTAACCCCTGACTTTGACCCTGACCATTGTGGACATTTGAGGGCTCTCTCTAACTTCGTGCCTGCAAAGTAAATAAGCATTTTCATCGCTTCACTGTTACTTTTTTTAATGGCTCCATCTTTCCAGAACATTTCAAGTGTGTGACACAGCATCGTGCACATATGCTGTGCATTGCTCTCCAGAACCTATTGTCCTGTGTACCTTTCCTCAACACCTCCCCCCACCCTTCACCCCTGTCCCACCATCCCACAGCCCTGGCAGCCCCTATGTTGCGTTACTTCAACTTTCTCATATGATATTTGTCTCCCTGCTTCTTTAGCATGCACACTGAGTGTCCTCTAGCTTCAACTTTGCTGTAGAAAAAGCAGGATCTTCTTTGGAAGGCTGCATACTATTCCACTGTGTACATATCCCACATTTTCTTTATCCACTCACCCATCATGGGACACTTAGAGCTGAGTCTGTCCTGGTGGTGAGCAGCACTGCGGTGATAAGAGGGGCTGCAGTTATCTCTGATATGTCGATTCTTACATTCACAGTAGGTAAATTTTTGGTAGTTCTATGTTTATCTTCTTTTTTTGAGGCAACCCCATGCTATTTTGCATGATTGTGCCTATATTCCCGCTTATCCTCACCAGCACTCATTATCTTTTGTCTTTTTGACAATGACCACTCTACCAGGTAGGGGGCAATATTTCTTTGTTGTTTTGATTTGCATTGATGAGTACCACTATTGAGCATTTTTATTTACCTGTCAGCCATGTGTATGTCTTCAAGTTTTCTTTGAGAATGCTCAGTGAGATGAGTGAAGAAATTGTACCTTTGATTTTAATCTAAGCTTTGGTTTCTTTTCACAGTGCAGCCTCCATATCCATGCTTCCTACAGCATCTCCCAGAAACTAAACGTGCCCATGGCCCCACTCTCAGAGCCTAATGCCGTAGGCATAGTCATCGCCCACGGTAAGGGGTCCTTCTGCCCCATGGAAGCAGCTGAGCATGCCCTTGAGTCCTTTAAGAAAAGCCACCACGATGGCTTTTGCATCTTTCCTTCAACAGAAGTGTGGTTGTTGGAACAACACTGGGGGTTTTTTGGTAGGCTCCCGTCAGAGTGGGCAGTGGAAGTTCTCCCTTGCCCAAGTTTTCCATGTCCTTCAAGAAGCTTGATGGGAAGCAATCCTAGTGACCTCATTCCAAGTTATCCTCACACCAGCAATCCTGTCTGTCACATTGTGCTGATGGGATGGTGCGTTATGTTGCAGGTAGTGTGGGGGATGCCATCTCGGTGATGGTCCCAGATGTGTACATCTCAGATGATGGGGGTTACTCCTGGACCAAGATGCTGGATGGACCGCACTACTACACCATCCTGGACTCTGGAGGCATCATTGTGGCCATTGAGCACAGCAGCCACCCTATCGATGTGATTAAGTATGCATGAGCTCAGCTCCACACACACTCTCAGCAGAGGGCAGTTGTGGGAGCCTTTCTGCAGTTAACTTAGAGAAGTTACTCACCTGATTGGCATTTCTGCAATTTACATTCCTGGATGGGAAGTTCTAGAAGGGGTGGCATTTAGAACACTGCTTTCTCCTCTGACTCCCTCTGGCTAACACATTTTATCACCTTTTAAAAATATGCTTTCTTACCTCCCCCACTCCCAGATATTATGCAGGTATTAAGAACTTGGTTATATGTGACTACTTGAGTGTATAAGTTCTTAAAAAGTATTTTACTGATATAGAAACCTATTCTTACCTGGGTCACTACACTTTCCTCTTTCTTTGAAATAATTTTTATAAAATTATTTGCTGTCTTTGAACGAATCCCCTTTCCCTGCCCTGTTAACTCTAGACACTAAATCAAAATGGTCGTAAGCCCTTCCCTCGCCATGAGATTTGTCTGTAGTCTGGGGCCCGACAGCCAGAGCAGTTGCCTGCTGTTCATTATACTTAGTGATTGTCCATCATGGTCTTTCTCTGATTATGCCTTTAGGTTCTCTACAGATGAAGGACAGTGCTGGCAATCCTACACATTCACCAAGGAACCCATCTATTTCACTGGCCTGGCTTCAGAACCTGGGGCCAGGTCCATGAATATCAGCATTTGGGGTTTCACAGAGTCTTTCCTGACCCGCCAGTGGGTCTCCTACACCATCAATTTTAAAGACATCCTGGAAAGGAACTGTGAGTATCTCCTTTAACCTTTTGCAACAGGAACTTGTAAGCCTCTCTCTTTCTATATGCTATTCATTTCATTTAGCCGGAATAGGCAAATTCATACACTAGGGGCCGAAAGGTAAATCAAGCAATGGAATGAACTGAAAAGGCAGCTTCCTTTTGGGGACTAACACTGTCCAAGAGAAATGTGAGGACCAATAGGCAATTTAAATTGTGCTGTCAGCTGCACCACAAAAGTGAGAAGAATGGTGAAATATTTATATAGATAAAATGTTATGGTTTCAAAACAGTATTAAAACTTGTTAGACATTTTTTATTTTTTTCTTCTAAGTATTGAAAATCTGGTATGTATTTCATATAGCAAACTTTACTTCATTCCAGAACAGCCACATGGGGCTAGGCTACCACATAGCACAGAGGAGCTTGGCACTATTAGTACCCTCCCTGTACATTCTATGAAGCTTTTATCCTACTTATAAGAACAGCACATGAGTGTTTATCTAACATGATTTTGTAGCATTCCAGGGTTTTTCCCTCCTGATTAGGGAAGTGTAGCGGGACTGTGAGGATAAATAAAGGATACAGCAAAAGAGCATCCAAGCATGTCACTTCTCGAAGTGCTTTTGTGAGGACATTTTCCTGCCATTTTGGCTGGATGTCAGTTGTGGCTCTCACGTGGCCACTGGGTGGACAGGAAGCCCACACTTCACAGTTCTTTGACGTTCAACAAGAAGACATGTTAAAGGACCAGAAAAGTGGCCTCAGCCAGGGACCTCAGTGTCCACTGCGCAACGTCCCCCTTGTGTCAGGCAGACCTGGACCAGAGGCAACAATGTCAACATTACACAGAGAAGTAGAAAGGCCAACAGAAAACCGAGAGAAAAGGCAGCCTGTAGTCCCCTGCTGGCATAATACAACCAAGGACTTGAAGTCGGGAGGTTGCAGTTGCACTGTGGTCCTGGCTGTTAGACTGCTGTGGAGCCATTCCTGTGGAAACAGAGCTCTTGGTCTGGGCCCTGATTAAATATGACTTAATTCCCAAGGGTCATTATTATTCTAAATTCACTCAATAGGTTAACAAGGAACCAACTTATGAGTCTTCCCCTTGGAGGGCAGTTCAGTAGTCATCCCTGAAGTTTAACATCGTTAAGAGATTTGTTAAACACCTGTTCTTTAGACGGGCTCTGTGCTGGTCTTCATATCCGGAAGGATAAAAACCTAGTCCACAGTCTTTAGGTCACAGCCTTTGAGTGCTGTTTCCAGGTGTACTAAGCCAGGAACTCTTGCCATCAGCAGTCTGCTCTGGAGGGGCGGTTGGGTAGTGAGGAGTCTCTTAAAAGGCCATGTTCCCTCAGTTTGAAGCAGACTAACCTGCCATGACATTGAAGCTGTGCTCAGAGCTCATTAGTATCCTGACCCAAAAAGCCCCATGAGGCCAAAGGAAAGCTCATGGCTGTCGACCAAGGACAGAAACCCAGCAAGGTGTGAAGCCACCCCCCTCAGCCAGGGAGGACTCCAGAAGTGCCCTACCCAGAACCCCTGCCCAGAACAAGCAAGATCTCTGCCACTCCTGGAACCCAGCCATAACCAGGACAAAGGGGCCACCTGCTGGCGTGAGGGGCTGCCATTGCTAGCTGACTGGTTGACTCAGACGCACACCTGTGTGCAGGTCCAGTGTGAAGCAGGCAGCTGAGCAGACGTTCCCTCTCTCCCGATCCTTGTCTTCCTGCAGCCTGGCAGCTGCTCCGGGGGTGGGTTCTGGGCACACAGTTTCTTGAGTGGTCCGTCTGTCCTTCAGGTGAAGAAAAAGACTACACCATCTGGCTAGCGCACTCCACAGACCCTGGAGACCACGAAGACGGCTGCATCTTGGGCTATAAAGAGCAGTACCTCCGGCTGCGCAAGTCTTCCGTCTGCCAGAATGGTCGAGACTATGTTGTCACCAAGCAGCCGTCCATCTGTCCCTGTTCCCTGGAGGACTTCCTCTGGTACCTGCCTCTCTCGGATCCCTCTGTCAGCCCCTTTCCTATGGTGGGCGGATGGAAGAGTTGTTTTCGGGCTAAAACATTTGGAAGTATTTTCCCCAAGAGTGGAGAACTTGCTGCCTTTGATAAAGGAAATTGAGGCACAGAGACTGGGGGAGCAGGGTTGGTAATTATTGTACAGCCAGTCATATTGTACAGGAAATTATGGGGAGCAGAACCAGCAACAACCTACAGAAATACTGGCTTGGGAACTACAGGAAGGAGCTATAAATGAAGTGCTATAAATGAAGTAAGGTAAACCAAAGCATCTCCAGCAGACAGCAGAACACATACCCAGGAAAGTGGTACAGGAGCCGCTGGGGTGGTGGCAGGGGCAGCCTGCCAGCTGTGTTTGAGGAGGCAGACCACTCAAGTCTACATCCTCCGCAGGTCTGAGGGCAGAGAGTGGTGCTTTGGTCCTGAGACTAGAGGCGGCATCCGTGTAGTCCCAGCCCACATGTCCCATTGAGGTTTGGGGACATCAGGCCAGAGCCCCCAGAAATCAGAATCATCAGGCTCAAGAATTAGTTACTTGACTGGCAAAGGGTTTGTCAGTTTCATAAAAGCAAGAGATTTCCTGTATAGGGCAAAGAAGAGGAACCGCTTCACATCACATACCATAATCCTATGAACCTTGCTACCTGCAGAAGATCCAAGCAGGATCCTGAGGACTAGCACAGGGAGGCAGGAAGAGAGCAGGCATACTCTGTCTCCATTTTATAAAGATGTACTTAATTTATTTGAATTACAGAGAGAGAGATGGATCTTCCATACACTGGTTCACTCTACAGTCTGTAAACATCAGGACTGAACCAGACTGAAGCCTGGAGCTTCCTATGGGTCCCCCACTTGGGTACAGGGAGCCCCAACACTAGGTACACCTTCCTCTGCTTTTCCCAGGTGCATCAGCAGAGAATTGGTTCGGGAGGGGAGCAGCCAGATAGGAGCTGGTGCCCACATGGGATGCCAGCATCACAGGCTGCAGCTTTATCAGCTGTGCTACAATGCTGGCCGTGTCCTCCCTTTTTGTACCCTCCTAAAACACAGGTGGCAGCAGGATCCATGTGTGGGTGAGCCTCAGGTCTCATCTGGAATGCTTCTTCCTGCATGGCTCATATCTGAATGTAGGCCAGTCAAGTGGCCTCTGGTCCCTGTTTCTCTCTGGGTTATGTGGCCAGGCTCAAGGCTGTTAATGACTCTGTGAAACGGAAGGCTATGCTCTTCACCTGCGCCTCCACCACTCTGCAGATCCTCCACTCTCCTTCAGTGCTCTGTGCTGCTGCAGGGGATGCTTCCTCTGCCTGCAGCATCTTCCCACATGTCCCACAGTCCCCCACCCCCGGGGAACTCCTACACAAGCATCACCATGGCAAACCTCCTCTGGCTTTCCCTCATCCAGACCTCCCCACTACTGTCCCTCCTACAGCACCTCTTCATTGTGCTGTATGATTGTTCACAGGCTTAGCTCCACTATTAAGCCCCAGCCTCCTTGGGAGTACATTATGCTCACAGTTAATAATATAATGGCAGTGGGAGCAACCAGCATTCACCAAGCACTGGCTCTGCAGACTCGGTGCTTTCCTAAGCAATTTATGCTTAACCCAGCGACAGAAGAGGTTCTAACCAGCATGCCTGCATGAAGTGGCAGAGTAGGGGTATGCAGCTGGTATTTCTACTCCACTAGCAACTCCAGCATCCCATATGGGTACTGGTTTGAGCCCAGGTTGCTCCACTTGTGAACCAGCTCCCTGCTAATGCACAGGAAAGCAGCAAAGAAGGCTCAGGTGCTTCGGCCCCAGCACTCATGTAGAGACCTTAAAGAAGCTCCAGACTCCTGAATTTGGCTTGGCCCAGCCAGCCTAGCCATTTGGCTGTCTCTCTCTCTCTTTCTCACCTCTCTATGTAGTTCTGCCTTTCAAACAAATAACAAATATTTTTTTTTATTGGAAAGGCAGATATACAGAGAGGAGGAGAGACACAAAGGAAGATCTTTTGTCTGTTGATTCATTCCCCAAGTGACAGCAATGGCCGGAGTCGAGCAGATCCAAAGCCAGGAGCCAGGAGCTTCTTCTTGGTCTTCCACACGGGTGCAGGGTTCCAAAGCTTTGGGCCATCCTTGACTGCTTTCCCAGGCCACAAGCAGGGGGCTGGATGGGAAGTGGAGCTGTTGGGATTAGAACTGGCATCCATATGGGATCCCAGCTCATTCAAGGCGAGGACTTTAGCCGCTACACTATCATGCCTGGCCCTAGCAAATCAGTCTTAAAAGAAAACACAACTAGGATAATAAGACACTGGACTTTATACTTGGTAAATACTTCCAATGAAAGAACCTCAACTGAATTTGAACTGTGGTATCGCAGCAAGGTGGAGAAATCCACCATGGGGAGAGGGTTTGGGGAGGGGTGGGGGGAATCCCAGTACCCATAACACTGTGTCACATAATGCAATGCAATTAATAAAAAAAAAAGAAAAAGAAAACGCAAACTCAAAACCTCCCCCAAATATTTGCTGAGTCTGTGCTGTGCACAGGTAATGCAAAGCAACAGTGACAAATCTGTTAGATTACTGGTGAGGTGTTTGTAATTATGATTTGAAACAGCAAGTGGTAGATGACATGGGGGTTTAGAGGAGGGAGATACTATTCCATATAGACAAAGTAGACATCATTGAGGAGGTGACATTTGACCATGCATACCTAGGAAGAAGGTCAACAGATTGCTGTGAGCATGAACCAGTAAGGAAGGGCAATGGGGGAGAGTAGGTGTCACAGCTATCCTGATAAAGGGCTAAGGAGAGGGCCAGTGTGACACTGCAGATTAAGCCACTGTCTGCAATACCAGCATCCCATATTGGAGTGCCAGTTTGAATCCCAACTACTCCATTTCCAATGCAGTTCCCTGCTATTGTATCTAGGAAGGCAGAAGATGGCCTAAGTGTGTGGCCCCTGCCACTCACATAGGAGACCAGAGTTGTATTGCTGGCTGTTGCAGGCATGTGAGAATGAGCCAGCAGATGGACAACATCCATCTCCGGCTTTCCTTCTCTAGCATTCTGCTTTTTCAGGGAGTAAGAAGAACCCAGATGGAGGGTGACTAGGCTGAATTTCCATTCAGATGGTAGAAAGGAAGATAATGTCCTAAAAAACAAGGAAGGGCTGGTGCAGAGGAAAAAGCCTGATGTGTTTGAACAGTTCATTCCTTTGCAGTCCTGTCAGCATATATTGGTGGTGATAACTAGCAGAGAATTAGAAACGTAGGATTTGAGCTCAGTAGAGAAGTAAAACCTGAATGTTCTGGTGTAACCAGAAATAGCTGTGGTCATTAAGGAAGATAAGATAGAAAACATCAGAAAATAGGTTCTAGAACTCAGAAGGACATTTGTATTCATTACTTAGAAAAAGAAAGAGTAGGCAGCAGACAAGAACACAGACAGGTGTGGCTGTGCCAGTGCTGGGTGGGGGGCACCATAGTGGTCAGATGCCCCGAAACAGGTGGTCTGGGTGGATGAGTTGAGCGATGGTTTGTGAGCTCTCTGGGTCTTGGGCATTGCAGTTTCACAGAGAGTTGAAGCCCAGAAGCATGAAATAAATGTGGCTAGTAAGGGAAAGGGGGCGTAAGGGAGTAACTTCTAGAGTGAGACATACACTCTAGAAATTCCTCCCACCGAGTGGGAAAGATGGCCTTTGCCCCCTCAGGCTCTCCGTGCCATACAAGCCAGGACGCCAGAAGAATAGAGCCCAGGATGAGTAGGTAGAGAGGCAGCCTTGGCACAAAGGCCGGGAAGGGAAAGCAAATGTGTGACATCATGGGCAGATGGAATGGAAAAGGGTGTTCACATGGGAGGTAAGGGCCAGCCAAGACGCTAAGGGAGAAGGGGGGTTGTGTCGGCACAGACCTCAGGCGCAACCAACAATGGTATCTGGAGGTAAAGAAATTGATGTGAGTCTGAGCACCTTACTTTTCACCCTGGGCTTTTGCTCCTCTCAGATAAGAGTTCTAAATAAAGGCATGATAATGCGCACAAGTAGGAGCAGAATTTATTTTTAAGTGAGAGAGAAAACACAGATTCACATGTGAGTGGGGGCTGCCCCACATGGAAAAAAATGGCTTGAGTAGACCAGAGGACTATCCATGGAAAAGAGAGTAATATCCAATACCCCAAGCATGGTCTGTGGTGGAAAGAGACCTCTTCCCCATTCTTATCCCCTTTGATGAGGTAGGAGGTGGTACCTTAATTGGATAAACAAGTGGGATGGAGTCTGAGCATGCACCTTGGTCCCTGGATGAGACAGGTGCATCTGGAAAGGTAGGCATACAAGCTGACAGTGAAAGAGATAAGGTTGTGTTGTAGGGTTACAAGAATTTCAGCTTACCTAAACTTTATAAGCTGCCTAATTATACCATGTGAAAATGAACTGCTGTGACTGGTGGTATGGCACAGCAAGTTAAGTTGCCATTTGCAACACAGGCATCCCCTATCAGGGTATTGATGTGGGTCCTGACTGCTCTACTGCAGATCCAACTCCCTGCTAATGTGCGTGGGAATTGAGAGGGCAGAAGGTACGTCCCTGATATACACACAGGAAATCAGATGGAGGTCTGCTCCAGTCTGGGTCCTTTGTGACGGTTTGGGAAGCAAATCAATGGCTTCTCTCTGCTGTTTATGTCCCTGTTTCTATGGCTTTGCCTTTCTCTTCACTGAGTAAGCCCCTGCCTCATTGGAGGCTGCTGCCAGCTCCTTCCTGTGCCTGCTCTGCCAGGCTCCCAGCCTTGGGGCTCCGCCTAGTGCTGAGTCTGCTAGGCCTGTTCCATAAGCTCTGTGATCCCTCTAAAGCTCTGACCATGTCTACTTCTTAAGGGGACCTCCCTCAGGGATGTCACAGTTCTTCCTAAGCTGTTCTCTCACACCCCAAACCTGGAATCTTAACCTACCATTGCCCCACATGGGAGGGACCCTCAAGTCTACCAACTCATGGTGTCACAGCAACTTTGAATGGTGCCTTTCTTTGCTGACTCACAGTGATTTTGGCTACTTCCGCCCAGAAAATGACTCCAAGTGTGTGGAACAGCCAGAACTGAAGGGCCATGACCTCGAGTTTTGTCTGTATGGGAGAGAAGAGCACCTGACAACAAACGGGTAAGATGGCTTTCTCTTCGCTCCTCACCACAGACTGCCTTCACCTGAAATGGAAGCTGCTTCTCTCCACACCAAGAGGCAGCAGCATTGTGGATGCTGGAAAGCACTGTTTGTCTCATAGAATTTTCTGTGATGATGGCTGTGTGCTGTTAACTCCTGTGTCCAGTGTGGTGGCTGTTAGCCACATGGGCCATTGACACTGGCACGGTTGAGGAACTGAGTGTTTCTGTTACGCCATTTGAGGAGCCACCCATAAGGGGACAGGGCAGTTCCAGAGGGACCTTGTCTCCCTGAAGCTCTCAAATCCTCTCCTTGCCCATTTCTGTACCACTTAGTAGTGAGCATTCCCTGGGACATAGTTATTTGTCACAGTCCCTCAAGGTGGAAAGGACAGGCATGTCACCAACAGTAGGAGAGAGAGGTGCCTAAGTCTTCCTAAAGCTGGAGTCACAGAAAATAGCCCCAGGAACATCCCTGTGACCGTCCCATCCCCCTCCCCAACCTTCCCTGCAGCCTTTTGAATCTCAGCAAGTACAGGAAATAGAGGAGAGCCCCACAGTGCATCTTTGCATTCTGTTAACGAGTTCTCTCTGCCTTTTAGGTATAGGAAAATTCCAGGAGACAGATGCCAAGGTGGGGTGAATCCAGCTAGAGAAGTGAAAGACTTGAAAAAGAAATGCACAAGCAACTTTCTGAGTCCAGAAAAACAGGTATGTTATATGAAACCCACCTTTTGGGTGCAGGTAGGATTTGTGTTCTGCCTAGAATCCAAGTTACAGCCTCAAGAATCCCTTCACTGACACCAAGTGGCCAAGCTTCCCTGTGTACACAAAACTGTGAGGATGGAGGCGGGGTCAGGAAACCCAGTGCCAAGTTAGCTCATGCTTCTGAAAAGCCTTTTTGTGCTAGGGAAGTCACGGTGTTCTGTAACACTATAAAAGCAGAGTTGTAGAAATGCCTGAAGCTGAGAGACATCTTGGGCAAAGCCTCAGGAAGGTCTGCTGTAGGGAGCCGGGCTTGGAGTATCACACGTGTGGGAGAGAAAAGCCCCAGACGATGGACCGCATGAATGCCCAGGCTAGGTCACAGTGAAAGACAGCTATGATAATAATGGGCTGGTGGCAGATCTGCAGCACTGAGCTGTCTGGCTGAGATCTGGAGAAACAGTGAAGAGGGACTGTCCCGAAAGAGCCACCACCTGACCAGCAGCGTGATCGCCACAATGTCTGTGGGCCCTGCCTCCTGAACAGTGACACCATTGGCGGAGCTGTACAGTGACCGCAGAGGGACCGACAAAGGGTGGGGGCTAGGAAGGCAAGGGGAGAAGTGTGTAGGTGTGTGTATTTGTTAAGGGGCCAGTTCCTCCTGGGCTGCACCCTGCCTGGACTCCTGGTGGCAGTTCTCAGAGTGTTTGTGTGTGTGATTGCACAGGACTCTGGCCCACAGGGACACAGCTTGTCCCAGAATCCAGCTCCGCCTCCTCTTGGATACACTGAAAACACACACTTCCTATCTCCCACCCAGAAGCAGGTAGGTCACACACAAACAATGATATAAGGCTCCTTTGTAAAAACATACCAAAAAATAAATCTCAGTGTCCCATAGTAGGCTGCCTGCTGTAGCGTTGCCACAGCTCCTTCCCAGATGATGGCCATGCTCTGGCTCCATTCAGCCCACTATTAACATAGCCTCCCTTTCCAAGACTCACAGCGAAGGTAGCGTGGAACACATGCGACGGCCGCGTCTGATCTAGGCTGTTGCCAAGGCTTCCATTGCGGTCACTGAGAGTGCCGCTTCACGGCAAGTGGAGCTCACATTTACCGTCTGCCAGCTGTGATGTTCTCCTCTTCCCCTGAGATGGCTCGTCTTGGTGTCTGTAGTCACCCACAGAGAAGTGAGGGAATGAGCTGCCACTCGGAATGGAGCCCTAGAATGTGCATGCCTACAAGCTTTTGTCTTTGTGTTTTAATTATCAAGAATTCCAAGTCAAATTCTGTTCCAATTATCCTGGCCATCGTGGGATTGATGCTGGTCACAGTGGTGGCAGGAGTGCTGATTGTGAAGAAGTACGTCTGTGGAGGAAGGTAAGAAACCTGGAGGTCAGCCGGAGGTACTGCGTTCAAGCCAGAGAGGCAGCCTTCAGCAGGAACTGAGTGTCTGTGATATTCTAGAAAAATCCAGCCCAGGATTTCTCATATCTTACATTTTCCATATGTCAGCCATAAACTGGGCTTCTGTGGATGTCACTCATTTCATGAGTGTATGCAACTGGAAAAATCCAGAAAACAGGTGTCAGTTCAGCAGTTAAAATGCCCATGTCCCACACCGGAATGCCTGGGTTTGATGCCCAGCTCCAGCTCCTCACTCCTGCTTCCTCACCATGCGCACCACCCCAGAAGGCAAATGTGACAGCTTGAGGACTTGGATTCTGACTTCCCGCCCTCTCAAGAGACTGAGCCACATTTCCAATGGGAGAGTTTTTTCAGTGCAAAAAGCAAAATCTAGGATCCTAGGAGGCACATAGCCCTCCTAAGCACATGGGCATGAGTGGGCATTTCCACCTGCAGGTTCCTGGTCCATCGATATTCTGTGCTGCAACAGCATGCAGAGGCCAACGGCGTGGATGGGGTGGACACCTTGGACACAGCCCCACATGCTCACAAAAGTGGCTATCATGATGACTCAGATGAGGTGAGACTGTTTCTTCTTGAGGAGTAGTCCCCAAAAAGCAATCTCCTACTCGTGGTCAAGGTGTGGTTGGGGCAGAGGGTGTTGTTAAGCCAAAAGCACCTAATGGATGGTCACAAGAGTTAGTAAGCCCATAGCTGGGACTTTTTCACTTGTCAGTAATGCAGTGTGTGTCTTGTTTTTCAGGACCTGCTGGAATAGCTCCTTCAAGGAAGCTGGAGCTGAGTGTGAATGATGGAACCGCGGTACCTCCTACACCCCCATGGCTCCAGCTCGGGGGAATAAAGTTCCCATTGCGAGAGACCCAGCTCTGTTTTTGCTGCTTCCATGAAAGCCAAAAGGACTGACACTAAAGACACGCCGGGTGGGGGTGGGGAACCGCACTTATGATTGGCTCCAAAAAGAAGGGAAACCATTTAAATTCTTCTAACTTTTCACCTCAAGTTCTATTTTTTTGTAAAGTATGGGCTTTGGTTTTGTTTTCTTGTCTTAAGGATAATGAAATGGAATTGGAAAGGGACCGACCAACCCCCGTCTTGTGTATTCTGCGTGACACCTACCCCAGGGCATCTGCCAACTCTGACATCAACTCTCATGATTGGTGCTGACAAAGGCTCTGCTGGTGACACGAAGCAGTGGCTGCTGTGACAACTGGGGACTGTGGTGCCTAGCCCTGGGGTCAGCCCTGCTCCTGGAGCATGGCCCACCAGCCCCTCACACAGTTCCCCGCTGCAGCTTTCTCTTCCACAGAGACCACAGGCCACCGTGATTTTTCCTTTCCCCTGTTTAATTAGGCAATACCCTTGTTAATTGCCCTTTGGCAACTAACTTAACCATGTGCTTCCAAGACACTAAATCAGGAAAATGTTAACAGGGCAATATTTTTAACTTGGGGCAGGAAGAAGGGAGCAGCCGAGAACTGACTAGATTTAGCACCTATTAAAGGAGAAACTCATGCTGCTTTTGAGCTCTTTCAAGCTGTGCTTTGTGTGTGTGCCAGTGGACTTGCTCAAGGACGGGGTCCGGGCTTGCCTGGAGAACTGCCCAGGCTGGGCGCACTCCCTGGAGCTGATGGTGGTGCCCACGGGGCAGCCCCAAGGACTGAGCTGCAGTCTCCCCTTCCTCCTCTGGCCTGGTGGGGGGGTTGGCTTAATGTCCTGTCATCACAGTGGCTGTCTCTGCTGCTTGCTTCTGAGTTGCTCTTGTCCATGGAGCCAGAACTTTAGATATTTTCAGATTTATAGACTTTTTAAAAACAATAATAAAGATTTTATTATCAAGCTCTCTTCACCCATTTCCGCCTCCCCTCACCCCAACTTTGCCAAGTCCTTTTTTTACACAAGACTTCTGGCTGAAAACACTTCCAGTCTAGAAGATGCTTTGTGTAATGCGTTAGATTCAGATTTTCAATTTAAGGAAATTTTCCATTTGACGTTTCTTCAAATTAAATATGCTATAGGATGCAGTTGGGTGGGTTTGGCAGTGGCCATATAGAATATGGAAAGCTGCAATAATTTGTTGTAATACAGGTTGAACATTTGCTATATAGGAACATAGCATATTAAGCTTTTGATCCGAATGTATCTACTGTGCTGGCCACAGTTTCCCCCAGAAATGGTGATTGGGAGATTCTTTGGAAGATACCACTTGCTGCTAGTTAATTGTGTGGCTAAAAAGTCAATTTAAACTCAGTGTGCCAAATTAACTTCTGTCAGAATGGGTGAGCAGATGGCCGAGTTCTCTCCTCCCCAGCATCAGGGAAGTGGGGGGGGGGGGGGAGGGTTTGAGGAGAGAGAATTTGAAAAGACTTAAAACTGCAATGAAATTCAGTGAGTCAGGGAGCTCTAGTTAGAAAATACAATTAGAGCAGTTTCTGTGCAGAGAATGAATGTTTGTTAGAACAAGGGACACCCCCTTTGCATACTTCTAAAATCAGTTCCAAAGACGTGCCCACTCACAAATCATCACAGTGTGGTCAGCCTTTGCTCCACACTCACCTCTTTCCCAAAGTGGATCTGATGCCCAGAAAAGACCTGTTAGCACTGCACAGCTTCCTCCCTCAGCACACACCATATATGGTAATGAACTCTTTAGTTCCTAGGTGTAGGAAAGTTGATGTTCTTTGCTTATGGTGCTATCTGGGATTTCTGTAGACCTTAGCATTCTCAGAGCACTTGAACTTGAATGACATCATTTGAATCGCACAGTGTTCTTGTGATGGATCTAAGAAACCAAAAGTGAGGAAACCAGGAATGTTCCCTGTGTCAGGAACAGCTCTAGACTCTTGCCATCACTGCACTGGCTAAGCGCTCAATGCCACACCTGCTTTCTGAGAGGGGTTATGCCACTTTGGGGCAGGGATCAGGGGGTTAGGGGCAGACCGAGTAAGGCATGCCACACAGTACTCTTTTGCCACCTAAGTGAGCAAAGTGCTTCTGCTGTTTTTTATGGCTGAAACGGTACGGAAACCACCCCTCTGTCCCTCATGAAGGTTGACTGCTGCAGGGCTGTGTGGGGGTGGGGTCCCGCTCCCAGCCCTGTCCCACACCTGCTGGTCAGCTCCACTGGTGAACTTCCACTGAGCTGATTCCCTTCTCTGTATGGCCAGTGGGCTTCCTGTCTGACCCTGACTCACTCAACAGAGTAGGCCTTCAGCAAGAGTAAAGTAGCCTATGTTTGTGACAACTTCTTTCAAAAACAGAAAAGAAAACTTCCTGATTTGTCCTGCTCATGGCAGGAGAGTTAGTTATCTTTGAGGATACAACATAGCCCATTCCAAGCTTGAGGTGGTAAAGAGACTATCCTTGGGAGGTTGCAAGAGTGTAATTTGGCATGTAAGATAGATTGGACACATCAAACCATCCAAAGTGCTCTGGGCTCCTAAGTCCAAATGGATAACACTCACCCTTCCTGCCCTGGACTTAAGGTAGCCTTGGGGTTTTAAAGTGAGATCAGAGACAAGGGATGGACACACCTTTGCTGTCGATTGAATGAGGATTCTATCTAGAAGGAGAAAGGCCTTTGGAAAGTTATGACACTTCTGGGAATAGTTCAGAAGATTGGATAGATTAACTGTACCTGAAATTGAGAATTTACCACTTGCCTCCAAATAGGCCTTCAGAGTGCATCTCTTACTTGTAGATTTGCCTCTGGTTTCCTGTATGCCCATACTGACCTTTCACCCCTGATAGACTAGCAAAGTGCTGGCCACCTCCATCTCCTGCAATGAGCCTGTAAACCATAGCTGGTTTTCCCAGGGCCTCTGTCACCATACCAGCATGCAAGGAAGAGCTCGGGTCCTCCACACCGGCTCCAGGGTAATGACTAATCCGATTTCACGTTTTTATCCCCCAGGCGTAGAGAGTCTCCATTTAGGAGAGCTGTGTAGAGCCCCACACCTGTACACATGGCCTAGAGTTCACCTTGGAATTGTCGGTACAGCCCCATTGCCCTCAGTTGAAGCCAGGATATTTGGAACTGCTAGGATGGAATGGAGTGCTGCCTTTAAACTTTGTCACCTTTCTTTATATAGGAAAGTAAACGTCCTGTGAACAAAACCAAAGTTTAAGATTTGCCATGTGGTGGAGTGACAGGGAGGATTGGAGTCAGCAGGCGCCAGAGTTTGTATTCCACCTGCCAGTGCTTTGCCCGGCTCCGGCAGCTCTGGGAACACTGACCTGCCCTCACAGAGCCTGGGCCTTGTCCTCCGGAAGGAGTAGTAAAGTAGCAGAAGCTTGTTGATTTCTCAGTTGTGTTGCGTTACAACAACATGTTTATAAATTTTAATTTGAAATTGTCAACAACTTGCTGTATGCAAGGGTTTTTTTCGCAATAGTACATCCTTCAGCATTGTTTATATGGAATAGCAAACTAATCTGTACCTTTATATATATATATCTATGTACATATATACATGTATAAACTGTATAGTGTACATGTTAATGACTGATTCGCCCCAGCTCCCTCGCTCCGCATGCCCTCAGTTCCCTGATGATCCTGCCCAACTCCCCTCTAGAGAGGAGGTCGCACTCCCCTTTTCCTAGTGCACAGAAATGCTCAGGGTCCCCATGTGCCTGTGCCCAACCCTCACTTGTCTCTTGTCCCTTTTCTGAGCATGTGGTCCCCCTCCCCCACCCACCACCTCCGCAAGCTGTGGACCACTGCCTTCCTAGGAGAGTGTGAAGCAGTATTAAGATCACTACTGCATGTGCACTAGAAACCCAAGTTTTCTGTACCCATGGGACAGAAAAATTGCATGTGAGGTGGGATAATCAAGTTCCAGTGATCCATGTCAGTTACACAGCAAAGCCAGACCCCATACTAAAATTCTACAAAATGGAAATAAAACTCCAATTTCTTTAGCACTGTATAAATAAATCTGAATATGTTTAACTTTGTACTGGGAGTTTTCTGTATATTTGCAATCTTTGGGCTAGAAATAAAACAGACTAGACTTTGTTACCTGACCTGGCATGATGACCAACTCCCATTTGTTGATATGAAAGCTTTTTCCAGTTTTCTGGCTTCAGAAAGCAAATTCCAGCAGCTCAGAATAAGCCAATTAAAGGACCAATAGTATGTATCATAATACAAAAGATATTACATAAATTATGGGAAAAACAACTTCTCCCCAAAAGATGAATTGTTTTGCCCTCAAGGTATCTGATTTTTTTTTTCATTTTCTTGTTCTTTATGCTCACAAAGATCTCACTGCAGGGATGGGTGTTGTGGTACAATGGGTTAAGCTATGGCTTCCAAGACCTGTGTCTCATATGGAGTGCCAAGACAAGTCCCAGTTTTTCTGCTTCCAATCCAACTTCCTGATAATGCACCCCGTGAGGCAGGGGATAATAGTTTGAGTGCTTGGGAACTGCCTCAGGCAGAGTTCCAGGGTCCTGGCTACGGCTTGGCCCCCAATCCTGGCTGTTATGGGCGTTTGGGAATTAACCAACAGATGGAAGAATGCTCTTTATCTGGTGCTCGCATTTTTTTTTTAAGATTTATTATTATTTTTTATTATTTTATTGGAAAGGCGGATTTACAGAGAGGAGAGACAGAAGATCTTCAGTCCTATGGTTCACTCCCCAAGCAGCCGCAACGGCTGGAGCTGAGCCAATCCAAAGCCAGGAGCCTCCTCCAGGTCTCCATACGGGCGGAGGGTCCCAAAGTCTTGGGCCATGCTGCATTCCCAGGCCACAGGCATGGAGCTGGATGGGAAGAGGGGCCACCCGGATTAGAACTGGCGCCCATATGGGATCCTGGCGCGTTCAAGGATCCTTAACCACCAGGCCCCCGCATTCTTATTCTAATGTTCTCCTTTGCAAGTTAAGTAGACAGAAAATAAAACGGTTTTTTGTTTTGATTTTAAAGACCCACCTCCCATGGTGTTTGTAAGAGCAACTTTGTTGTTCCCCAGAAAAAGTCTAGCATTCCCACTCACCTACCTCCTCAAGGTTTTAGTTGCTGTGCCGTTCCTGCTGGACATAACATGTAATTGCTCTCCTGAGCTCAGTGTTCCCAGGGGCAGGTTTGAGAGAGGACAACATTACAGAATTCAGCCTCAGGATTGGTTTCATGTCAAGGAACTCTACCCAAGAGTGTTCTCTGACTTCCAGCACCAACCTGTCGAGGTTGCCTTTGTGGCCCGGGAAGAGGACGGCCCAAAGCTTTGGGACCCTGCACCCGCGTGGGAGACCTGGAAGAGGCTCCTGGCTTCAGATCGGCCGTTGCGCTCACTTGGGGAGTGAATTATCAGATGAAAGATCTTCCTCTCTGTCTCTCCTCTCTGTATATCCGCCTTTCCAATAAAATAATAATAATAAAAAAAAACTATTTTTAAAAAAAAATTTTTAATGTAAATTTCTAGCTCCTACCTGACACTTGCTGAATTAGATTCGCTGAGAAGCAGACCATGGGAATCTAAATTTTTCATTTACTTCTTTACATCTTTCCTGCAACAAAAATGTAAGACCAGAAAAGGCTGGGTAAATTTTCTGACCAAAATGTGTACAAATAGGATATGTGGGAGGTGCCCCTGTTTGGAGTTCACTGTACTTACAGGGGGCTTTGGTGAATCATGCATGACAAATAAGGGACCTTCAGCCTAGTTCTGACTTGGCCTATTGCCAGCCATTCACCAACCAAACCACACCCCTGGGCCAGCCTCCACGGTCAGCATCATATAGCCACCCTGGCCCCTAATAATGAGGTTGATGGGCCCAAATGTACTTGCAAGTTGTCCTGGACCTCAGCATCTTGCACATTGCACAGACTGGGCTTCTATCAGCCCTAGATAATAACAGGGCTCCTCTCATACTGGGAACTAAAATGAGTAAGAAATCCACTCTTCCACACATATTTTTCTCCCCCTTAAGAAAAATACAGAGGCAGCGGATAATATATATGAAGAATCTGTCCTTGCCACACAGCTTTGCTGTGGCTTGGAAGTTAGAAGCACTTTATTTTTTCTAAATAATCAGAGGGAATGCTGACTTCTGGTGATAAGAAGGTGGGAGTATGGTAAGAGGCTAGATCTGGCTGGCTGCATTAAGTGATGGTTTGGCTCACTGGGAGATGGATCAGGGCCTCTAGGTGTGACTAGAGCCTCCAGGGCGGCTGGCTGCTTCCCTATGTTTTTATCACTGCCCTCAGCCTGGTCATGGCATCATCATCCCTTATTTCACAGACCAAAAGTCACACTCAGGCCTTTGGGCTTTCCTCAGCCTCTCACTGTGTGTGCTTTATCTCCCAGGAAGGGAGCCATCAGCAGCTTCCAGAGGGGGAAGTGCTAGCCTGTCCTAAAATAGCTCCCATTATTGAACATTTGGTCCACTGCATTCTGCTAAGCATTTTAAAGAGATTACTGTCTTAATCCTCACAGAAACCCTATGGTTATTACTCTGTCCATCTTACAGATGAGCGAATAGATGTAGGGCTGTGGTGGTATGGTGGAGCACTGAATGTGCCTATGCCTCACTGGCCCACCCTGAGTCAGGGGGTCCCCCACCCCAGGCCTGGGCCAGTGTTCAGACTGTACAACCCACTGACTGCAGAGTGAAGGGTGAGCAGTGCAGGGTGCACCTGTGAATCAGCTGACCCCAGGCCTTGCTCGGGACCTAAGCAACCCGTTGCAAGAGCGGGAGGTCAGGAGCTGAGATGTCACCCAATCCTCACAGCTCCAGAGCCAGAGAGCCTCTTTGGATGGTCTGTGTACTCGAGCCCTGCCCTTGTGCTGTGAGAGGTGTCATCTCTCAAGATAACAAGTCCACCTCAGCCCTCCTCCTGTGGCTATTCTGAGCTCCTCTCTGATCCCCCCAACCTCATCCTGAGCCCCTACTTCAGCCCTCCACTGGGAGGAGCTGGATGAGGAAAGCCCAGCCCCATCATGTAATCCTGTGGCCAGGACCCTAGGGGAGGCCAGCCCGGGGAGCAGGTGTTCAGCCCCTCGCTCAACAGCAACAGTGCAAATCTGCAGCTGGAGACCAGCCTTGGGATAGGCCCAGTATGGAGGCACTCACAGCACTGGAGGCAGCCTCAGAATCCACACTGAAGGTGGGAGTCACCAACCCAGCAGATGCCGAAGGTGGACAGGTGGTTGGCAGCCCCCCGGCCCAGCTCCTACCCGCTGTAGAAGGTGAGGCTGGGAAGGCGGGGGCAGTGGGAGAGGACAGCTGCACGGCCCTGACTGCACCTTGCTGGGTTTTCTTAGGTCTGGCTCTTTCTGGGGCACAAGCATCCTTCCTTGCTTGTGCCCCGCCCTGCTCCTCTTGGATGTAGTCTTGCTGGTACTCGAGTGTGTTTGCTGGAATTTTGTTTTTAACTGGCAAGTCAAGTGAATGGCATTTATGGTATTTTATATTTAATTTAAAGCAATTTATTTTTACCCTTTAAGAAAAATGCCTGTCACGGGGACTAGGAGGACATGATCAACTAATGGCCACAGGAAAGGGACCGAGGGTGAGATAGTGACCAGTACAGTCAGACCAATGAGCTTTGGCAACAGGGAAGCGAAGTGCCAAGCAGCCTAGTAAAGGGCTGGATGTGCAAAAGCTATTTGAATATCAAGGGCAAAGCAGACTGTCTCATGAAAGAAGAGGTAGGGGAACAAATTATGTGAACAGATTAAGTTGGAGTAATTGATGCAGAAAACCAGTTTTGTCCTCATGAAGCCACAAACAGAGGGAGAATGAAAGCCAAGACAAAACTCTGACTTTGGTCCCCAAAGTCCTGGGCGGGAAACACCTCACTCGTGCCTCCTGCTGGCTGCAGAGTGGGCTACTGTGGGTAATCATCTCCTAACAGCCACTGACCTAGGCCACACACATACAGCCTGAACAGCCTCACCTTCCCCTGTAGCTGCTCTGACATAGCAGGGACGAGGATCAGCAGCACCCAACAGCTCAGACCCAGCGCCACCCCACAGGTCACAAGCAGTAAGGACACTGCCTGACATTCTACAGAGCGGGTGCATGTCTTTTAGCTGCCTGGGAAGGGCAGACAGGAAATCAAAATCCTAACGCTTTACTACGTCAGTCCACTTCCCTGGGCCTCCATTTTCCCAACTGTAACTGCGGTGTTGAACTAAACCCTTGTCTTAACTCCTAGATGGATATGGACCCTTAGGAAAATCTGATGAAAGCGCCAGAGTCTTGCTCCAGGAAAAAATATACCCAAAAAAGAAATGTTCTCAGAGTTCATAGAACTGCTGAAGCCTGTCCAAAGCTCCTTCAGGATGCCAGGGACCTGGACTAGTTCCCTGAAAGTCCCAAAGACTATATTCCTCTTAACTCCTCCTCTTCCTTATAGGGAGCTCTAGGAGAGCATGGCATGTAGCGCAGGCTTCAGGAGCAAAAAAAAAAAAGTGCAAGTTCAAGATAAACTGAAACTGGCCAATCCTGAGCTTTTAGTCAAGCAAGCCCTCTAAGGGGCTGGCAGTGGTCAACAGGCCTGTGTCTGTCCTCAGCCCCATGTTGAGATCCCAGGTCCTGGGGAGCTCCCAAAACAGTGAGAGGCAGGGGAACAGCCTGCACCTCAACGTGGAGATGGGAAGGACAGCCCATCCATGACTTCAACATAATTGTTTCCACGGGTTCTCTGTCCCCTTTTAATCTGAACTGTTCTTCCAGCCATGGGAAGTGCCTAGGAGTGACATTTCCTTCCCTCCCTCCCTCTTTTCCTTCCTTCTTTTTGTGCCTATTATATGCCAGGCACTGTTCTTGGTGCATGCATTATAGAGCTGAACAAAATAGGCAAAAATGAACTGTTCTCCTCATGGAGTTATAGTGACAGAAATTAGTGATGGTCACTGCACCAAAAATAATGCAAGTTAAGGGGACAGAAAGTTTTGGTGTTTGGAAGCCTTCAAAGTTTCTGTTTCACTCAGGATCTTCCATGAAGACTTCATAAGGGGACATGTGAGCATCAGCCTAAAGGAGGTGAGAGAGCAGTGCACACAGGTGTTGCTGGGCAGGCCATTTTCCACACAGAACAAATTCCAAGCCTGGGCAGGAATGTGCTGCATGAGTTGGGGTCACTGAAGTGGTAGCACAGTCAGGAAGACAGTGGTAGGATTCAGGTTGGAGAGAAAACCGGGTCACACTGTACACCTTGAGTGCAAGACAAATGGGCAGCCAGGGCAGGGCTCACCTGATCAGTACTTCCCTGGCTACTGTGGTAATAAAAATAGCAAAAATAACATTTGAAAATCAGAATGCGGGAGAAAGTCTGGAGGCTTAAAAGAGGAAGGTGTGTGATAGTCACCTGGGAGAAAAAGAGATGGCATGGACCAGGGAAGTCAGAGGCACTGCCAGGGTCCTTTTGGATATAGTGGTCCCTGTCAATGGCTGTAGCGGAGGCATGGTTTTATATTTGCCTGCGTCAGGCTATTCTGTAAAGATGCAGGCACTAACTGGGTGCAAACTTTCTTCAACTAGGGTTGGGTGTTGGCCAGGACGTACAATGCAGAGAGAAAAAGATTAGGGGATTTGAGTGAGTATTCAAGAGGGTACAAAAGAGACCAAGAGAGCTGGTTCATGTCCCAGCTGCTCCACTTCCCTTCCAGCTCCCTGTTTGTGGCCTGGGAGGACAGTAGAGAATGGCTCAAGGCCTTGGGACCCTGCACCCATGTGGCAGACCTGGAAGAAGCTCCTGGTTCCTGGCTTCAGATCCGCTCAGCTTCAGTCATTGCGGCCATTTGGAGAGTGAATTAGCAGATAGAAGATCTTTCTCTCTCCTCCTCTGTAAATCTGACTTTTCAATAAAAATAATCTTTTAAAAAGAAATTAATCTTTTAAAAAGAAAGAGAGGGAGCGTGCCCGGCACAGTGGCCTAGCTGCTAAAGTACTCGCCTTGAAAGCGCCAGGATCCCATATGGGCGCTGGTTCTAATCCCAGCAGCCCCGCTTCCCATCCAACTCCTTGTTTGTGGTCTGGGAAAGCAGTCGAGGACAGCCCAAAGCCTTGGGACCCTGCACTCATGTGGGAGACCTGGAGGAGGTTCCTGGCTCCCGGCTCTGGATCAGCGCAGCACCGGCCATTGCTGTAATTGGAAGAAAGAAGATTTTCCTCTCTGTCTCTCCTCCTCTCTGAATATCTGACTTTGCAATAAAAATAAAAGAAGTCTTTAAAAAGAAAAAAAAAAAAGAGAGAGGGAGAGAGAGACCAAGAAATCTATGTTGGTGGGGAGCAAAGTCCTAGAAATGAAAGGGTTACAGGAAAATGGATCATAGATCTTAATGATGCTTAAGAATGGCTAATGTGGGATCATCAGAGGATATGAGTAAAGGGATAGAAATTGCATTTGGAACCCTAGTTGATGAAACAAACAGGACTCAGAAGCAGGAGTTCTTATGAGCATAAAAGCTGAACAACTAATGTTTCTGTTTAGCAGGTAATTATCCTCCCTAAAGTAACATAGAGGTTCAGGCTTGTCTCACTTGTGGCTTGGTCATTTTCCTTAGGGTCCGGTGATCATATGCATACAGCTAGAGCAAATGAGTGAAAGAGAAAACTCACTTCTTGGCCCAGAAATTATGTTCATCATTTCCACTCATATTTCCTTGGCAAAAACTAGATGCCTGGTCATACAGCAAGCAGGACTGGAAACATCCCTGACTGGGCAGCTGCTTCTCAGAGCTAACTACACCATGGAAGAGATAATGAAGTTTTGGTGGACATTAGCCATCCGTGTCACAGTGGTGATGATGAAACTGGGAGATGCTCGCAATGTGGGTCAAAAAGGGATTGCAGTTCCAGCATTAGAGATGAGTACAGGGGCCGATGGCTGAACGAGAGGGGACACAATCAATGCAGGAATGGCAGGCAGGCCAGGTTGCAATAGGTCCTGCAGGAGTTGGGCCAGCGGCTGCAGAAATGACCAGGCATGTGGGCACCGAAATGACCAGGCGTTAGGAATGCAGCAGGGTTGGAGAGAGTGCCAATGAGTCAGGATGACCCCCAGCCACCCATACAGCATGATGAGCACCATCTTAAGATGCCAGAATCTTTCTCAGAGAAGTACCGCCAATTTCATGGTATTCAAGGAGGTGACCTCTTACCTTTCACAAGGTACTTCTGAGGACACCACATTTTTTTTCCTGCCACAATCCTCCACTCAGGTCATGGTCATATCTCAAGCATCTGTGAATGTTCCTACAAGAAATGCAGATGCTTTATTGGAAATCTCTGTTTAGTTTCAAAGCCTTATCTGGAAATCTTTACTGGAAATCTCTGTTTAGTTTCAAAGCCCTATCTGGCCTAATTTACTTGCTCCTTTCCAGATAATCATTAACACAGGCATGCGTGTGGACACTCAAACACACACATATGCACATATACTTTCTTTTTTTAAAGATTTATTTACTTTTATCACAAAGTCAGATATTCAGAGAGGAGGAGAGACAGAAAGGAAGATTTTTCGTCCGATGATTCACACCCCAAGTGACAGCAACGGCTGGTGCTGCACCCATCAGAAGCCAGGAGCCAGGAACTTCCTCCAGGTCTCCCACACGAGTGCAGGGTCCCAAGGCTTAGGCCATCCTCGACTGCTTTCCCAGGCCACAAGCAGAGAGCTGGATGGGAAGTGGAGCTGCCGGGATTAGAACCAGCGCCCATATGGGATCCGGGCGCTTTCAAGGCAAGGATTTAGGCCACGCCACTGGGCCCCACATATATTTTCACACACTCATAAACACATACACAAACTTACATATGGTCATACAAACACAAACCACAGACACACACTCCTATTAATCCCTCCAATGTGTTTATCTTGTTTCTTCTCTTTCCAAGATGTATCTAATAATAAGCAGTCTAAACTCCATAGCCCTTAGGAAACTGCTAGAACAAAATTTCTAAATGGGTGGAGAAACATTGTAAGAGGATGTGAACCATTTCTCATGAGAATAGAAGAAAACAAGCATCAACTTCAGCAGAATAAAACTAGAGTTGATACTGGACAGCATTTTCTACTCAAGAGAAATCAATGTCTTAGAACTTCAAGTAGTCTTCCCTGATTATTTTTTTAACTAATTTGAGAGACAAAGTCTCTCATACAGCTCTGCTCCAGTGGGTCACTCCCCAAATGACCACCACAGCTAGAACTGGGCCAAGCCAAAGCCAGGAGCCAGAGACTCAACTCGATTTCTGACACAGGTTGCAGGGACTAACCACTTGAAGCATAACCTGTTGCCTCTGGATGCACATCAGCAGGGACAGAGCTGGGACTTGAACCAGGCACCCCAGTATGGGACGTGTGGGTCCCAAGAGGTGTCTTGCCAGCTGTGCTGAAAGCTTGCCCAATCATTCTCTGACAATTTTTGTGAAAGAACTAGACAGTATTCTGAGAAAACAACAAAGCTGAAAGTAACAAAGCTGAGAAGCCACTGGCTCTCAAAGGACTTGTCACAGTGATTTTCCCCTGCACTGAAGGGGGAGAGACCAAACTGGCTGTCACAAGCCGGGTCTGAGAAAGCCAGGGCTCTGCAGCAGGCCTCTAGTCTTTGGGTCCCATTCCTCCTTGCGCCGAGGTGGAAAAAGACCTTGGGCATGGGGTGAGGAAAGCCATTCCTTACCCAAGGTCAATACAATTTACACCTCATTTGCCTGGGATGTGCGGAAGAGAAGCCTTAAATGAGCCCAAGTTAAGTTTCTCAGGAAAGGGTCAGATTGCTGCCTGGGTTGAATTGGGAGGAGCTGCTGGTAGCATCAGCAGCTGTCACACCATCTCCTGCAGCCTCAGCCTGGCCTGGGTGCTCTGTCAGCTGTCCTCACAGCCCTCCCCCTGGGATTCTGCTGATCGTGCAGTCCTCACCTACTTGTATCTAACAGCAGGGGTAGTCTGATGACCAGGGAAGAGCTGGGCAGGAACTTTCCGCCCGCCCCCCCCCCTCCCCCGTCCCAGGAAGGCAGCACCTACACCTCACCTCTGCTCAGCTGGGACTCTGGAGATCTAGAGCACCTTCGGTCCACCCTCACCCAACTCCCATCATGTCAGCCTGTGTTGCACAGCTACCAATTTCTTTCACTTTTCCCTTTAGTTTGGGTGGAAAAATGCAAATGTTTCCCAAGGTATTTATCTAACAAACAAAAGAAGTACTAGGTGTGAGTGCAAACAGCAAGCATCCATCCACACAGCCTACTTCCTACCTGTGGTCTGAGCATAGGAGGGCTCAAGGACACATCTCCCAGGCAGGAAGGCCTGGGTCCAGTCCTCACCTCAGCCCTCCACAGTCCTTGTGTAGCTCCCTCTGCCTGCCCTTCTTGGTCTCCTCCCTGCAGAGCAAGCTTGCCATCAGTGCCCCAACTACGGTGGCCAGCGCTAAGTGGACAACAGGCCATGCTCAGAGAATGAGCCCTTCAAATCCAGTCCTAGAGAGAGGTGGGATCTTAAGGTGACAGGGTAACCGAACAATCAGGGCGGGAGGAGGATCCAGCCATGCCTTCCTCTGCACCAGTTTACTTCCAGCCCTCCCCTTGCTCCAGTGCTCACCAAGGCCCATCATGGCTCTGAAAATTCACCCTCTCTCCAACCCTCTCCTCCACCAAGTGGGGAGGGGTTATTTCCCCATCCAACAGTGGGGAACTAAGCCCAGTAAGACAGGATTTTGACCCTTCCATCAGCTCTCCACCCAATGGGGGAAAAAAAAAAAACACTACGCCTATTTTCAACTCCTTGGCTGCCTGCCAGCATGATTGTAGGAGAAGAACACATCACAAACACGTCTTCTGTACTGCATGCCCCGTCCCAAGCCAAGAGGGCACCAGGAACAGAGGCACCCAGTTGCCTAGGGCCCCACCCCTGACCCATTCTTCCTACTCAGGCCCTAGGCAAAACAGAAAGAGAGAGGACAGAGATCTGAATAAGCTTAGCTCCCATCAGCTCATCCTCTTAGCTGCAGATAAGATGGGCGCCGCCCAGGTAAAAACTGAAGTGACGCAGTGATGAATGAGACATGCACCACCTGATGTGTTTGTTCATCTACGAAGGACGCATGATCATGAGCTGCTAGTGGGGTGGGGGAATGGCTATGGGAATGAAGCTCTCTAGTCGGTAAGCTACCGATGGAGGTGCGGTTTCATCCATGGCAGTTCTAACTTATATGATGCACACATTTAAACGGTAAACACCCTCCTTCTGGAGTAAATGCCTTAGGATGTCTGTACAAAGAAATGTACATTATCAAACAGCTTGGAATCCACTTGCAAGCAGTCCTGTTGTTTGCCAAAGGAATGTACCTAGGGTGGAGTGGGTATAACTGCCAGGACTGAGTCATGGCAGGCAGGCCTGGGTTCTTGGTGGGAACTCAAATGCTGTCAGCTCTACAACAGCACAAGACTGTCTCTGCCTGTGAAAGGAGGAGACAGCCCAGCAATCCTGAGAAGACTGACAAGCCACAGTGTCAGCCAAGGCCCCCGTGGCAATCCAGGTGGCATGTGAACACTGTGGCAGCCCCAAGAGGAGAGAAGTCACACCTGGTCCTTCTCCAAACCTCCTGCTCAGCACTTTCCATCATGTCTTCTGCTTTCCTTCTGGAAGCCAATAAATGTCATCTAATCTGTATTTCACATGGGGCAGGATCAAGGGGGAACAAGCGGTAGACCTAATCTTTCCCAGACACCTGGCTCGCACTTCAATGACCTCGGTGCTGTCTGGGGTGAAGGTGGAGGGGGGATGTGGGTGAAGTGGCTGCAGGACTTAATTTCACCATGTTAACTCTGCCGATGGAAGGGAAAACATTCTCCTGTTCTATTCTGCACCAAAGTGGGAGGTTAGGATTAATAATGACCATGTCCTTGATAAAAGCGTATTAAGAATGAGCATAGAAAATGGCTGGGAAGACAAACTACACAGTCCACACTGGTACACAAATAGGAAAAAAAAAAAATCTGTGCTCATGAAAAATCAGTAGTTGAGAGTTATACATTCATTTGCATTGCTGTATCAGCTGCACTCCTGTTTTCTGAGTTTTAGGCTTCCCAGGGGAACCTTAGTTAACTGTTCAGCCCCAAGTCCCAACAAAATGCTGGTAATAATCTTTCCCTTCCCTCAGGGAATGGTTCGGTTTGGCGCACAGTGCCTGGGCCCACAGCTGGATGCAGTGTCCACTTCCTCTAAGTATCCATATCTCTCTTTTTCTCTTTCCCTCAGAGCACCCCAAGATCTTGCTACCTCGGACCCTGAGACAGACCTATGTCCGGAAGGTTGGGGACACTGTGAATCTGCTGATCCCATTCCAGGTGATCACCATCAGGCCCACTCTATGTGTGCAGCTAAGACCTGGGTATTGATTTGGAAATAGGTACTGGGAGTCCTGTGAGCAAGAGGGTAGTCTTCCCATATTTGACCAGAAAGTGGCCACAGGACCAGCCATCTGAGACCAAATGATCCATCCACTCTGCATTCCTAAGGGTGGACTTGGGGAAGGCTAGGCATGCCCCATGAGATGAGATGAGACTAACCCATGCACTTCCATCCTCGGAGGGCTGGGAACTTTTCAGTTTGGAGGTTTCTCAGAAGTTTGGGCAGCTATTCAGCTTGTTCTGCTGCCCTGAATGTCCATGCCCTAAAACTCCCAGGGGGCAGGGGACACTCAGTCATCTTCTTCCCATGATCCTCAGACTGCTGCTCCAAGGAGGAAGTCTTAAATAGTCCATCAAGCTTTAACTCAAGGAATTGGCAACTTAACATTAAATCAACCCCTGGGCCTGAGAATTGGACCCCTCTAAAGCAAGGAGAGTTGAGAAACTTGTTGAGCATGCTCAGCCTTTTCTCAACCCCTCAGGGCAAGCCCAGACCTCAAGCCACCTGGACTCACAATGGCCGTGCCTTGGATGCCAGTCGTGTGAGCGTGCGGAATGGGGAGCGAGACTCTATCCTCTTCATCCGAGAGGCCCGACGTGCTGACTCGGGTTGTTATCAACTTCGTGTACAGCTGGGCAGGCTGGAGGCCACAGCCACCATTGACATCCTGGTGATCGGTACCCTTGGGGAGTGGGTTGTGTGAGAGATGGGATGGTTCAGGCTGAAGAGCAGCTGTCTCAGAGAGCTAGACAAGCTGAGTGGCACTGTCACCCCAAGCCTGGGACACAATGGGCAAGGGGAGGGGTGGGCTGGGGAGGTGTGTGTGCATATTGGAGAGAGACCAGAGAGCCTGCTGAGGTCATGTCATTGCATGTGGGTTGTACTTTCAGAGAGGCCAGGCCCTCCTCAGAGTATTAAGTTGGTGGATGTCTGGGGCTTCAACGCGACCCTGGAATGGACACCTCCTCAAGACACAGGCAACACAGTACTCTTGGGATACACAGTGCAGAAGGCTGATACAAAATCAGGGGTGAGGCCCCGCTGGGAAGGAGGGAGGGAAGAATGGAACCTTCTGGAAGAGATCTTGTGCTAGATCTACTTTGTGGGACCCTGCAGCTGTGGTTCACAGTGCTGGAGCGTTATCACCATACCAGCTGCACTGTCTCCAATCTCATCGTGGGCAACTCCTATGCCTTTCGTGTCTTTGCTGAAAACCAGTGTGGACTCAGCGAGACAGCCTCCACCACTACAGATCTTGCCCATATCCAGAAAGCAGGTAAAGAAGACCCAGAGGCCATGACTTGGGAACACATGGAGACAAAGAGGTGAAGGAGGATGGTGATCTCAGATGCCATGTCATGACCCCTCTTGCTACCTACAGCTACTGTTTACAAGACCAAGGGGTTTGCCCAGCATGACTTCTCGGAAGCCCCGAAGTTTACCCATCCCCTGGCAGACTGCACTACAATCACGGGCTATGACACCCAGCTCTTCTGCTGTGTCCGTGCCTCTCCCAGGGTGAGTGTGGGGCTCTGGGGAGTGTGGTGCAAAGATACTCCCTCCTCCTGTTCTTTTCAAACTTTAGCCATGTTACAGAGCCTTCTAATGCTGCATCTGTGATCATCACCCCCATCCGTCTGCTTCAACAGGTTATTTAGAAACAGTTCTTATAACCCAAGAAGGACTGATGTAAATTATGTTTCCTTTTAGTGTTCATTCCTGGTATATGAAATTGTCACTTGCTGATCCGCTGGCAATTGGGTGTGAGCTTCAAGTTCTTTATCCGGTAGGACTGATGGAGTCCTACGGGTTTCTGACCCACACATCTATTCAGGGCCTGTCACAAGCAGGCTGTCTGGAACTGAGCCTTTGGCTGCAGCCTGAGCAAGGCTCTGTGCACATTTTCAGCCTGGTCACTGTGCTGCACATGTGGCCTAAAACACCAGGAAAAGCCTTTAACGTGCATCTTTTGAATTACAAGTCCTGAGCCAGACTGCACAGAGATGGATATCTCAGCAGGGGAATGTCAACAAACCCACTCTGAAAGCTACTTTCTAACTGGAGGGGACAGGACTGACTGATAAGTTGACAGTGGAATGAATTATGAATGAGTCACAGTGCACATGCAAAAAAAAAGGAGGAGGAGGAGGGAAAAGGAAGAGGAGGAACAGGCCTTGTCCCTAGTGCTTATGATTCATGAGGGGCTGCTTGGGCAATATGGAATGAAATTTATCAACTTTCTTCTGGTTAAGGATATTTGATGAAAAAAGCAAAGATCTAGGTGCTTTTTTTGATCAAGGAAAAGGAGCTTGGAAAATGCTGGAAATACCGGAAGAAGAACCCCTTACCACCATATAAAGGGTGTCAACCTTCCAGAGAGCCATTGTTTCTAGACATTATAGGGTATGGCAGATTTAGTTGACATCCCACATGGGCATGCCAGTTTGAGTCCCAGCTACTCCACACTTGTGATTTAGCTTCCTGCTAATGTGCCTGGGAAGTAGCAAATGATGGGCCAATTACCTGGATTCCTGCCACCCACAGGGCAGACCTGGACAGAGTCTGGCTTTGGCCCAGCCTAGCTCTAGCTTTTGAGACCATTTGGGGAGTGAAGCAGTGGACAGAAAATCAATCTTTCTCTCTCCCTCTCTTCTCCATTCTATCTTGATCACTATGCCTTTCAAATAGAGAAGTAAATCCTCTTAAGTAATTTTTTTTCTTACTGCAAATCCTGTTCCCCATTATGTTTTGTCTTCCAGCCCAAGATCATTTGGTTGAAGAACAAGATGGATATCCAAGGCAATCCCAAGTACAGAGCCCTCAGTCAGCTGGGAGTCTGCTCCCTAGAAATCCGCAAGCCAGGTCCCTTTGATGGAGGCATCTACACCTGCAAGGCAGTTAACCCCCTGGGAGAGGCATCTGTGGACTGTCGAGTAGATGTGCAAGGTAAGGTCAGGAGAACTCCTGCCAATCTTCTCCTCTCTCTAAAAGTGGCAGTCAGGTACCAAAGACACAAACCCAGATGGAGAAGGATTTACTGTCTGCAGGCTTTCATTGTGATCATCAAGATGTGTTTGAGCAGCCATGTTTGTTATCCCTGTCTCATCTCTTTCCTTCATAATTCTGTAATACAGAATCCCGCTCTCTGCTTTGCAGAGGAATGCAAAGTGTAGGGAGGTAACTGGTTTACCCCACATTTCCAGTGCTGATTCATAAGCAGCTGGCCCGGTGCTGAAAGCTTCCCCTACCTCCATTCAGATCATTTCTTCTTTGAACAATCTTCTGACTCCATCCAGGAAAACTACAGCTGTTTATTAAGTTTTATTTTACTTTCTCCTCTGCTTAGTTTAAAGAGGATACTGCACAACCTCCCTACCTTTTATTTTTTATTTATTTTTATTGGAAAGGCAGATTACAGAGAGACGGAGAGACAGAGAAAGATCTTCTATCTGCTGGTTCATTCCCCAAGTGGCTGCAGTGGCTGGAGCTGAGCTGATTCAAAGGCAGGAGCTTCTTCCAGGTCTCCCACATGGGTTCAGGGCCTAAGGCTTTGGGTCATCCTCTACTTTCCTCCCAGACCACAAACAGGGAGCTGGAAGGGAAGTAGAGCAGCTGGGACACAAACTGGTGCCCATATTTAATCCTGGTACATGCAATGCAAGGACTTCAGCCACTAGGCTACTGTGCTGGGCCCCCTCCTTGCCTTTTAAAGTATTCCTTCATTTGTCCATTTCTGTCATATTGCTCAGATCTATGTCACTGCACTTATGTTAATTATGTTGCATCATAATTATCTGGTTAATGGTCTCTTTAAGCAGTATCAAGACAAGGAAGTGTCTCATTACCTATGTCCCCTAGTTTAACACTGGTGGGTAATGTCTAAAGGTCTGTTCATGAATTTACATGTCCCATTCTTCTCTATGTAAAGCCCTTTTAACTAGAACCATGGACTCTCCAAATCTCTGAAATAGAATTTCTTTCCCAATGCTCTGGGAGATTTCCCAGAGCTTTCTGAGCATTTAATGTTGAGAAATGTCTGAACTTTTGCAGCTCCTCATTGAGGCTACCCAAGAGGACATGATGCCCTACCAAAGGTAAGAGCAGAGATAGAGGATCTCAATGGATCAGTTCATGTTTAAAGTTAGTACTGCTGAGCCTGGAACAGACTTAAATTCCTGAGTCTTTCAATTAGGTATTCACAAGGGACCACCTTTTTAAGCCACTTTTTCAAAAGCAAATATGATCACCTCCAAAAAGAGTTTATCATAGCTGAAATCCACTTTTTCACATCTTTTATATCACTGTCCCTCTTGGGCTTGTGATAGAAATGAAATCCAGTGCTCACTTCGGCAGCACATATACTAGAAATGAAATCCAGAGGTCCTTGGAGAGTGATGGTGCCGACCTAACAGGAAACCCTTGCGGAGGGAGTTGGACAGTTACTACAAGAAAAGATGCCACAGGAACCATTAAAAAATGATGGAATTTATAAATTACCCCATCTTGGGGTAGCAAGAAGGTAAGCACAGATGAAGCTGTCTTTGACAATTAAATGCTCCTACCTCAGGATCATAAGCATAGTAAAATACAGATTAGTTTGCCAGTGTTTTACTTAGAAGTTTATGCAGTCCAAAGAGAGGCTTATGCATTCCATCCCATCTGAAAGAAAATATCACTTTCATTGTATGTCAATAACAATTATTTGAATATGTGGTCCCCAGAAAACAGATGAATGTCAAAGGGCAACTCAGATCATCATTCAGACTCAAATTATCACTCAGATGTTGACAGCTCCTTCAGCGTCTAAATCATACATAGCAGAAATAGTGTGTATGCAGCTCATGAGAGAATTAAAAAGGACTGGTTCCCAATGTCCCTTCTGTCTCATAGCTCCTGGCTGATGAAAGTTGAGAATGAATTCAATCCCACAAGCCATTTGTTGAAGCCTATTCTTGACAGATAGTAAATGAAAACCCTAAGGGATGCATTAAAAGCACAGGAGAGCTCTTTGCGCCAGCTGGCTTGCAGAGGCAGTTCTCTCTGCGTACTTCCCCTTCTCTGAGTTCATGCTGTTGTGTTATGTTAGCTGTCCTCTTCCCTCTCCCGTGCCCAGTGCCCAGCAATGATGCAGGATAAGTGGTGATCCATAGCCCAGAACCCAGGGACTGTAAAGAAGGATGCCTTAGTGTCCTAGATATGCCCTAGCTGTTTGCTGGTAATGGCCACAACAGACTTTCTCTTTGCAGTGTCTCCGGGAAGCCCGGCTGTGGCGAGATTATTCTTAAGGAACTTCAACACAATGTCTGATTTGAACTAATCAAAATAAATGTGTGGATCCTCTGTGCATAAGCACCCATCTGTTTCAGCTTTTCTATATGGGAAAACATTGTGAAATTCAGACTCCTTCAGCTCAACTGGAATCGCAGGATCCTGAGAGACTTCTTTCTCTTTCTATATCTTCCACAGAGGTTTTTGAAAACTGTGCTTTCTCTAGACAATCTATGACAAAACTGAATTCACCCCTACAGGATCAACTACTGGAAAATCATATTGAAATTACTTCCTCCTTTTCTTTATGGGCTTTCTAGTATAAAAAAAGAATAGCAGGATACACAGCTCTCACACAGAAACAACTGGCAGGCTGCAGAAATACAAGCATAGCTAATTAAAGACAGAGCCCTAAGACTCAAGGGCTGAGGTGATACTGAAGAGACTAGAACATAGGGGAAGGAATGAAGGTGAGGGTCCCTTGGCTAGCTTTGTTTTCATTTTTTTAATTTTATTTTTGATGATATTTAAATACTTGAGAAGGATGCATGCCCATGTGGACCACTGATTAGGGTGGGAAGGGTCGAGGCAGAGAGGAAAGTGGGTGAGACTATTGTTTCTGACTTTCTTTTTCTTATTTCTGTATCTGAGGGAAAGAAAGGGAGAAACCAAAACCAGCATCCTAACTGCATCAGTAGCCAGGGATGGGGGAATGGCCACCCAATGTCATCCCAGGGTCTCTGATGTGGCACATGTTCTAAGGGTACTGCTCAAGTGGTTTCAATAATTCTGAGATGCTGTCAGTCTTGTGGATCCAGGAATGAGCCCATTGGCTGACATAATTCACCTTAGAGTATCCATTCACCCAGATAGTTGCTGTCAATGCTTGGCGGAGAAAATTGTTCAATTTATTCTGTCCTCCATCCTCTGTTATGGTACCAGATGTCCTCTGAGAACCCAATGGACTGCCATATCCCCCATGTACATCTGGGCATCCTGTCCTCTGCACCGTCTTTAGCAACTGAGGAGGCCTGTTTCTGACTCATGCATTCCATGGTCAGCCCACAGATCCTGCAATTCTCCCTATGGCCGGAGTGCTGAGTTTGGGAGTTCAGTTGGGAGGATCTCCAAAGAAACCTCCCCTAAGGTGACCCGAGACCTGACTCTTGTGTGTGCTAGCCAATAGAGTCCAGCTCAGTCTGTCACCCACTTTATCCTACACACATGCTAGTGGTTGCAGTTGCTGGGTCAGTTCTGCCTCCACCCCCATCCCTGATGCAAACCAACAGATGCTGCAGCCCAGCCCATCTCTACCCACCATATGCTTGGCCCTCATGTACACCAACTGAACTTTGCAGTCCAGTCAAGACAACTCCCAATAACCCTCACCAGGCCTGCCCCCAGCCATGGTTCCTGTGCATGATGGTATTTGTAACAGACTTGTCCAGTCTGTCCCACATCCCACTCAGCTTTTGTATACACCAATGGGTGCTGCAGCCTAGCTCAGCACAACCAACCCCACTATCCAGCCCACATGTATGTTGGCAGGTGCTACCACCTATCTTGCTCAGCTAGGTCCATTTCCAGCCCCGGTTCTTATGCTCACTAGTGGGAGATGAAGCCCACCAGAGAGGATGAAGCTCACCAGAGAGGATGAAGCCCACCCGAGAGGTGCTCACAGTTTCCCTAGTAGGTCCACTTCCAGCCTTGGATCTTGCACTTTTCAGGTGGTTATGCAGTCTAGCTTGACAGAACTTGCCCACATTCCCAACACTTGCCAGTTGATGCTGTGGCAAAACCCGATCAGCTTGCACTTACTCTGGTTCATGCATTCACCATTTAATACAGTTGGTTATCTCAGCCTGGCTTTCCCATAATTCAACTCACATGCAGGTCAACTGGTGCTAACCCTGCCTAGCTTCGTCTGCGGCCAGTCCCAGTTGTCATGCTCACCAGTGGGAGCAGAGGCCCAGCAGGGGAGTCCTCACTGCACCCCTACCAGCTCACTCCCACTCCTCTCCCCAGGTCTCACATGTGCTGGTGGGTGCTGTGGCCAAGTTTGGCATAGCTCATCTCACCTCACTGTTTCTGGCAGGTACTGTAGTCCAACACGGCCCTGTCTGCCCCTAGTTCCAGTTCATGCTGGTGGGTGCTGCAGCCTAGCCCACCGTAGCCCAGCCAGCCTCCAGTCCTGGCACTAAAGTGAACTGGGTGATGTTATGGCCCAACCCAGCCTGTTCTGTACCTTGTCCTCGTTCTCACATTTGCCAGTGAGTGTTATGAACTGACCTAGCCTGACCCACCCTTAGACCTAACCCACAGGTATGATGGATGGTACTGCAACTTGTTACCTGACCTGCTCCCAGCCTTGGTTGCTGTGTTCACCTGCAGGAACTGTGTCCTGACAGAGGAGTTCCCCAAGCTCTTCTATCAGATCTCCTCCCTGTGGCAAATTTCACACACACCAGTAGGTGGTTGGCCCAGCCTGACTTGGTCCACCTCCTATCCTGGAAAGTACAGAAGCCTTGCCTGACTTGCTCACTCCCATTCCAACTCTTACTGTTGTGTTCTACAGCCCAGCCATGTCTGGGCCACCCCAAGACCCAGTTCTCATCTGCCAAGACTTAACCCAGACAGTCTTACACCCACCCTGGCTCTTGCGAGCACCAGCAGGTGCTGGAGCCTAGCCTAGCCTGGCACACCCCAGACTCAGTCCACATTCACGCTGAGGAATACTGTAGTCATGTCCAGCCCAGTTTGCTGGCCCTATTCTGGCTCTCATACACGCCAGTAGGAACTATAATCCAGTCAAGGCATCCCTTTAGCTTCAGCCACAGATCTTGTGCGGGCTAGTGGGTTGTTCTGACCCACCCCGGCATAGTCCATCCCCCATCTGGGCCTTTGCCATCAGATGCTGCGGCCTTGCCTGGCCTGGCCCAGCCCACCCCTAGTCCCAACTCTCACAGGTAGATGCTGCAGCCCAGCCCTGCCCAGTCTGGTCCCATCCCTGACTCTCATGAAAACTGGTAGATGTAACAGCCAATCCCAACATGGCCCACACTCCATCCGGACTCCTGCACGTGCCAGTGTGCTAAGGTTTGACCTAGCCCTGCCCAGTCCACTGCCCCTCTCCCCCTGCAGAACCAGCCCACACACTTACCAACAAGTGGAGCAGCCTGCCTGGCCTGACCAACACCCAGCCCTGATTCACGTGCTCATTAGCAGGAGCTACAGCCCACCAGACCCACTCCCACACCCAGATCTCACATGTACCAGTAGATGCTAGTCCTTACCTGACATAGTCTGCCCCCTTTGTCTTGGCCTCTGTGTGTACGGGTGGATGTTGTGGTCTGGCCTGCCCTACACCCTATTCCTGGGTGAATCTACAAGTGCTGCAGTCTGGCCTGGCCTGTTCCCAATCCGAGTACCCATGAGTATTGGAGAGTACCATGGTCATGCTTTGCTCAACCTTTCACCAACCCCAGCTCTTGAGTAAATCAGCGGGCTCTGCAGTTCTATGGGAATAAAACCATATATCCCCCCACAGAATCTGCCCCAAACCTGGTTCTCTCACATGCTGGTTAGTGTCACAACCTAATGCTACCTGTCCCTCATTCTGACACTCATTGGCAGGTACTGTGATCTAGTCCTGCCAGGTAAGCTCCAACTCTAGCTTTGGTGTATACCATGGGTAGTGGTCAGTGGTAGTCAATGCTAATGAGCCTAGCTCAGGTCTCCCACATGGACAGGTGCATTGGTCTGACCCAGAAAGGTCCTCCAGCTAACCTCCTCCAAACCACTCAGTCTCAGCCCCTTTGCTTACCTGCAAGTACAGTGACCTTGTCAGCAGAAGTCTCCCAGAAGTCATTTCTTACCTACAACATACTCCTTCAGCAGTTCCCCCTTCCACACCTCCCATATCACCTTCCCTGATCAATCCACAGCTCCTGTACCTGCAAGCCCATGGGTTCCCCAGCCAGTTTTCTGGTGGGGCAGCATGCTGGCCTGGAGCCCTGCCTATACACTCTGGATCAAACAGCCAGTCCTCTGACACACATGCTGGCCTGGGATGCTGCCAATCTGCCCAGCTGGGACTTAAGCATATTAATGAATCCACAAACCCAGTCCTACCAGCACACCACACCACACCACACCAGCATGCCAGCCTGGGGCCCTACCACCACCCTCACCTGCCTGGCACCCAAACACAAAGTTTCCACATCTGCTCCACTCCACCAGCCCCCAGCCCAAGTCCTCAGGTCCCCCAAAGTCGCCTAGATGCTGCCATGGCAGAAGCTAGGGCCTAGGTGCCACTATGGTGGAAGCAAGGAACCTCAGCTTTGTTTTCACACTTACGAGTAAGATGTTGAAGGCATTTTTATGATGGAGTCTACAAAAGATGGCAACAATTTCTTCCATCCTTGCTTGGGGCATAGTGGTCTTCCCACCAAGAGTTGGGGGTCTAGCTCTCCTTCCCTTGAATCATGTCGCTTGCTTTAATCAAAAGAACACAGCAGAAGTGTGCTTTACCAACTCCAGGCCCACACCAGAAGAGATTTAGTGGCTTCTGCTTTTGCTCTCGAAGTCAGTGTCTGCGAAAAGAATCACAGGCTAGACTGCTGAACTGTGAAGGCCATGTGGCCAACAGAGCATCCCGACTTACAGCTAGCACTGAAGTCAAGAGATGTGAGCAGCTTGGACTGTTTACTCCCATCAAGGCCAGTCAGTCCCTTGTAGAAGACTGATATGTTGTCCCTGCAGAGCCCTCCCCCAAATGCAAAGCCAGGAGCAAATAAATTGCTGCTGTTGTGTGCAGCCACTAAATTTTAAAAATGGCTTGTTAGATAACAAATCACTGAAATATCCTTCTATATATCAGGCCTGAAGTGTTCGTCCTCTTTTAATCATTTTGCAAACACTAATTGAAGCTTATAAACTATCTAAGGCCATGTAGCTGACAGGCAGCAGAGCTAGGATTTGCACAAGATCTCCCAATTCAAGGCCTTCCCTATTCTTCTCACCTCTGTCACTGACTGCGAACACCAACCCCTTCTGCCGTGGGTCTAGGTTGGATTCACACACGTGAGAAAGAAACACTTGCACAAGACAACATCAGACAAGGTTTTGAGGAGGAGGGGATATGATTTGGCTGAGAACTGCATGAAGAACCCACTTTCAGGTGAAGCAGAGGATGTGTCTATTCCATCCCTTCTCAGCTAGTACACTGTGAGAGTGAAAGCCCCTGTGCCACAAGGCAATCCCTGTACATACTAAATTAGCTTCTTCCTTATGTATCCAGAAAGTTACTGGTTATGCACCAGAGTCATCAGGAAAACAGAGAAAGCAGTCATGCACATCATTTGCATGGCTCCTGTACCCAGAGCCTTTGCTTGGGAACGGAGGGGGAGGGAGCAGCGCCCAGTGCCAGCCAGCCACATACAGAGGGGGAAGAGGCCTCCTCTTGTGGGACCTAGAAGTTAAGGGGAAGAAGGGAGTTATAATATCCTAAGGATTGGTCAGACCTTGAGCCTCAGCTCATCACTGCCTTTGCTATATGCTGAACTACTCAAGGGTCACTCCTTGACAAATATTCTTCACAGTGAACAACTGGAATCTTCACATTGAACAGTACCTCTGGCCCCAATCAATCCTTCTGTACTTAAAGAGGTACAGGCATCCTTATTTTTTTCATCTGTACACATGGCATTTGTAGAGTATCTGTGCTTAGCTCTGTGCCTGTGATTTTTTTTTTTTAAGATTTATTTTTATTTGAAAGGCAGATTTACAGAAAGAAGGAGAAACTAAGATAAAGATCTTATTTCTCCTGGACAACTGCACAGGAACTAGCACCCAAAAGGGATGCTGGCACTTGCAGGGGAGGAGTAGTCTGTTGAGCCATCACACCAGCCTGTGTGATTCATTCATTCATTCATGTTTATCTAAAAAAATCTTAAATATCTTAAATATCTTAAACATCCATCGTACACACGACTCAGGCTGAGGTAATGGGAACATCAAATATTTCCAGATGGTGACCTTATGTTCAATGTAGAACTCTTGTACCTGAAATACATATTCTGATCCTGTTATTTTGTTGAAGACAGTTACGCTTTTTTTTGGTTTCTGGTACTTCCAACAGCTTTCAAGCTAGAAAGTTGATGATAAAAAAAGAAAACTCACCTCTAGTTTGCTAAGACTTCCTTCCCCACACACTTAGGTACATAAGTACAGTTCCCTACATTGGACTGTAGAAGCAGTTAGCTGTCTTGACTCTTCTCTGCACTTTAACATTAACAGCCTGGTCCGAAGGCAGCTTCCGGCTCTAGTTTTCTCAGCCTCGTGGACCTTGAATCAACAATGGACCTTGAAGCAACAATTCCAGTTCTCTTCACATTGGGATTCCTCACATAAACTTGCAAGTTCCGGGCCTCCCCTCCCTTCCCTTAGCACCCCACTAAGTTGCGGGGCTTTTTTGTTTCAGCCTGGAATTGTAACAGTCACATCTCACTCCTACCCTTAAATACTACTAAGTAAACACAGAAGCCTTCAGGAGGCCAAATAATAGTACCCGAGCCTGGGAAACTGAAGCTCAGACTCTTGGTTCACAGGCTAAGGCTGTCTCTGGAGCTTTCTCACTTTACATTTTTAGGACGTGGCCAAGACGTCTGCTAGTTCACAGAGAAATTCGCGGGCTTCCACATATGGACAAAGGACTAACACTCCCGGGGCCGCCTCATAACCAAGCCTGCTGTACTTGTAAGCTTCAAGCCTGAACTTGAACTTCCGTTTCCCTGTGAGAAATTTTTTTTCCCCCTTCACATCTCTGCTACTTTCAGGTTCCAATGTTCCTGCCCAAACATGCAATGAAGCATGTACCGCAACACAAGCTGACCTAAAATGTCCATGTTTAGTGACTTCTTCAACTTGTAAAAATAACACGTGAAGACGCCTGGCACGATGCAGGGCCCGCGCTGACCGAGGGACGGCGTCGGGGACCTCACGCTCTCCCGCGGTCTCGGGCTGCCCCACGGTGGCCACAGCAGGCCGAAGAGAACCCCTCCGACGCGAGTGCGACGGCGCGCTGAGCCCACGCCCATTGGCCCTTCAGTTGCGCGCCGCCACGAGGTTCCGCCCCTCTGGGCTGTGTTCCCCCTCGGCTGGCCGCCTGGAAGATGAAGCCCGGACGCCCGGCACCCGTGCGCACGCGCACTCGCGCTAGCTCCCGGCGCCGCTCCGGGTTCCGCCCCCACCTGCAGACTTCCGGCCGGCTGCCCGCCTCCGCCCCGCGTCCAATAATCCGCCAATCATCGTGCACGTACGGTCGGAGTGGGTGGGACCTGAAAGATTCAAAGGGAGCCCCGCCCCCCAGGATCGGCTTCCCGGGACGAGGTTTTGGGACACAGTACCTGTTTTGTGGAAAGGTGAATATAAACGGGCAGTGGAAGCAGGTGGGTTGGAGGTGTGCGCTGCGGGCCGGGAAGGTGGCTTAGGAAGAGCAAGAACTCACAGAAGATGCTGTAGTGGGGAGAAGAAGGCGGGGACGTGGGAGGTGGCCGGGGCGCGGAGTGCGGGTAGGGCAAGGCGAGCGTCCCTCTGCACCTTTTCAGAGGGATCGGCGGTGGAAGCGTGGTCATTGGCGCAGGAGCTATTTCTGGGCGTTTGCTTGGCCTCCTGTATGACCCCTGCCCTGCCCCCTTGAAGTTAGCGGGAGGCCTGGGCGGGTTGGATGCTCAAAGCAACGGTAGGGTCTCTCTGCAGCCGAGATCTGAGCAGACCCTCGCCCCTGCTGGCTGGACATGGAGGATGTGGGGGAAGGTAAGGAAAGCCCGAAGGGAGTGGGGTTGCCTTCAGGGACCGTTAGCTGGCATTCATTCTTGTTTGCCTTCAGATGTCAAGTTTATTGCGGATGAGACCTTGGACTTTGGAGGGCTCTCACCGTCTGACAGGTACCAACCACCCTCTGTCCCACTCATTTCCTTCAGCACCAGGTCTTTGTATCTGACTCCTGTGGCCCGGGGGCTTGGGGGTAGTGGCAAGGCCTGGGCGACTGCTTGACACCTGCCTGACTCCGGCTGATGGCTGTTGGTGAGGAGTGGGCAAGGGAGTTTGATTTCAGAGGGTTCAGAGGCGGGGCAATGGAATGCTGCAACTTCACCATGACATCATGTCTGATGTCAGTGAATGGTAAAAGGCCTTTTAAAAAAAAAGATTGATATATTTTTATTGGAAAGGCAGATTTTACAAAGAGAGAGAGAGAAGTCTTCCATCCAATGGTTCACTCCCCAAATGGCCACAACGGCCAGAGCTGAGCCGATCCAATGTCAGGAGCCAGGAACTTCTTCTTGGTCTCCCATGCGGGTGCAGGGTCCCGAGGCTTTGGGCTGTCCTCGACTGCTTTCCCGGGCTACAAGCAGGGAGCTGGATGGGAAGTAGAGCAGCCAGGACATGAACTGGTAACCATATGGGATGCTGGCACTTGCAGACAGAGGATTTAGCCAGTTGAGCTGTTGAACTGGCCCCTTAAAAGGCCTGCTAGATCTCAGCAAAGCAGGCCTCTCGCCACCCAGAAGCCAGATTTCACAGCCAGCACAGACCTCAGGATTGTGTGTTTGTGTGTGTGTATAGGGTGGGTGTTCAGGCTCCCTTACATGCAACAGTCCTGTACGGGCAAAGCATCTCATTTGTTTTCTCTCTCAGTCGTGAGGAGGAGGATGTGGCAGTGTGGGCGACTCCGGAGAAACCACCCAGACGAGGTCTTTCACACCGAAGTGACCTGAATGCGGTGGCCCCTGCTCCCCAGGGAATAAGGCTCAGCCTCGGCCCCCTGAGCCCAGAAAAGCTGGAGGAAATCCTCCACGAGGCCAACAGGCTGGCAGCACAACTGGAGCAGTGTGCCCTGCAGGAGCGGGAGGGCACTGCTTCAGGACTGGGCTCCCACCGGGCCAAGGCCAGCCCTCGGCGGGAGACCTTCGTGCTAAAGGATAGTCCCGTCCGAGACCTACTGCCCACTGTGAACTCCCTGGCTTGGAGCACGCCCTCTCCTAGCGGCCTGACACCGCGACATCGCAGTGGCGAGAAGAAGGGCTTAGCCAAAACTCTCCGGGCAGCATCAGGAAAGAGGCCAGCCAGTCTCAAGAAGGTGAGTTGTAGAAGGAGGGGTTGGAGATGTGCCTGCACGTGCTGTGCATGACATGATACTGGCTTCCAGGGGAATGGTCAATGCTGCGTCTAGGACTGTTGTGATCAGAGATGCCACAGCCAAGCACTTGACCTAGCTCTGTAATGTCTGCAGTAAACTCTCAACAAATTTTGGCCACGAGCTTCTATTCCTCCTGTGATCTAAGCAGCTCTCCACTGCTGTCCCTGAAACCCTTGAAAGAGCAGAATGGACCGTTTTTCCATTCCAGCATTTCCTCCCTCTCTTTGTGCTTCAGGAATCACCTACTTGCAATCTGTTCCCGGCATCAAAGAGCCCAGCGTCTTCTCCTCTTGCCCGATCAACTCCTCCAGTCCGGGTGAAGACTGGGCCCAGTGTGAGAGCAACACCAAGTGAGAACCTGCAGGCAACAAGGCTGGGGGTGGGTAGGAGCAAGGAGGATGTGGAGTTCACCCTGATTTCCCATGCTCCCCTCCACCAGGCCCACCTGCCCCTGTCAGGCCAGGCCTGGCCCCACAGCCTTCTACCACCAACTCTCAGCGCCTGCCCCGGCCACAAGGAGCAGCTGCTAAATCTTCCAGTCGACTGCCCGTTCCCTCGGCCATTCCCAGACCTGCCAGCCGCATGCCACTTGCTAGCCGGGGTGGGCCACCTGGCAAAGGTGCCCTGCCTCCTGATTCTGTGTCAACTCGGAAAGGGCTTCCCAGACCCAGTGCTGTGGGACACAGAGGTGAGGAAAAGGGGACACGAGGGTGAAAAAAAATACCCAACTTGATCTTCCCCTCTGAGGGCTGGCAAGGGAACACTCTTCCACCATCTTCACTTCCGTGCTATTTGAAGCTGGGGAGACTGTTAAGCAGAATGTGCAGCTGGGCAGAGAATCCGAGCCCAGGCTTCCAAGGGCTCTTGGATTTAACTTCTTGTGGGGTGCACTGAACCCACCCTCAACTGTCTCCATTTAGTATTTGTTTTTTGAGACAGTCAGCTGAACTTTCTGCTAATTCGTCTCTTTGATAACCCCTGCCAAGTTCCTGTTTCCCAGCGACCACATCCACCTGTCACCAGTGCCACTCGTAACAGTCTGCAGCCCTCCAGGAAAGCCGCTGTCCCAGGACCCACAAGGTAAGACTGATTGCCCCATTGCACCAACCCCTGCATCCCAGTTTCCAAGTTGTTAGGCATGTCAGCCTTGGGTTCTGTATGGAAACAAAGGAGGTAAGGAGGGACGCCCGGAGGAGAGGGGGAGGGATCCCATTTCTTCCCATCTCCTGAGGAGCTTGAACCCAGCTGGGTGACTGTTGGGCTTGAGGAAGAACGGCAATTCGAAGATGTTCTTCTATGTCTGTAGGTAAGAGGTTAGGACAACGAGCAAGAATTCAGTAGCAGAACACTACAGTCCCTGCCAGAGCTCGCCTTGCCTCAGCAGATTCTAGCCCACGGCCAGTCCCCCAGGAATAGAGACCCGAGAGGATGAGGTGGATTAGCTGGTTGAGCTGCAAAGAGACTCAACCTCTCTGGGTTGAAGGATTAGTGGAAAAGAGGTCACGTCCCAACAGTGACATCAGCACACAGCCGCTGAGCCTCACAGGCAGGCGGTCGTCCACTTCCACCCTCACTGGACGTGGGCGTCGGAGTGGATGCGAGAATGCCTCTTTCTCACTCACTGTGACGTTCTCTGAAGAGAGCAGTCTTCATGCCTCACGCCCCCTGTTGGGCTCAGCTGGAGACATGCACCTGCATGGTCTCTACCGCTTGTTGCCTGTGAATTCTCTGAGTTCTCACAGGCCAGAACTCTACTAGTCTTCATTTGTATAAAATAAAGTGAGTGTATTTTTATAATCTGTGTAGACCTGAATGTTGATCTTGTTCTGATTACTGACAAAGTGAAGGGACACCTCTGTAACTTGGTGAAGCAGCCAGGGTGGGCCTCTCAGGGCAGGGCCTTGCCACTTGGGCTTTAGGCTGTGATTAACCCTCTCGCTGCCCTTTGGTGGGAGCAGGCTGCCTTTCCCTGGCACGGTGTTGGACAGCCCAGAGATCACATGCATATTGTTTAACATAGTGTGTGGCTGTGAAGCAGGGACCTAGGTAAATTGCTTCCATTCTGAACGGAGCCTTCTAGAAACTTGCCAGCTTCATATCTGCTGCATTTGGGGAGGAGGAGACCTTGTGGGGCCTTCAGCTTCCCTGAGCACTCCATCCAAGGACGCTGGACCCCCTTGTCACCTTCTGTGTGTTCTTTCATGTCCCCTGCTAGACTGGAGGACTGGAAAACTGGACTTCTACATCTCTGCACTGCCCCAGTGCTGTGCCTAGTACATGGTAGAGCATTTTAGTAATTTATCCAAAAAATAGATGGATACACATACCAGATGATGGGTTTTTATCAAGTAGAGAAGACTTGCACAGTGCTCGTTTTGGGGCTACATTCTATTTCTCTTTATTTTGTTGATAATCTTTACATAGTTGATTAGAGCACAAAGGGTCAAGGGCTAGAGGAAAGTGGGTAAGACCATTGTTATCACATTCTCTTTCTTCCTTCTTGCATCAGGGGGAAGGGGAGAGATAAGGGAAGAAGCCACACCCAACCTCCCAACCATTCCAGAGTTCCCAACGTCCGAGGACTCTGCTAAAGTCGTTTTGATAGTTCAGCAGTTGCTGCCCATCTCACTACTCCAAGCACGGTGAAATTTCTCCAGACTCCACTGACTGACATAGTCCACCTTAGAGTCTCCTTTTGATCAGATTTTTACTGCCAACACACGGCTGGGGCAGTGGGTTGATTTGTTTTGTCCTCCATCCTCTGTTCTGGTACCAAGTGTCCTCTGCAGGCTCCAGTTTACTGCCGTATCCTCCATGTGTAACTGGCCATGCTGCCCATTGCTCTGACTGAGCCACTGAGGAGGTCCAGCTCTGACACAAGCATTCCACGAACAGACCATGGACCCTGCAATTCTTTCCATGGTTGAAGTTCTAAGTCCAGCAGTTCAGTTGAGGGATCCCCAAAGAAACCTCATCTGGGGCGATCCCAGACCTAATGCTTGTGTATGCTTGCTGCTGCAGGGTCCGCCACAGTCTGTCACCCAAATCAGCCTATGCACACACTGGTGGTTGCAATTGCTGGGTCAGTTCTGTCCTAGCCCTGTCCTCTATGCAAACTAATGGGTGTTGGAGCCTAGCCCGATCCTGCCCACCACATACTTGGCCATGTAAACCAGTGGGAGCTGAAGCCTAGTTGAAGCAACTCCCAATAACCCCCACCAGTCCTGCCCCCTGCCCTGATTCCCATGCTTGCCAATATGTACAGCAGACTGGTTCAGTCTGTCCCACATCACATTCAGCTCTTGTGCATGTCAGTGGGCATTGAAGCCTGGTTCAACCCAACCAGTTTCACTATCCAGCCAGCACACCTGCCAGCAGGTGCCACTCTCTATCTAGTCATGCCTGTCCCAGTCCTGGTTCTCATGCTCACCAGTTAGTGGCAATCCAAGAGGGAGGTGTCCACCATTTCCCTACTGGGTCCACTCCCATTTCTGGATCTTGCACTCTCCAGGTGGTTCTGCAGTTTAACTTGATAGAATTTGCCCCCTGTGCCAGCCCCTACCAGCTGATGCTGTGGCAAAGACCAACCAACCAACACCCACCGGTAGGAACAGTGAACCCAGTCTGGCTTTCCCTGATCCAGCTCACATGAGGCCCACAGGTGTTATAGCCCTTCCCAGCCTGGTCTGCCCCCAGTCCCAGCTTTCACACTCACCACTGGGAGTAGTGGTCCAGCAGGGGAGCCCCATTCAGCAACCTGTTGTTGTGTTCATTTCTCTACCTCGTGGTCTCATGTGTGCTGGTTGAGTGCTGCGGCCCTTTCTGGCATGGTCATTCTCACCTTGGCATTTGCCAATGGGTGCTGTAGCCTGGCTAGGCCAAGCAAAGCCCCCAGTTCCAGCTCACCCTGTTGGGGGTTACAGCCTAGCCCAGCCCAGCCCAGGCAGTTGGGGCTGCATTTTATACAGCCGTTGACGCTTGCCATCAGAACCAACCTAATTCCTTGGGAATTGTTTTTGGCTGAGACACAGAAAGAGCTCCCATCCCCTGGTTAATTCCTCAAATGCCTGTACCAGCTGGGACTGGGCCAGGCTGAATCCAGGAGCCAGGAACTCAGTCCAGGTTTTCCACAGCAGGACCCAACTACTCAAGCCATCATACACTACCTGCCAGGGCCTGTGCTGGCAAGGAAGCTGGGGTTGGCAGCAGAGCAGGGAATTGAGTTCCAGCACTCCACTGTGAGACTCAGACCTCATACATGTGCAATCAGCCCCGACGCCCTAGTGAGTGTTAAGGGAACTTCTCTCCTTGGAGGCCAGGCCATGACTTCTGGAACGCAGCAGGCAAATGTGACTGCCCCATGATACCCCTGCCTGTGCCAATACACCTGTCTGTGCCCTCCCTGAGGGCACAGCTGGGACTTAGAGCATTCCACTTGCTCTACTGCTGGCCTCCAGTTTCATTTGACACGCTCACTTTCAGCACAGTGGTAGCCAACCAGGCATCCACCTTTCCCTGAGCCTCCATGCACCTGAGGGATTCCAAGATTTGTTGCGGGAGCCAGAGGCAAGGACAGACACTGGGCCTAATGGGACTCTGGCTTTAAGCATAGAAAGGCTTCAAATCCAGGTGAGTGCTTAGGCAGGAGTGAGAGGGCTGGGTTGGAATTGAGGGTGGGTGGGTCTGGAGAAGCCCAGCAGCTGCCCAGGCACGCGCTCTTGCCACTGGCGGTGGGCGAGGGCAAGGTGTGTGGTGTTCCCCTTTGTGTTCTTGAGTTTTGTGGCCCATCCCAGGCCATCCTTTCCCTGCTCCCCAACACAAAGTCACTTAAAGCAGCAGTCAGTAGGCACTGCCTGCCTCCTTGCCTTTGGCTGAGCTTTCCATTTTCTCTTGTCTACACACTCTTCCTTCCCCACACCCAGTGGCTATAAGGAAAGCCAGTATCTGTTGGCCTGTTCCCTATGAACTGCACTAAATGTGCATGTGTGAACTCACTGAATTCTCATAAAAAGCTCAGTTAGGTAGATACTATTATCACTGTTCTTGCTAGAGATATTATCACCCAGTGTGAACCCCCTCTCTGCTTGGTGGGACAGCCCTGAAACTTAGTACTGGAATGAATGATGGACATACTAGACTATAAAGCTGTTGCTTTATTTTCCAGCGTGTTTGGGGAGAAGGAAGGGGACAAAAACAAGGAGCAAACAATGGCCTACAGTGGTACAGTTAAGAAGCCCTGGGCACAAAGGGCCCTGGTGAGGTCCTTGGAGCCTGTCAACTCAGCCCTCCCCCATCTCCTTAATTCTGCCCCAGCAAATGTCCCTGTCCAGGACCCAGCAGCCACAGGGGCAGGGCTGTGGACCTGTCTGCTCCCTGCAGGCTCTCTAGCCACCCCAGCCACTCAGGTCCCTCCCATGATGCTGAAGGGACATGGGCACAGACTTGGGCTTGGTGCTGAAGCAGCTATTTGGAGAGCATGGTCGAAGACATCCGTGGAGGGGCAGCTTAGCAGCGAGCTGGTATGCCAGTCTCCCTGATGTTCTTGTGGGAGGGCAGGGAAGCATATGAGGACAACACACCACCCGCACAGAACTAGTTTATTCAATAGTATGAAGGATGGGGGGAAAGCCAACAACAAAACTCTACCGTATTTACAGTAACAATCAAACTGTACAATCTGATGGTTAGTATCAAGTTAGCATCCAGCATCTTTGTATTTTTTTAAATCCTCAGTAGTAATAACTGGTTAAATTTTTAACCCCTTGCAGGAATTGCTGAGGGGAGAGGGCCGGGGTGGAGTGGGATGGTGGCAGGGGAAGGAATTCCACGCTGGAAAGCCCGAAGCCATCCTTACAGTTGAGCACCAGGGACATTGTCCTACATCCCTAGCCTCTTCCAGCCACCTGCTCCTGAGGGAGAGGCAGCAACAAGTCTGGGATCCATGCTCAGAGTGAAGGGCGACTCAAAGGAACAGCAGTTGGCAACATTAAGAGGAAGACAGTCGGGGCACAAAAATCTGGAGTGAGGACAGGGCGCTGGGGACACACCCTGACTTCTGATGGCCACATCTCTCACACACACGCACACACACACACACACACACGCCCCACTTGGGGCTGAACACAAACTTGTCCCAGCTCAAGAAACAAATAAATAAAAAATATATTAACTCTCTCTCCGCTGGGAGCTGGGGTGGCATGGACCAGGAGGGACAGGACCTTGTCCTTTGAAGAAGAGAGTCAATTCCAGAAAGGGGTTAAAAACAGACCGAGGCCAGAGGCCACAACAAGGCGGACCAAGTGGCCTTTGTGGGATGTTGAGCAGGGGTGGGGGAATGTGGACACCAGAACCCAGACCTGGCATCTGTGCTTGAAGTCCCCCTGGACAACTGAGACCCCACCCTGTGCTTCCTCCCTCCAATTCCCACCACCACCACCTGCAACAGCAAAGAAGCAAAGAAGCACAACTTAACACGTGATTGACCTAGCCCTGGCTGGGCCAGGCCATGGCAGGCAGGAAGAATGAAGCACTTTCGGGTCAGCAAACTGAGCAAAGACCTGGGCTGCAGCCCATGGCCGCGTCCAGGGAAAGAAGGAGAGGGGCTGGGCTGGCACAGGCTCCCCCTCTGAGTGTGTTCATGCAGCATATAGGAGTCCGGGGGTGGGGGGCACCGAGTCCTTCTGCCCCCTGGCCGGACAGGGCTTTTTCAGTTCCTGGGAGAAGCAATGCAGGCCGGGTGACCACCCCTCACCATACTGAGGCCCACCCGGCTGCAGCCGGCAGGGCTTGGGCCCTGGGTGCGTGTGGCTTTTTGTCCTTTCCTTTGGGTGATGATGGCAAATGAGGAGCAGGCCCCCCAAAGAGTCCCTCTCCTTCCAGAGGCACGGCAGATGTTGGAAACTGTGGAGAGGCTGGGGTGCATCCGGGGTGGGGGGTGGTCCTATTCTCTTTGGGAAGGGAAAGGGGAGTCAGTTTCCAGTGTATAAAAAAATGAATCCCTGAAGTCATGAAGAGTGGAGATCCTTTCTGAAATTCTTTTTTTGTTTGTTTGTTTTTGTTTTTTTGTTTTCCTCTTTTCTGAAAAAACTTTGTCTTGGAGATGTTGGAGTCCAAAGTGCAGTGAGGGGGATGGCGGGGGAGGGGGTTGGCACTAGATGGCCCTGCAAGGCCCCGGACTCCTCCTCCTCAGATGGACGTTTCGTCGCTGCTGTGGGCAGGCAGGCGGTGGGGAGCGGGGGCAGGACAGAGCACAAGACAACAGGAGCGAGGCATGAGTGCAGCTGGGGAGGGGAAGGGAGCCTCGGCACGGAAGAACCACCACCGGCCCGGGGTTAATGCAGGAAGTTAAAGAAGAGAAATCTGGAGAGACAGGAAAGCAAAGTGGCAGAAAAGGCAGACAGAGGGTTAGCTGAAGCCCAGGAGACAGCACCAGAGGAGCTTGCACCAGAGGAGAAAACAGAGAAGCACCACTCCCCCGGACTCCCCACCCATGCCTCCTGCTGGCCTGTGCTGTGCTGGACTGGGCAGCAGAGCCCAAGAGGGGCTGCCCCGCCCCAGTGCTAGCCCCAGGGGCACTTCCTAGTCCAAGCTGGATGACATGCAAACTCTCTGTCTTGTTGCTGGCTGACCAGAGAGGCCAGAGAAGCCTGGCAACATGGCCAGGGTCTCTGCTGAGCAGGCTGTGGCTCCCTCGTCCCACCCAGTGGGCCCCACTCACTCGGAGCCCGACGAGTCCTCATCCACGGTGCCTGCCTTGATGCTCATGGCGATGGGCATGACTCCGTTGAGCTGCTCCTGGAGACTCTGCCTGGGCGGTGGGCGGGGAGGGGGCCCAGGCCGGCCACTCTCACTGGCTGAGGAGGCCCGCGATGAGCCAGTGCCCTGTTCCAGGGGCAGCCGTAGGAGGCTGCTTTTCTCGCTGATGGTGGGCAGACACTTCTTCTTGAGGATGCCTGCAGGCCATGGGGGCAGGCATCACAGGGTGCAGGTGGAGAGGGCAAACAAACCTGGGGTACTACGAGGTGGGAAGCTGCCGGCCCAATGTGGTGTAGTGGTTGGGTTGCCACCCTACTTACCTTTATGGGGCTGGGCAGAAGGTCCTGGAAGGGGGCCCAGGGCTGCTTCCCGAGCCAGCAAGTTGTCTCCATTCTCCCGTGGCCGCTCCTCAGGGACCCCAGGGCCACCGCTCTCCTTGGTTGTGGCCCCAAAGTCTCCCGGCCAAGGCACCTTCCCAAGCCCTGGGCCCCCATCTGGAGGGAAGAGAAGTGGATGAGGCCCAGAGCAAGAGGGACAAGGCAGTCACCACTACAGGTGTGCTTCCCAAGGAGCCTGGGTCCCTTGCACTCCCCCTGTACTCCCAACCTCAGTCCCACCCTCAAGCCTCAGCCCTAGTGCTGGCCCACCCTTGGGGGTACTGTGGAGGGGCAGCCTCTCAGCTCCTGGTCCCAGCAGGCTGTCCCAGCCCTGCTCTCCAGGGAAGGCAGCCTCTTCCTCTTCCTCCTCCTCACTGTCAGAAGAGTGGGTAGAGGCGTAGGAGCCGCTCTGGTCGTCTTCCAGGGACAGGTCACTGTCGGAGTCAGTGTCAGCATCTGGGAGGTCAGGAAGAGAGAGATGACAGCAGGCCCACCAGCCTCTGTCCACCTCCCACCACCCCCAGCAGAAGACAGGCCCCTGGCCCTCTTGACAGCCAGAACCTTCCATCCTCACCATGCTGCTGGCCTTGACCTTCCAGAAACAGGCCACCTGGATCCCCCAGGCCAGGAGGCCCTTGGCTGGGGTTCAATGTGGACTCCTCCCTAAGAGGACAAGAGCATGCTGAGGACCTTACTTGACCTCCTGCCCTGCCTCGTGTACCCTTGGTACCCTTGGTACTTGATTCAAGCTGCCTCCCTTGTCCAGCAGGTGTGCTGTTCTCCTCCCAGGGCCATAGCGTGCACAGGCCTTCCTTCCCTCCTTGGTCCCTCCCACCTGCAGGCTCACCTCAGCAAGAAGGGGATGTAGCTGGGCTGACTCTTGCCTGAGCGGCTGGCGCTGTGCAGAGAGCCGGCCGAATCTCCGTAGGGCTGATATAGGCGCCCGTCTGTGTAAGGGCTGGGGCAGTTGTAGGACTGGGCAGGGCACAGAGAAGTATGCTAAGCAGCTGAGCTGAGGAGAATAGCCCCAAGCTGGCAGGTAGAGGGCCTGGGAATCTTGCCCCAGGTCTGAGAGAGGGAAGTCATGCATCCCCTGCTGCCCATGTCAAGGCCTGCCATGGTTACAGCAGCTCTGCCACAACCGTCCCAGCAGACACACCTGTATGTAGCTGTGTAGGGGACCACTCTGGTCAAGGGCAGCACCAGCAACGGTCACAGAACATCAGAGCATTTGACCAAAACCCCTAAAGGGCTCTCAGGTGCACTCTCGGGATCGCACTGCCCAAGGTCTTTTCCTCTCCACATGACACAATCCCATGGCCCCAAAGTGTCCTGCCCAGGTCGCACCTGCCACCTGCCCTTTCCTCCTTCCAGGAAGGGGTACAGGGATTGAGGCAAGGATGAAAGCAGGCCCCAAGTATAGAGAACAGGCACTTTGGGCCTACTACCTCCCCGCACCTCTGCTTCCCTCCTTGGGCTCCCTCACCGAGGTCAGGGTAGACTTGGTGGTCAGAGCAGGGTCGGGGCTGGGCTTGCGGCTGCAGGCGAATCGCAGTGCTTTCCGGACCTCCTTGCTGAGCACCACGTAGGAGAGGAAGATGAAGGGGCCCTGGCAGGCAAAGACAGCAATAGCTGGGACTTTTCCAGGCACCCTGACACTGTGGCTTCCTTTCTTCCACGCCACCCTCCTGTCTCCCTCAAATCTGTGGGCTGGCTGGGTACCTGGAGGCAATTGCAGGCAGCAAAGAGGTAGTGGAAGAGAAGGGTGTCACTGTTGACGGACAGCAGTGCCAGCAGCCAGGCGGCACTCAGCAGCAGCAGGACAGCAAAAGAGGGCTGCAGGCCTGAGCTGGGGGGCAAGGGGAGGAACAGCTAGGCCATGAACCAGGCTGTGAACCTGGCCATGAGGCCTCCCATGCATGTGTGTGTGCATGCGTGTATGCGTGCCCTCCTCTACCCCGCAACCCTCCCCCACTACTTACATAGGTCCTTTCTTCTCAAAACCCTGCCTCTGTGCAGCACAGGAAGCCCGGGCAGCCAGGATATACAGGAAGACGCTCATCTAGGCAGGGGAAGAGATGGGCATGAGCAGGACCCCAGGATATGCACAGCTCCCACCCCACCCAATGAGGTGTCCCTCCCCCTGCAGTCAAGCCCCTCATAGAGGGAGGGGATCCTGAGGATGCAGTTGGCCTGGTCACCTACCGAGACAGCAAAGGCCACAGGGCCAGCGAAACTCCAGATGAGCGTATCGTAGATGGAGAGCCAGCAGAAGTCAGGGTTCCCGTAACCCTCAGGGTCCAAGCCCACCGCCAGACCTGAGAGCATGGAGACAGTGGCAAGGGAGGGTAGTCAGGGCCTCAGGTCAGGGGGAGCCGTGGGCAGGGCTGCATTCTGAGGACCAGGGGCAGAGCATGGGGAAGTGGTCTTTCCAAATATTCCCTGCACAACAGGGGACTGACCCCTCTTGCATGGGGCTCGGGAACCCCTGAGTTAGGGAACCCCTAAGTGCAAGGGACACGAATGAACAAGTTGGTCTAAGATACAGGGACATAGGGTCTGAGGGCCTGCACTTTGGGTAAGGAGAACGTAACACAAATGAGGGACCTAGTACCTTGGCATGGGACACCCACCAGCCAGGCCTGGAGATGGGGTACCTGTGATGAAGGCTGGCACACCCCAGCCCAGCATGTAGTAGAAGCGCATGGGGCCCGTGTTGACGTCGCGCACTTCGGTGAGTGCCCGGTACAGGTGCAAAGCCTCCAGCAGGGCCCAGGAGAAGGTGCAGAGGTACAGGAAGTGCAGCAGGATGGCGATGACTGTGCAAGCAAACTGAGGCCAGGCCCCGCCCATCAGCAAGGGCGACCACTACCCGCACCCAGGGCAGGGTTCTGCTCAGGTTGGGCAGGAGAGCTGGGCTGGGGGGCATGGGAGGCGGGAGGGACAGAGACCTCCAGGGTGCTGGGGGACTCAGGGGAGTAAGTGGGGCATAGAATCCCCAGGGGGCTGCAAAGCTGGAGGGTGGGCAGGCAGAGTGGTCTCTGGGAGGAGGACATCTTACAGGCAGGTCAGCCTGGTTGACTCCCAGGAGGAAAACGAGCTGGGCCAGGCCGAGAGCAGCTGTCAGATTCCGTCGAATCCCATGCTGGTTGGAGCGCAGGGCTCGCAGGACGGTGAGGAAGAGGAAGGTGAGCAGAAGGGTAGCCAGCGTGATGCCCAGAGCCACATAGGTCAGTGTCTTCAGCGGCAGGATCTCTCCATTCTGCAGGGTCAGTTTCAGGGTTTGAGCAAGAAGCTGGTCGAATGAGGAAGGCAGTGCCTGTGCTGTCACCCTCATTCCCTAGTGGTGGGGTGTTGGGGGGCTGCCCCACCTCTCGCCGGGACACATCCATGAGCACCGCGAAGCTTGTCATGTGGTTGCACTGACAGCTGACGTGGCTCTCGTTGCGGAAGACGACCTCGCAGCCTCGAGCCGACCATCCACCTGTGCCACTGACCCTGCGGGAGCAAGGCGGTGTCAGGGAGACCAGGGTCAGGGAAGAGGTCCCAGGGGCCTGGGCTTTTGACTCAGAACCTGGGGTAAGTGCTGGCTCACAGGATAGAATGGTTCCAGAAGACACAAATGGGCTTGGTTCGCTCCTCTGTCTCCAACAGGCGGAACTGTACAGTGACCGGCTTGTCCAGGGAGCGGGGCAGTAGCTCCTCATCGTCGTGCACGCTGATGCTCACCACGGGTGTGTTGATGACAGGGCGTTTGGGGACTCTGGGGGTGGGGCAGGCTAATGCTTGTCACCATGGCAGCTGCCATGACCCCCTCTGCATGCTTGGCACTGCCCTCTCCTGCCCTGCCTGGCCCCGTCCCATCCCGTTTTCTCACCTGAGGCTGCGCTTGTCCGGGTCATAGTTGTGGGGCAGGAGGCCAGCCAAGGTGCGGTAGATGATGACACTGGCCACAGCCTCGCCCTGGCTCAGTTCCGGGTGCCGCCGCTGCCGCCTTGCCACCTCCTCAGGCTCCTGGGCCTCCCCAGGGCCCGCGGGCCTGACCATGGGGGACACCTCTGGGAATACAATGCTGTCCCCGTGAGGACATGGGGCCCCAGGGGCCGGCCCCACACCCTGCCCACAGCCCACAGCTGCCACTGACCACGGAAGACAGACTCGGGCAGGATGACTGTGGTCTCGAGGTCGGGAGGCCGCTCCCCGCGCAGCGCCTCGTAGCGTGGCAGCTTGGCCCCTGCGAAGTTCCCCTTGTCCAGGCGCACCACGGAGATGACTAGGGATAGAGGGCCAGGGCCGGGGTGGGACTCCAGCCCGAGGCAGGTAGGTCCCCGTGCACATGCTCTGTGGGGCTGGGGGGAAGGAGCTCACCGATGTTGGGTGTCACGATGGTAAAGGGGCTCAGGTAGGTGTGCCGCATGTTCTGGGCCAGCGCGCTGGCATAGGCCTCGTAGTGCTGCAGCAGCCAGGCGGTGCCACCCTCGGTCTGCTGGATCAACTCCCAGTGCCGCTTGTTGGCCGCATCCAGCAGAGCACTGCCCACCCGCAGCAGATTCTGGGGGTGGGCCCGGACATGGTATCAATGTGCTGCCAGTCCCATCCACCTCATCCCTCGCTGCCAGCCCCTGCCTCCACATGGACTAGCCCCACTCCTCACCCACCTTGCACTGCCCTTGGCCTCCACCAGCACCTCCCCCTGGGAAGCCCTCTGGGTCACGCTGCCTGCCCTAGTCATCAGACACTGCCTCTAATCCTGCCCCTCTTCTCTTTCTCAATAAAACTCCAAGCTCATGAGGCTGTCATCCAGATAAAGTGTGTTAAGCCTCCACCCACAACACTAGCATCCCAAAAGGGTGCCAGTTCAAGTCCTGGTTGCTCCATTTTGTGATCCAGCTCCCTGCCAATGTGCCTGGGAAAAAGCAGCAGATGATGGGCTGAAAGCTTGGCCTCTGCCATCCATGTGAGAGACCTGGAGGAAACTTCTGGCTCCTGGCTTCAACCTGGCCCAGCTTTGACTGTTGTGGCCATTTGAGGAATGAACCAGTGGATGGAAGATCTCTGTGTTTCTCTAACTTTTTAAAAACAAATAACCTTTAAAAAAAAATAAACTTTCCCAGTCCATGGGTCCACACAGATGTCCCCACGTCCTGTTTCCCTCCAGCCTAGGTGTGGTGGTCAGGCCTCTCAGGCCACACTGCTTCCTGACACTAACAGTATTTTCTATGGCCCCTGGATGTGAGAAGGAATGGGAAGCAGCACTCTAATGACCTCCTAGCAGGTGCAAGCTCCCCAGAATCAGAGGGGAGGGGACCCCCTTCCCACTCACCCCTGCAACTCCCACCTAACCAGCCAGCTCTGCCTCTCCCAAGCCCCACCTCGGTGAAGTGCACGTCCTGTGTGGCCGACAGCCCAAAGCCACGCTGGGCACTCTCATGGGCCAGCAGCCGGGTGGCCAGCTGGTAGGCCACCTTGACGTCGCTGCCAAAGTAGCCAGCTGTATGCTGTGTGGCATTGCGCAGCAGCAGGGCCAGCCGCTGAGAACGCCCGGAGTCCAGGCCAGACTCGTTCCGCTGCAGCCGCTCTGCCTGGACAGCAGGGGTAAAGGGATGGGGGTCAGTGCTGGATGATGGGAATTGGAACTGTGGGAGATGGGAGGGCATAAGGAAGAGGAGAGGTGGGCATCCCAGGAACCTAGGGGCTGGAATTCCAGAACCCACTTTATTAAGGACAAGTGAGACAAGGAGGTGGAGAGGGGTGGGTGGGTGGGGAGACAAGGAGACGCAGGTGCTCACTCACAAAGCCCTTCAGCTCCGAGAAGGTGACCGAGGTGCAGTTGAAGAGGTTCGGGGGAAGCCAGCCTCGGTGCTCATCACAGTGGCGCACAGCAGTGCCTAGTGGGGAGGGAAATCAAAAGGGCTAGCCTCAAATCTATCAAGTTAAATTCCAGAACCACCTGGAGAGTGCATAATCCAGGAGTGGGACTGGCCTAGAAGGGAAATAGTGGGCTCCTTCCTCGGGTTACCACTCCCACCGGAGAGTACCAAAACCAGGACAGGAGCAGGGGTGGCTAGACAGAAAGGCACCTAACAGCACGTGTGTGGGCTGGATAGTTGAGCTGGTTAGATGGAACTAGGCTTCAATGCCCATTGACATGTATGAGAGCTGAATGAGATGTGGGACAGACTGGACTAGTCTGCTGTACATAATGGCAAGCACGGGAACCAGGGTAGGGGGCGGGCCTGGTGGGGGTTATTGTGGGTCGCTCCGACTAGGCTGCAGTTCCCACTGGTTTATGTGAGGGCCGAGTGTGTGCTGGGCAGAATCAGGCTAGACTGCAATACACACTGGTTCCAGTGGAAGACAGGGTTGGAAACAGAACCGACCCAGCAATTGCAACTACCAGCTGACTGGGGCGATGGATTGTACCGGGCCCTGTACTTGCCAAGTACACACAAAAATCTGGTCTGGGATCACCTCAAAGTTTCTTTTGGAATCTCCCCAATTGAACTGCCGGACTCAGAACCCATGGTCTGCCGGACTCAACCCATAGTCTGCCATGGAGTGCAAGTGCAAGTACCAGAGCCGAGCCTCCTCAGAGGCTCAGATGGAGCAGTGGAGAGCATAACCAGCTGCACATGGAGGACATGGCAGTCTATTGGAACCTGCAGAGGATACCTGACATCACAAAGGAGGACAGAACAAATCAATCAACTATCCTAGCCATATGTTGGCAATGAAAAACTGGGCAAATGGAGACTCTAAGGTGAACTATGTCAATCAGTTGATCCTGCAGCAACTTCATTGTGCTTGGACTGATGAGATTGGCAGCACTTCATAACTGTTGAACTATCAAAACCACTTGTGCAAGACCCTCAGAGCATGCCCCATATCAGGGACCTGGGTTGGGTGGGAGACTGCATGGAGCTTCTCCTTTTATCTCCCCCTTTACTCCAGATACAGGAAAAGAAACAATGTGGAAATAATAGTCTTACCCACTTTCCTGTAGCCCTTGAACCTTTTTGCCCTAATTAACTATGTAAAGATTGTCAAAAATAAATAAAGAAAAAAAAAAACCAAAAGGCCTAGCCTCGAGGAGATACCCACCTTGGAAGCCCCTGAAATGCAGCTAAGAGCCATGCAGGATGCCCACACCGGGGAAGAGATGTGCAAACAGGATGACAGATGTGAACATCTAGCATCTTGGCAGCACCTGTGCAGGCACAGGCTGCACATGGCCAGAGCCCTGACCCCACACAGGCCACTCCCCTCTGCAGCTTCCATCCTGTGCTCATTGCCAATCTGAGAATGGGTACCAACCCCCTTCACCCAGACTATGCACCTTTAACTCCGGCCCCAGGACATAAGCAGAGAACAGAATCACAGCTAAATCTCTAGCACCTAGCCCTCTGCTTGACACAGCTCTTTGCCTAAAGGATCCCTGGGACACCCAGAAGAGGAGGAGACAGTGAGTCAAGGAACACAGGACCCAGAGCCCAGCAATCAGGGCACCTGGCTCTGCAGCCAGTGGGATTCCTGCCCTCACCACCCTGATGGCAGAGGCCTAGGCCTCAGCTTCACAACCTGGGCCTCTAGCACTTACCAAAGGAGCCTTTGGGGCAAGGGGCAGCAGCAGGCAACCCGAAGCGGGTGCGGGGCCACCAGATTCCAGCTTCGATGGCCCGCGGGCAGCTGTCGTAGTTCACTGTGGGGCAGAAGGAAGAACACTCGGTCATGCAGGGGCAGCTTGCCTTCTGCAGCAGCGACCCCGGGCTTTCCACCCCCGATTCTGGGCACTCTCAGGCCTTGCAGTCAGCCCCCACCCTTGCCCCAGGCCTTCCTGGGTACCACAGGGAAAAAGCTGCCTGTAGCCCTGGAGCCCCACCTTCACAGCCGTTGGTGGTGACTTCTGCAAAAGGATTGTCACAGCGGTCACACTGGCGCCCAATGACACCTGGCTTGCATGGACACTGGCCGTCCTCGGGGTTGCAGACACGTGACAGAGAGCCCGTGGGGTAGCAGTCACACAGGAGGCAAGTGGAGCTTCCAGGGGGCCGATAGTGGTTCTCCTGGAAAGGAGGGTGGGCGAAGCAGGGAGGGTGTCACTGTCTCAGACTCTCTCCCCACGCACCCACAGACCCTTCCTGCAGGGGCCCTGCTCTTGCCCTCTGCAGCAGAGGCTCCCAGAGAGCAGGGACTGTGTCTGAGATATCTACCAGCCAGGAGTGATTTGCAGTGGAACACAGGGATGAGCTGCCAGGAAAGCAGAGCAGGTTGCCAATCAGGACTCACTGCCCAATTTCTGGCCCTGAGGATCACAGACAGTGAGGACCAGTAGCCACCTGTGGTGCTTGTCAGGCCCATGGACCTCAGCTCTCTGCAGTAAGACCCATTGCCCAGGCCTGCCTTCCAGAGCCCAAGAGGTAAAGAACAGGGGGCCAAGCAAGCCATAGTGGCAGAGTGGTGGGGGCGGTCACCTTGCAGTGGCACTCGCCGCTTGTCTTGTTGCAGTCTGGGTCGAAGCCTTTGCTGACGTCACAGTTGCATGGACCACATGTGGGATGTCCCCACCAGCCACGGGGGCAAGGCTGGTCAATCCTGTGGAGGGATGGGAGAGGGAGACAGCACCAGGGCAGGCATGAGTTCCTTCTGCCACTCCGGCCTGGTGTAGCCATCTGATCCTTAGCTGCAGCTCAGCCAGGCTATTGGGGGCACTCAGAGACACAGCCGAAACAGGCAGCGGCCATGGGGGCCTTCCAGTCACATGCCCTGGTCTGCTTACCTGGTCTCACAGTATGGCCCCAAGTAATTTGGGGGACACTCGCAAGTGTAGCCATGGGGAGCGCTGGGCTTGCGGGTACACACGGACTGGTGCTCGCACGGATTCAGTTCACACACATTAGTACAGTTGTCACCATAGTAACCTGGGACCACAAGGACGGATGGAGTCAATCCCCACCCAGCTCCAGCGCTGTCTTCTATCCAGCCCCTCTCCATCCACATCCTTCTACCCAGAGCATCCTTCCGGCTGGCTAGCTGTGAACGAACTCATAGGCTCAAGATCAAGGCTTATAGGAGCTCCATTGTCACACAGCATGGCCAGAGCTGGACCCTGGGCACCTGAGAACCTGCCCTGCTCCCTCTCACTTGATCCCAAGCGCACCTGGGTCACAGCTGCAGGAGTAGCTGTCCCAGTCATTACTGCAGTAGCTGTTGGCAGGACACGGGTTTGAGTCACAGGGGTCTGGTAGGCTACAGCCTGGCTCCACGTTGATGCTCTCCCCACGGCTGGGATCCAAACTGCTGATGCCCTCGGGGGTTTCACTGACTCGCACACCCTGGCAGGGACAGAGTAATGTTGGCCCTCAGTGGAGTGGGGCTTCCACATAGAGGAAGGAAAAAGCGGACAGACAAGAGGCTCACCTGCAGACAGCCCCGGAAGCCACGGGCCACTCCATTGGCCGGCCCAGGTACGCCCCCAACTGTGATGTTACTCAGGTGCAGGCCGTGCAGTCGAGGGCCCAGGTTACCTTCTGCCCTCTGCTGCCCGTAGTCGAAAGACAGAATGGCATGGCCGGGACCCCCACTCGCTCCCAGTGCCAGCTGTGCATGGTGCCAGTCTCCATCATTAGCCCGGCCTGGCTCCAGTCGGAGAGACGATGCCTGGAGCCCTGTGCCCTCTATGCTGAGCAGCACATGGCCTTCCTGCAGCTGCAGGAGGAAAGGAAGTGGCATCAGCAACCCAAGCTTACTGGCCCTTCTCCCTGTTCATTGTTCCCTCTCCAGGACCGCTAAACCCATCCTTGAGCTCTGCTCCCATTGCTCAGTAAAGGGTGCTTATTTTTCTGTGCCCAAAAGGTGGCAGCACTAACCCAGAAAAACTGATCCAGCTGCCTCTTCATTTCCCCAAGAAATGACCCATCCCTGTTCAGCCTAGGAGGCTACCGCAGCCCTTGTCAGGCCCAGGGCCTGTCTGCCAGGCCTCAGCTCGCCCACTTGTGTACCTGTAGGGTGATGGTGCTGCGCCCCCTGGTGACGGCCTGCAGCAGGACACCGTTAGCCTGGCGTGTGCGGAACATGAGGCTGAGATGCCAGGGCTGGGAGATGGGCAGTGAGAGGCCATGCCAGGCCACCAGGCTGTTGCCCAGGAAGTGCTGGGGATTGGCCATTTCTAGGGGGACAGATGAAGGGAGACTGTACAGCAAAGCAGAGGCATACCCCCCTGGAGCCAAAATGCTCAGCTGGTAGCTCCCGGAAATAGGCACTGGCTCTCCTGGTGCCCACTCCCCTCTCTGGCTCCACCCCTAGAGGCATTTACCTGTTCTGGGTCCGCCCCATGCTGTGCCCAGGCCTGCCTCTGACTGGGCCTTTTGTCTTCTGTGTTACCCTCTCAGAGCGCTGCCTAGACACGCTCTCCCACCCACAGCTGAGCCGCCTGAGCCCTGCCCAGTGCCTGCTCCAACCCTGCCGATGTTCCCATTCTGCCCACAGTGCCCAGGCCTCTGTGGCTCCTATACCCTGGGCACAGCTCTTGCCCCCAAAGCCCAGGGGACACTCGCAGCTGAATGCGTCCCACTGGTTCACACAAGTGCCCCCGTTGTGGCAGGTGTTGCTGTCACACACGTTCTTCTTGGCTGAGCAGCCTGGAAAGGAGAGAAGATGGCTCAGAGGCCCTGCTTGGGATTCTGCTGCGGCAGCCCTCTTCCTCCATCCCGAATGCTGCTGTCCCCACCCAGGGATGCCCCCCTGCTCCCCGCACCCCAATGTGGATTGGGATCCCGGCTTTGCCTCTCCCCCTGAGGCCTTCCTACCAGGCACAGTGCCGTTGTTAGCAATGAAGTCGGCCATATCCACGTGCCGGCTGTCCACCTGCAGGTTCCTCATGCAGCCCACAAAGTGCCTCATGCGGACTGGGAAGTTCTCAGGCAGGTCGGGCACCCCGCCCAGCAGCAGGGGCCCTGTCAGGTCCAGAGACCTGCCATTATGGGCAGGGAGCAACAGCAGCAGAAGGTGGGGTGGGGTGGGGTGGGGTGGGGAAGGAATAGCAATATGAGGTAGAGTAGGAGCTCCAGGCTCTCCTGACCCTGTTCCTTAACCCCCAAAGCCAGATAGAAAGGAAGGCCAGGGAGCCCCACAGAGTAGTGCCCAAGGAATAAAAGTCCCCCTCTTAACTTGTGCCACCCTTCCGCTGGCTCTAGTGCCCCAATGCTGACATTCACCCAAGGGCTGAACAGGGGAATTGGCGAAAGCATGAAAGAGAATGTGTGTGTGTGTGTGTGTGTGTGTGTGTGTGTGTGTGTGTATGGAGGTGAGAGGGACAATCTGGCTGGGTTCCCACTTCTTAGCCCCCTAACATTCACCTCTTCACCTTCCCTCCCTGCCTGATCCAGCCCCTGATCTCACACCATCCCGGTTCTTTCCCTTTGGGACTTACTTCTTGCTGCCACTCTGGGTGCCCTGGGCCGCACAGGAGTAGTTGCCAAGGACAGCTCCAAAGCGTAGGGCCACGCCGGTGTCACAGCCATCCACCGTCACCACGGCCACCTTCTGCTCAGAGGGGCCCTGCGGGAGCCCTGTCTGACCCAGCAGAGGCTGTGCACAGGGAGACCAGAGAAGGGAAGCAGTGGACTAGGAGCCCAGCAGGGCTCCTGGGCCAGGCGCAAGGACACAGCAGGATATGGGCCTCACATGTGTGCATCTACACGCATGCACATGCGCACACACATGAATGCTCCCATGAGTACCTGCCTAACTCCCTCCATGTCCAACCCAGGAGGCACGGACCACTGCCCAGCGGGATGGAAATGCCCAACAAGGTAGTATGACCCAATCCCTATCCCAGTTAGAAGTGCCATGACCTCCCCTCCCCCTGAAGCAGTGCAGTCCAGGCGTGGGTGAGCACCTGGCCCAAGAACAGAACCCTCCAATGCCTCCATCCCCTCCCTACACACCTTATTGTAATACTTGAGCTGCACCGTGTGCCACTGGCCATCACTGACCCCTCCAGGCACGAATGGGGACACCGTGGTAGTTGACTCGCCTGGGTAAAGGGCCAGGTAGTGAGCTGAGACCCCTAAAGAGGGTTGGGAGCACTGGGCGGAGGTGAGGCTGTGTTGGGGCTCAGCTGGGGAGGGTGAGACATTGGGGGCCAAGAGACCAGGACCTTTGGGGGCTGGGCAAGGACGTGGGACCCCCAGGGCTCACCTGCAGAAAAAGTGAGCTGGACCTGCTCCTGGATCACCTCCAGAGCCACGAAGTCATGTTTCTCATTGAAGCGCCCATTGTATAGCAGCAGCCCATCCCGCTCCTTTGTGGCAAACCTGAGTGGGGTGTGAGGACAGTGGGTGTAGGGGAAAGGAGGGGAGGTCAGGGGGGGCTGCTGTCAAGGAATGGTGTAAACAATCCTCCCTTGGATACACAGTACCTGATCCTCCCACCAAGGATCCTCCAGAGGCGCCCACTTTTAGCAAGACTGGGGCCACAGAGCTCAAATGTGGAATACGGCCCCACACTAGAGCGCTGATGTTCAGGTTCCCTCCCAGCAGTGGGCGGGCAGGGGGAGCGGTAAGAGGAAGGTGAAAAGTGAAGGTGTTGGACCCTGTAGGGAGGGGAGGCCTGTAGGCACAGTATGCAGGCAGTGAGCTCCTAGCTCCCTGGCTCTGCCCACAACCTGCTGGGGCACTTGTTGCCTGACCTCGTGCTCTGCTCACAGCATGGGAGTGGCCTCAGACTCCCACACCACGCCCCTGTGATGGACCCCCCACCCCTCCGCAAGTCACTCACGAGAGGGCCAAGGTGAAGTGGAAGCGCTGGCGTAGGCCACGGAATGTGACAAAAGAGCGGGCCGGGAAGCTGCGTGTGGTCACCCGGCAGTAGGGCTTCTCGAAGTCACCGGAGGGGCAGTCACACTTGAAGCCTCCCACCAGCAGGTTGACGCAGGTGCCCCCATTCTTGCAGACCCCCGGGGTGCAGCGGCCTGAGCGGGCACTCACCTCACAGTGCTCACCTGGGCCAGAGTAGAGGCAAGGCGATGTGCGGGGGCCGGGGCGGGGGGACCAGGAACACCTCTACTCCCTTGACCTCTGGGAAATGTCTATCAGGGCCTTCCATGACCCCTCCCCTGCACAATGTTCCCAAATCCTCCCAGGTATCCTGGCTTCCAATGCCAGTGCCCGTGCAGCTTGGCAGTCCCCTCTACTCAGCCCCTTCCCTACTACACCTACCTGGGGCTCACCAGCCCAAGCCTGCGGGGGCCCAAGGGCTGCCAAAACCCAGCAGCCCTCGTGTCATGCCACCCAGCAAGCATGGCGGCAGTGGGGGGGGGGGCTGTGGCCCCAGCAAGGGCCCGCAGGTGTGGAGGCTGGGCTATGCCCCCTTCCTCCCCTCCTCCATCTGATGGTGCTTTTGTCCTTGTCAGGCCCCAGAGCTCAGTTTGCCTCCCTGGGGATGGAGCCAGGCTTCCACGTGGATTGGTGTGAGCTATGGGGCAGTGGACAGGGGGCCTAGGTGGCCGCCTGAGAATGAGGACCCTGGTGTGGTTAGGATCATGGGGTCCCTCTGAGCACATGGGGGATGCACAGAGTGGGGATTCCCGAGAGTAGATCAGCATGCAAGAGAGGAGCTAAAAAAAAATTCCAGCAGCATCAGATGGGAAACCCCCCCCCTACCTCTCCCTCCCCATTCCCAGATTCTAGAGATAGGTTCTCAGCTCCTGTGCCTAGTGCCTGGCTCTTGTTGCCATGGAAACTGTTGTTCACTAACTCTAAGCGCCACCCCCCCAACCATCCTCTGGACAAAGACTCCGTCCCCTCCCCCAAACCCACCCCTCCCCTCCTCCACCCCCCAACAGCAGCAGCCAGGAGTCAAGTCTGGCAAGTTGTGGGCAGTAAGATGCAGGAGGGAAGGCAGTGGGGCCTGCCTTCTGCTGCAGGCAGAGCCACTGGGGCATGGCCATGGAGGACAGGGAGCACCATGCATGGGGTGGAGGGCAGGTGTCCTAAAGAGGAGCAGGAGGTCATAGGGAGAGGTCAGGTGCACACAGCACAGGGGGAGGCCTGAGAGGTCGCCCTCCCACCCACACCTGCACAGGGCTTCAGCCATCCAGCCACCCCTGCCCAGGGCTCCCTGAGCTGACTGGGGGAGCAACTGCTACAGCAAGCCCAGCCCATTTCCAGTGTCCCCAGCCATCTCCGGGCCTTTCTCTCAGTGCCTGTGGGAGACAGAGCTTGTAGCAGCCAGGAAAGTAACGCTCCTAGGGAGTGGTTCTAGGCCTGGCCTCACCTCTAATCAAGCTAAGCCAGGCACTCCTCCACCCTCGCCTTCCAAGCAAGTTACCCAATCTCTGCCATCCCCACTGCCCTTCAGCCTAGCTCTTTCCACATATCTCCAAGTATCAGGCACATTCAGGCAATTCTCCCAACTTCAGCTCTGAGCAGGCTGACTATTCGTATTTGAAATGGCTGAGGCCATGAGAAGCTTAAGGAACCCGCCCAGGCTCACACAGTGGAACGAGCATACAAACCCAAGTGGAATGGCTCTAGAGAAGGGCGAACCTGTTACACAGCTTCCATGTGCCAGTCAGTGTGTGTGTGTGCACGTGCAGAGAGGGCGGAAGCACTTCTCCCTCTGCCTGGCTCTACACGCTGTGGTCAAGTAGCACATGGGATTAACACAGGTCTAGAAGGGTCTTGGACCCTTCTCCTGGAACGTGCCACGTGCAATATGCCCGTACCACCTGTCTGTCTGTCCAAGGCCCTGCCTGCCGCCCACACCGGTCCCTCCCTGTGCTCACCGGTGTAGCCATCGCGGCAGAGGCAGGTGTAACCGCCCTCGCGGCTGCGGCAGCGTCCATGTGGGCCACAGGGTCGCGAATAGCAGAGGTCCACCTCGGTCTCACAGTAGTCGCCGGTGAAGCCAGGCGGGCAGCGGCAGCGCAGCCCTCCGACCGGGTGGATAGGCCGGAAGAGCACCGAGGAGGAGGCGATGAAGGGCGCCGAGGAGTCGAAGCGCAGCACCGACACGCAGCGCATGTAGTTCTCACAGGGCTCACGCAGGCAGATGTTGTCGTCGAACGGCAGCACGCGCTGCGCTGAGATGGCCGTCAGCAGGCTGCGGTTGAGGTACAGACGCTCCTGTAGGTCCTCCGAGGGCAGGAAGGGTGGCCCGCCTGCGGGGCCCGGTGGCTGGCCCACCGACAGGCTCACGTTCAGGATGCGGCCACCGGGTGCGTCGGTGTCCCGCTGCACATTGAAGACCACCACGTGGTCCGGTGGCGTGGCCAGTGTGGCGGCCACGGCCTGGATGAAGAGGCCCAGCAGCGGCGACAGGAAGCGCTCAGGCGACATGTCCTCCAGGCGCAGTGTGATGCTGTGTGTCAGCATCTCGTCCGTGATGATGGTGACGCGCAGAGCACACTGCGCAGTCACGCTATGCACGCCGTCTGCAGGGAGGGGATTCTGGGTCAGCAGGGGAGATAGGCCGGTGCACACACATGGTACTGACCCCTCCCTTTACTAAGGGGCATACAGAGACTGTCGGGTCAGGTGCTCCATGAGGGGCCAATCCCTTTGGGTGCTTAGCAGATAACTGTGCCTTAGGGAGAATGGTGCATCTTATCATCGCTGTGCCCACACATGGGGGCCTGCTTCCTTACATAACTACACACTGAGGGAGGGGGCAGGGCTCTGAGAGACTCCCCCACCCAATGTTCTATATCTCAGCAGGACCACAGTCCTAGCCCTGACTGTGTTCCACACTCCCCCTCTGCCAAGCAGTGGGAGGTGAACTGGGTCAGTGGGCCACCCAGTCTCCCTCCCACTGAGCCCCATGGCTGCCTGGGCGCAGGCTGGCTATCCCCATGGCAACGCGCCCCACACAAAGCATTCTTCCTGTCTGACTTTCTCCTTGGGGGTGGGGATGTTGTGTGAGATGCTTGCTCCCCGGGGAAATCCAGCCGAGCCATCTTAACCAGTGGCAGCACCGCCCATGGATGGGGGTGGGAGAACCCCAAGTAGAGAAGGCCCTGAGCCATCTCCTGCCAGCCAGAGACTCCAGAGCCCCCACTGGGCTGATCCCACAGGGCCTCCAGCTACTCATCACCCAGTGGGCTCACTGCATGACACCCAACCACCTGCCATGCCCCCAGGAGATACACTCACTGATCAACAGCTGGAGCTAGCAAAACACACTCGCTGCTCTCTCATGCCACCCACACACCTCAACCCCAGAAATGCCAATATACCTAAGCACACACATACAGATGGGGTTGGATTTTATTTAGCTCAGAAACACAAGGGAGGGGCCGAAGAGAGGGAAAACTGGCTTAGCTGGGTTACCAGGGACATCTATGTGTTGCCTTGCTACAGTGCCTTCCTTCCACATGTGGTGTTTGGGAGAATTTGTTCAGTCTCCACAGCAAGAGGGATGGGAACCTGGTTAGATTTTTTAAGGACAACCCAGCAGGAATGGGGCAGGAGTCATAGTTTTTACAGTGGCATGGACAGAGGAGCTGGAAATGGGGACAGCTCCTGCGCCCATGCTGTACCTACTTGAGTACCCTGATGACTCACCCAGCTGGGCAGGTTGAAGGCAGGCACCTAACTCAGCCCTGTCGCTGGTCTGTTTTCCACCTGCTCCACAGCCTCACTGCTCAAGACAGCTGTCGTCCACCTGCTCCCACCAGCAGCCTGCTGTCCTTGCTCACTTCAGCTTTTATGGCTCTCATCTCCAAGCTAGGTTGTTTTTGTCTTCCTGGTCTACCCAGACACCATAGTCCTTGCAGTCTTCCCACCTGCCCTAAACTGAACCCACCTACTCCCAAAAGCTTGCTCAGATGAAAGGCTATATAGACTCTAGCGCAGAGGTTCTGCACTTGGACCCAGAACTGGCACAGGTGTGGTTTTTGTACCTAGGGTATCTGCCCAGTGACTCCTTGGTGGGATATTTCATCCAGGCGGCAAGAAACTTGAGCTGCTCACAAAGTGCTCCCGACTCGTTAGGAAGGCGAGGGAGGTCAGGAGCCTCGCTAGCCCTGGGAACAAGTGTTCCTTCCCGTCTTTCCTCTACCCCAACACACACACACACACACACACACACACACACACACACACACTGTTCCAGGCCCTGCCCATGCCCCTCTCCCAGTATGTCTCTGTTGCTTCCCATCTGGCCCACCATCTGTGGCCACCAGCCCCCTCTGCTATTGTCCCCCGGCCCCAGGAATCGAGCCACTGCTCTCCCCCTCCTCTTCATCCCACTCTTTTGCTTTGACCTGGGTCACACCCTCAGGTACTCAGGTACATGGGTCTACCCCTGAGGCAGAGCAGGATCGAAGGGTCAGGGGCACGCCGGCTGAACTGTTGTTCTCTGGGATAGGAAAAAAAAGGAGGACAGGCTGTGACCCCAGAAAATGCCACCAGCACCTAGAGCTTAGGCAGCCACACCTGGAAGTGGGCCAAGTCTCAGAGGGTGACAGAACTGATTCCCAGTCTCTCCCCTGCCCAGGTGCCCTGGACCACCACTGCTCCCATTCCTGCCCCCACCCGCCACCCTAGTAGTGGAGGCTGGTGGAGGCTTAGAGCAGCTGTGGTCTGCAGCAGGTTCTGGGCAGGGAGGATGCAGATTCGGGCTCCGTGAGAGCCATAGTGGGACATGGGAGGCAGCTGCAGCCACAGGGAAGAAAAAGGGGAGGCAGCAACACAGAGAACCCAAAGGGGACACAAAGGCCAAGAGAGAGAACAAGCCAGCAGGGAGAGGGTGGGAGAGGAGCCAGGAGAGAGCAGCGACTGGGCATGGGGGGAAGGAAAAGACAAAGCACAAGAGGAGGACAACAAAGGGGCAGTGGGAGCAGCTCCCCCCCCTCGGCCTTCCTGAACTTTGACGTTGCCGTGGTGACGGCCTCTGAGGGTCAGGGGCTGAGGGGAGAGGGTGGGGTCCGGCTGCCTTGGGTGCTGCCCTTCGCCTTTCTCCTCTCGCCCAGGGGAACTCAAGTTGGTTCGACGCCGGCAAGAGGCCAGAGGCAGGCGTGGGCGGGAGCCAGAGGCGGGCATGGCGGGCATGGGCGCCGGCCCTGCCACTGTCTGGCCACACTCACCTGGGGCAGGCCGGGGCGGGGGAGGGCGAGTGGGAGTGGCCAGTCCTTTCCAGCCCTTGTTCTGCCTGAAGTGCCCCAGTGTGGGTGTGCAGGTTAAGGGAGCTCTAGCTGCACCCCCACCCTTCCACCTCCTTTCTCCTACTACTGGGGAAACAGCAGCTTCTGCAGGCACACAGCCTTGGCGGCAACCTCTAAAAGCTCACATTTGAGGGGCTGCAGGGCTCTCTGAGGGTGCAGCATGGAGGGGGGGTAGGGGGTAGGGGATAGGGGATCTGTCCAGCAGGGAGCAGGAGTGGGGAGGAGATGGGAGGGCACAGAAGCCTAGCGCTGGCTCTAGCTCGCGAGGCCCCTTGCGCAGTCCCTGGGGTGGGAGTGTGCTGGAGGGGAGGAGGCCACCTAGGTCCTTCTGCAGACTGCCCGCAGTGGGGAAGCTAATGGTAGACCCTTTGGGCTCATGGAAGGCCCTCAGCCACCTGGGTCTGGTCCCCTCCTTACTGCCACCTCTCACTCCGCATGCAGCACAGAAGACGGAATGCGACACAAACCCCCAACCCTGCCGCCCGCCCACCACCGGCAATCTACAAGGCTGAGCGCTTGGCCAAGCAGCAGGAATGCCCCAGCCTGGTCCTGGCCAGGCTCCCATGCCCCCCCCCCCCCGGGGACAGCATTCTCTCCCATGCTGGGTCCCCACACGCTTTTCTGCAAGCGTGGTTGCAAGGCAGCCGCAGGAAGCACTGGCACCCTGAGAAAGAGCCCTTGAGATGGCAAAGAGGTCTAGGAGGCTTCAGCCTGTCCCCCAGACTCCCTTGAGACCCCTCCCTGAGTCAGATCGGTTCCCCCACCTCCTCCCTGCCTCCCCCTCCGACCCCCCCCCCAGCCACCCCAAAGCCCAGGGCTCTAACAGTGGGGTCTGTTTGGGAAGGCACAGTGAGCTCGGCCTCACTTCCTGCGGGGGGCTCTGAAGAGAGTGAGCCAGGCCAGGCTCTTTCTGCCTGGAGGGAAAAGAATGCACTAGACAAAGTCCACGCAGCTCAGGGGGGAGCCAGAAGGGGCCAGAGCAGGACTGCAGGGTCCTGACCCCTCTGTGCGCTTCTCCCTGCCCTCAGTTCTGCCTCAGGCTGGATGAGATCACAGGAATACCCTGACAGGGCGTGAAGGGGTGCTGCCTGCTCTGCGCCCCCACCCCAAGTCTTCCACATGCCTTTTTTTTAAAAAACACAATTCCTGCCAACCAGAGCCAAGGCAGCCTCCCAGCACTTCCCCCACCACGGTACAGGCTGGCAGGCCAGGGGGCAGCCAACTGAAGCAGCCCAGCCCAGCCTGGGGCAGCAGGCAAGGCCTGCACCAGCCACTAGGATTCCTGCAGCCCCCTCCTTAGCTGGTTCTCACCCGCCTCCAACAAGAGGAGGGGGTGTCTCTCAGCAGCTCCCTTCTACCCCAAATCCCCCTCTGGGGGAGGGGCTGGGCAGCTCCCTCCCTGTGGCGACCCCCTCCTTACCTGACACCAGCACACTCATGATGGCTTCCAGGGGCCGGTTGTTGTCTAGCGCCCGGCTCAGCCTCAGCTCCCCGGTGGAGGCATTGAGCAAAACCAGGCTGAGCTCATTTCCCCGCTCAAAGCTGTAGGTCAGACTGTCAGAGATGTCAGGGTCATGGGCAGGCACGCGGCCAATGGCACCCCCAGGGAAACTGCTCGAGCGGTTGGTCACATAGTTGTTGAAGAGGATTTCAAAGTTGCCCAGCACTGGGGGGTTGTCATTGCGGTCGAGGAGGCGGACGTGCACGGTGGCCCGGCTCACCAGGGGTGCCGATGTGGCCTGGATCACCAGGACGTACTCGGGTCGGTCCTCGTAGTCTAGGTCCACCAGGGCAGTCAGCTCTCCGGAGAAGATGTCCAGCTGGAAGACCTCGGGGATGTTGCCCTCCACGATCTGATACATGATCTGGGCATTGGTGCCTTCGTCCGGGTCGGTGGCCGTGACCCGGGCCACCGCCAGCCCGATGGGGCTGTTCTCTTCCACGAAAACATCAAACTCGTCCTGCTCGAAGACGGGTGGGTTGTCGTTCACATCCAACACAGCCACGGTCACTTCGACAGCCGTGCGAGCGGGGGGCATGCCTTTGTCCACCGCGTAGGCACGCAAGACGTACTGGGCCACGTTCTCCCGATCCAGCCTCCGCAGCGTCCGCACGATGCCTGACGTGGACTCCACGATGAAATCACCATCTCCATCGTTGCCTCCTTGGAAGGTGTAGAAGACCCGGCCATTGAGGCCAGAGTCACGGTCGGTGGCCGAGATCTGCAAAACACTGGTGAAGGGGGGCACGTCCTCATAGACACTGCCCTGGTAGGAGTCCCGCAGGAACTGGGGCGCATTGTCATTCACGTCATTCACCAGGATCTCCAGGTAGGTGGTGTCTGACTTCTGCGGGATGCCATTGTCCCGAGCCGTGATGGCCAGGGTGTAAGACACCTGGTCTTCGTAGTCCAGCTCCGCCTGAGTGGTAACAGCCCCCGTGTCAGCATCGATGCGGAACTGGGGGATGCTGTCCTCCATGAAGTAGGTGATGCGGGCATTCTCGCCTGTGTCCTCGTCTGTGGCGCTGATGAGCACCACCGTGGTGCCCGCTGGGCGGTCCTCGTTGACGTTCACTGTGTAGTGGGAGCTCTGAAAGACGGGGCGATGAGTGTTGGCATCGGTGACATTCACTACGATCTGGGCGGTGTCCTGCCGTGTGCCATCAGAGGCGGTGACAGCCAGCACGTACTGCCTCTCGAGCTTGTAGTCCAGGGGCAAAGCGAGGGACACCAGTCCGCCGCCGCTCTGGCTGGTGATGGAGAAGCGGTTGCGAGTGTTGCCGCTGGTGATCTGGTAGGTGATGACGCTGTGGGCATCACGGTCCACGGCCGACACAGTCACCACGCTGGTGCCCACGGCGGCATCCTCATTCAGCCGCACTGTGTACTCGGGCTGGGTGAAGGTGGGGTTGTTGTCATTGACATCCAGCACGGTGACACTGACGCTGGCCGATGCTGTGAGCGCTGGGCTGCCATGGTCTCGGGCCTCCACGCCAAAGCTGTAGAAGTCAACTTCCTCCCGGTCCAGCTCAGCGGCTACAGAGATCCAGCCTGTGCCGTTGTTGATGGTGAAGGGGAAGTCATGCCCCACGCCAGCCAGATGGTATTCCAGGCGGGCATTGTCACCGGCATCAGCATCAATAGCCTGCACATGGAGGACCAGGTAGCCCAGCGGGACGCTCTCCAGCACAGTGGCCTGAAAGGGTGTGCTGACGAAGATGGGAGCATTGTCATTAATGTCTAGCACCTGCACGGTCACTAGGCCGGACACATTGGAGAGTGGTGGGCGGCCGCCATCCTGGGCCCGCACCCGGAGCGTGTACTCCTTGGTTGTTTCATAGTCCAAAGGGCTCACCACATCCAGTGCCCCAGTTTGAGCATCCAGGTAAAACTGGCCCCGAGCATTGCCACTCATGATGCTGTAGTGCACCAGGGCATTGCTGCCCTTGTCACGATCTGAGGCCGTGACCCTGAGCACGGGGGCACCTGGGGTCACATCCTCCCGCACCTGCACCACGTAGCGTTTCTCACTGAACTGGGGGGCGTTATCGTTGTCATCTTCCACCGAGAGGAAGACAGCAGCTGTGGCACTCCGTGGACCAGGCTCCCGACCCTGATCACTGGCTTCCACTGTCAGCTGGTAGGATTCTACCTCCTCCCGATCCACAGGGCCACGGGTTCGGATCACCCCAGAGCGGGGGTCAATCTCAAAGACCTCAGAGGGGTGGCCTCCAGGCCCCTCCAGCAGGCGGTAGAGAATGTTGGCATTGGCAGGAGCATCGCCGTCTGTGGCTCTGACCGTGAGCACTTCGTAGCCAACCTCCAGGTTCTCCCGGAGGCTCTCCTTGTATTCCTGCTGCTCAAACACGGGATCGTGATCATTGGTGTCAGTCACCAAGATGGTGAGTGTGGCCAGGGCACTTCGCCGGGGCACACCGTGGTCCTGCGCCGTGACCCTGAACACATGAGTACTCTTAGTCTCCCGATCCAGCTCCTCAGCCGTGGTGACAGCTCCAGTGATGGGGTCCAGGGAGAAGAAGTGGTTGGAGCGGCTATCAAAGAGGGCATCCATGGTATACTCCAGCCGGCCGGCCTCACCCTCGTCGGGGTCAATGGCCCGCAGGGATGCCACGGAAGTGCCTGCAGGTTGGTTCTCGGGCACAGTGGCCTGGTAGCTGGGGGGCTGGAACTGGGGAGCTGTATTCACATTCCTTTTTCGTCGCCCACCCGGGGACCCTTCTGGGAGTCCTTGCCCTGTTCTGAGCCAGGGGCCCTGTGCCAGCTGGCAGGACAGGCATCTCAACCGCGGGGCTTTTAAGCAAGGGTGCTGCTCAGGCAGGGTGAGCTTGCCCTCGGGGGAGAGGTGGCCCCCAATGCCTAACAGGCGGCAGCTCCAGGGACAACCGGCAGGGGCCGGGGGCAGAGGGATATGGGTGCCAGATTCCGGACACCAGACCCTCAGACCATCGTGGTGGGGCACCAGGTGGCCCGTCAGCTCGGTTCCCGCATCTCTGCAGCGGCTGGTGTAGAGCCAGAGGTTTGAGGCTGAGGCTGGACAGAGCCACCCCACGGGGTTGCAGGACCCCGGGGAGCTACGACCCCCAGTCCCCAGGGAACGACAGGGTCCCACTTGGTCTCCCAGCAGTGGCAATGGCAGCAGCAATACCAACAGCAACAGCAGCAGTGGCGGTAGCGGCGTGGACCAGGAGACGCAGGCGGCCCGGCTCCGCATCTCTCCCAGTTCCCGGCCCACCGGGTTAACAACCACGGCGGCTTCTCCTCCGGGTCGTGCCAGCCCTGTCGCGCCTCATGCCCAGGCCGAGGCGCCGGCCCGCTGGGGGCCAACCCCGTGCGCCCCGCAGGGCCTGCGCCTCGATGGTTCGGCGGGGCTCCGCACTGCGCCCCCGGACGCGGCCCGGTCCCCACCCGCTCTCACCGAGCGCGGCTGGCTCCCGGGTCAGCCCGAACCCTCCGCGGGCCGGCGCCGCGTCGCCGCCACCTGCACTTCGGGCGCTGGCCACCTGCGCCCGCGGGACTCAAGGCGCTCTGGCCCAGCCGGCCTCCCGCTTTCCTCCGCCCGCGTGAGTGAGGTCGCCCACCTGCTCCTGCGGAGCTGCAGCGCTGGGACCCCGACCCAGTCCCAGGCTGCCACCGACCGCCCCAGCCGCCGCCTCGGGACCCCTCGTCGCCGCCGCGGGTGCTGCCTGTCGCCACGGCCCCGGGCCCAGCCCCGCGTCCCCTCGCCTTCCCGGCGGGCGGGCGAGCTCTGCAGCGCGGCGGTGGCTCATTACCATAGACCTGCTCGCGCCGCCGCCTTAAAGCGGCAACGCCCGCCGCGCCGGGGGAGGTGGGCCCCACCCATCTCCTCGGGCACAGATGCTCTGGGATTCCCGCCAGCTGGACCCACCATCATGCACCCCAGGGCTGGCGCAGCCTTCCAGCCACAACCTGGAGAGGAATGACCCACCCGGGGCAGAACAGAAAATCATGCTCTTGGGAGGCAGTACCCCAAGTATATTGCCAGGCCTTTTGGACATTTTTGAAGGACTGTCAGTGATCTCCCTTCTCATGGTCGGTGGAACTGAGCTCCACCCTGCAGGGCTGCCGCCCCTCCCCAACCCTGCAGACCCCAGAACCACCCTCATATGAGGTCCTGGGGTTTGCCACACCTGGCAAGGTTGTGATGTGGCCTCAGAACAGAATGAGGGCACCTCTGGGCCACAGGCATACCGGATTCAGGGGCCCAGAGAGTCATGTGCAGGTGGAGCTAGTCCTAATGAGGGGCTTGCACTGCCCCTAACGCCTCCTGACCTTGAGCCGTGGCCTCCAGCCTTCCCACTTCCCTCATTCCCCCGCAGCCTTGTGGGCAGCGAACAGCCAGCCCCCTCACCCTCTGTGGATCTTCCCTCTAGAAGAGTAGCTGGGACTAAAGAGGGTTCTTACAGAGGGGTCAACATGAAGCCCAGCCAAGAGGAGGGGCAGGTTGCCCAGAAACGACTTCAGAGCTCACAAGTTGAGGCTGCAGAACAGCCTGTGGGGCAGGTCCCAGCCCTAGGGCATGACTGAGTTGGGTCCCTTTCTCCCACCCTATTCTTGCTGTGTGTGTGTGTGACACTGCACAACACCTTTGGGGGCTGCTCTGTGAAACCAGAGGGTCTGGCCAGACTCAGTGGGCACAGCGCTAGGTTAGCTGCCCAATACCAGCGTGCTGGGGTGGGGGGCACAGCTGGGTGACCACACAGTGATACCATAGTGCAGGTGCCAGAGGGACAAGATGGGAGATGGGCCCTAGGTACAGCCAAGCAGGATCAGGCTTAGACTACAATCCCAGTGATGGGGGTGCGTGCACAGGATGGTAGGGTGCTATGGGAGGGGGCTCAGGAACGGTGGTCTCCCCTTGGAAGAAGAGCTGCTTGGAGAGGTCAGGGCCAAGGACAGCCCCCAGAATGAAGGAGGGTAGCTCCAGGACAAAACCTGTCTCCCTTAGACTCTGACTTAGAGGAGGATCCAGGGGCTGCGTGGGCACCTTGCTCTCTACCTAATAGCCATGTGGCATGGAGAATGCCTGGAAATTATGCCATCTGTTAATTATCCTCTGAATGGGGTTTGGAAAGAAGACTCCTTTCTGATGTACAGCTGCAACCAACACATGGAGGAAATGAGCTTTCCCTCCAAACATCTCTTCCCCCAATTGTGGCTGAAATCAGCTTGCTAGCTGGGACATCTCTATACAGTCTGGACTTTGTGTCCTGGAAGATGGCTGATGGAGCTGGGTGCCAGGGCAGGAGTTTTCAGGGGACACATGAGCACAGGAACCCACTGTACGGGCAAGTAGTATTCCTGCCCTGTATGAGCAGGTTGGAGGATGCAAGGAACCCTGTCCTGGGCTCTCAACACAGGTGAAGTGCCCCCAGAAAATGCTAAAGGAACACAGAGGAGAAAGTAATGGGTAGTGTGGGAGGAGGAGTATGTGTGGGAAGAGACATCACAGAAGGCCATCTGCAGAAGGTAAAGTCTAGGCCATTTGTAAAATCAGGACCAATATTCCCGGCCAGAGGAATCAGCAAAGTTTTCTATTCTGTTGGCTAAGCACGTCCACAGGATGACAAAGTTAGTAAGCTGCCTAGCTGGGGATTTGAACCCAAGGCACCTGGCTGCAACAGTCTACACTCTAAAGCAGCAGACTGAATGAGTGAAAAGGAGTGAATGAAACACCATAGTCAGAGCTGAGACTGGAGCAGGTGAGCCTGTAGTAGCTCAGCACCACCCTAGGGGAACAGACGGGGTCACCCCAGGAAGACCAGGTGACCTCCATGTTGGCGACTATAACTCTGGAGCCAGTGCCCTGCTCGGGGGAAAACAGAGGCAGGAACAGAGGCTGCTGGCAGGAACGGTCATGTGTCCTGTGGAAAGGGAGGGGGAAATGTCCCTGGGGAGGCCCTGACCAGGGACTGTGCTTCTGGGCTCTGTTCTGTGTGACAGAGGGCATAGATGCAGGCCAGAACCAGGGGCCCAGGGGCTCCTGGGTGGTGGTGGACTGGGAGGAGATGCAGGAGCAGCAGGTGGTGAGCCCAGAGCCACCTGCTGGCCTCTCTTGCCCAGCCTGCTACTCCATTCTTTCTTGCAGTTGGGGGTGTGGGTGTAGACCATGGCACTGTGCATTCCTGGATGGTTGTTTTTCTCCAAATCTGTCTCTACACAGCAGCTGAACCAAAAATAATTTTTAGTAAATAAGAGACAATCCAGGACAGCATTATGGTGTGATAGGCCAAGCCTCTACCTGTAGCACCAATGTCCCAAATGGTTCACTTTCAGTCCAAGTCCCTGTTTATAGCCTGGGAAAGCAGCTGAGAATGGCTCAAGAACCTGGGTCACTGCACCCACACTGGGGAACCCAGAAGAAGCTCCTGGTTCCTAGTTTTGAACTGGTCTAGCTCTAGCCATTGCAGCCATTTGGGGAGTAAAACACCAGATGGAAGATCTCTTTTTGTCTTTCCTCTCTGTAACTTTGCCTTTCAAATAAAAATAAAATTTAAAAAGAAATCCAACATTTTTATGTTTTTAAACAAATCCTAACTTTTCTTAAGATTATTTGGTTTTGGGCCTGTGGGGTAGCCTAGTGGCTGAACTTCTCGTCTCACACGTGCCAGGATCCCATGTGGATGCTGTTTTGTGTTCCCGGTGCTCCACGTCCCTTCTGGCTCCCTATTTGTGGCTTGGGAAAGCAGTAGATGGCCCAAGGCCTTGGGACCCTGCATCCACGTGGGAGACCCAGAGGAGGCTTCTGGCTCCTGGTTTCACATTGGCTCAGCTCCAGCTGCTGCAGTCAGTTGGGGAGTGGGCCAACAGATAGAAGATTTTTCTGTCTCTCTTCTCTGTGAATCTGACTTTCCAGTTTAAAAAAAAAATCTTTTAAAAAGTTTGTTTTTATTTGAAAGAGAGAGAGAGCTTCCATCTACTGCTTCACTCCCAAAATGCCCCAACAGCCGGGGCAAGGCCAGATTGCAGTCAGAAGCCCCACGTCCAATTTAGGTGTCTAGTGTGGGTGGCAGGGATTTAAGTTCTTGAGCTGCCAGCCACTGCTTCTCAGGGAGCACATCAGCAGGAAGCTGGAATTGGGAGTAGACAGGCACTGCAATATGAAATGCAGCTGTCCCACGAAGTGTCTTAACTATATGGTACAGATGCCCAGCCTAGGCTGGTTTGCTTCTCGAGCAGCCACATTCTGGATGTATCTGATGAAAGGACCCGTTGGGAGCTCCTTCTAAGAGTAAGGTTGCCAAGTCTGGAGCCTGAGCATGCCCCTTCCCTCCTAACACCCTGCACTGGCTTCTCAATTGTCCCTTGAGCAAGATCTCACTTCCTTGGGGCCGGCATTCTGGAATAGAGGGTAAAGCCTGCAACAACAGCATCTGATATGGAAGCAAGCTCAAGTCCTGGCTGTTTTCACTTCTCATTCAGCTCCCTGCTAATGGCCTGGAAAAAGCATCAGAGGACAGTCGAGTGTTTGGATCCCTGACACCTACATGGAAGACCCAGTAACCTACAGGACAGAAGACCTCTCTCTTCCAAATAAGCAATTTAAAAAAATCCACCTTCCTATGGGGACCCAAAAAACCTCTGTCTCCTCCTTCACTTTTCCTTTCAGGGGTTGAACACAATGGTTTTAAATACTTCCTCCTTCATGGCTCCTGTGATGGTCTGTAATTACACAGAGGATTTCCTTGCTAATTTCCTTGGTTAACATCTGGCTTACCCACTGCTGGTAAGTACTGCCCGCACTGAGGAGTACCTTGCACCTAGCAGAGCACCTGACACAGCAGAGGCACTCAGTAAATATTGGTTAAATGAATGCATGCATGGATAGCACAGAGAGGTGACTAGATGTCCCATCATGCCTGGAGTTTTAAACTATAGAGCTGCGTTCCAGGGTTGGGAGACTTGTTGGGCTTGATAAAAGAGGGCAGACAACACCTTATTGCAGCCATAGGTTCGACCCCCCGAGTGCTGCACTGTCAATCAAGGTGGCTGCTATAGACCCAGCCTCCCAGCCTCCCCCTGCAGCCGAGGTCATTCTGGGTTCCTGAACAGAGAAGATGGAGCCAGGGGCTGAACTGTGAGCAGCAAAGCCCAAGGCAATCTCTGCAAAAAGTTAGTCAAATTGTCGGAGCGGACTGAGTACAAAGCCCCTGTCTGGTTCTTACAGGTAGACGCGAGAGTTACATAGGTGGACAAGGCTCCAGCTTGGCCTGAGGGGCAGCCAGTCAGAGACAACTGCTTTCACAGCATTTCATTCATTCTTATTTTTCAGTGGAAGTGGAGGAGTTAGAGGAGAGTATTTCATTGCTTGCATGTTTTTATTTTTGTTTTGGAAAGGGTGTTAAATTTTTTTTTCCCCCAGTAAGAGCAGCTGGGATACGAACCAGTGCCCATATGGGATTCTGGCACATGCAAGGTGAGGACCTAACCACTAAGCTACTGCGCTGGGCCCAAGCATGTTAAATTTTTATTTATTTCCATTTTATTTGAAAAGCAGAGAGACAAGGACAGAGACAGAAATTTTCTGTCCACTGGTTCACTCTCTCAAATGCTCACAACAATCAGAGCCGGCCCACGCCAAAGCCAGGAGCCAGGAATTCCATCTGGGTCTCACACGTGCAAGGCAGAAGCCCAAGTTATTTGGGCCATTGTCCGCACCCCCGAACACATTAGCTGAATCAGAAGTGGAGGCCTTGATCCCAGGCACTTCCGTATTGGACTCAGGTGCCCAACATCCATCCAGGGAAGGGGTCGTAAAGGAGAGGGCATGTGAAGCACCCTGGAGAGGGAGGAGTTACACAGCCAGGGGAGAGGAAAGAGAGGAATGGAAGCAACAGCATGAGCCAGTATGGATGCCATGCCTGGTGTGTGCTGGCAGATGGCAGAATCAGGAGGCTGGGCATAGAGCACATGGTGGGGACCACAAGAGCAGAAATCCTGTTTGTCTGAACTGTGGTTGCAGGTGAATTTGGCCTGGACTTTCTGAGTTGGGGAAAGCATCTCAAGTATTTGTGGGGGAGGCAGGCTGATGGCTGTACCATCACACAGGCCACTCCGGCAGGCTACACAGGCCAGGCCTGAGGAAGGGACTGGGGTCCCGCAGATCTGCAAGGAGCCTGAGGGACAGACCAGAGTAACAGATGCAATGACACTGTGCAGCAGACAAAAGAGGAGGGAATTGTTCATGATGAGTCCTGCATGTTGGGGCTCCTTTGATGCTCCTGAGTACCAGGGGAGCGGATGAGGATCAGATAAAGGACTTTGAACTTAGTAGCTAGCTCAGATGAGGGTGGATGCTCAGATGAGGGAATGGTGTGGGAAGCTGGCTGGAGGAGCTAGGAGGGCCTGTGGACACAGGGCCCGGGAGAGGCTGGGCCCGGGAAGCACCCTCAAGTGTCAGTGATCATGTTTTCCAACCTCAACTCAGTTCTGCCCTCCCTCTCTGCACTCAGCCTGTCAGGCCTTCTCCCTGCTCCCAACCTGGAATACTCTACCCGAGGAGATGGGGAACAGGACAAGCCCTCTGTGGGTAAATGTTCAGGGAGAGCAGCCCTGAGCATGGGATGGAAGAGGTGGGTACTGGAGAAGGGACCAGAGAGGGACTTTCAGGAGAGGGAGCTGAAGAGCAAGGAGCTGGGGCACACACGACGGAGGTGAGAGCCAGGGCATTAGGACACCAGAGCTGATTTTGGTGAAAGTGTATTAAAATAAATTATTTTTTAAGAGCCAAGATGGAAGGACAAGGTATATGCTATTTTGAGTGCAGCTTAATTCACTTGTTCAGGATTTAACAACCATGAATCCCTGAAGGGCCACCACATCTTTTCAGCAATTTACGCCTCTGTGAAAATCACTTCCCAGGCCATTTGTGCAGAGGGAGGGATGCAGGGCTTGGGAATGAACCAGCAGGGTAGCCAAAGAGGTTCTTGCCCTTCCAAGACTGTCTTCTCCCAGAGATCTTTGGGACCCCCTATCTCTGTCCAAAGGTTCAGGGACTTGGAGGTGGAGAATTGGCACCCCTTTCCCAGCAGGTGGATGGAGCCACACATTGCTGGGGTCTCTGCAACAGGAATCTGCCTGCAGTACCCCTGGCCCTGTGGTGGGAGGACTCTTAAAAGGGCAATGTCACAGGCAGAGGCATCAGCCCTCTGCAGGATCTGGGGCATTTGGGACTGCAAGGATGCACCACCCCTTTGGTGGTTTGTCTCGGGGAGGAGCTGTGGGGGAACCCCATGTGGGGAGGTGACTGGGGAAGTGGGGCAGGCCCAGCATCCTGGCACAGGCTGAGACATGCAGCACATTTCTCTGAGGCCCATCCCAGCTCTGCCTGTCCGATTCATCCTGGGAGAGCAGCCAGCACCGCTCCAGGCCCCTGTGGGAGGCAGGGGGGTTGGGGAGGAGGAGGCCTTCTCCAGGACCCAGGGCAGAGCAGTGGCACAGTTTCAGGGAGAGACAAGCAGGGCCGGTTCAGGGCATGACAGCTCCCAAGGGTAAGGCTTCACACCTGCCTTGGCACTGGCGGACCAGCAGGCTCCCTGCTGCCTGGCAGAGGCCAGACACTAGGTGGTCAGTGTCTCCTTTCTCACCCGAAGCTGCAGCTGGAGCCCTGGATTCCTGGGTGTGGGAACCAAAGGCTGAGCAGCGACCCAGGGCTGTGACTCATGCCACCCAGCCTGTGGGGGTGGTTTGCCAAGTGTGGTAACCTGCGGAGCTCAGGTTGGAGAGCTGCAGCAGGTCAAGGTGCCAGGGATGAGGGCATCAGTAGTGGGCTGCAAGGCAGTTCCTAGGGTGGAGCCAGGGTTATCTGGGCTGTTCCCAGCTGCTCAGCTTCCCTGCAAATCAGCCCGTCTGAGGCCAGGCTGGCACTAGCCCCATCCCACTGCTTCAGGGAGAGTAGCCCGGGTTCCAGCTCACCCCAGAGGATAAGCCACACCTTGGCTGAGACTGAGAGTTCTTTGAGAGCACAGACTGAGCCCCTTTCTTCTGCAACCTCTGCTCCCAGTGGTGTCTGGCACAGGTAAGCACTCATTAAACCACTGAGCACGCCTACCTTGCTTACGTGTGTCCAGTGACCTGCGGGGAGTGACCTCAGGCCCACCTTCACTACCACTGACCACTGCCCCTGGCTTTGAGAAGTAGGGGTCGTTTCTGTTAACTAGTCAGTTGAGGCATGCAGCTGCTCTCTTCCTAGCTAGGCTGTTGGGCTGCTGGAGGTTCTTGCAAAAAATGGCAGGGAGTCAGGAACCCAGTCAGCTGAGAAGGGGAGTCAGCTGATGTAGAGAGCCAGGCCCAGTCCCCAGGGGCGGAGGGCCCCAGCTTCTGCCTGCGGTGGGTTTCCAGGGTCCAGGAGAAAGGCAGCTGCTCAGAAGTCAGGCTGGCAGCACTTGGGAGCTAGAGCTAAGTCAGAGATTTGTACAAAGCCATCTGAATTTCAGCAGGCTTCAGGAGGGGGAAGGGGGCCCAACAGCCTTCTGCGCCCTCCCGCCCTCCCCAGTACAAGCCACCTTTCTTAACCAAATACTTTCTGCTCCTTCTCTGAAGTATACACAAGTGGGTGCAGCTTGCTGAGGACAGAGGCCTACAGTACAGGCAGCTGGAGTCGGCCGATGAGCAGGCACTGCCAGGCAAGGCCCCGGGGCCATGGCATTCCCCGCTTCAAGCATGTCAGTGTGGATAGGTTTTCCAGTTAGCACAGCTAAAATACCAGGCATCTAGTGGACAACAGCCCATGACGTCTTTCCCAGGTACCAAGCCCCAGCAGGCCAGGAAGAGCCACTGCTTTGGGACCAAGGAAGCTGCAATGGAGGTGCCCGAGTGCCAGGTCAGTTGATTCCAGCTCCCAACTCCCAAAGGAATCCGCTGATGACTTGGGGCCAGACTCCCACCTGGCGACTCCCATCTGTCTCATCTCCCCCTCTCACCTGTACTTCTGGGATGGGTATAATCAAGGCCCCACCTTCCCTTCTGGGTCCGTCACCAAGATGAAAGCCATCACCTATAGGCATTACGCTACTCTCCTTGGAGAGCAGCACTGAGCTCCCACAAGGTGTTATTAAAGTCAAGGGTTTGTAGATTGCAGATGAAAGACAGCAGGCAGATGAAGGGCCTAACTACTACCCTCCCGGAGAAAGGGTGGACTGACGCTCCGGACGGCAGTGGCAACTCCAGAGAAGGAACTGGAACATCCTCCTGTCCACAGCCCCCACTCTCCACCTGCGGGCCGCCATCAGTAGTCTCCCAGTATGTGGATGTTGTGAAGAGAGAAGCAGCCATCACTGCCAAGTCCCCAGCCTGCCTCCCTGAATCTGCAGCTCCACCCACCAGACTGGGACTCATTCACCCTGACAATTCATAGCACCTGCCCACTCCCTCTCCACGGCCTCCTCCCAGGGAACTCGCAGGCTGGCTTTGGCATCCATGCTGAGAACTATGCCAATCCCTGCCTCACTGCTTTCAAACAGGAGCAAGCTGATTAAAAAAAAAAAGAAAAAAGAAATAAATAAAAAATCTGGCCCTGTGCTGTGAACTTGAATCTGTGACTTGGGATCTTTATCATGCCCTCGGATCTTCCTAAATCCCTGCCAGGCTCCCCTGCCACCTGCCTGCTCAAAGGCTCTTAGATTTTTGGACTGGATGGAGCAGCCTTACTGGGAAATACAAGCAAAAATGAGTGCCATCTCAGGAAAAGCCATCAGAGACAGGGTTCAGGGCTCTAGGAGGAAGACAGGGGGTGACTGGGACCCTCCTCAGGGACGCTTTATTACATGGTTTCATCAGTCACATGTGATTGGCTCCTATGCCCATGCGCAGACACAGAGACACGCATGCTGTACACGGTTATGCAGTCAGACAGGGGCGGTGTATAGGGAGTGGGACCTGGCTTCCCTGCTCCCAGGTGGGCTCTGAGACGCCCCTGACAGGTAGAAAGGAAGCCTGGCCCATGGGGAGGAGGGACAGTCAGGCGTCAGCCACCTCCAGGTTCTGCATCTGGGATTCCAGGATGACATCTCTGCCCGTCTTCTTTTTGCTACCTTCGTGCTGCTTCTTTTGCTTTTTCGATGGCTCCTGGTCAATGGGTGCAGGCTTCACGAAGGGAATCAATTCCTGGAGTCCTAGGAGGGAAGAGAAACCCAAAGGGCTTATCCTTCTTCCCGTCAAAGCCCAAGGATTCCTGGGGACAGAATCCAGCAAGACAGTGACCCCTTGGAAGAAAGGGGTACTCTTAACACATGTTAGACTCCTTTTCCTTCCCAACTTGACTTTCAGCAGCATTTCAATACCACACCTGCACTGGCGAATATTTTTTGCACTGGCCCTCCTGCACCAGCCAATCCAGAGAGGGGGTGGCAGAGTTTTGGGGACTGAGTCTAAACAACAAAACCCAGTGCATTCAGAAAGGAGACACACATACACACACACACACACACACATACACACACACACACACACACGTGTGAGGACAGAACAGGGAGGAGGATGAGCTGAGCTGGTGCATTCAGAAAGGGGACGGACACACACACACACACACACACACACACACACACACACATCCAGACACACACCCTGACCCACCCAGAAAGTGTGAAGACAGAACAGGGAGGAGGAAGAACAGAGCTGAGAGTTTACCTTGTGGCATGAACTCTTTCAGCTTCTCGGGCACAATGATGCCTTTCTCTGTCTGGTAGTTCTCCAGGATGGCACAGATGGTACGAGTAGTGGCACACATTGTTGCATTGAGCATGTGAACAAATTCCACCTGGGAAGGGAGGGGAAGTTAAACTCAACTTCAGCACTGGGACTGATGAGTAGAAACCACCCATGCAACCAAAACTCCCACAACCACAACTATCCAAATCAAAATGATGAGTCTCGCGCATCGCTAACTTTTTTCTCAAGGTGAGCTCTATTTTAGGATGTCCTGCCTTTCCTACTCCAGGAAGATTCCTCACTTCTCTTCGAGTGACAAGTGGAAGATCCCGATCAGCTCTGAGTTGGGTCCTTTGAGAGATGAAGAAGCCACCATTGGCTTCTCCTTCAACCCCTTTCACGCCCCTCACTGTGGAATGATTAGGGCCTGGAAATCGGGCTTCAAGAGATAAGCTTACAACCCAGACCTTCTTGGGTGAGAAGAGGGAAGACGTTGCCTCCAACTTGTTCTGTGCAGATAAAGGGAGATTATTCTTTCTCTGGAGTTAAGGAAAAGAAAGCCAAAAGAGAGAAAAGCTAGCATTACCTTAGAGAATAGAGCTAGGTTCAGGATTTGGTCTAAAAGGATTCAGCAGAAACCCAGTGGAGGTCATTTCCAGATGCCCACTTTGGTCTAGAGATGGAGCAACCTGGGTTTGCCCCTGATGCTGGGGACTGTGTGTATGCCCCAGGGCTGAGCTGAGATGGAGCTGTGCTCAGTGAGGCCCTTGTCCCCCAACTCCCCAGGGACTGTCTACCTTGTCCATCATCTTCTTGGTCTGCCCGTAGCGTATCCGGAGTCTGCGAGCTTGGTAATCTGTGCAGTTAGAACAGGAGACTAACTCGCGAAAGGCTCCAGAGCCTGGAAACCAGGCCTCCAGGTCAAGCTTCTTACTGGCAGCATGATTCAAAGATCCTGCATAAAGGAAAAAAAAAAAAAAAAATCAGGGAAGAGGAAAGTTACTGCCATGGAAAACCTTTCGCAAGCCTGAAGGACTTCTCAATTCACACCCTATCCCAGCAGTGAAGTCACACCCAGACATTCTCATCGCCCATCCCTCCCTAGTGAGAAGAGTGTGAGATTCTAATTAACATGGCTAACGTGTTGGAGGCTGAGCTGACTCTTGGTATGGCAGCTCAGCTCTCTGGGGCACTGTCTGTGGGGTGCGGGCACAGGAGGGCGAGAAAAGGATGGGGCCTGCACCTGAGACAATGTTCACGATGTGGTATGGGATCCCCAGAGACTGGTAGAACTCTTCAGCGGTGGCAATCATCTCTTCAAACATCTCCCATGACTTGTTGTCATGGGGTGACGAGAACACAAACTGCTCAATCTGCAGACAAGGACCCAAGGAGACAACAGCACAGGGTGAGTACATGGGAGGAATATCGCAGAAGATGGCCTTGTGGCCAAGATCTGCTCCTGTACCACTGGGAGATGGGTGAGCCCGGGTTCCCAAGCTACATTACTATTCAACTGCATGGGGCCTACAATAGGAAGAGTAAGAACTTCCATGGAGAGTTCACCACGCACGTGATAGCACCTGGTCTACATGCATCATCTACACTATTAGCCTAACTCTCACAGTTGGGGGCTAGTTAAGGAAGCACCATTGCCAGTTCTATCAGCCTTTGATGAGGCAGACACTAAGCAACCAACTCAAGGCTACAGAGCAGCGAAGTGGTACAGTTGGCATTGGGATCCAGGCAGTAAAGTTCCAGTGCCCACACTCAAAGGAAGCCACCTGACCATGCACTTCCTGGCACTTCCCCACCAACGCAAACGCAAAGGCTGGTGTTGGGATGGGTCCAAGCAACACAGATCCTGTCTCTAACCACACCAGCAGAGATAGCAGGTGCCTACTCCTTATCCTGTTCCTACTCACCTTCTCAAACTGGTGGACTCGGAAGATGCCCCGGGTATCACGGCCGTGGGAGCCCACCTCCTGGCGGAAGCAAGTAGACAGGCCAGCATACTTGATGGGCAGGTCCTCCGGCCTCAGCCACTCATCCCGATGCAGAGCAGCAATGGGTTGTTCCGAGGTGGCAATTAGGTACTTTTCATCGTAGGAGTTGTCATCGGACTTTTCACTGCTTTTGCCAATCACCTGTGGAGGGCAAGGGAGCCAGCCAGATGGGTTAAGAGGGAGGGAGGATAACCCTAGGTAGGTCAAGAAACCACAGGAAATACAGGAATGACGGGGTAGCAAGAAGTTTCTGGAATCCCTGCCAGGCAGCTGACAACAGAGGGGACGGGTTAGTTCAAAATGGAGTCCCTGACAGAGATCAAAGAAATGAAAATTAAAGAGTATTTTTCACTTATATAATAAACAAAACACTTAGAAATAATGAGTAAATGGCCAATGGCAGCTGCTATACAAGAAGCCAGTACTGGTAGCAATATAAATAGGTTAATCTCAAATGTTAGTGAGGCCAACTGACCCAGTCAGTCTCTACTTTCTTGGTGAATACAGGTTAGCCCAATGCCTATTAGTTTTAAAAACAATGTGCTTTGGGGCCTGGCACAGCAGCCCAGTGGCTAAAGTCCTTGTTTTGTACATGCTGGGAGCCCATATCGGAACTGTCCCAGATACTCCATTTCCCATCTAGCTCCCTGTCTGTAGCCTGAGAAAGCAGTAGAGGATGACCCAAAGCCTTGGGATCCTGCACCCTCATGGGAGACCTGGAAGAAGCTCCTGGGTCCTGGCTCTGTCTTTCCAATAAAACTTCTTTTAAAAAATTGGCCTGCAGATGGGCAGGTCATTTATTGAAAGCAAACAGGGGAGCCATGAAATGTCCAATATTTGTCCCACATCCAGCCTGTGCTGAACAATATAATCCTTCAAGTGGCAATGACGGAGGCCCTGCAGTCACAGGAAGGACTTTTGCTAGCATGCTACCTACCAGGCAAGTATGTGAAAATGATGCATGAAATAAGTCCCAAACATAATATTTTGAAATGACAACTGTTATGTTGGGGCACTGGGAAAGCAGATGATTTCTTCCTGTCATTTAAATTTCCTGCAATGTGGTAGTTTTTTTTTAAGCAGGGGGAGGAAACTTCCTCTGGACCACAGAAACCCACCTTGCTATCACCTCACAGTAGGAATTTCAGCCCTGATGAGACCATTTGCATATACATAGTAAATTTGTTGCTCAAGCCATATTTCAAGTGTTCAACAGTCACAAGTGGCTGGTGGCTGCTGTACTGGATTGTGTAGATAACACATTTGTCACTGCAAAATGTTCTACAGGTTGGTGCCGCTTCAAACAATATGCTGTGGCTTCTATGGGGCTAGATGTGTCAGCCAAAATTTCACCCTACTGAGACCCGTGTACCCAGGAGAAGGGATGGAAAGACACAAGGTGACACATGCGCACATTCCCCATTCTTAAGAGAAAGGCCAGGAAGACAGAAGGGCTAGCCACATCAATGCTCAGCTTCCAGAGCCCATGGTTTGCTTCCCAGGGCCCCCTCACTGAAAACAGAACTTTCAGCAGTGGGAAGATGGTTCTAGGTGATGAAGCTTTTCTTCCTAAGACACATCAGGTCAGGTCAGCTCAGCAGCAGTCATCTGACTCCTCCTCCATTCAGGCCGGGGAAGCAGACAGGCCGTCACAACAAGCTCCATTTCAGACAGCAGAAGGTGAGCTGCCAAGGTGAGCCGCCAGCAGAGATGCTCTAGAACATCCGGGTGCTGGCCCAGCCAGGTCACACTTGCTGCAGTTGGAGTCACCTAATCACACTGAAGCCTTGTAGCTCAGCTCGAGTCCTGACTCTGCCAGAGATGCTGCATGACCGTGACATGGGAGCCACATCCATCCCAAGTCAAGTCCCGCCTTGTGGGAGCTTCCAGACTTGGGTCAGGAGCGGGAGGATGTGGGAAGAGGGCTGGGAGATCAGAGCTACTTGTCCATTTTCTTTTATCTTAGCACCCCCAACACAGACTTCTTTTTGAAGCGCATGGTGCTAAAGTATGCTCTAAATAGACACATCCTGCAGATTTCCCAGGAAAAGATAAAAGAGGCTCTGTTTTCACTGCCCTCTGTGGCAGCACTAACCACATGAGACTGCTGAAATCAACTGAAAGAAACAATCTGCTCCCTTAGTTGCATGAACCACATTTCAAGTGCTCAGCAGCCACAGATGGAAGAGCAATTCCATCATAGCAGAGGATTCCAATGGACAATGCTGCTTGTTATCACTCAATCAAGCTTCAGAACAAGTCATTCGGCCACACTGTAGTGTGGGCTACTTACCTTATAAAGTTCCTCGTCAAACTGGCTGAGCTGTGCCACCTCCTGCATGACCTCCTTCCTCATGAAAAAGGGGGTGTAAATGGGAGTGTAGCCCCGGCTTCTCAGGGAGCGAAGGGCGTACTGGATGAGAGCCTGTTCCAGGAACACGAGGACCCCCTGAAGGAGCAGAGACAGGGCTGTGGTGAGGTCTTCTGGCCATTGCATTGATACATTTGAAATGACATTCAGCAACAGCTAAGGGACAGAACAGGACTGCCCAGGGGCACACAGGAGATCACAAAAACCGTGCACCCACATGACTGACTCACAAGATCATTTCATAACACCAAGCCCAGCATATGATCCAGGTACACTGTTTTGTTTTTAAGATTAGATCGAAAGCTGGAAACCAGGAACTTCATCTGGGTCTCCTATGTGGGTGCAGGGGCCCAAGGCTTTGTACCGTTTTTCTCCCCAAGTGCTTTCCCAAGCACAATAGTAGGGAGCTAGACTGGAAATGGAGCAGCTTGAACTGACACTTGTATGGGATGCCAGTGCCACAAGCAGAGGCTTAACGAACTACACTACAGCACTGGCTGGAGCTAATTCTCATGATACTTGGCTCCGGGACACAGGGAGTTAGGTCCCTGCTGGGGATGCCTAAATCCCGTATCAGAGTGCTGATTTGAGTCTTGCTAACTCTGATTCCGATCTAGCTCCCTGCTAAGGCACCTGGGAAAGCAGAATGATGGTTCAAGTTCCTTCCACCCATATGGGAGACAAGAAAAAAGTTCCTGGCTTCTTGGTCCAGCCAGTGCTGGCTGTCATGGCTATCCGGGGACTGAACTAGCAGTTAGATGCTATCCCTCTTTTTGTCATTCTGCCTTTCAAATAAATCAATCTTAACAAGCAATCAAACAAAAGCAAAAATCAAACAAAACAAATTAAAAAAAACCCACAAAAAACAACAACAAAAGTCCTGGATGACCCTGAATATGTAGAACATACTCATGAACATCCACGGATGTTTAGTATTTAGATCATTTTACCACATCCTCCTGAAAGCTTGCCTTGCATTCACCTGTCCTTTGCCCCCACTGACTCTTGGTGTGTTGCCTCCACCGACCCACTCTCACAGCACTCTGGGTCTGGGGCAGGTGCCTGGCCCAACAATTAAGAAGCCTCTTGGGACGCATGTATTCCATATCAGAGTGCCTGGGCCCGAGTCCTGCCTCTGCTCCTGACTCCAGCTTCCTCAGAGGCAGCAGGTGACGGTTCAAGTAGTTGGGTCTCTGCCACCCACAGGGGAAACCTGCATTGAGTTTTTGGCTCCTGGGTTGGTCTGGCCCAATCCTGGGTTGTTGCAGGCAATTGGTGAATGAACTAGCCAACAGAAGACCTGTTTTTGTCTTTTCTGCCTTTAAAAAAAATAAATAAAAGGGCACTTGGCTTGGCTGTTCATACCACAGGGCTTAGGACAGAGGGCTCTGAGTCTTTGTTACTTGTCTGTCCAATTATCCTGAGCTCCCTAAAGGCAGGCAACGTTCCGACTGAGTCAGCAAAACATACCATTATGGAGGATCACTTAGCGGCTTTTGTCTATGCAATCTGGATAAGCACTCTCTTGCCTCAGAGAGAGAATTGCATCTAATTGCCAATATGTTTATAGAATGGCGAGTGCAAGTGGTGGATTTGTGGGCTTCTCTAGTAGGTTAGGTTTTCCTGCAATCTGTTTTCAATTCCTTCTCCCGCTGGCTCCCAGCTCTTACCTTCAGGAAGTAGCCTCGACTCCCAGCCACCACGGCTCCCTTCTCGCCTTCAAAGCCATCTACCATCACTACCAGGTCCACGTGAGAGTACTTCTTCCTGACCGTACAGTCACCCCATATCCTCTCTACTTTGTTGTCTGCATCCTGTGGAACAAGACCAGGAGAGAAAGAGACATGTCTTATTTCTTATTTCTGCAGATAGAGGATGGACAGGCAGCTGGTTTAGGATCTGTTGAGCTGGAGGTCTTTGCAAGAAACCACCTCCTTCCACATAGGCATGTGTCCACACTATCGTACTTGTCCATCACCATTCTCCTTTCCTGGGAATGCACCGGCTTCATCTGGAACCTAGCGAGAAGATACCATGAAAATATGCATGTTGAGCTGCACGTGAAATTTTATGGAGATAGCAGAAAACTCCCCGGTGGTTCATGCCAGAATAGACAACTCTTGCCTTAAGAAAGGAGATGTTTGGGTCTCTCTGCTTCCATTCTTCAGCCCCTTTTTTCTGGCCATCCATGTCAGTATTTGTTTGCTTTCTCTGCTTTCGAATACAACTTGCTTTATGTATGTCAGCACTAAGAATTCTTACCTTCCTGACTTGCAAGAACTTGGGGAGAAAAACTAACATCTTACCCTAAGATTTCACTACAAACTAACTCTATTTTGCCAAACATTATTTTAAGGACAACCATGTTTTGTGAAGCTGTCCAATTCAAATGCTACTTTTGGTCACTGTGTACACAAAGTGGAAAAAGGGAATTTGCTACAACAGAGACAGCGATTTATAGTTTTAAAGGTAATGCTAGAAACAACATTGGGAACCTTGATTCTTCTAAGAGAGAGGTCTAAGGAGTCCCAGTTTCTGTTTTGTTTTCTCCCCTTTAAATGACTCTTCAAAAATTCTGCACAGGGACAGCCAGCCCCATACAATCAGCATTGCCCAGGGTACAAGGGAGAATGTGGACTTTTTTCTTTTCCAGACTCTCATTGGTTTCAGGGCCACGTGAGGGCGGGCTCGGGGACCTGACCTCTGGAGTCCTGCGCTCACTTGGCGGCCTCCAGCTACCCCAGACATTCACCAGGGAATGAATGAAAAGAGGCACAGATGGGCCCTGCCTTGGCTGGGGTGTCGGGGAACAAAGGCAGGGCTCACAGCAGCTTTGTGCAGGGGAAGCTCCAGCTCAGCAGGAAACTTTTATCATGCAGATCTCCCTTCAACCTGCAGATTCTGGGTAGGGTGTGGGTGAGGGGGTGAGGCCGATTTAGTAGATCCCTCCCACAAGACGCTCTGCTACCATGGGCAACGGGCAGCAGAGGACTGCTGCTACACTGAGAAGAGATTTCTGTGCTAGGAGTCTCCACCTACCTGCTGTCTCTGTTACTTCCCAATCAGGCCAGGATCTGACCCCTGCACCCGTCAATCGGTGGGCAGAGGGAGGACACAAAGGGCCTGCTTCTGACACAGAGCAACCCAGTGTTCGGCTCTCCTCCTGCCCGGGCCACGGCCCTGTGAGGAGGCCTGCTGCGACAGGGACGCCTACCTCATCATTACTGATGGGCACAGATGGGTGTAGAAGGTTCCCAATTTCTCTGAGGTTCTCGAAACGCTCTGCTTCCAGCTTGAGGCGCTCTGTATCACACTTCAGGATGGCTTCATCGATAAGGAGTCGGACTTTTTTGATTTGTGAGACTTTCAGGTTCTGTAGGTGAACAGGCCAGGCCGTACCCAAGATCCAGTGAGACAAGGACATACAGGAACAAGCTAAAATCTTGGTGTCCCACCCCAGCTGTGCTCTAAGGACAATCCTTGTGGTAGCATTTAAAAAATCAAAATGAGGAGCTCAACATGGTGACTGAAAAGGCTCATCTTCCTGTAGCACTCGCACCCCATATAGACTCTGGTTCTAGTCCGGCTGCTCTACTTCCAGTGAAGTTCCCTGTTTATAGATTGGGAAAGCAGCAGAGGACTGCCCAAATGTGTGGGTTCCTTGCATCCATGTGATAAAACTCAGAAGTAGCTTCTAGTTCCTAGCTTCAGATCAGGTCAGCTCCAGCCATTGTGGCCACCTGGGGAGTGAAATACGGGATGGAAGGAAGATCTCCCTCTGTTTCTTTCCCTCTGTAAATCTACCCTTCAAAAATAAAAATCCTGGGCCCAGCGCGATAGCCTAGTGGTTAGAGTCCTCGCCTTGAACATGCCGGGATCCCATATAGGCGCTGGTTCTAATCCAGGCTGCCCCACTTCCCATCCAGCTCCTTGCTTGTGGCCTGGGACAGCAGTTGAGGATGCCCCAAGTCTTGGGACCCTGCACCCACGTGGGAGACCCGGAAGAGCTCCTGGCTCCTGGTTTCAGATTGGCTCAGCTTCAGCTGCTACGCTCACTTGGGGGAGTGAATCATCGGATGGAGGATCTTCCTCTCTGTCTCTTCTCCTTTCTGTATATCCACCTTTCCAGTAAAAATAAATAAATCTTTATTAAAAAAAAAAAAAAAAGGACAAGAGGACCTGCTAAACACACCTATGTCTAATGGCTTTGCTTTCCAGCTCTGCCTGACTCTAGTTCCCTGCTAACACACCTGCTAACACAGTCTTCAGGAGTTGGGTTCCTGACACACGGCAGACCTGGACTGCATTCTCTCAGTTCCTAGATTTAGCCCTAGCCCAGCCTTAGCCCAGCCTTAGTCCAGCCCTAGCCCAGCCCTGCCCATGACCATGCATCCAGGGAGTAAACCAGCAGATGGGAGCTCCCTATATTTTAATTTCTCTGCTTTTGACATGAACGCAAATAAACAATAACAAACCAAATAAATAAATAAAGGCTTCCAAAAGTTATTCCTTAGTATCAGAGGAGAATTGGGTTCAGGACTACCCTCTACCGAGGATGCCAAAATCCATGAATGCTCAAGTCCCTAATACAAATGGCCAAGTATTTGCACAGCCATATAATCTACACATATCCCACTGGATACTTTTTTCTTCTGAAGATTTATTTATTGAATTGAAAGGCTGGGTAAGAGAGAAAAGTACAACAAGGACAGATAAAGATCTATTTGTTGGTTCACTTCCTAGGCAGGCAGGATATACCAGGGTGAAGCCAGGATCCAGGAACAGCAGCCTGGTCTCCCACATAGGTGGCAGGCATTAGAGCACCTGGGCCATTTTCCACTACCTTGTAGGCACATTAGCAGTAAGCTGTCCAGAAAGTGGAGTGGTGAAGGGTGGCTGGGACTGGTACTAAGGCTAAGCCTTTGCCCAACAGTGCAGGCATCCCATATGGGTGCCAGTTCTCATTCTCGTCCCAGTTGTTCCACTTCCAATCCAGCTCCCTGTTTATGGCCTAGGAAAGCAGCATCTTTCGGTCCCTGCACTCATGAGAGAGATGTCAAAGAAGCTCCTGGCTCCTGCCTTTGGATCAGCTCAACTCAAGCTGCTGCGGCTTTCTGGGACGTGAACCAGCAGATACAAGATCTTTATTCTCTGTTACTCAGCATTTCAAATAAAAAAATAAAATAAATCTTAAAAACAAAACAAACAAACAAATAACACAGAAGTGAGACTGATTCCAGACATTCTGACATGGGATGCAATATCCCAACTAGTGGCTTAGCCTGTTGTACCACAAACCTGTCCCCTCCCTACTACATATATTAAAGGTTGATTAGTCACTAACTTAAAAGACAGGATGATAAAGAGAAATACAGCTTCCGTATATAGTTTTAATAGCCCAGGCTGGGCAAGGTTGAAGCCACGAGCCAAGAATTTTTTTTTTTTTTTTTTTAAAGATTTATTTTTATTATTTTTTCTTTGGAAAGGCGGATATACAGAGAGGAGAGACAGAGAGGAAGATCTTCCGTCCGATGGTTCACTCCCCAAGTGAGCGCAACGGGCCGATACTATGCCGATCCGAAGCCAGGAGCCTCTTCCGGGTCTCCCACGCGGGTGCAGGTTCCCAAAGCTTTGGGCTGTCCTCGACTGCTTTCCCGGGCCACAGGCAGGGAGCTGGAAGGGAAGCGGGGCTGCCGGGATTAGAACCAGCGCCCATATGGGATCCCGGGCGTGCAAGGCGAGGACTTAACCACTTGCGCCACCGCGCTGGGCCCGAGCCAAGAATTTCAACCTGGACTTCCGCTATGGGTGGCTGGGCCCCAAGGACTTGGGCCATTTTTCTCTGTCTCCCAGGCCCATTAGTAGAAAACTGAATCAGAAGTAGGAAAACCAAAACTTGAACTGACGCTCCAATATAGGATTCAGGTGTGATGAAGGGGTGACTTCATTCACCCACAATGCCATCTGCCCCCCACAGCACTTTAAATCATCTCCAGGTACTTGTAAGACCTAACACAATGTAAATGCTATATAAATAGCTGCTGGTTCCACTGGTGAGGAACCTGTAGACATGGATGACAGCTTGTAGCCTTGCCCTACAAACCTTCTGGTGATCTTGATTTTCAGACAGAGAGGGCTGCATTTTCCCCACTCTTAGTTGTTCTGGTACATCAGGAGTCATCAAAGCTGTAGCTCTTTTAAGAGTACTTCTGGGACGGGCTCAGTGGCTAAATCCTTGCCTTGCAAGTGCCAGGATCCCATATGGGTGTCAGTTTGTGTTAGGGCTACTTCCACAGCTCCCTGCTTGTGGCCTGGGAAAGCAGCAGAGGATGGCCTAAAGCTTTTGGACCCTGCACCCACATTGGAGATCCAGAAGAAGCTCCTGGCTCTTGGCTTTGGATTGGCAAAGCTCTGGCCACTTGGAGAGTGAACCAGCAGATGGAAGATTTTCCTGTCTCTCCTTCTCTTCGTCAATCTGATCTGGCTTTCCAATAAAAATACATTAAAAAAAAATCAGTAATGCAGACAGAACTTCTTCATTTGTACTTTCTGATGTTCCTGATTAAACGAATTTAGCACTCTGTTTTATATCACATCTAACTGGTTTCTAAGAACACTGTAACTTCAATAAGAGCAATACACTTTAGCTTATGTTGCAGAGCACAATTTTTTTAAAAAAGATTTATTTATTTACTGGAAAGTCAGATATAGAGAAAGGAGGAGAGACAGAGAGGAAGATCTTCCATCTGATGATTCACTCCCCAAGTGAGCGCAACAGCCCAAAGCCAGGAGCCAGGAACCTCTTCTGGGTCTCCCACATGGGTGCAGGGTCCCAAAGTTTTGGGCCGTCCTCAACTGCTTTCCCAGGCCACAAGCAAGGAGCTGGATGGGAAGTGGAGCTGCCGGGACTAGAACCAGTGCCCATATGGGATCCCGGCATGTTCAAGGCGAGGACTTTAGCCTCTAGGCCATGCCACCGGGCCCTGCAGAGCACAATTTTAAACTCTACTCTGACTTCCTTGGGGAGGGCCCTAAGGTAGGATTCCCAGCCCAGTTCTTCAAGCTCCTCTGGTTGCAGACAGGCTTCTGTGACTAAAAACTTACTGCTTCAGGTCTACTATAGTGAATCTAGGGAATATGTACTGGTTTATAATACATAGAAAGATTCTTTAATGTTAGGAAATAAAGGATAGAAAATGGAGTTATAAATCAAATACAATTCATTCCTTTTTTCTTTAGACCTCTGACTCCATCTCTGCTGTCTAATAAACACTCAAAGACAGAGTATAATGAGAGCAGATGGGGACATTACTCCGTGACAGCAATCCAAAGTTGCCACCATGCCGTGTGGAGATGAGTGTGTGTGCCTGCTGGTTAGGAATTGAGATAAAGGAACAGGGTTCAAAATTGTGGTGTAGTGATGTAAGCTTGCTGCCTACAACACCAGAAATCCTTCTCAGAGCACCAATTTGAGTCCTGGCTACCCCACTTCCAAACAAGTTTCCTTCTAATGCACCTGGGAAAGCAGGGCAGGATGGCCTAAGTGTTTGGGCTTCTACCACCCACATAGGAGGCCTGGGTGGAGTTCCAGGTTCCCAGCTTTAGCACGGCCGAGTCCTGGCCATTGCTACCATCTGGTGAGTGAATCAGCAGATGGAAAACCTCTTTGTCTCTCTTTCCATCTCTGCAATTCACCTTTCAAATAAATAAATCTTAAAAAAAAAAAGGGCTGATGCTGTGACATAACAAGCTAAGCCTCTAACCATATCCTGGCAGCTCCATTTTCACTCCAGCTCCCTGCTAATGGCTTGGGAAGGCAGCAGAGGATGGCCCAAGTCTTTAGGCCCCTGAACCTATGTGGCAGACCCAAAAGATGCTCCTGGCTCTTGGCTTTGGATCAGTCCAGCTCTGGCTGTTGTAGTCATTTGGGGAGTGAAAAGTGGATAGGTCTCCCTTTCTGTTTCTTCTCTATGTAACTCTGCCTTTCAAATTAAGAAAAGAAAAAGAAGCAGATAAACAGCTTGGTAACTTACAGCTAAAGTGTCTGCAGTGACATCATCGAAATTCAACACATTCTCTGGAATGGACTCGTCATCACCCACTGGTTCTTTTTTCTGTGGAAAGAAGAAACCCCCAACATAATTATAGAAAAACAAATGAAGGTTTTATGAACTGCACACTAAATTAATATACCATGTGACTGATAATATAATGCTCAACATTAACTTTTTCTTGAAGACGCAACACAGAGGAGAAAATTAGGAAACTGGAAGCCAGAAGTCAGATTCCAGTCTCCATTTCTAGTTTTTTATTCTAGCCAAATTAATGAACTTAGTGGGGACGGAAAATGAACATCCCAGAGAATACAAGAAGGGCATGTTTCCCTGGCCCTGGAGGCGCCTGGGAACCAAGGAAAGTTCCTGTGCTGTAAGCCTCCACAGGAGCAGTGTGGAGCACACAGGCAGGCTCAGGGCCACATGCCCAGCAGTGAGTCCTTGTCCACCTGCTACGAACAGTCCCAGGGCTGAGGCTAAGTGGAAGAAACAGACTGCACTGAGACCCAAGGAAGACAATAAAAAAAAGTCACAGGAATCAGGAACAAAGTGTCTTGCTATCAATGGAATTTAGCCAAATGCAAGGAGTGTTACTTTTTGTTTCTCTCTTCATCCTCCTTTACATCATTCTGCAAATCATTTCTTTTTTATTTTTTCTGTAAAAGATTTACTTATTTATTTGAAAGAATTACAGAGAAAATAAGAGAGAGATCTTCTATCCATTGATTAATTCATTCCCCAAATGGTAGGAACAGCTTGAACAGGGCTGGGCTAGACTAAAGCCAGGAGCATGGAACTCAATCCAGTTCTTCCATGTGGGTGCTGGGGCCCCAAGTACTTCAACCATCTTCTGCTGCTTTCCCAGGAGCTTTAGAGTGGAGCTGGATCAGAAATGGAGCAACTCGGGCTTGAATTGGCACTCATATGGTATGCAGCATTGCATGCAGCAGCTTAATTTGTACCATGAGGCATGCCCCAAATTATCAAAGCTAGGTAATTTTAAAACTCAAATTCTTCATAAACTAAAGAGGTAAAGAGGTAGACATTTTGCCCAGTAGTTAAGCTACCGGCTGGGATGCCCACACCTCATTTCAGACATCCCAGGTGGATTCCTGGTTCCATTTTTGCTTCTGGCTTCCTGCTAATGGTCACCCTGGGAATGAGCAGGTGATGGCTCAAGTTGCCAGGGTATTTCCTGCCGTTCATGTGGAACAACTGCATGAGTCCCAGGCACACAGAAACTTTGTTTATCTGTTTATTTATTTATCTGTGTCTCTGCCTCCTAAATAAACAAGATAAACTACAAAAAAAAAGTCAGAAAACATTGTAACAAGCTAACAGCCTGGCAAAACTCATTCAACAAAAATTCAGAAGCTTGCATCTGCTTTATAAATATAAATAAAATGAGAAGTCTGGAGCTTGCATTGTGGTTACATAGCACGTTAAGCCATTTCCTACAAAGCAAGCATCCCATTTGGGTGCCAGTTCAAGTTCTGGTTGCTCCTTTATGATCTAGCAACCTGCTAATGTGCCTGAGAAAGGAACAGAGAATGGTCCTTGCATCTGGGCCCCTGAACCCAGGTAGGAGACCTGGAGGAATTTCCCGGCTCCAGGTGTCAGATAGGCCCAGCTCTGACCACTGCAGCCACCTAGAGGAATGAATCAATGCATGGAAGATCTGTCTCTCCCCTTCTCTAACTCTGCCTTTTAAATGAATAAATAAATAAATAAAACAAATATTTAAATATTTTCTTCCTTTGTTTCTTTAAGATTTATTTATTTTTACTACTACACAGGCAAATTTACAGAGAGATCTTCCATCTGCTGGTTCACTCCCCAAACGGCTAAAATGGCTGGAGCTGAGCTGATCTGAAAGCAGGAGCCAGGAGCTTCTTCTGGGTCTTCCTCACAGCCGCAGGGACCCAGGGACCTGGGACATCCTCTTTTGCTTTTCCAGGCCATAAGCAGGAAGCTAGATTGGAAGTGGAGCAGGAGGGCCTGGTACTATAGCCTAATGGCTAAAGTCCTCACCTTGAGTGCACCAGGATCCCTTATGGGTGCCAGTTCTAACCCTGGTCCCCCCCCCCCCCCGCTTCCCATCTAGCTCCCTACTTGTGGCCTGGGAAAGCAGTCAAGGACGGCCTGAAGCTTTAGGACCCTGTACCCGTGTGGGAGACCTAGAAGAGGTTCCTGGCTCCTTTCTTTGGATAGGCTCAGCTCTAGCCATTGCGGCCACTTGGGGAGTGTACCATCAGATGGAAAACCTTCCTCTCTGTCTCTTCTCCTCTCTGTATATCTCCCGTTCCAATAAAAATACAAATAAATCTTAAAAAAAAAAAAAAAGGAAGTGGAGTAACTGGCATATGAAGTAGCACCCACGTGAGATGCTAGTGCTTAAAAGTGGAGGATTAGTCTGCTGAGCAACAGCACTGGCCTCTCTCTCTCTCTCTTTTTTTTTCTTTAACCTTCTAAATGTTTGGCCTGGTACCATAGTTCAATTGTTAAATCCTCACCTTGCAAGAGCCAGGATCCATATGGGTTTGTGTTCCGACTGTTCCACTTCCCAGCCAGCTCCCTGCTTATAGCCTGGGAAAGCAGCAGAGGATGGCCCAAGGCACTGAGACCCTATACCCACATGGGAGACCTATAAGAAGCTTCTGGCTCCTGCTTTTGGATTGGCTTAGCTCTGGCTGTTGCAGCTACCCGGGGAGTGAACCAGTGAATGGAAGAATTTGCTCTCTGTCTCTCCTCTCTGTAAATCTGACTTTCCAATAAAAAGAAAGAAATCTGCTCTAAAAACAAAAAAAAAGGAAATAAACCTTCTAAATGTAAAGTATGAATAAAAAAAAAGTAAAGCATGGAAATCCTTTCAGTTCATTACTGAGTCTCACACACCAAAGTGAGAAGTTGAGATTGTAACTATTACACCTTCTGTGACTGAGCGCAGAGCAGAATCACCTACAAAAAGTGCGAAAGTCTCAAAGTACTAGAATGAGTCTTGGTAAGAACAAGCATGAACTACTGATGAAGAAAATGGCCTAAATGTCAAGATTTTTGCTATGTTACTATATGCATGGTTAGCCTAGGGTGCCACAATAGTCAAGAAGTTCCCTTACTATCTGACTGCTATTCAAGACAGCAAACTCAAGTATGGAGGTTACAGTCTACAACTAGCACAGAGTATGATTCTAGGCAAGCTCCTCCTAAGTCTGATCTCCCGCCATTTCTTTATGTAGGATGGATAGCTGCACTTTCTACACCCCAGATCTGCAGCAAAGACAAAAACTAAAGTAAGATATATATGATAGCATTAGAACACTTCATGTGTGTGGGCAACTGCCCCCTTGTTTCAAACTGCCTGCTACTTGATAGGTGTGACCTATAGCTTATTTGGCCTGGCCTAAGGTGTAACTTCTCCCCTGAATACAAAATGTGACCAACAGGATTAGGCATACATTTTATCCAATCACAATGTCATTACTGGGTGAAGGGATTACCTAAAAGTACCCTCTTACCCTCCCTTTTCTTAAACCTTTATACACCTGGAACTTGGGCTGAATAAATGGACTTTCTCACCAGCTTGTCTCTGGCCTCACCCTTGGTGACTTTAGGGCCTGCTGGCAGGCCAAAATCCTGAGACAAGTGCTGAACAAACTAAATCACTACTACCTCTATCCCAGCGGAGATCAAGTGTGAATAATCCTCTTAAGGCGAGCAGCACATTTGGATCTAACATGCTGAAGCAGAGGCTGGTGTGATGGCTCAATTGCCTAATCCTCTACCTTGCACTGTCAACACCCTATTTGGGTCCTGATTCCTGCACTAGTTGCTCCATTTCCTATTGAGTACCCTGCTTCTGGCATGGAAAAGCAGCGGAGGATGGCCCAAAGCTTGGGGACTGTCTGCACTGGTGAGGAAGATCTGCAAGAAACTACTGATTCCTAGCTTCAGATCAGCTCAGCTCGAGTCACTGTAGCCATCAGAAGTCAACTAGCAGATGGAAGATCTTTCCTCTGTTTACCCTTCTCTCTATAAATCTGCCTTTCCAATATAAATAAATAAATCTTTAAAAAAAATGTGGCTACAAATGACACTCAGCCCCATTTTCTTGCTACAGTTGTGCAGTTGGGACAATCCAAAAATAATCTAGATATAGAGTGCATTTTCATGTTTTTTTCTGTTTAAATAAGGGGTTAAAAGGGCATTTTTGAACAAAGGTTAAAAACATGAGCGATCGGGCCCAGCGCGGTGGCGCAAGTGGTTAAGTCCTCGCCTTGCATGCCCGGGATCCCATGTGGGCGCTATCCCAGCAGCCCTGCTTCCCTTCCAGCTCCCTGCCTGTGGCCCGGGAAAGCAGTCGAGGACGGCCCAAAGCTTTGGGACCCTGCACCCGCATGGGAGACCTGGAAGAGTCTCCTGGCTTCGGATCGGCATAGTATTGGCCGTTGCGCTCACTTGGGGAGTGAATCATCGGACGGAAGACCTTCCTCTCTGTCTCTCCTCTCTGTATATCTGCCTTTCCAATAAAAAAGTAATAAAAAAAAAAAAACAAAAAAAAACCCAAGAGCGATCCTGGACACCAGAGGAAAAGCTGAGCTGATATTTAATGTTCTTTGAGCACTGAGAGGATTTTCTGGATGAAGGCCAATAAGTCCCTCAACTGCTGCACAACTACAGAGGAACTCAGACATTGCCTCAAATTCTCTGTATTCTAAAGACTGGGTTCTAACTATCCCACTCCATGTTGCCTAGTATTGTCGTTTTACAGATGAGAGCACCGAGGCTCCGAAGCTAACAAGCCTAGAAGTCCCACAGCTAACAGAAAGACAGGACAAGGTTTAGGCTCCATATCAGTATTGTTTTCATTAAGAAGCTTGATCACACTGGGAAGAAAAGTGAAGCCTGTCATAACTTGCCTGGCACCATAGGTTGAGCCAAGAAGTAACTGGGAAAGAGGATGGTAGAACTGATATTCCTATTATAGGAACCAAAGACATGACTGGTGTGGCAAGAATCTTAAACACCGAAGTCAAGTCACTGTAAGGTCAAAAGCAAGGGCTTTCTATTTCCCTCTCTCCTTTCCTTTACTTTTTAAATAATTTCACTGCCAGTAAGGAATTCAGAATCTTATAATCTAAGAGTTTAATACCATGACACCAAGTTATGGTTAGAACTTGCAAGAATATCAGCTGGAACAAAATGACACTGCTCCTGCGCAGCTCTCAAGTCTGCCTTCTCAAGTTCTTACCTTCATTTTTTCTCCAATTGTCTTGCTGCATAGATTCTTCAGCTTGTTTAAGTTGTCTGCTCGAAATCTGCCTAAGCATAAAGAATATCACAAGAAATGCTATTAATTAAGATACTCAATTCTCCTGAACATGGTTTTTAGTTCTAATTTCAGCTCTAGGCCCAAATGAGCTAAAGGACCTATACCATGACATTGTAGAATCTTGTTACAACCCCTAATTTAGTTGTCATATATTAATGATCACTTATAGTTTATGCCCAGTGTTAAATGCCAAGGAAAAAAAAACCCATTCTGAGTTTGATAATACATATGGTAATATTGTAGGGTAGCAAAGCCGAGAAACTTGTCAGATCCTGAAGTAACTACAGCCTGTCCAACTTTAATTATTATTATTTTTTTTCTTAATTTGAAAGGCAGATTTACAAAGAGGAGGAGAGACAGAGAGGCCTTCCATCTGTTGGTTCACTCCCTAAATGGTTGCAATGGCTGGAGCTGAGCCTATCCAAAGCTGGAAGCCAGGAGATTCTCCTAGGTCTCCCACACGGGTGCAGGAGCCCCAGCACTTGAGTCATCCTTCACTGCTTTCCTAAGCCATCAGTAGTCAACTGGACAGGAGGTGGAGCAGCCAGGAGCAGGACTAGAACAGAACAGCCCATACAGGATGCTGACACTGCAAGGCGCAGGATCAATTTGTTCAGCCACCACACCAGCTCCCCAGTCCTACTATTTTAAACTCATTTAAACAATGGTGTGCTATACACTGGAATTTAGATGGAGGGCATGAACATGGGCTAGATACCTAGATATGACCATGAATGCTACATTTTTATGCTGGAAATGGTGTATTTTGATACGATACTCTTTGGATAGTTTTAGGGAAAATTCCACTTCTTATATTTTTTTAAACAACCTTTTATTTTTAATATTTTTTACATGAGTTGAGAGGTGCACACACTGATAGGGGCTTCTATTTAGGGTGAGAAGGGTCATGTACGCAGGAATGTGGGTGAGATATATGTTTCAGGGCTTTTCTTTTTGTTCTGCTGGTCTGATGGGGTGAAGGAGACAGACCACTCCTTGCTGTTAAGCTAAATCAGCACCCGGGGATGGGAGGTGGACATCTGATGATGCCTTACAGACTGCAATTTGGGGAAGAAGGTTTCATGTGTATTACTTGAATGGTTTTAACAGTTGAGAGATTGTTGGCTTCATTGCACCAGGGTTGAGAAAAATCTTCCCAAGGTCTATTGGCTGATCAGGTCCACCTCAGTGCACATTCACAGACCCAGACCCTTGCTGCAAAGCTTGGCTAGGAGTTATCCAACCTGTTCGGCTTTCCATCCTATCAAGGTACCCAACACCCTCAGCTGGTCTAGATGATCCAGTTGTCATGTCCCCTGTTTGCATCTGAGCATACTGTCCACTGCACAGGCATCAGCAACCGAGGAAGCCAGTCTAGACACATGCACTCCAAGGTCAGACCACATATCTCGATTTCCCCTGTGGCTGGGATTTGAGTCAATTTTGGCAACAAGTTTCTCTCTCTTTTTTAAAATATATATTTTTTAAAGATTTATTTATTTTTATTGGAAAGGCGGATATACAGAGAGGAGGAGAGACAAAGATCTTCTGTCCGATGATTCACTCCCCAAGTGACCACAACGGCCAATACTTGCCGATCCGGGGCCAAGAGCCAGGAGCTAGGAGCACTTCCAGGTCTCTCACAGGAACCCACACGGGTACAGGGTTCCAAGGCTTTGGGCCATCTTTTACTGCTTTCCCAGGCCACAGGCAGGGAGCTGGATGGGAGGCAGGGCCACCGGGATTAGAACCAGCACCCATATGGGAACCTGGCGTGTTTAAGGCAAGGACTTTAACTACTACACCATCACACCGGGCCCAAGTTTCTCTCTTTAATCTCCTTAAACTTTAGCATGAAATGATACAATTGCTCTTGCATTCATTTATTTACATTGACAGAGAGCAGATTACTGGTTGCCATGGATTCAGGCAGAGGAAAAGAAAGGACCACAAGGGGATCAAACAGTACCTCTGGGGATTGTGTGGTACAGCATGCTCTCCTCCACCTGCTGTGTTGGCATCCCACATGGGCTCAGAATCATATACCAGCTCTTCTACTTCCTCTCCAGCTCGCTGTCTATGGCCTGAGAAAGCAATGAAGGATGGCCCAAGTCCTAGGACTCTACACCCACATGGGAGACCTGGAGGAGGTTCCTGCCTCCTGGTTTTGGATCAGCTCAGGTCTGGCTGCTGCATCCATTTAGGGAGTGAATGAGTGGCTGGAAGATCTCTCTATCCTTCTGTACTTCTCTCTATAAGTCTGCCTTTCAAATTTAAAAAATTATAAATAAATCTTCAAAGAAAAGAGGGCCCAGCGTGATGGCTTGGTGGCTTAAATCCTCGCCCTGCATATGGTGGGATCCCATATGGACACCAATTCATGTTCTGGCTGCTCCACTTCCCATCCAGCTCCCTGCCTGTGGGCTGGGTAAGCCGCAAAGGACAGCCCAAAGCCTTGGAACCCTGCACCCGCATGGGAGACCTGGAGGGAAGTTCCTGGCTCTTGGCTTTGGATCAGCACAGCACCGGCCATTGTGGTCACTTGGGGAGTGAATCAGCAATGGAAGATCTTCCTCTCTGTCTCTCCTCCTCTTTGTATATCTGACTTTCCAATAAAAATAAAATAAATCTTAAAAAAATACATATATCATTTTTAAAATTTTGTATATCATATCTAATGATCTTGCTAAAGTTATTTAGTTTTAATGGTTCAGATCGTGTATGCAAATTATCTGCAAATGATTAATAGATTTACTTTTTCTATTTTAATCTTTTAGTTCTTGACTTCTATCACACTGACTGGAATTGCCAGCATGATGTTGACTAGAAGTAGTGAATCCTCATCCTATTTCTAAATTCAGGGGATTCATTCAATGTCTCACTCTAAGCAGAAAGATGCTAGCTGCGAGTTTATGGTAAATATTTACTATTAAACACTGGCATTTCATATGAAAAAAGTGGGTCCCTATTTCACATACTTTACCAAAATTAACCTGAGGTGAACCATGCACCTAAATGTGAAAGGTCAAGTAACAAAACTTTTGGAAAAACCCTGGGGACTCTGGGGCATCTCCTGGAGCTTGTGATATGGAAAGATTTCCCAAACCAAACACCAGGAGCACGAATCACCAAACAAAGGTCAAAAGCAGAATTCTAACAGCTATTCATCAAGACTGAAGAGGCAATCAAAGCACAGACTGGGAGGACTGTAGCGCATGTACCTGACACAGGTGTTCTTGGATACAGAATATAGACAGACAATCAAAAGCTGGTCAAAAAGACCAAATAGACACTTGTCAAAAAATATAAGATCTCCAAACGCCAACAAACTCTTACTTTTTGTCCTCAGGAAAAAATGAAATAAGAGCACAACGAGACACGACTCATCAGAATGGCTAAAGTTTGAGGCCAGTGGAGTGGCAAAGCATGCATAAACTGCAGTGCAGCATCCCATATGGGCACTGATTCAAGTCTAAGCTGCTCCACTCCAGATCCCATTAGCTCCTTGCTAAAGGCCTGAGAGGGTAGTGGAAGATGGCCCAAGCCCACTAGACCTGGTAGAAGCTCCTGGCTCCCTGCTCTGAACGACTCAGATCTGGCATTGTGGCTATCTGGGGAGTGAACCAGGAGATGGAAGCTCTCTCTCGTTCAAGTGAAAATATATTAGAAAGCTGTATGTGAAGATTTGTGCACTTTACTATATAAATGGCATCTCAGCAAGTTTAAGAGAGTATAGCTAAAAACAGTTTGAATGCCATAATAGAGACATATGAAGCAATACATTGAGAAGTTCAACAAATTAGGTCAACTTATGGGAAAAGTTGGGTGCCAAGGAGGGTGGATCCAAGTTGGGGCAGCACCCTCATAAGGAATATACTGAGACTAACAATGTAAAATATGATAGGGGACTAGAGACACGTAACACAGCAAAAGCGAAGCACAAGAGGTCATTGGTAGTAGTGGCAAAAAGAAGATAAGGTGAGAAAGGCATGGTGCACTTTCATAAATCAGGCTAAGAAATCTGGATTTTTTTTATGCTTTAAGGCTGCTGTCCAAATGGCCTCTAGCCATCTGGCTAGCCTAAATTGAGATGTGCTCTAAGTAAAATACATACATTAGATTTTGAAGACTCACACAAAAATGTAAAATATCTCAATAATTTAAAACACTGATTACATATTGAAAACATAACTTTAGGGTATGCTTGGTTAAACAAAACATAATACTAAAATTTGCTTCACCTGTTTCCTTTTATCTACATATTTTAAATTTTATTTATTTATTTGAAAGAGACAGAAACAACAGAGAGGGACAGAAATCTTCCACCTGCTAGTTCACTCCCCAGATGGATGCAATGGCCAGGGCTGGGCCAGGCCAAACCCAGCAGCCAGGAACAACATGTGGGTCTGCTAAGAGGAAGTATAAGACACTTCTCTAGATGCATTAGCAGGAAGCTGGATCAGAAGTGGAACAGCTCGTATGGGTACTCATATGGAAAGTCAACATTGCAAGTAGCAACTTAACCATTATGCTACAACTTCAGCCTGTCTTTATATATTTTTTATAGTAACTACAAGCAAATTTACAATTTCATATGAAGCTCACTTTGTATTAAAAAAAAAAAAAAAAACAACTGAATAATTTGAAAAGCAGAGTAACAGGGCCTAGCAGCTAAAGTCCCTGCCTCATACCTAGCTGGGATCACATATGGGCGCTGGTTCTAATCCCAGCAGCCCCGCTTCCCATCCAGCTCCCTGCTTGTGGCCTGAGAAAGCAGTCGAGGACGGCCCAAGGCCTTGGAACCCTGCACCCACGCGGGAGACCTAGAGGAAAGTTCCTGGCTCTTGGCTTTGGATCAGCCCAGCTCTGGCCATTGTGGCCATTTGGGGAGTGAGTCAATGGACAGATCTTCCTCTCTGTCATTCCTCTTCTCTGTATATCTGACTTTCCAATAAAAATAAAATAAATCTTTAAAAAAAAAAGAGTAACAGAGATGTTTCATCTACTAGTTTACTCCCCAAATGGCTGCAAAGCTAAGACTAGGTCAAGCCAAAGCCAGCAGCAAGTGACTGCAGCCTAGTCTTCCATATGGGAGGTCGGGGCCCAAGACGTTCACTGTCATCCACTGCCTCTCCAGGCACAGCAGCAGCAAGCTGGAGCAAAATGGATCAGCCAGGTCTTAAACAAGCATGCTGGCTTCACAAGCTGCAGCTTACCTGGCTGTGCCACAACCCTGGCCTCTCACGTCCTGCTGCTGTAAAATATCAGTACTACTGTCACTGTCAAGACTTAACGCCAAGTGAAGGCAGCAAACCGATGTTCTACAAAGAGCATGTGCCCTGGATGTGGCCTCCCATTGCCTGTGCCCGGGATGAAACAGAAGACAAGGCTGTTCCAATTGCTGCAATCAACAATGATAAGGTTCCAGCTTAAGACATGTTCTCCGAGAGTTATCAGGAATTACTTCAACTGACAGTAAAATGTCTCATTCAGGACACCAAGGTTTGGGAAAGAATGTTCTGGTGGTTGATAGATTTCAAGATACATAAAAATCTAATGGCTTTGGGAGTAGAGCTAAGACAACTATGTGCAAATGTGGCTTAATTATACTATTCTGAAATGAAGAAATCATAGTTCAAACCCCTGGAGTGGGAAAACTTATGGTCAACTCCAACGCCATTAAGACTCCACATTCTATCAGTTGCCCAGGTTCTCCACTGAGCCTCAGGAGCACCTTGGAAGTCTATAGAGAGAAAAACTGGCATAATTGGAATGGAGGGTCTGCTAGAGGTTGCTATGTTCTCAGTCAAGGAGCATGACGGGAGTCCTTCATGTAGCTCTGGTTACTGGTCCTTGTTGCAGCTAAGGACCCAGTCCTCTATTCTGAAGTTCAAGATGGAAGGCCAGTGTTACAGCACAGGGAGCTAACCTGTGACCCGTGATGCCGGCATCCCATATGGCTCCTGGCTTCAGCTTGGCTCAGCCCTGGCCATTTAGCCAATTGAAGAGTGAATCAATGAGTGGAGGATCCATCTTTCTTCTTCACTCTGCCTTTCAAATGAATTAAGTTTTCAAAAAAATAGAAAAGAATGTTGGTATAAAACATGTCAATACACAGCTTGGGGAACCACAGACTTAAAAAAAAATAAACTCTTGTTATTTTTAGTTGAAAGGCAGAATTAGAGAGTGAGAGACAGAGACAGATAGACAGACAGACAGCTACCTAAATGGCCACAACAGCCAGAGCTAGTCGGGTCCAAAGCCAGAGCCAGGAGCTTTTTCCAGGCCTCCCTCATAGATACAGGGTCCCAAGGTGTTGGGTGTCTACTACCTTCCCAGGCCATAAGCAAGGAGTTGGAGGGGAAGTGGAGCAGCCAAGACACAAACTGGTGCCCATGTGATGCTGGTGCATACAAAGCAAGGATTTAGCCACTAGGCTATTGTGCCTGACTCAAAACTAAATAAATCTGAAAAAAAAATTTTTTAAAGCTTCCTAAAGATCTGTATATTATACACAGGATGTAAGCTAACATATTTAAAGTCATTCAATGGTGCCTAAAACCTGATACTCTAGTTTTTTTAAATTAAATTCATTTATTTAAAAAAGGTTTAATTTGAGAGGCTGAGTTACAGAGAGAGAGAGAGAAAGAAACTCCACCTGTTGTTTCACTCCCCAAATAGCCACAATAACTGGAGCTGAGCCCAGCTGATCCGAAGCCAGGAGCCAGGAGCCTTAAGCCTCTTCTGGGTCTCCCATATGGGTGCAAGGGCCAAAGGACCCAATTTCTTAGGCCACAGGCAAGCATTTGGATTAGTAGTGGAGCAAGTGGGACTAGAACCGGTGCCCATATAGGATGCCTGTGGCAAAGGTGGAAACAGACTACCATACCAGGGTCCCATCGCTTGTCTAGTTTATTTTCATCTTAAACAATAATTGTGGCAAATTTCAATTCCACTACCCAAAGTTTAAATTCAAGTATGGGGCCCAGCACGATAGTGTAATGGTTAAGATCCTAGCCTTGAATGCGAAGGGATCACATATAGGCGCTGGTTCTAATCCCGGCAGCTCCACTTCTCAATCCAGCTCCCTGCCTGTGGCCTGGGAAAGCAGCAGAGGATGGCCCAAAGCCTTGGGACCCTGCATCCGCATGGAAGACCCGGAAGAAGCTCCTAACTCCTGGTTTTGGACCAGCACAGCTCTGGCCACTGTGTCCATTTGTGGCGTGAATTAGAGGATGGAAGATCTTTCTCTCTGTCTCTCCTTCTCTCTGTAAATCTGACTTCCCGGGCCCAGAGGCGTGGCCTAGCGGCTAAAGTCCTCACCTGGAAGCTGCCATGGGCGCCGGTTCTAATCCCAGCAGCTCCACTTCCCATCCAGCTCCCTGCCTGTGGGCTGGGAAAGCAGTCCAGGACAGCCCAAAGCTTTGGGACCCTGCACCCGTGTGGGATACCCGGAAGAAGTTCCTGGATCCTGGCTTTGGATTGGCATAGTATTGGCCGTTGCGCTCACTTGGGGAATGAATCATTGGACGGAAGATCTTATTTTCTGTCTCTCCTCCTCTCTGTATATCTGACTTTCCAATAAATAAATAAATCTTTAAAAAAAATCTGACTTCCCAATTTAAAAAAATGTTTTAAAAAGAGAATTTTAAGTTTATTTTGACGCCCAGAAAAAAATATTGAGACCCAAGCGTTTTATTTGTAATATGTATTTTTTCATAAGCTTTTAAAGAAATATTTGCACGCATGGGTTTAAAAAACACTGCAGCAAACTAAACTTCTTATCTTGGAAATTCATTTCCCATGAACTTTCTGAAGTACCCGCACCAGGCAGTTATGTGTAAACCGATGCTGTTTTATCACCCGGGAATAGGATCCCTCCCACTGTAGCAGAGCGACAGCATGCCGTCACAGCCTGCCTTGCAGCAAGTTGCAGACCTATTGCATCAGACGAAGTGAATCACGTGTGCCTGAAAGCATCTGACCAACCAGTGCCCACTCTCCCTAATCTGGGCAGAAACTGACAGGCAGAAGGTTCTACTTTTTTTTTTTTTTGGCTTCCCGAAAAAGCAGTCCCAGGTTCTAGTCCACGTCCTATCCAGAAAACCTCGCAAAGCCCCCAAAGCAATCTTATTGGGCACAAGATAGTTCTTTTGACTTGCTTTCTACTCTCATCAATCTCGGAGAGGTACGCCCATACAGGTGGAGTGAACCTATTGTGCTGCAGGCGACTCGGCCTTGGGCAGGAGACACTGACCCCATCCAAAACGAAGAAGACTACGCCGGCCTCGGTGAAGATAAGGGGGGCAGTGGGGTAGAGACCAGAGAAGGATAGGAAAGCGCCCCCGCCACCAACCCTTCCGCCCTGGCTTTCTTCTGGATCGCCCAAGTTGCAGGAAGGCTTGACAGCTCGGGATGCTCACGCGTCCGGCTCGCCCAGCCGCACTGCGCACGCGCGCACTGCCAGGGTCGCGGGGAGAAGGGGTTCGACCCCAGCTCCCGGGCTGTGTTCTGGGGACCACGGGCAGTCTCTCGGTCACCGCAGCCCGGGAGAGTGCGACGAGGAGCAGACGCGGACTGTCGGGAGCGCGGACAGGACGCGGTGAGGGATCCCGGGGAGACCGCGCGCACCCCGGGACTTACATCGTCTCCACTCGCTGTCTGCCTTCACCAGCTGGTCCACAAGTCCCGGGTCCTTGAAACGCTTCTCCTGCGACTCCCGGATCAGGGCTGGGTCACCCCCTTTATCCACACGAAACAAATCCAGATCCAGCACCATCTTCCCGTCTCTCCGGCCAACACGGGGATGCCAGGAGCCTGCGTCACAGCCTGGGACGGAAGAACTGCAACGGCGCGCTGACACGCTGCTTCTGCGCAGGTACGTCTTCCTCGCGGCCGGAAGCGGCTTGTGGGGGCGGAGCCGCGGGGCGGGGTATGGGCGGGGCTTCCTCCGGCGCATGCGCCGAGCTCCGTCCCTCTGAGGGAGTAGCTCAGCTGGCCTCTTCCCACCCCCCAAAGAAAAAGATCATAAAGTATAAAATACGTAGTGTATATGAGTGAAATTGACCTTTTGAGATTTGATTATCGTTTATAACTCTTGGCTATATTCCTGAGGAGTGTTTTTTATAATTACTGTTTGTTGAATTATTTAAGATTTTAAAAAAATTTTAATTTGTTTTTACTTTTTAAAAATTATTATCATCATTCTATGATACAGCTCAATAGGCCCTGGGATTTCCTCTTCTTCTTCCCCAAGATTCCTCCCCTCCACCGAATCCCCATATATTATTACTATAGCATAGTTCTTCATAAAGAGTCAAGTGTTCATCATTGTGGGCATGGACAATGGCAGAGAGTCCAGCCTCCCATTGTCAAGATATAGCTGATAGTTTCATTAGTAGTCCATCTTTTTTTTTAAGATTTATTTTATTTTGGGCCCGGCGCGGTGGTGCAAGTGGTTAAAGGTCCTCGCCTTACACGCCCGGGATCCCATATGGGCGCCGGTTCTATCCCAGCAGCCCCGCTTCCCTTCCAGCTCCCTGCTTGTGGCCTGGGAAAGCAGTCGAGGACGACCCAAAGCTTTGGGACCCTGCACCCGCGTGGGAGACCCTGAAGAGGCTCCTGGCTTCGGATCGGCATAGTATCGGCCGTTGCGTTCACTTGGGGAGTGAATCATCGGACGCAAGATCTTCCTCTCTGTCTCTCCTCTCTGTACATCCGCCTTTCCAATGAAAAAATAATAAAAAATAAATCTTTAAAAAAAAAAGATTTATTTTATTTTTATTGTAAAGTCAGATATACAGAGAGGAGGAGAGACAGAGAAAAAGATCTGTCGGTCCAATGGGTCACTCCCTAAGTGACCACAACGGCTGGAGCTGAGCCAATCCAAAGCCAGGAGCCTCTTCCGGGTCTCTCACACGGGTGCAGGGTCCCAAGGCTTTGGGTCATCCTCAACTGCTTTTCCAGGCCACAGGCAGGGAGCTGGATGGGAAGCAGGGCTGCTGGGATTAGAACTAGTGCCCATATGGGATCCTGGCACATGCAAGGGGAAGACTTCAGCCACTACACTATTGCACTGGGCCCAGCAGTCCATCATTGATCTGGAAGTAGAGATGCACACTGCACTGCATCCTCACATCTGGACATGACAGTCTCCATTACACAGTCATCACACATCTCCTTAAATGAAAAGCCACAATAAAAAATCAACAACTGGAAGGAAAATAGAAATTTATAATGTCATGAATTTCTCAAGAGGTTTTAATAGTTCAACAGTCCTGAATTGCTTGCGATCTCACCACTCCAACCGCAATAAAATCTCTCCAGATCCACTGGCTGCTATAGTCAACTTTAGTGTCTCTGCTCAGATCTTCACTGCCAATGCTTGGCTGGGGTAGTTTTTTGTAGAAGGACATTGTGACCTTAGAAAGTCAACAAGCACAGGATTACAGTTGATTGGATAATATTTGTATGAGAACAACTGAATGGATGCCATTTGTGTGACTGATTGGATAGCATTTGTATGAGAACAGTTGAGTGGACAGTACATGAATGAGAACATTTGGTGGGATATACAAAACAAGAGTTCCAAACAAAAGTATAGAAACATTTGATGGGACTTGGCACTGTAGCCTAGCGGCTAAAGTCCTTGCCTTGACCAAGAAGGGATCACATATGGGCGCTGGTTCTAATCCTGGCAGCTCCACTTCCCATCCAGCTCCCTGCTTCTGGCCTGGGAAAGCAGCAGAGGACAGCCCAAAGCCTTGGGACCCTGCACCCACATGGGAGACCTGGAGGAAGTTCTTGACTTCTAGCTTCAGATTGGCGCAGCACTGGCCATTGTGGTCACTTGAGGAGTGAATCATCGGACGGAAAATCTTCCTCTCTGTCTCTCCTCCTCTCTGTATATCTGACTTTGCAATAAAAACAAATAAACCTTAAAAAAAAAACCTTAAAATCATCCACACATTCCCACCTTCCCACCCCCTACTTTCAATCTTGATTAGGTTTGTCACCTCTTGATTGCACTGGGATACAGCATATGGCTGAATTCATGAAAATTCCAGTGTACCCTATAATTGTTTTTTTGCTATTGCACCCTCAATGGTTAAACCAGAGAAAGTTTCAAAGTAGTGTGAGTTTGAAGGCTCTTGATTTTCAAGGGGAATCTGTCACATAAAAGGGAAAGAGATTGTGGCTGGCATTGTAGCACCAGATGTTAAATCTCTGCCTGTAACACAAACTTCCCATGTGGGTGCTGGTTCAATTCCCAGCTGCTCCATTCCTGGTCCAGTTCCCTGCTGATGCACCTGGGAAAAGGAGTAGATGATGGCCCACATCCTTCAGCCTCTACACATGGGAGAACTGGCTGGTGTTAAGGGAACAGAGGCACAGGGCAGAGCAAATGCCTAGGAGGGAGGCAAAAGTTTATGAACAGCTGCTGAGGGTGGTTAGGCTATAATAAGTGGAGAGACAGTAGGCATGCTAGGCTGTTTGGGACCCAGGGAGCCATACTATCAGATTTGTTGGAGACACAGCTGCTTCCTGTTCTGTGATAGGGTTAAGTAACTCCTGCCTCTAGGGCTGGTCTGAGGATAAAGTGAGTCCGTGCAATGACAGTACTCAGCCAAGACTGACACACAGAGCTGCCAAATTAATGCTATCTTTCTTTTCTACTGTCCTTATCCCATAAGCAGATGGTGGCATTAGGAATACTTAGCAGCCAGTACAACAGAGGTATCACCTAATCAAAATAGATGTGGCTCTTTAGCAACCAATTTTGGAGTATAGATGGGTACCTGCTGATAACGGACCTGCCTGACAGCCACCAGGAGCCATCAGAGATCTCAGCACATTTGGACTCCATTGGATCCATGTTAGGAAAAGTGGGCAGAGGGCTAAGTGCAGGAGTGGGAGGCACCGGAAGAGAAGGAAAGGCCCCTGTTTGAAGGCTAAAATGACCCAGAGGCCTTGCAGTAGAACACTGGTGCTTGGTTCTGTGTGGATGCAAGAGTTTGCGACATCTCAAATTCATCTTCTGCTTGGGATGGTCAAGTGGCCTCCACTGAAGTCAAGGAGAGTTCATGGACCTTGGAGATGGTAGATGCCAGCTAAGCTTGAGAACTTTCTTCATACCCAGTCTAGAGCAATCCATCTCACACACAGAGCTCTGCCTGATACTGGAGAGTATATTATTCTGTAGCCAACCTTGTGCCACCCCCAGAAGCCTGAGCTGGGAGGGAAGGAAGAGAACTTAAGGAGTATCTGCTGCCTTCTCTTTCACCCCTACCCAATCTTGGCAATCAGGCATTGTGCAAGCTTTGTTGTGGGGCTTTGGCCAGTGACAGATTCCCCATCAGGTGACAAGAAGCTTCTGGCATATGTCCCCCTCCTCTTTACCCCTCCCACCACCATGGTTTTCAAGTCTCTGTTCATTCATGTATCTCTCTGGGGTCTGGACCCCTCTGTTCATCCATTCAGACTTCAAGGACACTTACCATTTCTTGCTCAGCCAACCAGCGCCCCAACTCATGTTCAAAAAGATAACTCAGATTAAACCCCTGCTTAGGATGGGCACATCCTATTAAGAGTGTCTGGTTTGAGTTCCACTTACTCTGTGTTTGCTTCCAACTCAGCTTCCTGTGGAGCAGAAGGGGATGACCCAAGTGCTTAGATTCCTGTTACTCACATGGGAGACCCACATGAAGTTCCTGGCTAACAGTTCATCCCAGCCTAGCTCAGGATGTTGCAGGCATTTGGGGAATGAGAAGATGAAAGATTCTTTCTCTCTCTCTTTCTTTCTTACTCTCACTCCTGCTCTTACTCTCTTTCAAATACATTTTTTTCAGGAATAAGAAAGACAACTCAAAAGGTATGTTTTAATTTCAGAAAAAGGTGACATGCAATACCCATCCTCTAACAAATTGTAAGAGCTTGAAATACAGAGTAAAAAGGGAAACACGAGCCAGGCTTGATGCGACAAACTTCTGATTTCACAAAGCTGAAAAAAATCATTACAAATTTTCCTTGTATAAATATAATCAGTCTTATCTCTAATGTAGAGTTAGACAAGAAGGAAAAAATCATTATAAAAAATTCCCTGGTCCTTGAAAGTACCACTATATTCATGAGTGTTCCCAGCCAAACACTGGTGACAGTCACAAGTTGAGAGTTTGTTATGGAACACAAGGCCTTAGTTAACCAAATGGGACTTACACACTGCCTCTCTGGAGACCATACTCTCCCCAGTGGTCTGTGTAAACCATGTCTTTCCCAGGTCAATCTAACATGTGTGCTTTGAAATGTACACACAATCCTGGTCAACTACAAGTGATTGGATGGTGCATTTTAACTTGCTGAATGCTACGGTCTGTGGATTATATCTCCACAAAGCTGTTAAGAAAAATTTTTGATGTGTCTGCATTGTTAAGGAAGCCACAAGTGACCTTTGTGGAGTTCCTGACAGGTCACAGTTTGCCCTGTAGAATTCAGCCCTGCAGGGCATAGTGGAGCACCTTAGACAGGTTGCTCAGGATGTCCTAGATTTTAAGATGTCAGAATAAAGAAGACAAAAAGGTTTTTCTTTTTTTCTACAGCTTCTGGAATGGTGTAAGGCCTTCATGAGGCCTCTGTCACAGCAAAGTGCTATTCTGTGGGAAGGCAGGTGCCTGGGCACTGCTGAAAATACCAAAGACATGAGGCTGGGGCTCTGGAGCTATGTGTCCACTCCACTTGGATAAATCCCAGCTGAGCCCCAGGCTCTGGCAGCCTGATTTTCACAAAAGGAGAGAGAATCTGATTACCTAGAGAAGAGCTTCTAGATGCACAGGCCCCAGAGGGACTTCCTCCCTTAACTGGGGGGCAGAAGTCACAGCCAGGCCACAGGAAATCACACCAGGCTCCAGTGCTTGCTGACTCTTTCCAGACCTGCTGCCAGAGCAGCCGTGACAGACCTGATGAGCAGATCATTTTAGGTGGACAAACCCCTAAGAGATGCCACCTTCCTTTCCCACCCACTGTCTGGTCACCAAATGGTTGCTGGACAAAGGGCAGAGGCACAGACTGTGGGCAACTGGGACTCAGCAAGAGAGCAGTCAAGGGAGAGGCTGATAGGAGAATTGCCAGCAATAGCAAGAAAAGTAGAGTTTAAAGTTTTATGCTGTTTTTATCATTTGAGGGACTTCAAGTTCACCAGTAAAGGTTGGGGGGAAAATGGGGAAAGGGGACACAGAGGCCACTCACTCCACTCAGCTCTCAAGGAGATTTCTAGAAACTGGGAGTAGAAGTCTCCTTTTTAGGGATTTTTGTTGTTGCTGTTGTTTTGTTTTGTTGCACACAAAGGAAATGAGAGCAGGTAAACCAGAAAGAGCAGCTTAAAACTGAATCCCAACCTGGCGGATAACTGGTTAAACCCCCAGCATCCTCCCTGCTCAAAGACTGGTCTGGTTCTGCTTCTAGGACACAGGCTTGGGATTCAATCCCTGCTTTGGCCTAGAAGTTACTTTTTATGTGTCTGGACAGAGAGAAGCATATGGCTTAGAAGCATATGGCAGGGGCTCCTGTGGAGGCACAGTACAGTAAGTTGCTGCTTGTGATGTTGGTGTCCCATATGACAGTGTTGCTTCTAAGACCTGGCTGCTCCACTTCCAGTCCAGTTCCCTGTTGACATGTCTGGGAAAGCAGCAGAAGATGCTCCCAAGAACTTGGATGGAGTTCTAGGCTCCTGGCTTTGGCCTGGTCCAGGCCCAACCGTTGAGGCCATTTGGAGAGTGAACCAGCAAGTGAAAGATCTTTCTCTCCCTTGCTATCACTCTGCCTTTCAAATACATTTAAAAGAAAAGAAAAAGAAAGCAAGGGAGAGAAAAGGAAGAAAATGCCAGAAAGGAAGAAAGAAGGAAAGAGAGGCACATATTATGACTACCTCAACTTTGTGCCATGATGGACTGGATCCTCTGGTCAGGTCCCATTAAAACCTTCGCCTCCTTCTGCACCTGTGGAATCTGATGCCCCTGTCTGTCCCAGGCACATATGGCTCAGGCTTCTGAAATGGAGTCCCTTGAGGCTGGAGACCACCCCTCACTGGCAGGGGTTCACTGTCTCTGCAGGCAGGCACCAACAGGGAGCAAGACTAGGACATCTGGATTTAGGGCACACCTGATTCGCAGCGTGATACCACAGGGTGATGGTGGCAGGTTAAAGCAACAGGGGGACAACAGATCCAGTGGGGGCTTTGTGGGTATTTTCTAGATGAACTTTTTCCTTTGGTTTTAGTAAAGGGCATTTACCTCTTAAAAGAAAAAAATAAACAAGTTTTTTTTTTTTTTTTTAAACAGTCCTTCCTTACGGTTTCTCCCTGTGCACATGAAGCCTCTTCTTGCCCAGGACATTTTTATCCAGTCCTCACATTGCCTGTTGCTCACAGTCAGGCAGCCCTGAAGCTCACCAATCCTGTTCCGCCACGCAGCACCAATCCCCTTCTCCCAGCCTCCTCTCCTAGAGGGAGTGCCACCAGGAAAGCGAGAGAGACTGACTTTGAGATTCCAGAGCTATGAGAATGATGAGTAGCTGGCCCTTAGTAGGAAATGAGATGCAAGCAGAGGGGTCATATAGAAACAATGTTGTTGGTGTATTTGGAGGGTTGAGGCAAGCAGAAAGGAGGGTTTTGGTATTCTATATATATATATAAAAAAAAACAAAACAAAAAACAAATCAAAGCTCTGAAATTCCAACTCCTTCTGTTAAGGCCACAATGAAGAGATTCCCAGCAATGGGCTACGTCTTCGCAGGGTGTTGGTTACCCAGGTTGCCACAGGCTCTCAGGGTGACGTGCTGAGGTGAGGAGGCCGGTCTGGTTCAGGGTGGGCACAGTCTCTCACAGGTCCATGTCCGGACCCCCTGAGGATGTCTTCAGTGGCACCGAATCAAAGCCATCAGCAGTTCTCTGCAAAAGACGGGGTGACAGGAGCTGGCTGCTGATCAAGAGCAACTGTGGGGGACAAACGGGAGCCAGGAAAGTAGGTGACCAGGAGGAACCTATTGGAGAACCGTTTGCAGCAGCTGGGAAATAGAGAAGAGACTGTTCTTTCACTCCCATCTGAGCCAGTCACAGCATAAGGAAAAACACCTTCAGAATACCCTGCTTTGTGTCTTGGATGCTAGACAGAGGAGTCCTAGATAGAGTCAAGGAAGGAGCCCCAGGTGGAACTGTTCTCCCACTAATAAATTAAACAAAACAAGAAACCCAAGTTTCTAGGAAGGTGCCAAGGGTCTCACTCTGGCAGGCTGGCAGATGAGGCTTCAGGGAGCGAGAATGCGAGCACCTAACCACCACCCTTTGGTCATCACCCTGCTGTCCTGCTGTACTCTCCTCCCTCCTTCCACAGTGCAGCCTGCAGGAGTCACTTGGATGTTCTCCCCTGGCCCAGCTCTCTGCTTATGGCCTGGCGGCCATGCTGTCTGTGTTCCATTTATGAGCATCTTGCTCACCCACCTACACACCCAAGCTAGTGCCAACTTTCCCTCTGAGCCACCCAGTGGGCATCAGCTCACCCTCAGCTATGACTCAGCCCCAAGTCACCTGGGGGACAGCACCCTCCACTGGCTAAAGTAGAAGCCTCACTCCCATCAGAGATGGGAGATCCCATCTCCTCTCTCTCCAAAAAGACAACAAAAAAGAGGAATAGCTAAATACTGTTTTGGGAACTGAAAAACTTCAACCAACTGTGGTGCAAACTGGGAGAAAAGGAGTCTGGTCACGAGCAGCCCTGGGCCCCAGGGTACGAGGTAGTAGTGGCAACACAGAAATCAGAAATCTGAATTTCCAATGTGGGGAATTGAACACCTTAGGGTAGAGGACAGGGGGGCAGAATCTTGACTGTGGAACAGCCCAGGGCCACTCTGTCCAAGCCCCCAGGGATGGCTTCGGCACACTGGCCAGTCCCCCTACCTTGGAGGTAAACGATTTGATCTTCCCAAAGAGGGACTTCTTGCTGGTAAAGATGAGATCATCCTCCACGTCCTCCCCTTCCATGATGGCACAGCTGTCGGCTGCGGGAAGGTCGCAGTCCTTGAGCGTGGCGTTCATCACCAGCTTGGAATACTTGTATTCTAGTCTGTGACACATTGAGAAGGACATGGCATCAACATGTGGGGATGAACAGTGGGGTGCAGAGAGGGGTTTGGCAATGGATACATCTTCCCCTATCCTGGGTAAGGAAACTGAAAGATGGGAAAAACAATATTCAGGCTGGGCATGCAGAAGGGATCCCAGTTCCCAGTTTGGGGATGTTTTCTCCTTAAGGTTGGCTGTTTCTGGGAGCACAAATCTTTTTTTTTTTTTAGAGATTTATTTATTTTTATTACAAAGTCAGATATACAGAGAGAGGAGGAGAGATAGAGAGGAAGATCTTCCCTCTGATGATTCACGCCCCAAGTGAGTGCAACGGCCAGTGCTGTGCTGACCCGGAGCCAAGAGCCAGGAACTTCCTCCAGGTCTCCCATGTGGGTGCAGGGTCCCAAGGCCTTGGGCTGTCCTCGACTGCTTTCCCAGGCCACAAGCAGGGAGCTGGATGGGAAGTGGAGCTGCCGGGATTAGAACCGGTGCCCATATGGGATCCTGGCAGGTTCAAGGCGAGGACTTTAGCAGCTAGGCCATGGCGCCGGGTCCGGGAGCACAAATCTTGCTGGACATTTTAACATCATAAAATTGGGGCTGCCCTTTATAATAAAAAACAAACGGCGACAACAACAACAACAAAAGAAAGATTGGGGCTGGTGCCATGGTGGAGTGGGCTAAGCCTCCATCATGTGGTGCTGGCATCCCATATGGGCACTAGTTTGAGTCCCAGCAGTTCCACTTCTGTTCTAGCTTCTGCTTATGGCTTGGGAACAATGTCCCAAGTCCTTGGGACTCTGCACCTACATGGGAAACCTGTAAGAAGCTTCTGGCTCCTGGCTTTGGGATCAGCTTAACTCCAGCCATTGAAGCTATTTGGAGAGTGAACTAGTAGATGAAAGACCTCTCTATGTATCTCTTTGTCTCTCTGTAAATCTGCCTTTCAGATAAAAAGATATCTTTTCTTTTTTTACATGACATCAGGTTGAGTTTGTTCTGCTTATCTAGTAGCCACATGTAGACTATCCATGGGTCACTACCCCAATTCAGAACGCAAGATCACATGAGACATACATGGAACATGTGGCTCATCAGGCCTCTGGCCAGAGTCCCAGGGTCTGTGGCCAAGGGGAAAAAAAAAGCACTTAATGGATATGTCTCTCTGCTCTGTGAGCCAACCAACTCTGTCCATTCTGACTTTAAGGCCCCACCATGTACTTTTGATTCTTCTTCCAGAAGTAGCAGGTCAAGACGGTGAGCAGGACAGCAGTACAGGTGCCAGCAGAGATGCCCACTTTGAGCCAGAAGTCGATGGTCTTGCAGATGGTGACCTTCTGCTCGGGCAGGGAGATGCCACCCGAGCAGATCCTTGGCTCGCGCCACACATAAGTAGTTTTCTGTTGGGGAGGAAGACGGGGTACTCAGGCCTCACATCCTCTTCTCTCCTGGGAAGCTCCCGGACACAAGAGGACAACTTACCTGGATCCCAGCCACGCAGCTGCTGACAAAAGCGTGGTAGTCAGCATCTGAACAGAGCGGGCAAGCAGCCACGCTTTCCCACAGGAAGTGGAAGTTGCAGCCATCACAGGTCCCCTCGGAGCACATGCTGGCAAAGCAGAGACAAGCTGTGAGCTGTCCCTGGCTGGGCTGCTATGGGAGAACCAGGGACCCAACTGGTTGGCTCATCAGCATTGCTCCAGCTGCTTCTTAGCATGGATTTTATTTCTGATTCTGATTGCCCTGGCTAATCCTGATGCCTTCCTTGCCTCTATGGGGCTCCCCACCCTCTGCCCTTTCCTATCTCTGAGTGCTCACGGGGGGGGGGTGTGATCTAAGAGCTGGCATGGCTTTCCCACTGGCCCCTCAATAGTTCATGCTGTCCCCTCATGGACATGTGACATTTTGCATGAGCCCCTTTGATGCAGCTGCCTGGAGCTGGAATTGGAGCTCAGGTGGATTTCAAGTCCTGGACCTAGGCTGCATCCCAAGCTATGGAGGTAACCAGAGCAAAGAAGGTGACACCACTGCTGGCTCAGTATGTCCTGCTTTGATGCCCTGTCTTCCCAGTCAGTTGGCTTTGGCAGCAGCTTTTCCCAAACCGTGTTCCTCAAGGCACCTAGTGCCTAATAGGACGTGAGCTGGTATTACATGGGAGGTGAAAGGAGAGCATGGTAGTGGAGTCTTGCACTTGTATTAGTTTGGAAATTCTCAGTTGACACACAGCTCTCGAACTCAGAGTTGGGTCTTTTAGTTGCAGAGATATCCCTAGGACCCCTAAATCTTTACCAATACTAATAACAGCCACATACCATGGGAGGTCCTAAGTCTCACCATAAACCCCAAGCCAGTTCTAGATGGGATCTTAGGATGGTATTGATTGTACAGGTAAGCCAAAAAGAGGACCAGGGGAGAAGGGAAATGTATTCCTTACGACATAGCCAGGAAGCAGAGGGGGCTGATGGAAGTGTGGTTCTCAGCACGCACTGTTAGGTGCCACAATGCCACCATAAGGGTCCGGCACATGGAGGTAGCTTGGACTCTTCCTTCTGCCCATTCTTATCCTATGAAGACTGAGGGTTTGGGCCCACGGCTATGCCCCTGGAGAGTCTATGGATCTCAAGCTATTTTCTCTTTGACCATTTTTCCATAAATCCTTACTCATAGCCTAAGAATAAGTCTGGAGCAGTTAGACTGTGGTCCTCAGTACCTCCATTTGTAGGGCTTACTTGGGCAGCGACAGAACTCCTGGGTTAGGCTTCAGTGGGTTGCACCTGACGCGAATGGTGGTTGCTCTTCCAGAACTGCAGGACTGGGTCACATCATTAGATCTGTAGAGAGAGCCAGTGTCAGCCTACTCCCATTGAGGGAACCTGTCACTCAGCCATTCCACTGGGGAGCCAGCCAGTGCAGTCAGCATGGGTAGGCCTGGGGGCTGAGCCTGAGACATAGGGACTACACAGGCCCATAGAGGGAGTGGGAGTCAGGGAGATCTAGCCAAAGGGAAACATATTGGCCTTCAAGAGATGGGCTGACACATACAGGGGCCTCTGTAGGCTAAAAGGGAAGGTCCCTGTGGATTGCCCCAGCAACACCCAAGAAGCTGGGATCAGGGAACTCTGGGTCTTAGACGTCACGATCAGGCAGACCTCAGGTAGGTGGCTCTGGAGGTAGGTATGGAGCAGAGGTGGTGGTGTACTCCTAGGCCTTCCAGGGGCCTGGCCCCTGGTCCTCACCTATAAAAGAAGATCACATCTGGTATCCCTGTGGTCTCTGGGTGGAAGAGCTCAGCAGGAGAAGTGATCCCATCCAAAGTCAAATCTGTTGATACGCCTGCCGGAGGAGACCTCCTGATTAGCCCATGAGTGATTATGACATCAGCTGGCAACCACTTCAGTTCTTTCAAAAATGTCAATGCCCAACCTTACTTCTTCTTGTTACATGCCCCCAGGAGACTCATGAAAAAGTGAACTTCATGAAGGCTCGTCAGAGGTCCCAGGGGCATTTGGCACCCAGTGTGGGATAGAAAAGAGAGATCAGGAGGTTGGGTCTCTCATTTGTAGCCTCTTACCATCCAGTCTGTTAGTTTTACTTACACACACGAACACACATAAGTGAGTGCACATATACACACCTATATGTACATAGACACATGTACCCACATGCACATACATACACATGCACGTGTTCACGTGCCCCTAAGCAGCTGAGTGACTCACCAATAAGTCGATCAGCCAGGCTAACAGGCTGTGAGGACACCCCAGCCTTGTAGCCTGTTACCTCCGGGGGAATGATGACTGCCTGGCAGATATAGGCTGAGATGGACTTGGAGAATCCTGATTCGCCATCGGGAATCCGGAGGTCGGTGACATTGTCTGAGCACACTGACATCTTCTTACCCTGGTGGGAATGCAAGGATGGGCAGAGGAAGTCCCCCAAAAGAACAGAGAATGGGATTTTTCACATCTAAAATTTCAGACTTGCAAATACTATGTTGCGGTGGAAAGATTGATCCAAGACAGATTTAAATATGAAAAAGAAGGCTAAAATTAAGGTTTAGATGTCCTAGTTTTTGTAACTCTGGTCTTGGGGTCCCCAGCGTTTTTAAAGGTAAGGTGACAGAGAAGGGGAGATAAGAAGGGAGAAAGGTAGAGAGAGAGAGATTGCTATTATTTGGGCTATTTCCCCAGTAGCCACAATAGCATGGATTCGGCCACCTCAGAATCCAGGAACTCTACCTGGATCTCCCCTGTGGGTGGTAGGAACCCCAGTTATTTGAACTGTCAGTCTGCCTCCCAGGTACATTTAGCAGGAAGCTGCATTGGAAGCGGAAGTAGAACTCAATCCAAACACTTCAGCATGGGATGTGGGCTTAACCTGCTGCACCACGTCTTACTCCCCGGTGTTCTTGTTTCCTAGGAGTCACCAGGGAGCCCTAAGTGAGAAGGGAAAGGATTTAAAGTCCTAACCTACCAGCCCATTACAGAAGTGCCCTTTCTTATCCATAGCAGTTTTCTAGACAGAAGGGGGAATATGTAACTAATCCCAGGAGCTAATGAGTTTTATTTGAACAGCTGGCCTAGCTGACAGTACTTCTGTTTCCCTTCACACTGTGATTCTACCACATTTCCAGCCAGAGATAGCCAGCACAAAAAACAGAACCCACAACCAGTCCTGTTCCAGTCTAGCCAAAGGGCATTTGAAAGATGCATTGAGAAGTTTCCTTTTTCTCCAGCCCTTGATGACCTTCACCATGTAACCTCAAGAAGTTGGTGGGGTGGGAATTAAGACTCTTTCCCTGAGCTTTTGTAAAGAGGAAATATTAAGATACTGTCCCTTCAAGTGTATTGAACTGGGGTGGGTACTGTGGTGGCAGGTTAACTTGCTACTTAGCATGCCCACAACCCACGTCATAGTGCCTGGGGTTGAGACCTGGCTCAGCTTTCATTCCAGCTTCCTGATAATGCACCTGGGAGGCAGCAGGTGATGGCTCCAGCCCTTGGGTTCCTGGCACCCATGTGGAGACTCAGATGGGGCTCCTGGCTCCTGGCTCCTGGCTTTAGCCAGATCCAGTCCTAGCGCTTGCAGGCATCTGGGAGATTGAGACGATCTTTCTCATTCTGTTTCTCTGCCTTTCAAGTCAATAAAACTTGTTAAAAAGAAAAAGAGAGAAAGAAACAATGCTTAAATTGTGCTAATATGAAATAATATTTTATATTATACATTATATGTCATTTTATAATATTAATAAAATATATTTAACAAATATAATATCAATAATATTTTATATGATATTTAAAATATTGTGTCATATGTTAATGTTATATTAGCATATAATGCTAATACAAAATAATAATGTTAATATAAAACTATTCGTTGAATATTTTAAACTTAAATGGAAGAAAATAAGATTTTCTGAGCCAGTGTGGTGGCTCCACAGGCTACACCCGTGCCTTGCAGTGCTGGCATCCTATTGGTTTTAATCTTGGCTACTCCACTTCTGACTCAGTCTGGGAAAACAGTGGAGAATGGCTCAGGTCCTTGGGCCCCAGAACCCATGTAGGAGACCTGGAAGTTCCTGGTTCCTGGTTTCAGATTGGCTCAGCTCCAGCCATTATGGTCATTTGTGGAGTGAACCAGCAGACAAATGTCTCTCCTATCTTTAAATCTGTCTTTCAAATTAAAAAATTACATATTTAAAAAGGGAAAAAGAACATTTTCAGTGTTATGAATTTTCTTATATTTTAAGTGGAATTAAAATTGGCATTTTTTGGCCTTTTTTTTTTTCCTAATTCAGGGAACTTGAGAGCAGAAGGAAGTGTTTACACTACTTTGTTTTTGAACTGAGGAGCTATAGTCTGACAGTAATTATGTATGAAATCAATAAACGGGGCTGATGTTGGCATAGTGGGTTAAGCTGGTGCCTACAAAGCCAACACCTCATATCAGAGTATTGAGTCCCAGCTAGTTTGCTTTGGATCCAGCTCTCTGTTAAAGCACGCAGGAAAGTAGCAGAAGACAACAAGTACTTGGGTCCTTACCACCCAGTCCTGGCCATTGTGGCCATTTGTAGAGCGGAGCAGTGGATGGGAGATCTCTTTCCCTGTCACTCTGCCTTTCAAATAAGCAGATCTTTTTTTCTTTCTTTTTTTTTAAAATTTAACTCATAGAATATAGAAGCTTTCTTTAATCAGTTTCATTTCCTAAATCATCACTACCTGTTACTAATTAAGCATCACTTTGTTTTTAACGATTTGTTTATTTTTATTGGAGAGGCAGATTTATAGAGAGGAGAGATGGAGAGGAAGATCTTCTATCTACTGGTTCACTTCCCAAGAGGCTTCAGCAGCCACGGCTTCACCTAAGTGTTTGAAGACTTCTAAATGCAGGTTAGAAAAGTCTATCTTGGATCATATGTAGATTCCTTCATTTCTTCACATGCTCTCTGCCCTCATGTCATCTTTGCTCCGGCTGCAGAAGGAGCAGCTGGATGGTGTTCTGGCCCCACCTTCACACACAGTCTCCGATTGAGTGCACAAGAGGCTCTGCTTTCTGGCAAGTGAAACCAATTTACCGCACTGTGCATTTGCTAATTGTGGTTTATGGTAGCTTGGTCAAGTGCAGCAAGGATGGAGTTACCCTTTTACACCTTTGCTTTTGGATTCTGGACCCCAAATGTCAGCCTGGAATGGCCACATGCTTTTATCATCTTATAAAAGCCTTTTCTACTAGTTTCAACAAAGGAACTGCAGCCCCCAGAAAACATCACAATGCAATGATTACCAAAGATTGCGCTTCCCCCCCCCCTTTATAAGGAGGAGGAGGAAAACTTCTTCCTGCATATTTTTACATTTAGTTGGTGGGGAGGGGTAATGCTGTGGTACAGCATGTTCAACTGCCGTTTGCAACACTGGCATCCAATCCAGTTCCATAACGCACCTGGAAAAGCAGTGAAAGGTGACCCAAGAGCTTGTGCTCCTGACACCCACGTGGGAGACCCAGAGGGTACTAGATTCCTGGTTCAACCTGACCCAGCCCTGGATGTTGAAGTCCTTCGGGGAGTGAACCAGTGGGTGGAATTTCTCTCTCGTTCTTTCCCCTTCTCTCCCTCTATGTGGTGTGTGTGTGTGTCCCTCCCACAGTTACTACACTTTTCAAATAAACAGGTCAATAATGAAAACAACAGCCAACTTCCCTTTATCCAAAAGGTTGGAATCTGAAGTATTTTGCAGTCTGGGGTTTTTTGGATTTGGGAATATTAACATAGATGCTTCCATTCAGCACTACTAACTGAAAAGTTCGAAATCTGAAATGTCCAAAAGCCTGAATTTTTTTGCATTCTTTAGGGATGCTCACCTGGCATTCTGAGAGAATGAAAGATCAGAACAAAAAAAATGAAAACCAAACATCTTGTTTGTTTATGATCTAGATGACTGGATATAAGGGGAAGAAGTCCTCAGGGAGAATAGGGGTTACTTAAAAGCCCTCTGGAACCAACACTGTGGCATAGCGGGTAAAGCTTACAACACCAGCATCCCATTATGGCCATCCATTCGAGTCCTGGCTACTCCACTTTCAATTCAGATTGCTGCTAACACACTTCGGAAGGCAGTGGAAAATGGCCCAAGTCCTTGGGCCCCTGCAACGCACTTGGAACACATGGAAGAAGCTCCTGGTCCTCAGCTCTCAGCTCCCGTGAGTTGGTCCAGCTCTGGCCATTGCAGTCATTTGGGGAGTGAACCAGTGGATGAAGACCTCTCTCTCTCCCTCCCTCTATGCAAGCTAGGCCTTTTAAATAATTAATAAATCATTTAAAATAAAAATGCCTCTAACTGCCTCAGTTCACAAGATGTTTCCATTTTTCTTCCAGCTCTGCCTCTGGCGCCAGACGCCCAGATGTTCCCTTTCCAACGCCCATGCCACATCAACTTGCACGGCTCACCTCGTTTCCACACAGACTGACAGTGAAGTGATGGAAATACTTCAGTCCCTTGGATGTGAAGCTTGGCCCTCCCGCCAGGGTTTTGATGTCTGCCAAAGCCGAGAAGTTGTACTCCAAATTCCTGGATGGAGTGTGGCGGGAGAAGGTGCAGTCATTGTAGCACAGTGACTGGATCTGATGGGGGTAAGACAGGAGAGGCTGGGTCAATCCCATTATTTTTCCTCCAGGTGTTGGAGAACAGGATAGAATGGGATTGGAGGAGGAGGAAGACGGGGCTGGGCTGGGCACTGAGACAGACACCAGAGGGACTTACAAACATCCCTCCATTCAATTATGGGCATGTATGTGACAAGGAGACCATAATATTTTTTCACTGTCTCCTGTGTTCAAATGCTAAAACCTTGCTCCTGTGCCTAGGTTGTATGATGCCCCCTTAAGACGCAAGGCAGCCCTTTCTATCTCCTAGCACAGGACAGTGAGCTAAATAGAAGGGTGTCGAGGATGACAGAAGGGAAGCTGCAGGTCTGTCCTCATCCTTTGGCCATTAAAAAATTACCAAAACCTGTCTCTCCTTTCTCAGCTTCTCTACAGGAAGCTCCAAAAGATGTTCTAATTCCCATACACCTGTTCCTTGCTCTGGTTTGGGGGAGGGAGGGTCATCTTTTCGCAGAACCATCACACAACTGCCATTCTCTCCCACAGTGGTAGAGGACGCTCCAGGGGAAGAAGGTTGTGACTAAAGGCCAGGGTTCCCCCAAAAAAGGTTGTTCGGGAAAGCACCTACGATGGGACCAGGTGCAGCAGTATAGCAGGCTAATTCTCTACCTGCAGCCAGTTTGAGTCCCAGTTGTTCACTTCCAGTCCAACTCTCTGCTTATGGCCTGAGAAAGTAGCAGAGCATGGCCCAAGTCCTTAGGCCTCTAGGTTCACGCAGAGGACCCAGAAGAAGCTCCCAGCTATGGATTAGCCCAGCTCTGGCTGTTGCAATCATTTGGGGCGTGAACCAGCAGAGGGAAGATCTCATTCCCTGTATCTGCCTCTTCTCTCTGTAACTCTTTCAAGTACATAAACAAATCTTTTTTTTTTTTTTTTAAAAAAAAGCACCTAGGACTAACAGAAGAACTTTTAGCCGCAAGTACATTTTCAGTTGATGAATGCCCAGCAGTACTGGTGCTTCTCTGCTCTGGAAAGGAATCTCTGTATCCATGCTGAGAGAGTAGTGCCCATTACCCTGCTGGCCCAGGAAAGGTCAGGCTATCCTTCCAAAGAAGAAGACAAATTCCCGCAGTAACAGGCTGGGTTGGACTCGGCTGAGTTCAGACCATCAATCTCATGGTGTCTTCCCTTTGCGTCTCCGCACAGACATCAAACATCCATAGAACCAGATGGCTCCCTACATCTCCCATACCCACCAATGGAAGATGAGTCTTGTACATGATCATAGCTAGGCCCTGGATGTCAAACCCTGCTAGAGATACACTAGGAGGAAGGATTTGGGTACCAGCCCCTGGAGAGCCCCATATAGGACTTGGCACCTTCTGAAGGCATCCAAGTTTGGGATGCAGGGCACACTGCTGGTACCTTGTTGCTCTGGGTCCCTGGGCCACAGGGCACACAGGCCTGGGCACCATATGGCTGGTGGGCTTTCAGGATTGTGTTAGTGGGGCACAGGTGGCACGTTCCCGTATCTCGGTCGATGTAGTGACCAGCAGGACAAGAAGTACAGGAGGAGCCCATGTCAGAGGCCTCCAGGGCACAGGGACGGCAGTAGGAGGCCACCCCATCCATAACATTGGTGATGTTGATGGAGTAGATCTTGGCAACATCGTTGGTGTACATCCTGCCCTGGAGAAAAGGAAACAAGCGGGGAGAAGGTGGGAGTCTCAGACAAGCAATGACCCAGCTCTCTGGAAACAGCAAAGTAGTTCTATTACTATTCTCGAGAAAAATCTGAAACGCATCCTAAACCCCAACAGTGCTATTTGGGGTGCATTTGTGGTATCTTAAGAAAAAGACTGGATCATGTTAAGAACTGTATTAAAAAAATTAAGTACTGGGGCTGGCATAGCAGCACAGCACATTAATCCTCCCCCTGTTGGGCCAGCATCCCATATGCACTGGGTCATGTTCCAGGTGCTCTACTTCTGATTCAGCTCCCTGCTCATGGCCTGGGAAAGCAGCAGAAAATGGCTCAGGTCTTTGGGTCCCTGCACCCACATGGGAGACCCAGAAGCAACTCCTGATTCCCAGTTTCGAATCAACTCAGCTTTGGCCATTTTGGCTATTTGAGGAGTGAGCCAGTGGATGAAAGATCTCTCTCTGTCTCTCCTTCTCTCTCTATCACTATGCCTTTCAAATAAAAAGAAATCTTTAAAAAGATTAAAAAATAGTAAGTAACATGGAAAGATGTGATAAATATGTACTGTAATATGAAAAAAGCCAGCCTTTTCTTTATAAGAGAAAAAAATGCACTTGGAAAATTCATAGTGAATAAAGACTGCATAGAAGAAACTCCACATGTTAGCAAAGTTTTCTAGCTATATAATAGGATTAATTAATTATTTAATCCTGTATAATAATATAATAATAATTATTAATCATTTAATCCTAAATAATAGGATTACATATTCTTCTTACATGTTGCTGTTAATTCAGTTTTCTTCCATGAACCTTTGTGGCTCTGGAGTAAGAAAACAAAACCAGAATTGCTGCTATTAAAAAGCAACAATAGGTGTGGCACCACACATGGGCAGGAACGGCAACAAGGGCCTGGTTGTTGAGGGGTTCACAGCATCATGTTCCCTGGAAGCCATTTGGACAAGGCCAGGTGTGTCCCAGAGGCCCTGGGTTAGACAGTTGGTTGCTTGCTTCCTTAGAATGCACTAACCCTTGGGTTCTGAACTGCAGACCTACCATTCCCCCCACAAAAGGGAGGTCAGTGCTGAGGTGAGCATCCTCTCGGGATGCAGAGGGACCCTGCTGGGAGTCAGGGGTCTGCCCAAGGGGTGGGGAGCTCACCGTCTCATGCAGTGTGGTCCTCTGGAAGGCCCAGGTGAAGCTCATGCTGGCGTTCTTCTCAATGGTGTAGGTGTAGGACTGCTTGCCTTTGGAGCCTTTCCATGTTTCCACGGGAGTGTTGGTTCTGGAATTCATGCCCTGGGTCCGGGACAAACAAGGGAAGAAGATATGATGGCTGCAGCAGAGGCTGAAACATGGCACCCTGTGCAAGAGTCCCTGATAACCAGTCCGGGTTCTTCCTTTACAGAATCACTGCAGGCAGGTATCAGTTACATTGATGCGCCAATGGGACAGATGAGGGCAATACCCCCTGCTCCCACCCCACCAATTGGAAGTCCTGTGGACAGCAAAGAAAGGAAGACATACCACCATGAAGTAGAGTTCACAGTTCACAGTACAGATGGTTTCAAAGACAAATGTGATCCTGGCCACCTCTTTATTCTCTGTGTCTGCCATCACCGACTGCGGAGGCCTGTGGGGGCAGCAGCTAGAAGTCACTTCCAGGCTTCTGGCTTCACTTAATCCAGCAGTAGCCATTGCGGGTATTTGAGGGAGTGGGTAGAAGATTGCCCTCTTTCTCCCAAGTAGATGAGAATAAACAGAAAGTTCTGGGGGCTAAGTGGTGCTTACTAAAGAGCCTGTTTATCAGAATGTGGGCTGCTGGGGACAGGAACAGATTTTGCTGTGTTAGAGCCTGTGCCACATCCAGCTATGCTGTGTGACACGGACCTAGCCTAATGGCACCTTCATTCGCTGTACAATGGAGGGGTAGTAGCTTTATATGTTTTTCCCCATCAGCACAGTACAACCCAAGGGCCTAATAGACATGGAAAAGCTGGGCCTAGTGCAATGGCTTAGTAGCTAAATCTTAGCCTTACACGTGCCGAGATCCCATATGGGTACCAGTTCCTATCTCGGCTGCTCCACTTACCATCCAGCTTCCTGCTTGTGGCCTGGGAAAGCAGACAAGGACGGCCCAAAGTCTTGGGACCCTGCACCCACATGGGATATGAAGAGGAACCTCCTGTATCCTGGCTTTACAGCTCAGTTCTGGCCATTGTGGCCAATTGGGAAGTGAACCAGCCGATGGAAGATCTTTTACTCTGTCTCTCCTCCTCTCTGTACATCTGCCTTCCAATAAAAAGGCAGATGTACAGAGAGGAGGAGAGACACAGAAGAAGATCTCCCATGCGATGGTTCACTCTCCAAGTGACCGCAACAGCCAATGCTGCGCCAATCTGAAGCCAGGAGCCAGAAGCTCTTCCAGGTTTCCCACGCAGGTGCAGGGTCCCAAGGTTTTGGGCTTTCCCAGGCCTCAAGCAGGGAGCTGGATGGGAAGCAGGGCTGCAGGGATTAGAACCAGTGACCATATGGGATCCTGGCACGTGCAAGGCAAAGACTTTAGCCACTACTATATCGTGCTGGGCCCCAAAAATAAGTAAATCTTAAACAAACAAACAAAAAAGACTTCTCTGATCCTGTGAAGAGGCAGTGTTTGAACAGTGCATGGTCCAGTGGTGGGGAGATGCTAGATGAGACAAGAGGACAGCAGGTGAATCAGTATGGGACAATGTAGAAAACCACAGAAGTACCCATGTCAGTTGGTGAAGGCATTACTGCGGTCTTTCAGAACAGATGCTGGAACTGAAATGAAATTCCTGGAAGCCCTCTCCTCTACCATATCCCAAAGCAGGTGGGATTTTTCTTCTTAAGATTTATTTATTTGAAAGGCAGAGTGATGCACAGAGAGAGGGAGAGATACAAGAGACAGAGAGATCCATCTGATGATTCACTCTCCAGATAGCCATGATGGTTGGGGCTGGGCCAGACCAAATCCAGGAGCCAGGAACTCCGTACGGGGTTCCTACATGGGTAGCGGGGGTCCAAGCACTTGTATCATCTTCCACTGCCTTTCTAGGTGCATTAGCAGGGAACTGGGTCAGAAGCGGAGCCACTGGGACTTGAACTAGCATTCCAATATGGGATCGAGCCTAGCAGGCTGTGGTTTAATCTACTGTACACCAAGGTCAGCCCAGCATGTGGGATGTGTGGATGTGGCCAGGCTGGCCTGGGCTTCCTCTGGCTTGGTATTCCTCACCTGAATCCTGGCACAACCAGAGTGAGAATCATGAAGTCATTGTCCGAAGCTCCAACAGCAGTGTAAATGTGATCGCCAGCCACCTCCCAGCCTGCGCCACAAGAAGGGAGAGTTAAAGCCCTTCATTGGGCTGTGGGGTGCAGGGCAAACGTCATTCTGGAAGGGTGTGAGGGTGCCACCCTCTGACACGGCCAAAGCCACTGCCGGACACGAGGCATGGGACTTGGGCGGCTACTTTGCTTCTCAGAGCAAAGTGTGTGTGTGTGTGTGTATGCACATGGCATGCACTGTCTCTCACTCTACTTTCATCTCTGAAGTGCAAAGCCCTGGAGGGCAGACTTTCAAAGGAACGTATGCCCTGATGTCACTTTAACGAAGACATGCAAAGGTGGAAGGGAGTTGCTGAGCCATGGCAAGGAGAAGGGTGATTTACCTGTCAAGCCTTTGTACTCGAAGTTGATCCCGCTGAGAACTGTCGTTTCCATGTTTGTGGGCAGCATATTCCACCATTTGTATTCAAACCCTACAGCTGGCTCCGTTCCTGCTGGGCAGTGGGTACAAACTGACAAGGGTGGGGGTGAACCACAAGATCCATGCCTTGAACAGGTAGACTCTGGCCACCCTGGCCAGAGCTGCTGACCCATCAACAAGTGACAACAACAGGAGTGGGCAGCCAGCCCACTGGGACTGGTTACTGGACACTCTTGCACAGAGGTTGTGCAACTAATTCACATTCTGATGACGAACTTAACAAGCATATCATATCAACCTCTAACCTTCGTTCTAACACTGCAACCATCCTACTGCTCCACTGAACTGCACCTTCTCATTAGCCACATGTAAGTATTTCCTGTTATTGTTATGTAATTCTCATGGACTATGTTCCTACTGATAGAGACATGAATCTCCCCGACTCCTTTCTTTGCAGATACGGCTTACGGATTCTCAGGTCTGACTCTGGCCTGTAGATGGAACTAGTCCTTATTATCTCCCTGTCCTGAATAAGACCCTGTTCACCTGACCCCTCTGAGAGCCCACATGGAGCCACCCAAGTGGCTGACAGGGTGGGATGTGGGATAGGCAGGATGCAGGAAGTAGGAATGGGGAGGGGATTACCGGAGCCATTGGAGAAGGAGCCATACGGGCAGGGCTCGCAGGTGCTGTTTTCGGTTTTGAAGAAGCCTGGGTTACAGGGTGGGCAGCGGGTCTTCACACCAGATGCAGGCAGCTTTGCTGCCCCTTCCAGGTCTTCGCTGCAGATTTTCGGCTTGGCCCATTTGTACATGAGCTGTGTCTGCAGAAATGAAATAAGCCCTGCTCGGCCGGTTGTGGGAGCCAGTGCACCTACGGGACTCTAACTTGCGCCATTTCCACTCTGTCCAATGCAGTCGCTTCCCTCGCCATTCTCCAGTTCCTAATTCTGACTATTTTTTTTTTTTTGTCTTCCTGTCACATATTACCCTTTGATATGTCATGTTACTACCTGCCCCATCTCTCTCTGCCCTCCGCTCTCCAACGACTGATGTTCCTTCAGTTTTATTGACTGGCGTGTAGTAGTAGCAGTGCCTGACACTCAGTAAAGGATCAGTGGACCCTGAATGGACCAGATGACCGCAACATGAGGCCTGCTCTGGCTCCCCAGTCCTGGTGCCCTGTACACTTGCTGCTTGCCCCTGGTCATAAACATATTTTTGTCTTCCTGACAGCCTTCTGGCATCATGGATCAGTAGCTTCTTGAAAGTGGGAGCCTGTCTCAGTTCATCGCTGCTCCCCAGCCTGTCACCCCAGGCCTGGCACAGCAGCATGACAAGCAAAATGCACTGTTCACTCGCCGACTCTGCAACTACAAAGGAAAGGCTGTTTCTGAGACAGAGGGCCCAGGGATGAGCTGGGGGAGAAGCCGAACAAGGAAGGTCATTGTCCAGTGAGCTGGGAAGCCAGAGTCAATGACCTTTGGCAGCCCATAGAGTCAGCCACTGGGGGGGACAAGCATGATGCGCTCTATGCAGACAGCCATGCATTTGCCGAGAGGGAGCAGGCAAAGGATGGAAAATGGGGATTTGGGAACTGAGCATTCATGGAGAAGTCATGAGTTGGGTAGAGGAACTCAGTTTCTGATCTGAAAACACATGAAGTCATCATGTTTTGCCCCTCTGTCCCTCCACCCTGCAGCCAAGCATGCACGTCTGTGGGTTTTTCTCTGGTTCCAGATTTGCGATCCATTGGCACTCCCCAGCTGGTGGAGCTGGAGAGCAGGGAATGACGTGTTTGGGCCGACAAAGGGGCTCAGAGCCCGCGCTACTCACCTCTCCATTGGCGTCACAGGCCGTGTGTGTGTAGAAATAATCTTTGTCTGTGCAGGCTGGGCGCACCTTGCAGGAGGAAGAGCCCTTCTCTGTATCACCAAAGGAAGGAGGAGTCTTTGAAGGCTGAGCTATTGGCTGCTGGCTCCTGCCCCCAGGCCTCCAGCTGCCCTCCCACCCCAATCCTGGCTCCCAGGCACAACCCCAACAGGTATCACAGGAAGTAGAAAACCCTGGCATGCCCACCCTGCCCTCTGCCTCAGTATCTTTTCCGGTTCTACCAGGTTTGCTATGACATTCCTTTGCACCTCTCTCGGGGAGCCTGACACCGTGGGGTGGGGTGTGAAATGACCAGGTCAAGGACCAGCTGGAGATACTATAACTGAAAATAGCATTTATAGCCAACCACTGCCACCCCAAAACCCCTGAAAGTCATTATCCTCCACGGGTCTCTGCCCCATAACTGTGGAAGTGGCCTCTCTATTCATGAAGGGCTGAATAAAACTTGCTAAAACTTAGGACATTGCTTTTCTTCTCTTATCCCTAGCCTTTTCTCTGACTTTTCTCACAAATCTAGACCAAGAATGAAGGCCTCCAGACTATGAATCTGTCCTTCCCTCAAGGACAAACCAGGCTGTCCTTTCTTCAAACTCCACCTAAGGTCTGTAGTTCTTGCCACTGTCCTCAATCCCAGCATCCCAGAATCTTTAACCTTTGACATGCACGTAATCAAAAATGCTGAACAGAGATGGACCCTAGCAAACAAGATGTCCATATCCCATATCGGTGCCTGGTCTGAGTTCCCGGCTGCAGCCCCTGACTCCAGCTTCCTGCCAGAGACACTGCAGACAGCTCAAGGCATTAGGTGCCTATCTCCCATGTGGGAGTCCTGATTGGGTTCTCAGCATCTGACTCCAGTGCCCAGCCACGGTGGCCATTTGGGAAATGAACCAGTGGATAGGAGCTCTCAGTCTCTCTCTCTGCTGCTCAAGTAAAAATAAACACAATTTTTAGGAAGAAAAACGTTGGGGCTGGCATTGTGGTGTATCAGATAGATACAACACTTTCATTCCATTTGAGTGCCAGTTTATGTCCTGGCTGTTCCACTTCTGATCCAGCTCCCTGCTGATCTCCTGGGAAAGGCAGCAGAAGATGGACCAAGTTTGAGCAAGTGTTTTGGTACCTGCATCCTTGTGGGAGACCTGAATGAAGCTTCTGGCTTCCCTCATTGCAGTAGCCATCTGAGGGAATGGGACGGTGGATAGAGGACTGGTCTCTCTTTGTCTCTCTCTCTCTAATACTAACTTTAAATATTTTTTAAAACGCTACATGTCTGCTTCATCCTACTGTCTTTTTTTTTTTTAAGATTTATTTATTTTTATTACAAAGTCAGATATACAGAGGAGAGACAGAGAAGATCTTCCGTCTGATGATTCACTCCCCAAGAGAGCACAACGGCTGGTACTTCGCCGATCCAAAGCCAGGATCCAGGAGCTTCTTCCAGGTCTCCCACACGGGTGCAGGGTCCCAAACATTGAGCCGTCCTGGACTGCTTTCCCAGGCCACAAGCAGGGAGCTGGATGGGAAGTGGAGCTGCTGGGATTAGAACCGGCGCCCATATGGGATCCTGGCGCATTCAAAGCAAGGACTTTAGCTGCTAGGCCGTGCCACCAGGCCCCATCCTACTGTCTTCCAAACGTTTGTGAAAAACTGAACTAAATGATAATTCATTTTGGTGCAAAATTTTTTAAATTCATACTTTTCATGATACACATATTTCATGGACTTTTAAAAATTATTTATTTATTTATTTATTTGAAAGGGAAAAAGAGAGCACTTCCATCTGCTGTATTTCGCCCACAACAGCTAAGCCTAGGCCAGGTCATGAACTTTCTAATATGACTACTGTCAGCTGTATGTGAGTTTCCCACTCAGATGGCAGGGATCCAAGCACTCAGACCACCCTCCATTGCTTTCCCAGGAAAATTAGCAGGGAGTTGGATTGGAGGTGGAATTCAAACCAGCACACATACGGCCACCGTGCAAGTGAGGATTCAACCCGTGCAAACCTCTACTAGCATTCTTCTTTTCTTCTTAATACTTGTTTCTTTTTATTTGAAAGGAAAATTTTACAGAGAAGGAGAAATAGAGAAGGTTTTCCATCCACTGGTTTATTCCCCAAATGGCTGCAATAGCCAGAATTGAGCCGATCTAAAGTCAGGAGCCAGGAGCCTCCTCAGTCCTCCCATGTAGGTTTATGATCCTAAGGTCTTGAACCATCCTCTCTGCTTTCCCAGGACATATGCAGAGACCAGGATAGGAAGTGAAACAGCCAGGACTCAAACTGGCACCGTATGGAATGCTGGTGGCACAAGGTTGGGAGATTAGTCTACTGAACTATGGCGCTGGCCCCTGCTACTACTCTTTCTAATATGACTCCTGTCAGCTGCAGGTAATAGGAAGATATCTCTCCACTTCTCTCTCTTCTCTCTCTGTCTGTCTCCGTGTTTGTTGGTGTATGTATTGCCTGATAGTGGAATCAGTTTCAAGTCAGATCAGGGTTTGAATTCCGCTTCATTATTTAACAGCTGTGTCACCACTTCAATCAAGTTCATCAGCCTCTCTGAATCTCAGCTCTCTCAGTTGTTAACACAATTACTTGTAATTACTTGGGGTCAGCATACTCCTGGTGCATTGCATAGTGAGTAGATACAAAAAAAAGGAAGCAGCATTATTATTATTTGTGTGTGTGTGTGTGGTAATTATTATTACCTGCATGTTTGGGAGTTACTTTTATCTTACACCTGTCACTGGGGACGCAAGAAGGAGCCAAAGAATCTTTCCTTTCCTTCCAGGTAACAAGACTTATTTTGCAGTGAGTTCCTGGGTCAGGGAATCTAACTGCTAGAGCTCCTCAACAGCACATCTCCGTGTCTCCTCTGCCTCCATCTTACATGGGGTGGGAGCTAGCCACTGGCTGAGAGCCAGGACCTCTGGCTCATTTGCTCTGTTACCAAGCAGAAGGTCCACTGTAGCATGGGCAGAGCCAAGGGACTCCTGCTTTCCACGGACTCGGTCAGAAGAAATTTGGGGTGGGGGAAGATGTTGCACAAGCAGAACAAATCTCGGAAGCCTGGGAATTTGGCACCACAAAGATCAAGTCGTGTGTTAGAAAACGCACTGTGCACAATGGCCTTTCTCAGCTTGCCAAGAATTTGCTCAGTCTGACACCCTGGCTCCTGGATTTTGGAAAGAAGGCGCAGCTGTTCACACACTGATCACTGCTAAGGAGATTTTAGTAAATGATTAACCCAAGCACTGAGCTTGACCTTGCTGGCCTAGCTCAGGTTTCATGCAGGCGGGTCAGCTGGGTACCAGCTGGCATTTGGCTGGATGGAGTGAAAGGTGGCTTATGTAGGACCGGCCCTGGGCAAAACAGCAAACCACTCACAAGCTTACCTCTTCCTGCAACTCCCTCCTTTCCTGTCTTCTACTATATAGTGTCCTCCAAGACATAGATCCCCTCTGAGGAGTTAAGCGCCTAACAGAAAGAAGGTCCAGCTCAGGCTCCTGGGAACCCCCTGAACTTCCCGACCTTCTCTTTACTTGTTTGTAAATGGGGCAGTCACTGCTTCACTATGCTATGAGTAACAGAGGAGCTAACACTTTGTGGATTGTAACATGGTTGTAATCCATACTGAGAATATTTCCAGATTGAAGGATAGCTATCAGGGCTGGTGCCATGGCATAGCAGTTAAACCTCACCCTGCAGTGCCGGCACCCCATAAGGATGCTGACTTGAGTCTTGTCTGCTCCACTTCTGGTCCAGTTGCCTGCTAATGGCCTAGGAAAGCAGGAGAGGATGGTCTAAGCGATTGGGTCCCTGCTAGCCATGTGGAAAACTAGGATGAAGTTCTTGGCTCCTGCCTTTAGACCAGTCTTGCTCCAGTCATTGTGGCCATTTGGGGAGTGTCTCTCCTCTCTAATTTGGCCTTTCAATTTAAAATGTGTGTGTGTATATATATATATATTTCTATTTATATGTGTGTATAGTTAATATATTATTAAATATTATAATAATGTATATATATATATATTTAAAAGGAGTATTAGGCCTTAATATAAATATGTGGATAAAATTAGTGCTTACTCCATGGTCAGCAGTTTGGTACATCTTTTACTTGTGTTAATTAATAAAATTAAATAATACTAGAGGTAGATGTTACGGTCATTCCCACTGTGTTGAAGGAACTGAATTGAAGACAGGAAGTTGGTCCAATGTGGCATAATTAGTAAGAGTGGAGCCAAGATTTAAACCCATGTGATCAAGTTCCAGAACCCACACTTTTCCATTTAGAAGTCAGATCACTAATATTAACCAAGGCACACAAGAAATTCTTTGTTTCAATGAGGAAGATGCTTCTAGTCAAGCGTTAGCCTTTCATTCTCTCTTGTGAGTTTCCCAGACTTTACCACAACTAGCTGCCCCTGATTTCTGTCCTGATACCACCAATGGCACCTGCCACAAAATCTCCCAAGTGCTGTCTCTGCCTCCAGAATGCCCCTTCTCCTTCATGGAGCAGCAACAGCGGATTTTCTTTTTTCCCCTTTTAATTGAAAGAAAGAATTACAGAAAGAGGAGTTAAGATGGAGAGCAAGAGAGAATTTTCTTTCTATTGGTTTACTCCCCCTGGTCTCCCACATGGGTGCACTGGACCATTCTCTGTTGCTTTCTCAGGCACATTAATAGAAGAAGAAGTCGAGCAGCTGGAACTAGTATTGGTGTCTACATGGGATGCTGGTACTGCAGGTGGAGGTTTAACATGCTGTGTCACAACGCCAGTCCCAATAATGATTTTTAAAGCAAAACCAAATCGTGTTTAAAAAGCCTTACAGTTATTTGGTGGCCTCCTTGGCTGATGGGCCCAATGTTTTCAACAGTACCACGGAAGGCCTGCCCTTGATCTATTTCCCAGCTGCCAGCCTTGCCTGCTCCTTCTCACCACTTCATCTGCAGCCAGCAGACTCACTGCTGGCACTCCGAATGTCCTTGCTGGCTCCAGGCCCGCACTCCTCTCTCAGAGGACCCACCACGTCCATCACATCACCAGTTCAGCTGATGACGCCTTCTCCTTCCCAGCCACTTCCCTTGCTTGCCTCACTGAGAGCTGCATGCCACATCACACTACAGCATGCAGCCTGTGCCTTGACGGTGCCTGTGCCACAGCATGGACACGAGCATGTGTCTGCACTGACACAGAACCTGGAGGCTTAACATCAGCTCCAGCCCTAATAGTGCCAAGCTCAGCGCTTGGCACTAGATGGGCATTGGATGGGTCTCTCTTCTGTCTCTCTCATGATGTATTTTCCAGTTCAGGGTCCTAGGGTCCCATCAGTCAGTCTCTGTCTCTCTGTGTCTCTGTCTCTGTCTCTCTCTCTCGGCATTGGCATTTTCCCTGCCTCTCACTGACCTTATATTCTGGAGGAGTCAAGTCTTAAACCAATGTGACTCCCCTGGTGCCCTAAGCTGGTAAGCTGGTCAACAATTTGGCCATGTTCTTTACGGTAACAATCTCACTTCTCAGTCACAAGTGACAAACTGAGAAACTGGTGACAAAGACAGACTAGGCTCCGAGAACTGACTTCCAACCTAACACCTTCCCAACAGCCCTCCGGATTAAAGCTACTTGTGTTTCGTTGACCAGAACACATTTTCTAGAGGCTCTTTTTCTAGAACCACCTTGCTATTCAAATATTTGCACAAGTGCTGAGGCTGGAAGGAGCTGGAGACTTAAGAATAACAAAGAGAACAACAGAGCAGAGCCAGGGAAGGGAATGGACATTCCAGTGGGAAAATAGGAATTTAGACTTGGAGATAAAAAGCATCCTAGTCTGGCTGGAAATTACACTCCTTTGTCAGGATCTGTGTAGATAAGTAGGACTTCTGTTTCAGGAATAGTGTAAGAACACGCAGTTTGCATGGTCTTGGCTGAGCAAACACAAGCACCTGTGAGAAGTATGGGTGTGTTCTTTGGGGAAGCCAGAGTTGGCTTCACTGAGGGGCTTGTGTATGATTGTGTATAACGAGAAACAGAGCAGAGGTGAGTGTTCATGGGGGAGGAGGGAACTCTGTCTACCCTTGCTTGTTTCAGAACCTGTCTGGGAGAGTGGTCCCTGAGTCCATCATTGGATGAAGACTCTGTAGCATTGTTCATCTTATGACACAGCCTGGCAGCGCCCGCCTCCTGAGCACCCCTCAAATGATCAGGTCCTGTTTCTCAAACTGGAGTGCCTTAGAAGGCAATCCAGGAACTATGGAAATAGGTTGCTTCCAGCTGTCCCCTCCTTACTCCTGTCACAGGGAATGTTGGGTTAAACACCTGCTTTGAGTTGAATGCATGCTCACATTGATAATAAATAGTATCAGTCATCTTCAGTTCCTGCTAACCTAATGATGAGCCTGACCTCATCAACCCTCAACAAATGCATTTACTGTATCCTGTAAATACACACAACTATTACATGGCAATGGAAAAGAAAACTTTTTAAAAGGTCAGGTTCTTAGGGTCGGCACTGTGTGCTAGCAGGTAAAATCACTGCCTGAGACACAGACTTCCTAAATCGGTGTTGCTGTTTGTCCCAGAAGCTCTGTCTCTTATCCAGCTCCTTGCTAATGGCCTGGGAAAGCAGTTGGGCCCTTGCACCGGCATTTGAGAACCAGAAGAATCTCTAAGCTCCCGGCTTCAGACAAGCTCCAGCCATTTGGAGAGTGAATCAGCAGGTAAAAGATCTCTCTGTCTCATCCCCTTGCTCTGAAACTCTGCCTTTCAAATACAGAAATAAATCTGGAAGGAAGAAAGGAAGGAAGGAACGAGGGGAGGGAGAGGGGGGTAGGGAGAAAGAGAAAGGGGGAGGAAAGAAGAAAGGAAGGAATGAGCAAGAAAAGAAAGGAAAAGGGGAAGGGAGGGGAGGGGAGGGGATGGGAGAGGAGGGGACAGGAAGAACTGCCGTCTCCAGTGTGGTGGGAGGAATGCTCTCCTTGCTGGTTTAACTGGGAGCTCCTGCCAAACTCAGGTCACCCCCCCCCCCAGCGACATCACCTGCATATTTGTCGGGGTCACAAGGGTGGCAGGAAGTTTCCCCTTTATTGGAGTACGAGTTGGCTGGGCAAAGCTTGCAGAACGAGGAGCCCTGCTTGTCTGCGTAGGTGCCGGGCTTGCAGGGGAAGCACTCGGATGTGTAGGCCACCCCTGTGGAGGAAGAAGAGCATAAAAGAGCCGGCAGTGAGCTCCTGGGGACCGACGCTCACCCTTCCCCCCAAGTCCGGGGCCGGTACAGCCTTGCAGAGGGCAGGTACCGCCCAGCTCTCGGTACCTGTGATGGCGATGTTTCTCACCAGCACAGGCTTGGAGACCTTCGACCACACGGAGAAGGCGGTGGTTCTCCAATAGAGGACGTTATTGCCCCGATTTAGGTCCACCTGAAAACCACCAACAGGAGGCGCTAGTTCATGGCAGAGTCAAGAATGGCTGCCAATCTGGTGGGGCACCTGTCTTCACCTTCCCTCTCCTCTTTGCCTTTGCCCTTCCTCCCATCTTGACTTAGCCCCTCTCTCTTCCTAAGGCCCTTCCTGCCCTCTCCCACATTTGTCACTTAGCATCTCTGATGACAACTCAAAGGCACCTGAAAGTACTGATGATAGGATGCCTGGCATTCCCTCAATCTCTCCCTGCTTCTCCTAAGAACAGGTGCCACCCACACAAAATTCAGCCTTGGAGCTGAAAAGCTGCAGGTCCCAGGCTCAGGCCAAAGAGCGAGAGTCTGCCCACAGGGAGTTTCCATAGCATCCTCCTTATTCCACCTGATCATGGCCTACTCGGGGCAAGTAGGAGCTCAGATCAGGAGGGAGTGCCCTTTGAGGAACAGCCCTTGATCCCTCCCCTGGGGTCTACAGGTGGAGGCTGCCATGTGACTTACGCTGTGGAATTCCCATCCTTTTTCAGTGGTTTTCATCCACCGGGAGTCATCGGCATTGGGTTGGCACTGGTCATTCTGAACCTAAAGCAGCAGGAGTTTGGGATCAGGGCCTCACTTTGCCAAGAGGAGTCTTACCCCTTGCTGCACTGGCCTCTGCCTCCTCAAAGAGTCCTTTTCATAGGACACGAATTGCCCAGTATCCATTGAGACTAAACTAAGGCACACTCAGCTAACCGCACATGGGAACATCTGGAATGATGTGCAATCCGGAAAATGCTTCTATGCTGTTTCCGGCTGATGCACCTCCCAGGCTGTTCTTCCCACTCCGTTGTCTTTTGCTTTTTCCCACTTGCCTTCAGAGGTGGCCTTGGGCTCACTTGGCCCTTGGCTCTGTTCAGAGGGAAGACAACTGGTGTTTCCCACGCCTGTGGTTGTTTCCTGTGAAGGAATCTGAGCCTTCACCTCCTGCCCGCCCCCTCTGCCCAAGGGCTTACGAAAAACTCGAAGATGATGCTGGAATCCGGGTAGTAGTATTCGAAATTGACTGTGCCGGACTGCTTCAGGTTGACTGCATACATGAGCGTGGCTGTGCACTCATCTGTGTTGGAGGCGATGTAGTCACCCCTGGGGGTCCACTTGGACCTGCGATGGAACAGGAACCAAGTTCGCTGGCAGGAACCGGTGTGGCCCACTGGGCTTTGTGCCAAGTGCAGGTCTCAAGTGCTGCTGCCTCTAGGGGTGGGAATCCCATTTTTGTGGTTCTTGTGATTCACAAGTCTATGTGTGCACCTGAAAAGGTTCCGTGAAGAGGGAGGCAGATCAAGGAGCCTGGGGTTCAGCTTGGGGTCTACACACTGTGGAACCACCCGGGGGAGAGAGAACAGGTGAATGAAAGGGCATGTGTGTAGATAACTTTTGTTGATTGTTTACTATAGCTCAATGTGGTTTATACTCATGATTTCTTTTATTTTCTTCAAGAAGTGGCAGTTTTATATTTTTGCTTTATTTATTTATTCACCTTTTTATTAGATGTGTAAACTGAGGCTTGGAGGGTACCTTGCCCAAGAGCACAAAGAGAGCTAATTGCAGGGCTGAGTTCCAACCCGGGGCTGTTCCACTCCAGAGCTATGAGGGAAAGCCAGTAGACACAGCTATTCCCATTACTCTGTCATTAGGAATCGCGATCACTGGCCAAGTGTTTGCTATGGTGCACATTCTGCTAAGGGCATTTTCATTCTGGTGTCCCTCTATGTGTGTGTAAGTGGAGTGCCTGGGAGAGGAACAGCCAGGCAGAAGGCTGTGTGAGCCTCCAACTTCTTCGGCACAGCTGCCTGGTTCTCTGGAGGGGCTCTATCATTTTACACCCACCACCTGCTGCCAAGAGGATGTGGTAGCAGAGAAGTGTCTAATTGTGCCTTCTCTCATTTCTTTGATTTCTAGTGAGGTCAAGCACCTTAGCGTATTTGTAATTTGGATTTTCTCTTTTGGTCACACTTTGTTTTAATTCTCCTTCTGACTACCTGCTAATGTGAGTGAAGGGAGTCTCAATATTTATCTACAAATTGCCAGAATAACATGATATTTGCAGCCCTTCAGTAGTCAACGCTGGTCTCCAAACAGAAGCATGTAAGCTGAGCTCACCCAATACACCCAGAGAACCTAATGGCTTTGATTTCTCCTCGTTGGAAGACACAACAGTCAGGGCTAATGTGCTCTTGGAAAGAGCTATAAATAACTGTAAACATCCTGAGGCTGGATGAATAATTAAGAGGATTTCATAAGTAGGTAACATTTGCAAAATGCGTCATAGTTTAATTTCTGTCCGTTGTCCCTGGTGAAGACAATTCATGTTCAACAATAACAACATTCTCACTGATTTCCACTTGCTTGCCTTGCTCTAAATTCTCCACCTGCTGTATCAGCTTCCTTTGATGCTTGCCACACTCTGTAAGAAGAGCACGGCCATTTTGGGGATGAGAAAAGAGAACGGGCCGATTAGGACCCTCACTCAGGCTGGGTCATGCAGCTATGCTCTGCATATAATGTGCTCCTTCTTAATGTGTGTCTTTTTAATGTTCATGTTTGTCTTTTATTCTTTTTTCACTACCCTACATTTGGTCTTCTGCCCTTTCTTCAACTCTATCTATTTTAAAAGATTTATTTATTTTTATTTGAAAGGCAGATTTACAGAGAGAAAGAGAGACAGATTTTTCATCTGCTGGTTTGCTTCCTAATTGGCTGCAATGGCTGGGACTGGGCTAGTCCATAGCCAGGAGCCAGGAGCTTCTTCTGGGTCTCCCATGGGCGTTCAGGGGCCCAAGGACTTAAGCCACTCTCTACTGCTTTCTCAGGCCACAAGCAGGGAGCTGGATGGATCAAAAGTGAAGCAGCCAGAACATGCACTGGCATCCACATGGATGCCACCACTGGCAGGCTGAAGATTAGCGTATTGAGCAACTCACTGCCCTTCTTCTCCACTACTTAAACACCCTTCACTTGCTGCCTCATCACTCCTCTTCCTTCTTGCCTATCCCAGTTTCCGATCTTGGGGTTTTTCCAGCTCCCTAGCTCTGGGACATTTATCCAGGGACCCTGAAGAATCTCCTAAAGGCTTAGGGTCCTGCCATGGAGACTCTGTTCAGTTGACCACTTTGTCTCCAGTTTGTTGTTTTATTTGTGCCAGATAATATGCTAGACAGGACAGAAAAACAAACAAACAAACACAGTGGGTCTGATCCTCTCTTCTTGGAGCTTGCATTCTCTTTCTGGCGGAGGAGAGGATCTCTCCTAACTGCAGTTACTGATGTAGCTATGACAGTGCTGAGTGTCACATGAGAGGCATGGGATGACACAAGGGTGTCAACTTTGGAGGAACCAACATTTAGGCAGAGACTTAAGGGTTACCAAAGTCAGATAGCGGCTGGCATTGCTGCACAGTCATCCCACATCAGAGTGCTGGTTTGAGTCCCAGCACTTCGTTCCCCAGCTAGTTTCCTGCTAACATAACTGGGAAGACAGCAGGTGATGGCCTGCCTGAGTACTTGAGTCCTGCCACGCATGAGAAAGATCTGGATGGAGTTCCTGGCTCCTGGCTTCAGCCTGGCCTACATCTGGCTGCTGTGGCCATTTGGAGACAGGCTGTTATGGTGTCTTTCAAATAAAAATAAATAAATCACTTATTTTTTAGTTTAAAAAAAAGTGAGCTAAGGGAAGGGATAGGGAGGACTATACTCAAAGATCTGAAGAAAGGGCCGATGCTATGGCATAGCAAGTAAAGCTGCAGCCTGCAATGCCAGCATCCCATATGAGCTCCACTTCTAGTTCCAGCTGCTCCACTTCTGATCCAGCTCCCTGCTAATGTGCTTGGGAAGCAGTGGAGGATGGCGCAGGTGCATGGGCTTCTGCATCCATGCGTGAGACCTATAATAGATTCCTGGCTCCTGGCTTTGGCCCAGCTGGGCCCAGCCCCAGCTGTTGTAGCCATTTGGGTGGTGAACCAGTGGATGGAAGATCTCTTTGTCTCCTCTTTCCTCTGTGACCCTGCCTTTCAAATAAATATGCACTTGCTTTTTTAAGGCTCTTAGGGATTGAGTTGGTCAGTGTGACTGGAGCACAACCAACAGAGGAGGGGATCTGCAGAGGCAGACTTGATGGCCAGGACAACAGGACCCACAGAATCTAGGGTTTGGGTTGGATGTGTGTTCTAGGTTCAGTCTGGCTGCTGAGTGGATCGTGGCTGGGAGGAGGCCCAAGTGAATGGGGAGCAGGAGAGCAACTGGTAGGCTGCTGTGGCTGGGAAGGCAGGAGGGGATCATTTGTATCTGTGGGACTGGGATTGTATCTGTGTAAGGCTGGATCCAGGAAAACATGCAAAGCTGAACAGGAAAGTCAGACACCTGAGCCCTTGGTACCAGCTCTGTGACTGCCTCTCTGGGGGACAATGGGTGACCACGGACCCTCTCAAGATGACTGTTGTCTTTCCCATTTCTACATGCACCGTGGAAACAAAGGGCTGTTAGTCACTGGCCATGTCCTGGCTGACTGAGGAATCATCCCTGGACACTCCATGTGATTCTCAGAGAGATAAGTTCTTCCTGAGTGAGCTGCACTCTGTCGGGATCAGATGGCATCCCCTCCCAGGACTCTAAATGGGTTCTTGAGACTCCTACAACCTCCCTCCCTCTCCTAGCTTTCATCCTGTCTGGCTTTATCTCCACCTCCAATGCTGCCACATTGAATTTTGACACACAAAACTGAATGTAAAGATATCATTAACATTGGACCATTCAATGTAGCTGCTTGGCTCAAAGAATGGTACTTTGAGGAGACTTAGCAGTACGAATGGAAGACCCTACTTCCATCATCAGAAATCCAAGCATCACTCAGCTCTTTAGTCCTTTTTAGCTACTTGATTGCTCGGGTATGAGAATGACTTTCAGGACCATTAAAAATCCATCCGCAGTGCCAGCATCTCATAGAGGCACAGTTCAAGTCCCAGCTGCTCTACTTGCAATCCAATTCTCTGCTAATGTGCCTGGAAAGCAGCAGAAGATGACCCAAGTGAGTCCCTAAACCCAAATGGGAGACCAAGAAACTCCTGACTCCTGGCTTCTAACTTGTCCAGCTCTAGCCATTGTGGCCATTTGGAAAGTAAACCAGCAGATGAAGGCTCTCTCTCTGTCTCTCCTTCTCTCTCTGTAACTCTTTCAAATAAAAATAAATCTTAAAAAGAGAGAGCGAGACTTTCATTTACTCCCCCAATATTCATTGTCAGTACTGAACAAGTGCATTGCCACTGCCTTCTACATATTGTCCCTCTTACTCTTGCCACCTAGACCCCTAAAAGTGCCTTGCATGCAATCCATTGTTTTTGGAAGATGGCAGTGTGTGCAGTAGAGAGCTTGGGCCTGGGTTTGTGTTTCAATCCCACCAGATGGTAACTAGATGAGGAAAGGCAGGTTGTTTCTCATTGCTGAGCCTCTGGGTTCTCTTCTTTGTCATTGGAGTAACTATCTCGCGGGTGTTTGTAAGGATTAGAAAGGAATATCAGCAAGGTTTTTAAGAGCTCAGTCACCACTGGTCCAAGTTCTAGCTGGGCTCTCCCCCTTCAACCCCCCAAAACCGAGAGGCTAAAGCAGAAGCTGGGTTAGAAGTTGACATCCGAGCCTGGCATCATAGCCTAGCAGCTGAAGTCCTCACCTTGACTGCACCAGGATTCCATATGGGCACTGGTTCTAATCCAGGCATTCCTACTTCCATCCAGCTCCCTGCTTGTGGCCTGGGAAAGCAGTAGAGGACAGCCCAAGGCCTTGGAATCCTGTATCCATGTGGGAGACCTGGAAGAGGCTCCAGGTTCTTGGCTTTGGATCGGCTCAGCACCAGCTATTGCAGTCACTTGGGGAGTGACTCAGCAGATGGAGGATCTTGCTCTCTGTCTCTCCTCCTCTCTGTGTATCTGACTTTCCAATAAAAATAAATAAATCTTAAAAAAAAAAAGAAGTTGACAGCCACACCAGGAAAATGGCTTTGCAATTGTCTTTTAGTCAAACCAAGGGAAACTTATCAGTACATCTGAAAGTCCATGGTGGAAACCCAGCTGGGTTTTATTTTAAATATATTGGGCTACATTTACCCTTGTTTCACTTACCTGCTGCCCTCTATTTCCCATCTTTCCTCAGTATCTCTCAGTCACGAAGACGGGGCCCAGGAAAGAGTCACATCCATCAGTCCGATGGGGACCTGCCACAGCCCTCCCCTGGCAGCCTGCCACATGCTCCCCTCCATCCTTCCTGTAAAGCTTCCAAAGTGTTAGCAGAGACCACCCAGCATGTCCTGTAGGGCCCTGCGCAGCAGGCTACTCTGTGTGTGTGTGTGTGTGTGTGTGTGTGTGTGTGTGTGTGCGTGCGCACGCACGAACTCACAAGGTGCAGTTCTCCGTGGATTCATTAGTGCCGTCATCAATCTCCATGTTGGCAGAGAGGCTGGCAAAGCCATGGGGCAGCTCATCCCACTCATCGAACCGGATGCCCGTACCCAGGGAGTAGCGGCCTTCAGCACATGGCTTGCAGGACTGCTCCTTCATATCCAGAAACTCCCCGGCATTGCAGGAGAAGGCTGGAACATAGGGTGGGGACAAGAGAGTACCCATGAGGTCAGGGCTGCCCCTGGAAACACAACTAGATGGGCTGGGGGCGTCCCACAGGTGGGAACCCAGGGCAGGTCATGGGAGCACTGACACGTAGGGTCATGGTGCCTTCGGGTAATGCTGTTCATACAGCAAGGCCAGAAGGGGTAATGCCAGGAGGCAGAGGACCAATCCTGGCTACTGGAAGGAGGTGGTGGTGGTAGCGGGGCCAGGGGGCTGAGAGAGGGTGAGGAGATGCGGTGGGGGAGTAACTGCTAATGTTAGGTTTCTTTCTGGTGTGATTAAATGTTCTTAAATTAGAAAGGGATGATTACTGAGAATATTCTAAAAAAAAAAAAAAAAAACCTCACTAGATGTTGCTCTTTATTTTCAGACATGCAAATCACATCTCAATAAAGCTGTTGTTTACCATATATATATAGATTTCGGGTCCTGAGTGCTCCACCTCACCGAGGGGGTCTTGGCCTCAGCTAGTCTGAGAGCTCACCAGCGGAGAGCAAACCAGCTGTTGCTCTTGGGCTGTGCCCACACTGCCTTAAGTGGCAATCCTGCCTTGAACCACCGGTGACAAGGCCCTCCAAACTGACTGCCTGTGTCTTATTTGTGCTCATTCAGCAGCCAGAGGCATCCTTCTCAACACCAACAGGCACCCCTTTTCGGTTACAGACTTAAACTCTTAGGCTGACGTTCAACATCTTCCACAATCTCTTCCCAACCTAGCTGTACGGCTTCACCTCCCGTCACCAATCTTTCCGTATCTCAAGCTCAGCTGGGGCTTTCTCTGTGTTACTCCACAGAGGCGACATCCCATGCTCTTCCACTTCCAAACCTGGGCTCCAGTGGCCCTCTCGGCTGCTCCTGACCCCTGCACACCTGTAACTCCTCCATACTCTCCCATCACATCTGTCTGAGCTGCTGCAGGGAGTGCTGGCTCCTGCCTGGAACAGACATCGTGACAGTCCCAAAGAGGTTTGCTCAAATGGCGAGTGCCTGAGTGAATGTCTCTATTCCACATGCTTTCTGTGGTTACCCCAGCACATGCACATCTCGGGGCTTACGTGCAATAGGAGGGCACTAATTCTGCCAAGTTCATTGTAAATGGCTCACCTGTTCCCATGACACACATTTTAGTTCCACTCAGATGTCAGCAATATCCATTCTTTAATTTAACCAGTCTTTATGTACCCAGGCCCTGGGTTAAGCTGATTCTAGATTATAACACCCTTCATCTCCTTACTAACTTTTCAAATAATTCCTTCATTCTGACCTCCAGCTTTTATTGCTGTTCTTTCTACATTTTAGGAATCAGGCAGGGAAATAGCTGCTGACTCTGAAATCACTATGGCAAGGTCCGGCGCTGCTTCTCTGATTACAGTCAGATCCTGGTAGGAGGATCAGTGAGCCCTCAAGTGGCAGGCCCCTGCATTTAAAAAGCATGTCTGCAGAAATTGATCCTCGCTGACTTCCTTTCCATGAATGATAGTGTGTTGCAATATTCCCTAATGACTGATTGTGACTATAGATTGGAGAGAAACGCACAGCAGGAAATAAATGTATGCATACAGGAAAAAATATGAATGGCACACAGCTGGAATTGCATAAATGCACTGATGAGATCTGAATTTTAAAAATATGAATGTGAATTCAGACATCATTTTGCTTCCCTAAAATTATACTTCTGCACCCCACTACAGAAGGGTTGGGAAGATGACTAACTGGGGAAAGGTGGGATTCCCTCACGCAGCTGCACTGTCAGAAGGGCTTGGTGTGGATGGCAGGAGGCCAGGAGATGAGGACCAAGCTGAGTGGTGGGAGGCAAGAGGAGGGGTAGGCTGGAACAGAAATGCCACTTACAGCACTCAGTGCCCCTGACGGGATCAGGGAGGCTGGTGCATAGGCCGGGAGTATGTGGCACGGCGACTCTCCACCTGGAACCCGTGCTGTCACACGCGGTGTACTCATAGTGGTACTCAGACTGCAGGGGGACAAAACAACGAGTAACAGATGCATTAGTGGTGGTCACACACCTGCAGCATCCCACCCTCATACTTCATACTCCCAGCATGCCAGTGGCTGACCTGCATCATCACAGTCACGGGATTTAGGAGTCCTGGCAGGCAGTAGGCAGCAGGTAGCACGGTACTGACCATGAACAGGAATGGGGATTGCAGCACTTTGGACCATTCCTTCCTTCCCAGGCATGGCCTAGCCCCCTGGAATGTACACTTTAGGGTAGTTGGCACAGCAGTTAAGATGCACCTGTGACATTCACAGGCCCATACTGGAGTGGCTGAGCTCAAATTACGATTCTTGCTTTCTTGTAGCATGCACTCTGGGAAGCAGCAGGTGATGGCTCAAATATTTATATCCTTGCTTCCCACCTGAGAGACCTGCATTGAGTTTCTGACATAGGTCTGGTGCAGCCCTGGCTGCTGTGAGCATTTAGAGAATGAACCAGTAGATAGATTTATCTGCTTATCTGTCTGCATCTTTACCTTTAAGAGGTGTTCAATAAATAAATAAGTATCATTCAAAAGGCACATTTTTGGTTATTAATGCTTTGTTAATACATATACATAATGTCCCAACAGAGCAGAAGAATCAGGTGACTAAAATGCTGGAAATAGGTGAATTTTCTTCTTACTCCAGAAAGACTGGTCCAGGAAACATTTACAAAAGGTTGTGCCAACACTGTGACTCTATTTCCACATGTGCCCCTCCTACCCAGAAAGATTGTAAATTCCCACTTGGGTATTGTGAAAATGTCACATGTATTCCAGGCAGGCAAGGAGCTCATGCCTCGTCTCTCCCCACAATGATAACCTCACAGTTCACCTGCTTCAGTTGAAATAAGAGTACACTGAACAATGCCAGTCAAATCAAACATTAAATAAAACAACAGCACAAAGCACTGGTCGGAAGAAAGGAAGCATAACTGATGTACCAAATGCTCTAACACATTTCTTGCTCCTTTCAATCTTTTAATAAACAGACTGTGGGATTAATGCTAATTTCAGCTGACATGTATTTCACAATCATTTGCACTTTCCTATATGCAAGCCCAGAGGAACTTTGTCTTATGTATCCATAAGGAAAACAGAATGCTAACCACATCCCAAAACTCACATCAAAGTGAGGAAAAATGACATGTATAACTGCAAGAAATAAAACTCAATGTGAGACCATCTTGAAGTTTGCTAATTAGTATATCAGGATTCAAGGAAGAAATCTTTGTCTTCTAGAAGAAATAAACACGCTGTATCTCATCTGTTCTAAGCTGTGTATTCAACAGCCACAAAATCAAGATGTGTCCTAGAAATGACCCAGGAAGCAATGTGTTGGTATTTTAACCTGCAGAACCTTTTCCGTCTTTGGGGTATATTAAGAGTGGTGTCTCAGACTTATTGAGACATAATTACGTCAGTTCTCTTTCCGTGGTTGAAGAGAGAACAATTTTCTATTCTCTTCTGCTATAAATATTTACCTAATGCATGTTGCTTGCCCAGCTCATAGACGGAAGAGACGAGGACAGAAAGGTTCAGAATAGCAATACACAAAATCTGCTTTCTTCTTACAGGGAACAGGTGCAGCACAGGGGAGGCTGGGGAAACTGGGAGATTAACTTTGGACCAGAATCTTTGGCTTTGAATTTAGGTGTCAGTGCAATGGTCAAAATAGAACATAGCAGGATGGGGGGATTAACAGGAGCATGGGCTACTCTCTCTCTGGATCCTTTGTTCCTCATGATTTTAATGTTCTCTGCATCTCGGGGGATTCTGGGAATAAACAGGGCCACCACACAGGAATCAAACCAATTCCGGACTATGTCAATGGCATGTCACATGGAATGACCAAGGCAGAAGGAAAAGAGCGTTCTGCCTGTGGACACGGCACTGCTTGCTTGATGCTATCTCAGATAAGAAAACTGCCTCACGTGGGGCGAGTCAGTGTGCCCAGGGTCACCTGTAAGTCACTGAGCTGGAGTCCTTCTCCATGCTCATGGGTCAGATCCAACACAAAGAGTTTGAGTCAAATGTAACAAAAAATTCTGAAACTGAAATGCGCCAGTGGAGGCTGTTGCCCAGCAGCCACTCTCACATCTGAGGCTGAGGATTGGTGTCCAAGAGAGCACACGGCTCCAGTCCTCCCACTATGACGCTCGGCCTTTAGGACGTACATGCCCTGAGTTCGTTCCTTTTCATGGGTGTTCCCCCTGCATCCCGCATGAATGGCAGACAGATTTGCCAGGGAAAGCAGTGGCCCCAAGACTTCAGAAAACCCCCTTCCAATGTGCATTGATTTTGTGCCCCTTGGGAATGCCTACTCCACACAGCATGGCTGCTGCAGCTGTTGCCAACCTGAGATGCAGTTTGAGCTCATACCTTTCACAAATAAGCCTAGGGTGAGCTGACAGTTGACTCCTGGTGAAACTGGCAGACCTTGTCAGTTACACATGGTGATCTGTGAACACATCAGTTCCCTAGCAGCACCTCCATTTGCCCCATGATCTGGACAGCATTACACACAGATTCACAAGCCAAGCACAGACACAGGCAATGTCTACTCATACATCCAGCTCATGATTCCTTCCTCCCTACCAGGCACAGCTCAGTTACAGTGCTCAAGCAGACACAGCAGAAAGCCACTGCTGCCTGCTCATCAGGGACGCAGGGAAGGGTTTAGCTAACCAGTGTGTCCCTGTCCCACCACTGGCACCCAGCCATGTGGCACTCCTGGGCACAAGAGAAAGAAGAAACATCCCTGGAGTTGGACTGTTTTACCCAATACTGAGCTATCTGTAGAGAACAATTTATTCATTTCTCTGTCTCTCCTTCTTTCTGTAAATATGCCTTTCCAATACAAATAAATCTTACACACACACACACACACACACACACACACAGAGCTGCTCCCCAGAGGCTCCTGGGATGAACTTGGGCACTCCCAGGCCTACATAAGTCCTCAAGCAGAGCTCGCTGCTTCTCACAGCTTGCTGTTTCCTCCTGGATTTCCTCTATGTGCATGTACATTTTGAAGAAAAGGGAAGGTTGCATGCTGCAAAGGTCTGTATTCTGACTTTTCCCTTCCTTTCAACTTTAGGTGACTAAAACACTTCCTCCTGTCTTTTTGGTGTTTTTTTTTTAAGGTTTACTTATTTTATTTGAAAGGCAGAGTTACAGAGAGAGGTCTTCCATCCACTGATTCGCTCCCCCAAATGGCCACAATGGCCAACGCTAGGCCAGTCTCATGCCAGGAGCTAGGAACTCATTCTGGTCTCCCATGTGGGTGCAGAGGCCCAAGGACTTGGGTCATCCTCTGCTGATTTCTCAGACATAAGTAGAGAGCTGGATCAGAAGTGGCGTAGCCAAGACATAAACCAGCACTCATATGGGATTCCAAGGCTGCAATCTGAGACTTAACCTACATGCCATGGACTTGGCCTCTTTCTCATGTCTTTAATGGCTACTCTGTAGTTGCCCATCATCATTTTCTTATTACTGGACACTGAGTTTTTTGTGCTTTGCCCTTGTTTTGGATCCTGCTGCAGTGATATTTTCTATTTCTGATTGTTTCCCTCGGGTGAATTCCTAGAACCAGGATTACCAGGTAAATAGCATGAGTCTCTTTAACATCCAACACCAGGAAGGGAAATTTCCAAGAGAAAACAGGCATCTCAACGTTTTTCTCTTAAAATCTTTTTATTGGGTCTGGCGCAATGGTTTAGTGGCTAAACCCTCGCTTTGCATGCACCAGGATCCCAAATGGGCAAATTCATGCCCCAGTTGTTCCACTTCCCATCCAGCTCCCTGCTTGTGGCCTATGAAAGCAGTAGAGGATGGCCCAAAGCCTTGGGATCCTGCATCCACATGGGAGTCCCAGAAGAAACTCCTGGGTTCAGATTGGTTCAGCTCTGGCTGTTGTGACCATTTGGGGAATAAACCAACTAGTGGATCCCACGTGGATGCTGGTTCGTGTCCTGGCTGCTCCACTTTCCATCCAGCTCCCTACTTGTGGCTTAGGAAAGCAGTAGAGGATGGCCCAAAGCCTTGGACACCTGCCACTCATTTGAGACACACCAAAAGATGCTCCTGGTTTTGACCTAGCCCGGCCTTAGCCATTGCAGACATTAGGGGAGTGAACCAGCAGAAGGATGATCTCTTTCTTTCTCTTCTCTCTTTCTCCCTCCTTCCCTCTGTAACTTATAAATCTTATAAAGGAAAAAAATCTGCCTAATTTCTGTAATTCTTACTTCATATGCTCTCACTTTTATTAACCTCCACCTACCTCTCCTCACTTGAAATAGTTTTTAAGAAACATGTGTATACAATGAAAGGTACAAATCTAAACTCTACACTTTCAATCCTGGACACACTTGAGGTGGAAAGAAGCTTCTCAGGGACTGCTGGGGGACAGGAGTGACCCCTGCCACCTGCACCTCACACAGAGAACAGGTGATGCTAAGCAGATGCCTCCCCATCCTGAGTCAGAGTCCCTGGATGGCTGCTGCAGAGTACAGCAGAAGAGCTCCAAGTCGGCTTGTCTTGGCTGGGGCAGGACCCATGTCAACACACAGGTTCTTAGATAAACCCGGATTTTGACTCAAAGCCAGCTTTTGCCAGAGGTCTTGGAGTCTGAGAGAGGCTGGACCCTGCTCTTCCCCCATCTATACGCTCATCACTCCTGTCCCATAGAACAAGGTTGCAACAGGGTCAGGGGGAGCAGCAGGAAGGGACTTTGCTTAGCACAGGATCATAGCAAACTACTTGGAAAGGTGAAGAGCAGAAAGCATGGGTCCCCTAGAGGAGACTCTGGGGCTAAGCCCCAGCGAGGGTCTTCCCTCCTCTCCTGTTTTCTGTGCTTTTGGTTTTGGGGTTCCTGGCTCAGGATTGGGTAGAGCGCATGGCTGAGGCTTGGGGCAGACTCACCTGGCTTGTCCACTCATGCTGGGAGGAGGCCCGGCCTTGCCTATTGTTC